GATCCTTCCTATGAGGTGATGCAGGTTCTGAGTTCCTGTATCGGGACGGCTCTCCAAAGCCTTCGTAAGGCGCGTATGGACTTGATGGAGGTACTGTCTTTTCTCGTGGAATATCTTCCGAATGACGTGTGTAGCTGTCAGACAAGCTGGGGTCTCGCATTGGTCCTGCATTATGATAGAGCGTCTGCTCGGACTGCCTCCGGCCAGAAAAGGCAGGATGAATGTTCTCCTGCCCTCGCATGGACGTTCCGTCTGATTTACCACGCAAGTGGTTGGCCGGACGTGGCGCGACCGGCTTCCGCGGAAGAGATGTTACATCCATATTGAACTGGTTCTCCACGCCATTTCTTATGGAGAGTCCAGCCGGAGGAGCAGGGCTTCTCTGCGTCTGCTTCGGCGGACTTTGCTGCCGTGAATGGCGGCGAAGAGATGTCGTTGGAGCCGGTGGGAAGGCCTCTGGCGGGGGCTGAGGTAAGGGTTTTCTTTGTACAGGCGGCTGTACCAGCCCTTTTGTTAGAGGTTCTACCTCTTGGATGAAACTACCCTCATTCGCGCTGAGGATCGATTCCTCTGGCTGATCCACATGCAGATAATAGAGGCAGCTGTGAACATCTTCCGCACTGACAACTTTCTCCCGGGGCTTCAACGGGGTAAGAAAGACATCTTGGAGAATGTTAGCTGCATGCATAATTGGATTTGTTGTCTTTCTGTTACCTTTACTCCCGGGAACACGTGCGATATACAGTACTAAAGGATCATGCTTTTGCTGGGTAGGATTACGCGGATACTGCGGAGGGTTCGCAGCTAGTGCCGTGATGGACGACAACGAGCGTGCCTCTACAGTGGCAGCCATGCTTTTCCAAGTAGGTTCTTCAACTTGATGTTTGAAATGTGAGTGGAGTATGCCAAGTTGCAGCGTTGTAGTCGTAGTTGGTAAATTGGGTAAATGAACGGGGTTTCTACGACAACGACAATATCAAAAATCACGATCGCTAGCATTAACAGTCCTCTTACAAGCTTTACAGCTGGGTCGCGGCTACTGTGTTGATATGAAGCCGGCCACGGCAACAGTTGTACGTGGCAGGGGAGGCTGTGCAGCATGTCAGCCACCGGTGATAGACATTCAACAACGCTGTTGCTGTCCAGCCGCGTCACAATGCAAGAGTTGCAGGCGCTGGCGCATGAGCTATGCAGCATCCCGCCACGGAAAGCACCTGCAGATTTGGTTTCGTTGTCCATCAGATTGGTGGAGTGAAATCGAAGCATGACTCGAGCAGAGCGTGGCCCGTTCCCGAGAATCCGAAGCGGGTGCCAAGATTTCACTCTCTCCTCACCCACACCGCCCGAGAAAAAGTGTGACAACCTGAAGCCTCGCGACCACCAGCAAACTGCGCAACAATAGCAGCAGGCCTACCACAGTAGCGTCTTGAACAAACAATAATAGTCCCCTCAATATCAGAATAACTACGCATACTGCTACGGCAACAATGGCAGACGACCTCGAGGTACATCTTCACCTCCCGCCCCGCTCTCCACACAGCTTCCAACTGACAAAATCTCTCCAGGAACGACTCAAGAGCCACGCCCGAGCCTTTGAAGGGCTAATGTCCCTCATACCCGCGAAGCATTACTACGGCGAAGATACCAGCGTTAGTTTTCCTGCATTGCCGCCTGGAAACCCCAAGTGTTAGGCAATAACGACTAACGAGCCCGTGTCGCCTAAAGGATCAATGGCAACGCAAAAAACAAACCAAAGAACAAAAACGCGAAGCCAAGCGCGCGAAGCTGGACCCAGCGAACCAAAAGAGCGCCAAAGACGTCATGGACGAGAACGAGCGCAAAAGAAAGCGGGAGATGGAGGGCGACGACTACGTCTCCGATGTTGATGCGCCTGGCAAGGAGAAGCCCGGCGAGGGATTAAAGGGCGCTGGGAAGAAAGCCAAGAAACAGAAGCTTGACGATGGCTCCGCAAAGGAGGTGAACGAGCAGGCGCCGCTGGATGAGGCGGCTCGGACGGTGGCTCAGGCGGAGAAGCGGAAGGAGAAGCAGTTGCAGAAGAAGGAGAAGAAGGCCAAGCAGCAGGAGAAAGCTGAAGCTAAGAAAGCTCATCACGAGGCGGTAATTGTACCAGAAGCCGGGCACGAAGAGGCACCGCACGACAATGCCGAGATGGCCGACGGCGACGAAGCAGGCGCAGCAGACATTGACCGCATCGACATCAGCGGCATCATCGAAGACACCAAACCCACCGAGTCCCAGACCTCAGCCTCGCCCTCGCCACCCCCCGACTCACCCGCCTCCGCTATCCCCTCAGCCTCCTCATCCTCATCCATACTCCCGCCTCCCTCAGCCGAAGCAGCCGAAGAAGCCCCAGAAAAGCCCTCCACCACCACCTCCACGGACGCATCCGCGCCGCGGCGGGAAAAAACCCCCAAACTCCCTCCCATCGATCAAGAACTCCTCAAAGTGCGCCTCCAAGCGCGGATCGACGCCCTCCGCGCCGCCCGAAAAGCCGACGGCATCGACGGCAAGCCCGCACGGAACCGGCAAGAGCTGCTCGAAGCACGGCGGCGCAAGGAAGAGCTGCGCAAATCACACAAGAAGGAAGTCCGCGCCCGGGCCAAGGAAGACGAGCAGCGCGCTGCCGCCGAGGCGGAGCTGGCGAGGTTGAGAGGCAGCGGCAGTCCGCTGACCACGCCTGATATCTTCAGCCCGCGCAGTCCCGAGAGGAACAATTTCAGTTTCGGACGGGTCACGTTCGATGATGGGATGGAGATGGATGCGAGCATGTCGAATGTCATGGATGCGCGGCGGAAGAAGGGGCCGCAGGATCCCAAGACGGCGTTGGAGGTGGCGAAGAGGAAGGAGGCGCGGATTAATAGCTTCGATGAGGAGAAGCGGAAGGATATTGCCGAGAAGGATCTCTGGCTTAATGCGAAGAAGCGCGCGCATGGTGAGAGGGTCAGGGACGATACGAGTTTGCTCAAGAAGACGCTCAAGCGGAAGGAGAAGCAGAAGGAGAAGAGCGAGAAGGAGTGGGGGGAGAGGGCGGAGGGCGTTAGGAAGGGTCAGGAGATCAGGCAGAAGAAGAGGGAGGAGAACCTTAAGAAGAGGAAGGAGGAGAAGGGGAATAAGAGCAAGAAGAGCAAAGGGAAGAAACCGAAAGGACGGCCGGGGTTTGAGGGCAGCTTTAGGAGTAAGGCGAAGTAGTTGGCTGGGGTCTGTAGATTGCCAGCGTTCGTGTGATTGGCAACCTGAGCACGTGTTTTGCATGTCGACCCGCTCGTTAGGCCGTTCGTACGCAATGAAAGATGTTTTGATTCAATGACTGTAGTTGAATGACGCTCGCTCGTGAAGGACTGGTACAATATTTACAGCCTGCTCAACGTCGACACAGCGGCCGCCGCTAATACCGCTTCGTTCTTTTAGACCCTTCCCCTGTTCGCGAGTTTACCTATATGGAGCATCTGCCCTCGCCACCGCCGCTAGCTCCGGCTCCCACTTATCGCCATTCATCAACAGCTTCTCCTTGTTATAGAGAAGCTCCTCTCTCGTCTCAGTAGCGTATTCGGCATTGGGTGCTGCAGATCTATGAGCTTGAGCTTTCCTGACTGGTACCAACACAACTCACATTCAACGATCGCATCCACAGGACAGCTCTCCTGGCAGAAGCCACAATAAATACACTTGGTCATGTCGATGTCGTAGCGCGTCGTCCGCCGGGCCCCGTCCTCGCGCTCCTCGGCCTCGATCGTGATGGCCTGCGCCGGGCAGATGGCCTCGCACAGCTTGCAGGCGATGCAGCGCTCCTCGCCGGTCGGGTATCGGCGCAGGGCGTGCTCGCCGCGGAAGCGAGGCGAGATGGGGCCTTTTTCGAAGGGGTAGTAGATCGTGTAGCTGTGTGGGGTGTCAGCCAATGCCAGTGTTCTTGTCTGTGGCTTGCTCCTCTCCGAGTTTTCCTCATGGGGGGAGGCGGGGACGGCACATACGGCGGTCTGAAAAACTGCTCCAGCACCACATACATCCCGCGCATCATCTCCGTCATCAGGAAATATCGCCCCGCCTTGTCGAGGCTGCTTTCCTTGCCTTGGTCCCATCGTACGGGCTTCGGGAGACGGAAGCCTGCGGGTGGTGGCCCGGACGGCGTTGCGAAGCGCGGGGTGGTTGTGCTGAAGGCGGCGATTCTGGTGGCAGGTGTTCGCGCTGTCTGCTGTAGGAGCGAGGACGTCGGTCGGGCGCGCGCGAGCGCAGTCAGCGGCTTCGTGCTGGCCATTATGGTGGATGTGGCGGTAGTGGAGAAGGGTCTGGTGGCTCGAGTCTCGCCGTGAAGAGGACTTCTCGCAGCGATGATGGTGGTGGTGGTGGTGTTGCGGCTCTGGCTCCCTAATCGGCTCTGGCGGCGCTGTGATTGGGCGCATCAATGGCACGTGACTTTCTACTGCTTGCTTGACGATTTTCGGCTTGCCGTCACGACAAGTCGCATCGCCATCCCCCAGAGCTGCATCCTCGAACTCGCCGCAAAGCTACGCCTAGACACCTTCACCATGCTTCGAACTGCCATCATCCGATCTGCCCGCGCCGCGACCCGCTCTGTGGCAAGGTGGCAAGCTCCAATTGCTGCCAGGCCGCTGGCTCCGAGCTCCTTTCTCAGATCGAGGCAGACAGCACCAGCAGTGTACTTCCAGGCTGTGAGGTGCTACTCGGCTCATGGCGGTCTGTCGAAAGAGGAGGTCCAGGGGCGGATATTGGATCTGTTGAAGAACTTTGACAAGGTGGGCAGGCGTTGGCCGGCTTCGAAGCGTCAACACCCACGCTGACTGTTATTCCAACAGGTCTCAGACGCATCGAAGGTACATACGCTTACGGAACGTTCATCACGAAGGCCAGCGCTTATAGGACTAGCTCTCGCCGACATCGCACTTTTCCAACGACCTTGGGCTTGACAGCCTCGATACTGTAGAGGTGGTGATGGCGATTGAGGAGGTGAGCGGTCAACACAGCACTACGGACGAACACGTTCTGACATGCGTCTAGGAGTTCAGCATTGAGATCCCCGACAAGGAGGCCGATGCCATCCACAGCGGTATGCGACTCTCTCGGACGATCAGTTGTCAAGCACATGCTAACATACCAACAGTTGACAAGGCCGTCGAGTACATCCTGAGCCAGCCGGATGGTAAGACAGCCCAGTTCTTCGCATCGTGACTAAGCTGACCTTAGTAGCGCACTGATGTAGTGCTCGTGCTTGGAGTCTGGGGACGGATGTAGCTGGGGTGAAGCGCTGATTGCGGAGGAACAGGGCAGGATTCTGGAACTTCCTGCTTGTACAGATCTGTATTATCGGAGTTCTACTGGCTTGCACATCTACTAGAAGCAAACCTGCAAAACGCTCTCTGCTTCGCAACATGTGTTACATGCAGGAATCCTTCGTGAAGTGGAACGCCTTCGTGCCTGAGTGAATTAAGCGTGCTGCCTCAGCCTCATGCCAAGCAACGGAAGGCTGTCCAACGTCGGTGAAGCTTGGGCGGCGCCGTGCCTCGTAAAACATCCCACTGCAACCGCAAATTTCGCCGCGCTCGAATTCGCTTTCCGCTAAAACTGCAACTGAACAGACTCTCTCCTCGCCCTGCAACAGTATCTCGCGGAACTCGGACGTGGAATGGACCTGTGGTCCCGCAGTGCGCTCTGAGAAACCCTTCCTAGGCCCCCATCCAGCGGACAAAACTCTACGCACACACAACAGGCGCAATGGCTTCGACGGCAGGCGGCCTAACGCGCCGAAGAGGAGGAGCAGGCGGAGGAAGCGCAGAGAGCGAAGATGGCAGCCGTGTCAGCTCGCCCGCGCCCAGACGTCCTGAAGAGAACAGACAGCCGGAAACCGCGTTCGACACCTCGGAAAACGGGCACAAAATTGCATACGATCCGCGAGACATGAGCGAAAGCGCAGAGAGGAGCAAGCAGCCCAAGCTTACGCTCATGGAGGAGGTGCTGCTTATGGGGCTGAAGGACAAGCAGGTGAGCGGGATTGGGGAGCATGTGCGGGGCACAAGCTGATACGATTACAGGGCTACCTGTCTTTCTGGAACGACAATATATCGTATGCGCTGCGAGGGTGCATTGTCATAGAATTGGCCTTTAGAGGGCGCGTCAGCATGCAGAAAGATTCGTCGCGGCGGCGGTTCCCCCTGGCTGATAGAGTTATCGAGGTCATAGATGACACGCTCACTGGCGAGGTGCTGCTGGATGAGGCGCTGAAGATGATGAAGACGAGCGAGAAGATGAGCGTGGCTTCATGGATCGACCTCATGAGCGGTACGCTCTCCATGTTCACTCCTCGAACTGCACCCTGTGCTACAGACCGCACACTGACGCTGGCGACTGCACAGGCGAAACATGGAATCTTATGAAAATAGGCTACCAACTAAAGCAAGTCCGCGAGCGACTCGCGAAAGGCTTGGTAGACAAGGGCATCCTCCGCACCGAGAAGCGCAACTTCCTCCTGTTCGACATGGCAACACATCCAGTCGCCGACGGCGGCGCGAAAGACGAGATTCGGCGCCGCGTCCGGAACCTGCTGACCAACCGAACCGTTGTGTTGCCCCCCAGCCAATTCTTGCCGGAAGAGATGGAGTTCCGGTACCTGAGGACCGTCGCGATGGTGTGCGCGGCTTACGCGGCGAACGTGCTGGAGAATGCGCTTTCGACGCTGGGCCATGAGGCGAGGGAGAGATCGTTCGCGGTGGTGGACGAGCTACTAGCCGAGTACTCGCAGTATCCGTTTGCGAAGCGAACGGGCGGCAATAGTGGAGTTGCGGCAAATCTTTACCAGGTCATAATGGACGAGGTAAACGGTGCCAAGGATAAGGAGCTACAGATGGAGGTATGTTCTATCTGTGGTGCGCTGCAGCCATGGCTACATGTCCGTGCTAATGTCCACGTGTCCAGGTCGTTGCAGCTTGCTTGAGCGTCTTCACCCGGCTCGACTCCTTGTTATGATCTATCCTCCGCCATTAGCCATTCTAACATCCACTCACCCTTGACCTCGAAACGGCCTAAGCGCTCATCCAAGGAGTGGAGGCACCTGTACGAGTATGCTCACCCACAGAGACAACATTACGGCCATCTCACTCGACATGAAAAAAAGTGCGATAGCATGAAGCAGAGAGGGACAAATGGTTTCGGAGTTGTGTTGGGCGAACCTGACGCTCTCGTTATGCGGGCGCAGATGTCGTGTGGTATCAGGTGGTTTGTTCGTCGAGCGCCTGCTAGGCGTTACAGGCACGGTGGTCTGCGGTCGAAGTTAGTACCTATTTACTGTCGGCAACATTCTAGGTTTGCAGAGGCTTCGTGGTCGACAAATCTGAGAGGCAGGGTCTCGAGGGCTTTGGAAAGTCACGTGAGCAATCAGCGAGAGCTATACCCCAAACCATCGTTGAATCCTGCAGTGAGACGCTCGGAGGAACGATAGAGAACAAAGTCTGGATCATTCACACAACATCATCTATTTCTAACCACAGTGTGTCTGTCCCCACGAGTAAGCCAGAGACAAGCCCGGGCCGGCTAGATCGGGGCCGAAGCGCCTCCAATCTGACCAGCCCCCGTCGATTCCCCAACCAGGCTGTGACACGCATCGAATCTATTGGCATCACGCCAGACTCCCGCTACCGATCCAGGCACAGCACAGCAGACTGTCAATACCGTTAAAACAGGGGGTGGAGAGGAGTAGCCATTCCGGCACCCGGCGCGCGTGTCCTGTGTCATTCCTCACTCCGCTCCACCGCTCCACCGGCCCGGCAGTTCTTTCTCTTCACTTCGGCCCAGCCAATTCAGTCAGCCGAGCCTAGGTACGTCGACGCGCCGTTTCGCATGACATGCCGGTAGGTTCTATTTACCTTCCTGTTGATTCGGATCCTCTGTTGCTTCGCGGCGCATTGGTTGCGATGGACTTGTTGCTTGTAGCCGTCTTGTCGCTCCCATCTCCGTCGTACTCTCCGACACATGGGAGACGCGCTGTTTTACCACCATGTGGCTGACCGGTGTAGGCCGTCCATGTAGTAGACCATACATCAGACCTCCAGGACGACGAACAGGTGGTCCGTTGTTACGCGCAAACACCCAAAGCGTACCATGCTCTCTCCCGCAAACAACACCCCTACAGCAGAATCCCTTCGTGCGCCACACACTGTGAGCCAGAACGCGCCAGGCGCATATAATGGATCAGTTGGAAACGGCGTCGTCGCAGAGTCGGCAGTCGCGCCCGGCGCAGAGCGCGCAGGAGCAGTCACTGGAGCGCCGAATACAATCGCAGAGAGCAAAGAGAAAGCAAGAGCAGTGATGGCCGCCTCTGGTGTTGGCTTGGCCGGGGCTAGGATAGCGCAGACAATAACACCCTCCACGAGCGATCCGCAACGAGCAATAGATTCCACGAATGGTGCGCCGCCGAGTCGAAAGCGATCCCGGTCTGGCTCTCCCAAGCCCGCCCACCCTGCCTCCGCAAGCATGGTAAAACCTCCTCAGCCTGATGCGCAGGCGTACCTGCTCAGCAAGTACATAGAGCGGGACGAGCTGCATGACGACGCGGTAATCCAGCAACAGAGACGCCAACGGGAGTTCTTTGAGGAGAAACAATCAGAGATTAGGTATTACAAGGATTTGCGCCATCAGAGGCAAACAGATCCTGGTTCGGTCTTCGGATACGGCTATGCGGGTTACGGCAATGGGCATACAGACGTTAAGCCATCGAGGTTGGAGTATCCTACTCAGAGAAGACGTGTGCCGAGTCGACGGAGCAGGTCGGTACGGGTGCCGAGGAAAGACATGAATGCACAAGCCGAACAGCTTGAAGAGCTGGTGCCCGTGCGGCTGGATATCGAACTTGAAAAACTAAAACTAAGAGACACATTCACCTGGAACCTCCATGACCGCACCATCACTCCCGAGCTGTTCGCAGAAAACCTAGTTGAAGACTTCAAGATACCCCCAGAGCATAGCGCCAATGTGATGCACCAAATAAATCGGGAGATTCAGGAGCAGACTCAGGACTTCTACCCACATGTCTTTATTGAGGAGGAGCCGCTGGATCCACATTTACCGTATCATGCCTACAAGAACGACGAGATGAGGATACTGATCAAACTCAACATCACCATCGGAGCGCATACGTTAGTAGACCAGTTCGAGTGGGATACCAACAATGCTCTCAATTTACCGGAAGAGTTCGCCCGATCCATGGCCCGAGATCTGAATCTTTCCGGAGAGTTCACTACGGCAATTGCGCACTCGATACGAGAACAGTGTCAGATGTTCACCAAGAGTCTGTACATTACCGGACATCCTTTCGACGGCCGGCCCGTTGAGGATGCAGATGTCCGAGATAGCTTTCTCCCTTCTCCCTTACCTGCTGTGTTCCGGCCCCAACAGGCTATGAAGGATTTTTCACCGTATCTGTATGAGCTCAACGAGGCGGAGCTTGAGAAGACAGAGCTTTCAATCCTACGCGAGCAGCGGCGGCAGAAGCGATCAACAACCCGACGAGGTGGCCTGGCACTCCCGGATCTGAAAGAATGGAAACGGACTGTTAGGACTCAGGTCGTTTCTTCGGTCATTCCCGGCGCAGCGGAGACGATAGAGAGCAGCCGACTATACAAGGTCGCGCGGAGACCGGATGGAAGAGGCCGCCGCGCTGCCGGGCGTACCGATGGTGCAGAAGACTCGGATGACTCTGAGGATGAAGACTCGGCACCGGAGTCGCCTGCGCCATCACAGGTCACGGGCGGTACGGCGAGAACAAGAATCATACGTGGTGCAGCGACAGCAGCTCAGGCGGCCATGCGCGCGAACCTGGGTCGGTCCATGACTCCGGAGATAGCCGCGCTGGATCATGTCCCAACGAGGATATCGAGGCGCCTTGTCGGATTGGAAGCCAGAGACGAAAGCGAGGCGCCCGCTTCACTCATCATGAAGCTACGCGTCCCTCGCGAGAGGCTCCGGGAATTGCTCCAAGGCAAGCGGTTTAAGCCCGGACAGAACTTGCTCTCAACAACTCAACCCGGATCGCAAAGTGGGACACCACAGCGCAGCACCCCAGCAACATCAATGCCTCCTCCGCCGTCACCAGCCATGCAACAGCAGCGCAATACGCCCACAGCCCTCAGCAGTGCCGTCGCAGAAGCGCCCCGCTCGATTCCCCGCTCTGTCCCCAGTGAAGCGCAGCAGCGATGGCAGTACTACCCCGACGGCCGTGTAGACGTACCGCCCAACTGGCAGCAGGGGCAGCCGCTGGTGAGCATCTCACACAGGCGGACCGTCCCCCAAAAATGACACGCTAACACTCGCATTCACAGCCTCCGCCTCCGCCCTGGCTCACCGCCGCGCTTGCGAATCTAAAACAGACCTTCCCGCACGACTCTGTTGCGGCGCTCATGCGCTTCGCTTATGTCGACAAGATCACGGGCCAGCCCATTATGCGCGAACCGCGTGATGGCCCGCCTCCACCCGGCACATATAAGATGCAGTTTATGCCGCGGATCAGGTGCAATGACTGTCCTGGGAAGCTGTATACGGCCGGCCCGGAACTCACCACTGGGAATTTCGAGGTGCATCTGATTAATCGGAAGCATAAGGAGAGGGTCGATGCGAGGCGGAGGGGTGTGCTGCCGCCGTCCTAGGGGGGCGCTGGAGGGAAATGAGAGAGCGGGAAGAGGTGTTTGGTGTATACTTACAGGAACATATGGCGCTGTTGTACTCCTCGTGGGCGTGCCTTTGGATCATGAAACGAGCACGCGGGTGCTGAGGAGCCGGGTGGATATTGGATCATGGGGAAGACCCCACTGGCGTTTGTTGGGAGAATCAGGTAGTATGATACGGTTGAGTCATATTGATCAAAGCATTACGTACTACATGATGATCTCCGTCTCTCGTTGAGGTGCCAACAAGCTGTCTTTGCACCCCTCTTGACGTTGCGGAACACTCTTCTGGGTACCATTTCGGCAGACGTCTGGATGTGCGAGACCACCGTTCGCTTTCCTGATCTCCCTCGCCCATCTGCCCGTCTCGATGGCCGCTTCGTTTCTCTTATCTCGACCCGGATTACTATCACCTACATTCCCAGGGTTTTTCCGTCTTGTCTCGCGTTCCCTCTTAGCTGCAACCACTACGACTGGTGTTTTCCAGCACGTAGATTGTCCATCACCACTAAGCGACCATAGAGCCAAGTTGTTTGCCTCCGTAGAGAGATCTCTTGCGTCCTTTCCCAGCAGATGCAGAGCTTGCACCGGACGAACTTCCCGCCGCTTTCAAATCTGTCTCCTCCAGCTCAGATCTTCTCTTTGCCGCTAAGCAATTGCAAGCAATTCTGCCACCGGCCAATCTGCTTCCAGCGTCAAACTCAGCAAACCCTTCTCAACCATATCCTCTCACTTCGACATCCCCAACGACAGCCCTATGATCGCTGCTATACACCCCATCTTCAAACCGACTCTCGAGCACCGCATACCCTTTGACATCCCACATGTCCTTGCCCTTCGGCCCCAAGAACAAGAAATCAATCCGCTTCTGCTCTTCCTCGCCGTTAAAACTGGTATACGTATTCTCGTGCCCATATCTCCCTCCCTCCCCCACAGCGTCATTAAGATCCCTGAGCGGCGACTCTGGCGCGCTCAAGACACGATACGCCTCCTGGTGCGTCTCGCTATTCATGTCACCTGCCAAAAACACCGGCAGTTCCGCATGATCTCCATTCACTTCCTTAACAATCATCTTCGCGGCCTCAAGCCTCGCTTTCGAGCCCTGGTCGTCAAGGTGCGTGTTCGCTCCTCTAACCTTTCTCCCGCTTTCACGGTGTTCGAAGACGGCTTTGGTCAGGATCCGGATAGATCCCGCATCCCAGCCCTTGGACGGCACGTCCGGGGTCTGGGACAACCAAATCGTCTCACACGACAGCACTTCCCACACCGCACGCCGGAAGAGGATCGGCGAGTACTCTCCCGCTTGCTTGCCGTCGTCGCGGCCTACGCCCACGTAGCCCCATTGCTGTTCGGCGTCGGTAATGCCCGCGTTCAGGCCTTGCAGAATGTCAACGAGCTGGTGGTGAAGCGCTTCTTGTAGACAGATAAACGCCTCAGGATTGTGTGCGGTGTTGAATTTCAGCTCGGCGAGCAACCTGGGCAGGCGGATGGGCCACAGCTCCTCGCCTTTGAAGGGGTGGGTGGTGGCGTAGCGGACGTTGTGGGTTATGAGGCGGATTGGGAGGGGCTGGCTGGGTGCTTTCATCGTCATTTGAACCCCTCCAAGGCTGGAGGTTGGTTGAGGCGTTAGTGTAGAGAGTCAATTGCGAGGCAGTGGCTGCTTCGCTCATTTGGCTACCTGTACGCTTTTTCCATTGTGGTTGTGTTTTAGAATTATCATGAAGTCTGTCATCTAACAGGTGTATGCACCTTGATATTCACGTGATTGCTCGTATGGAAAATCCCGCTGCTGATCCCCGTCAGCTTCAACCCCGGGCGAGGCGGAAAACCCGCACCTGCTTGATGCAGCCTTACGGGGACGCGGTTTGGCGATGGAGACCATTCTGTTTGATTTCTCTATTCTGTCCAACATTTTCCCCTTTCCTTTTTCTAGGTAGCTGTATCAAGATGTTGGCTGGTCCACCACGAGCTGTGGGTCTTCTTACCCTTCTCGTCCTTACAGCGCTTGTTACCTTGTATCTATTCTACACGCCGCTCAATTCCCCTAAAAGCGTTCTCCACGCACCAGTCCCTCCCGCGATAAACACCTACACCCTCCCCGTCTTCACCCCCGGCACCCCCAAACCCCCGGGCACTCCATACACCCGCACTCTCGTAATCCCGCGCCTCGCATCCCAAGATGTCTCCTGGATCAGCGAACAACTCCCCGACCTCCCCACAGCCATCTACACCGTCGACGACCCGCACGCCGCTCTCACCGTCCCCAAAAACAAAGGCCACGAAGCAATGGTGTACCTGACCTACCTAATCGAGCACTACGACGCCCTGCCCGACACGGTGCTCTTCTTCCACGCCCACCGCACCGCCTGGCACAACAACTTCCTGCTGGGTCTCGACTCCGCCGCGACGATTCGGCGGCTGAAGGACGACAGGGTCGCGCGGCTCGGGTACATGAACACGAGATGTCACCACGACCCGGGCTGTCTCGACTGGCTGCATCTGGACCGGCCGGTGGGCGATTTCGACATGGTCAAGAAGCCCGAGGAGAAGGCTTTCACGCGCAAGGTGTGGAGCGAGCTGCACCCCGGTGTTCCGGCGCCGCCGGCGCTGAGCCAGCCGTGCTGCGCGCAGTTCGCTGTCAGCGGGGAGAGGGTGCGGCAGATCCCCAAGGCGCGCTTCGAGCATTACCGAGACTGGCTGCTGCGGACGGAGCTGGGGGACCAGGACAGTGGGCGCGTCATGGAGTATCTGTGGCAGTATATCTTCACGGGGAACGCGGAGTATTGTCCTGCGATCCACAGCTGCTACTGCGACGGGTATGGGCTGTGTTTTGGGAGCCATGCGAGGTTTATGGAGTATATGGGGATGGTGGAGGAGAGGGACAGGGCGCAAGAGGAGCTGGGTAAGCTGGAGAAGGAGGAGGGCGATGGCGGGGAGGAGAGGAAGACACAGCTCAGGGATAAAATCGCGCAGTTGAATGTGAAGCTGGTAGAAGGGGAGAATGCGGCTACTGTGAGGGGACAGGACCCAAAGAATAGGGAGGCTGAGGCGGAGAGGGTGGATTGATGCGGTGACTATTGAGCGCAGCCTTCGTTGGCAGGCACTACAAATACAGTACATATCCATACATAACGAGCTAGATGACCCAAAGAACATCACGGAGGAAATCTGCTGGTCTCTTGAAAAACTTTCCACACAGGAGTTGGCCTGAACCGAATGTTGAGCAGACAAAACATCCGAGTAAGGAAACTTGCAGCCGGGGCCAACTCTGTTCGGTCAGTCGTTGCACAAATAAGATATCACCAGTGTTGGTCTGACAGCTGTATGAGAAAGAAGAGATTTCGTCAGCTTCAGCTTTGGGATAGTGCTTTAGCTGTTTGTGAGTGCTAAATGCTACTTAGTTGCATCGTCCCCAGAGGCTAAGCCAGTTCAGCAATCCCTCCACTCTCAACGAAAGCAGCAGCAGAGAACACGTGTCGCCACTGCAGGGCACAAAGGCAGACGGAACACAGCTGACAGTCTTGAAAAACTGCTCATTCCTCCTCGATAACTTGCCCTCGATAACGCGAACGGTAGGAAAGGGTACCAGAAGGCACCTCAAGAGTAAAGTGCAGGCGATGGCGTGCCCATTGCTGGAACCTATAGTCGGCCACCAACAACTGCCAAAGACCAGAGGTGTAAAGGAAACTCAAATGCTTAGTCGACCGTCCCCAAAGGATCGAAACACGCAACGCCAATGGTATGCTTTGTAGGATGCTGAAAACGGAATACAGTTACAGGAATGATGCTCAGTCGCTGAAGACCATGTGCGGGCTGGTGGAAGAGGTATCGAGCGTGATATGGAATGCTGAAGCCGAGGAAACCAGAAGCCAGAGTACGTATTACGGGGGATAGAACTGATGCAAAAGCCAGAGACAGGATGGAAAGGGAAATTCAGGACGACCTAGTGTTGGGCTGCTGGTAGGCGAGTCGAATGATTGGCGCGAGTGCGAATCATGGTCCGGTCTCAGAAAGAACACCTCGTGCGGTCTGAGGGATGCGCACCAATGCGCAGTGCCAAACTCTGACCAGGAAGCCGGATTGCAACGGTTGAGCATAGATGAAAGGCAGCGATCAGTCTTATGCTTTCTCGCCAGTAAGGCGGCGCTTGATAAGCTTAGCAAGGGCCTCAAGTTGGCGGCGCTCCTCATCCGAAGGTTCGCCCTCGACCATGAGGGGCGGAATAGCGGCCGTGGCCAAGGATTGTGAAACGGACGGTGCCTCATGCTCGGCATGTGCGATCGCTGCAGCAACATTCTCCGGAGCATTGGCCTACGTTGCATCGTCAGCGCTGACGTCATCCACGAATGGCAATATTCATGACTTACAGTGAGGCCGTAGACGAGCGCCTGAACACGATCACCGTCTAAGCCGAGATCGGCCTCCTTCTGAGCAAGCTGTGCGAGGTTAAGAGCGAGCTTCTGCTCAGCGAAGGGTCGCTTGGCAAAGTTATCTCGAAGCTGTGCCCGGGCAGAACCTGCATGGCTGCTCTTGGTAACGCGTCCAGAAGCCACACCCATGTTCAGCCCTCGGTTGGAACGAGCTCTACCAGAGACGTCAGCAATGTTCGTAGTTGATTAGACGAAGAGGGTTAAACGTACTGCTTGACCTTGTTGATGAAGTCCAGCTTGACGCCGCGTTCTGGAATGCGGTGGATGACTCCATCTTCGCCAACATTCTCCTCAATGAATTCATCGTCACTTGATTCGTTTTCGATCTCAATGAGACCATTGTTCTTGAAGCCACGGCGCAGGGCGACGTCGACGATCTTCGCGTTTCTTGGCCTGCGAACGCGGTGCACTCTGCCTCCGCAACCGACGGGAGCAAGACGGCGCAGATCCTGGTCGATGTGCCGTGGACACATCCACATGTTCCTCGAGTTGTCTTTGCTTCCTCGTGCAGGAGGATTTGCCAGAGGAGGATCAAGACAATCGAGGTGCCAGTAATCACCGCAGTAGTCGCACTCAACCAACGAGCGCCTGTCCAGAGTAGAGCGACTACACTGCGTGCAAAGGATCGTGTTACCCTTGGAGTCGTACAACGCCTTCGTGTTGTCGACCACCTCGGACCAGCCAGTGCGATTTTTCCTGAAGAGAGTTAGCTGATGTCATGATCGTGCTCGAGCTATTGTAGCTGAGTGACACTTACACAGACTTCTGCGCGTGCGCCTCCTCATACTCGCCTTCATCACCAGCCTTAACGCCTTCAAAGTACTCCTGGACGTCCTTTGGCAGACCGAAGGCGGTCGGGTTACGCCTACTGATCTCATCGAGCAGAGCAGAGAACAGGCCACGCGACGGTGTTGGTGCCACATGCCCTTTTCCTAAGCAGCGGGAACAGAACCACGGCTCGTCCAGTGCAGATGCGTTGCGATCGAGCGGCGGATCACAGCAAGTGAAATGGAATGAACGGTCGCATCCATCGCAGCAAACGAGGAGGCCGCTGCCGCTGCAAGCGGAGCAGAAATCACTGTTCTCGGAACGCTGACATGGTGTAAGCTGTTTTGAATGATGCTTTGTGTCCGACAGTATGAGTAGATTTCGGAAAACCAAGTCTTTCGGGAAATGCATGGAAGAGCTAATGAAGGGGAATGGAAAAGAGTTGTCACGGGTTGAGCACAAATGGTGTTGCGGAAGTTTAGTTGGGGCCAAGCGTTGCGGTGATTTGTGGAAGACTTACGCTGTCGTTGTCATCATAGCCGATCGGACTTTCCATCCCGCCAACCGCGCGAGCAACACCGGCGACAACCGTCGTCTTCTTCTTCACGGGGCTAATAGATGCGAAAGAGCATTAGCTAAACCATTTCTTGGAAACGATATTCACGGTGCCAAGCGTGCAAAGCCGAAAGGGCGAGAAGCACGAATGAGGTGGCTGGTGTAAGGTGAAACAGTGCCCTCGGTGTAACACGTGAAACATTGGAAGCCCAACAGCAGTGATCTACATTCGAAATGGCTCTTGCTGCCTTTGAAGTCACAAGAGGAGAGCACACTTACGACATCTTCATACGCGCTGTCTTGCGCTTCTTCGCCGGACGATCCAGCACGAGCGGCGTGTTTGGTCGACTTGCAGATCCTGGGCCAGGTGCGAAGACTTCAGGGCGTGGTGAGCTGAGGGTACCACGGCCATTTCTTAAAAGCTCGTCCCGCGTGAGATGTCTTAGAACTCCGTTCGGTTCGCGAGAGGATACTGCTGGAAGGTGCACGGGCGGAACGTGTACGCTCGGAGACGGTCTGGCAGATTCTGGCTGAACAGCGAGTGGTGGGCGTATGTGGCTTTCTGGAATCTTGTAGTCCTTGACCAAGGATTCGTTCAACTTCTCCCGGACGACGTTGAACTCTTCCTCGGTTAGCTCAGGCTCACGATCAAGACCAGCTTGATCTGGAGTTCTCTTCTTTGAAGTTGATGGCTTCGGTTTGGAAGGCTTTGGCTGCTTGAGAGTGAGCGACAACTTAGGTCTAGCAGCGCTGCTCGGCGCAGCGCCCGCGGATGTCTTTGAGGTTATAGCGACACTCATGTCTAGAGATGTCGGAAGACCTTCTTCGACGATCCTCTCGTCGACGTCGCTGAGCGACGAAAGAGAGCTGACACTGTGGCTTCTCTGACGAGCAGGAGCTTTCGACGGGGATGCAGTTCCGTTAGTTTGGACCGCCTCAGCTTTAGCGGCGGATCTGGTATTTGGAGACATCGAACGACTTGAACGACGTGATTTTGGAAGCTGTTTGAATGAAATCTTGAGTGATGAAGTGGAATGAGTTGCAGTGAGTGGCTGAGCGGGGTTATATGAATTTGGGACCGCTATTGTGGAAGGCTTTTCAAGCGACTGTGGATGGTTAGCGCCCGACTGAAGGCTATTGTTGTATTGTCGCGACATGCGCCGCGAGACCTTCAGTAGCTTTTTCTGTTGCCTTATGTATTTCTTGAATGTAACAGCCTGTTCAGCAGTCGCTTTGTTCGCGAGAATGTCGTTTAGTAGGACGGCGAGGCCTTCGTCCTGGAAGCTCTCCCGATACATGTTGTGGAGAGCATCACCGAGCCGGCGATCGCCGCTTCTGGCAGCCTTTATAGCAGCGTTGTCGACTATCAGCTGGAGCAGCCCGTGGCCGACAGGAGTTCGAATATGAATCCCCGCGTTCGATGACGAACGCTCGCGACTCTGTGCTGGTGTTGCAGTGACCGTCCCGCTTTTCATGCCAGCGCTCTTCTGCGGCCGCGGTGCAGTCTTGAGTTTCTTCCGCGGCATGTAGTCATCATCGGCCTCATCATCTCTACTCGGTAGTATATCTGGCAGCATCTCTTCTGGCTTCTGGGATTCCGACCGGCGCGGCTCGACCGAGGGTGTCGCCTCCGAAGTCTCCCCAGCCTCCTCCAGGGTGAACATGAGTCCATTCCTGCCGGTATCTGGACGTCGCTGCAGGTCGCCTTTGACCTTTGCCTTGAGTTTCGCGCTCGGTGGTTGCCCTAGAGGTTGCATGTTCTCCAACACTCCACCCCGTTCAAAGCCATGATCTCGAAAGCTGGGCGTAGGTTCCTTCAACGGCGGTTCAATCCACTGGTCCAACGACGTCTGAGCCTTTCCTTTCTTCGTCTCTACAGGTGGTGCAGGAGAGTCGTCTGCGGACCGAACAAAGGGGCTCGAGGTGCGGCTGGATTTGCGGGTCGTTGTCAATCTGATTGAAGGCATTTCGCGGGTGTCCGCCACTCTCGGCGACGCTGTACAGCTGTTAGTTTTCTGTCCGTACTAACATCGCTCGAACTTACGACACGTTCCACCGGTTATGTGGCGAGGTTTGAGAAAGTTGGGACGGAGATAGTCGCGTTATGCGCGTGAGTTTGGTGTAGCTGCTTGGACTGGCCGATGCAAAGTCCACCCGAACTCCACGACTCCCCGGACAACCCTCCCCAAGATAATGAACCCCCTACAAGAATCTTCAGCAACACACTGCAGATTAAATGTTGCTGTGTATCTCATGTACTCGCTGAGAGAGTTGTATGTTACAAGTTTTAAGGATTTTCAGCGGGGTGCACAACAAGGGATTTTGGGTAGCCGTCACGCCATTCACGTTGCTCATGAACAGCTTCACTAGCCGGCGCCAGACAGTAACTGCTGCAAGCGGCTTGAGGAAAACTGGACGAACGAGTGCAACACCACGTTAAGCCGCAGTGAAGTGCTGAAGTCCCGCTCACCCATCAACTTAAGTGCAGACACTCCTGAGTCACAAGTTCTCCCACTCCACACCGCTTCTCAGGAATGTCTCATGATAGAAGCTCGCATTTACTGCGTGAGGTGTTCATGCTATCCTGATCAAGCTTTTGTTTGCTTATCTATAGGAGACAAACACGCTGGGTTCCGTTCTGTGTCAACCGAACCTGGGGAGCGAGTTGTGCCATCCCTCCATGAAGTCCTCCAGAGACAAGGGACTGAGACCCTTGAGCTCAGCTCGTTTGCTAATTGTCCTCCGCACGGTGAGCGACGGGACAGGCACTGTAGTACGGCTACTCTTCCTCACTGCTCTCGGCCTCTTCCTCCTCATCTGCCTTCTTCGCGGACTTCTTCTTCTTCTTCTTGTTTTTGCTCTTTGCTCCGGTATTCTTGGCGATCGGCTGCTCAAGAATCTTCAGGACCTCCTCGTCCGTGATCTTCTTGTCTGTCTTGTACTGCTCCAAGTCAGGGCTTGGAGGTGCGGCTAAACGGGTTATGCCATTCTTGGTAATTGCTGATAGAGAATCAGCTCAAGTCCTGAACTATGCGAATGAAAGTCGAAGGAACGTGCCAACGGCATTGGTGTAGGGCACGCAAAAAATATTCTGGCTCAGGGATACAAGAGGACACTTACAGACAGTGGAGAACACTCTTGCCACGGGGGCGTTGTCCTTGTCTCCGACCACCTCGTACTGGCGCAGCACATTCCCTCGCACGCATTCGACCACACCGACCTTCGCAGCGCGTTCATCTTCCAGCTGTCGTAAACTGAAAGGAAACGTGCCGAACTTCTTAACGACCTCCGACAGGGTGGCCCGGGAGCTTGGTCTCTTCAAGCCGTATGTTGTCGTAGTACGGCGATGTAGAGTCGGTCGGTTGTTGAGCGTCTTTACTTTTCCGGTACCCAGGCTGACGCCCATTTCTACACCCCACACCTCCCCGATCTCTGGCAGTCCTTCGCCTTTGACGCCCTCGCCCGGAGCCAGAATCAACTTCTTCTTGCCCTCAATCTCGTTACGGTCGAACAACCAGCAGGTTGTGTTCTCAACAAGGCTACAGTCATAGCTCTTCACAACCTTCTCCAGCAACTGATTGATCTTGGCCTGGGTGTATGGCTTCTGCGCTGCTGCCTTGTTCTTCTCGTCATCGGTGCCTGTGACCAAAGTACCCGGAGGTAGCATCAACCGCAGCAGTAGCTCGTTCGCCCAGTGCGTTGCCAGTAGCAGCTCCGCTTCTCTGCCGGGATGCTTGTCATCCTCGTTCTTCTCCGACGGAACGACGATAGTGTCGCACACTATGGCGCAGAAGCCATCGATCTGAGCACCGAGCTGGATCTTGACGATCTCCGCGGGCTTCAGCTCAACCGCAGCCTCCTCTGCATCCGTCTTGAGCGGCGTGTATGGCGTGACATAAGAGGTTGGTGACACCGTAGTCGGGTGTCCGAAGCCCTTGCTGATCTTCTTGCCCTTGTACACCTTTGCAATCTCGTCCTCCAGGAACTTGTCTCCCCGCTCGCAGACGTCGACGATCTTTGCGCCCTCGATACACAGTCCGGTCACGAACTCAAGGGCCTTGTGGGATATCTGAGCTGCTTGCTTGTACTTCGTGAGGGTGTCGGGGTTGTTGAGCGAGTAGTCTGTTCCCAGAGTTAGCTGGTCCTATCTTTGCTCGTTATATGAGGCGGTCAATGATCTGAGACGACGTTGAACTTGTCGTGAAGTTGCTCCACACTGTAGCCAGCCGAAGTACTAGTACTTCGTTGCCCATAAAGCAAGCAGATGATATCTCCTAGAAAAACACCCAGGATGGTACAGCAGGATTTCAAAAGAAAATTCCAAAGCCACTGTCTTACCAGTCTGCGCTTCTTCAGCCATCTTGAGCGTGGATGTATGATGTTGATTTGTCGTGCGACCTTTTTGGAGCTCTTGTTGTTTTGTGGTGTCTGGCGCGGGGCATGGCGGGGCTGCTGTCGCTTCGATGCCAATCACGCCTGACGTCCAAACCCATCCAAAATGTCCGTTGCCGTAACTCTGCGCCGGCTTGTTCAACACGGAATTCGTGATCAATCTAGACTTATGAACTTGCCAATAGTGGAGCAGCTGGATCAATCTCATATGATAGGGAGTAAAAGACGTGCACCAGTTTACGCCTTTGTTGCATAGACTATGCAAGGTGTTTTTGATCTATTAAGTGTCCTTTTGGCTGTGCAACTCTAGAGCCGTGGGAAGCTTTCAATGCGGCAACCTTCATTCCAGATGGCCCTTAGTCCTAACATCTCCTCTCATCTCATGCATTCAACATTATAAACCATGGCGCAAAGTGCAGCTAACATAGCAGTATACCTAATCTGTAGTGCAGTGTTGCGGTGGCGCTTGTGAAAGTATACACATCCTTTGAGTAAATAGAGCAGCCACCGCGGTGACAGAAATCTCCGGACTTCCAAGATAGATAGGTCTTCGGACAGCTTAGGAAGGTCGTAGATAGATGCAATCCCTCATGTTATATTGCCCCATGAATATGTGCAAGCCATACTTAGAGCTGGAATGGCCAGACTAAAGATCTCTGGGAATGTGGTGAGTTCAACAGATTTCGGTGATTTGGAAATGACTTAAGAGTCTGGCAGTTGACAAGTCCAGCGCTTTCTGTCACTCACGTGAGCAGCTTGGGCAATCAAATGCACGGAGACAGGGGGCCGCTGAATGATACGTCGTTGTTCTCGTACGGTATCAGTCTCGTGCTCCTGCTTTGATACGATTGTGCAGCCAACTCAGCCACAACTCCGTGTTTAAATAAGCTAGGTGCTGAGTTGGATAGATCACTCAGACACGACGCTTGTTTGTCATAAGCCACGAAATCTGAGGCAACAGGTTGTAAGTGTTCTACGAAGCGCACAACCTGCGTCGAAAGCAACGAAGGACAGGGTTTGTATTAAGGAGGCGGACGCTTGGCGGCGTGCGATTACGAGGCTTTGAAACACAGGATTTGGCGCTATGGGAAGCGAATCGAGCCTTTAGAAGCCTCCGTGGTTAACAGAAGCTTTGAGCCTCCATCAGATTACTCACTTGATGGCTCTTTATGCATAATAAGAAGTGTGGACAAGCGTCCGCTTCCTCGGTACGACCCCTGTCCTTCGGAAGCCCGACAGATCAGTGGTCGCTAGTGAAAGCACAAGAGCCCATATCCCTCTTCTCCGCAGACTTGTGCGGCGAGATGTCGAAGTCGAAAATGTCCATCGGCAAGCCCATCGTGGTACACGCGTTGGGGATCTAGCAAGCATCAGCGCGCCGGGCATAGCAATCAAGTACAGAGCGGCTCTCACGTCAACGACTCCAGCTAAGTGGCCTTGGACGGGTGCGCAGGACAGCAGGAGGTAGCTCTGGTAGTCGTCATATCCTATAGGAAAAACATTGGATTAGTCAGGACTTCCAAAAATGGATGGGTACCGCATCGCCCTACCGTATCGCCTCAGATACTCAATGCACCGCAGGCTGGTCTCCCGGTACGCAACAGTGGCGTCCATGTAGTGCTGCTTGCCGTTATGGTCAACGCTGAAGCCCTCGAAGTAGATGTGGCGGCCGGGGCCGAACTGCGGCTCGACTGGTCCGGGAATGTAGATGGGCGACTTCATGCCGAGCTGCTTCATTCCCTCCTTCATGACTGTGAACTTGATGGTAATCACACCAGCCATCTCGATGGCGCCGCAGACTGGATCGTGGTTAGTAGAGCCTGAGGGATCGAAAAGTGAAGGGGACTAACAGGAGATCTCGCCGTCACCCTCTGCGTTACCACGTTAGCGATGGTTTGTCGGCAAGATATGGGTGCGAGGAACATACGGGAGAAATGCAAATCGCCCACTGAGAACTTCGCGCCCTTGACGTGCACGGGTAAGAAGACCTTGCTGCCCCTCGACAAGTTCTTGATATCGCAGTTGCCGCCATGCTCCGGTCTGCCCGGTATGGTCCTCGCTCCCTCTTTGCCGACCTTCTCCTTGATGTCATCGGACGCGGTTCCGGCGTGGACGTTCTGTGGGAGTGGAGGCAGTGCCACGACACGGTCTAGCGTGTTCGCCGAGATGAGCTCGCCTTCTCTCCTGTTCCACTCTGCGAGGACCTCGGGAGAGGGCGCACAGCCGAGAATACCGGGATGGATCAGTCCGGCGAAGCGCACCCCTGGGATATGCCGAGATGAGCAGAAGATGCCTTCGAAGTCCCAGATGGCCTTGGCGCTGGCGGCAGGTCAGCTTTGTGGAGCGGCAGAAGGTTGGTGAGATGCCAGCTCCTACGCTTTGGGGTAGATCTCATCTAAGAAGCCACCACCATTGTTCTTGTCAAACACTCCAGTGAAGCCCCACGGCTGGTCTTGGAACGGTTGTACATCCTGAATCTCAACAAGAAGCACGTCCCCAGGCTCGGCTGTCTCGATATCGAATGGTCCTGTGAGATAGTGGACTTTGGTGAGGTCGACGTTCTTCATATCGTCGGCGGAATCATCGTTCTTGATCTGGCCTGTCAACAGTCAGTCATATAGCTGAGACCTTCATTCTGCTGTCAACGGTGGCGGGACTTCGGTGGTGGGAGTGATGAAGAGCGGGTGAGATGGAACTAGGGGGAAGAGGCTGAGAGTAAGAGAGTAATAGATGAACGCATGGCCTGTGATTCTGTGCCCCGGAGCCGCTGGATAATCGGTGAAGATGTCAACTTTATGGGAGTGCTGGGAAGAGGCTGAGAGTAGAAGAACGGTGAACAAACACATGGCATGTGCTTCTATACGCCGGAACCGCTGGATAATCGATGAAATTGTCTATCTTACCGCCAGCTGTAGGACAAGGAGCGTAAGTATACTCTACTATCTGTAAGTCTGGAACAGAGGTAACCAACTCCAGTCATGGCACTCTATCTGAGATGTGTTGGTTAGCACTGCCTGTCAACCAGCCTTCGGTCGTCCTACCTTAACTACTTCATTGTTCTTGATTGTGCCGTAGGAGGGAACTGCGAGTACGACGGTCAGCGGACTCACGGAGATCTGTGAGACTTGTGGACGGACTGTCTGGGTGCCATCGGTTCTGGTGTTGTCAGTCAATGAAGATACAGGCCTTGACAATGCTTACGTGCAAGCATGCCTGCTCCGCTGCCGGCGTCTCCAAGTCGATTTTGGCAACGGTTCTCAAAGCTTCCTTTCCCATGGTGAACTAAGGCTACAAAACCACGGAATTCAAGTTAAAGAATGCTGACTCTGAGGAACCAGTGCTGTCAGAAAGGTATCAGGGAGTAGCTCAAGAAGAGGGAATGCCGGAGTACCTAATATGACCGGCAAAGCCGATTGCGGGGAACGAAGGTAAGTTAGATATCAAGTGTAAGTACCAGCGGTGGTCCGCCGCGTCGACGCGCTACATGCCATTGACCAATTAGGCAGCTGACAAGCAGGTAAGCAGATAAGCCTGGCCGTGGTTGCTGCAGCGAAGTGTGTCCTTTTGCAGCGTAGCAATAGAGCTACCCCTGTCCAAGCTTTGGTGGGGTACGAGGGGTACGGCTACCGGCAGGCCAAGCGTCATCACCAAGTGGATGGACCAAGGACAGAAACTCCTCGGCGAAGCTGTGTCGGAAGAGCAGTGAGTCACGCAAGGCCTTTTCATCAAGATTGTTAGGTAATAAGGAGCTTCGCTTTGTAATGCTGTCTATTCGGTCGTGTGGAACAGCTATCGGGAGACATCAAACGCCGGCCTAAAGCTCCTTCTTATCCGGAACTTGCGCTACAAGTGGGTCTTGTGCCCTCGAAGACGCTCTGGTGTTTAGTGCGTCGAGGTTCGCGAACGGTAAGGCCAGAAACTCATGCTTGTTCTTCCAGCGGACGTGCTTGTCCGCGTAGTCTTCGGGTTGCGGAGGAGGTGGAGGAGGTTCGGTGATCTTGGTGATGAGGTACGCAGTCGCAGCCTCAGCGATGCCGTAAAAGAGGACTCCAAGCAGTGGAATCTTTATGAGCATGAAGAAGCCCACGGCGAACCCGAAGAGCACACCTTCTCGATCTCTGAACCAGCGCCGCTTTTGGTCCTTGTTGAAGCGAATCCGAGCGAAGTATGGTTCGAGCTGTTCGCAATGTTAGCTCAGCGATGTGCACGGAACGCTGAGAATACTTACGAGCTCCCTCATCAGACTTCGCGAAGAGAAGTAAGTCTGCAAGAAGACCACTAGGTAGCGTCGAGGAAGGAGAAAGGCGCTCCCAAATATAACGACCGCCGGCTTGGGTCCAACAGCCTTGTTGAACGTGTAGAAACTGGCCGCTGGTAATACGAACCTGCCGATATAGGGCAGGTGAGACAGCGCGTAGATAGCCAGAGAAGTTCCGGTCCTACGAGCATATCGGATCATGAAGGCGATTACACCATCCATGGGACTATTGGCTTTGCGATGCTCTTTCTGCGTCCTCGTTGCTCCATGCGTTGGGTACATCCGCATGTTCTGCCAGTACATAGCCCGTAACTTTTCCGGGTCCTCGCCCTGATGCTTCGCAAAATAGGTCTCATCTACCCATTGCAGCGAGTCCATGAACCTGAGTGTGATTCGGTCAGCCGCTGCGGGCGGTAGGCGTCGTATGCCAACTCACAGCTGGTCCAACGTAGGTGTCACGTAACGCATTAAAGACATGAGAAAGAATGGTAGTTGGAGCACCGAATCTTCCACAAAATCGAGGCCCTCTACGATCTCGTGAACCCATTTTGCGCCTTGTTCCCGGGTGACAAGAGCTATAGCCTCTAGAAGAAGCGTCAACACGGTGGTCTAAGTTGATGTTAGATACAAAGTGTCACGCGACAGTCCCCAGAGGTGTATACCGGCACAACAATAAGCACTCGAATAGCGATGCCGACTGCAACGGCTATAGCAGCTTGCTTGTAATGATCCGAGGTGAACAGATGAGGGTTTTGAAGAGCACGGTGTGCTGTGAAGGGATATCAGTGTCCATCGAAAAACAATAGTATTTCAATGACGAACCGCCAACAAACGTAAGTTGCACTCCCCGAAGGATTGCGTTAGGATCGAAGTTTGACATCTTCCTGGTAGAACTAAACAGCTGCCAGATTGAAGGCCTAGGTGAAGCCTTTCAAGCCTTTGAAAGTTGAACCTGCAGGGTGCTGGTACTCAGAATGCGCCTGTTGGACGATGACGTACCCCACTGCTTCTCTTCCAAGATATCCGTCCAAGAGCGCAGTCGCAATGCCTGTCAGAAGCCGTTGAAAGCATATCGGTTATGTCGGTTTCGAACATAGAGCGTCTCTACAGCATTCTCCCTTTGCTAATGTAATACATTAACGGCTAAGGAGCGTGTCATTCAACCTCTGGAGCGCGTGTGCACGTGTCGAAAACGCGAGGTTGGAGATCAATTAATCACGTGTCGGACCATCAAGCTCGGTGTTTGCTGTCTTATTAGTCCTCACCATTCTGTTCGATTCAGAACGTTTAACTTAGACAACTCCTTGCAACAGAAATCGGCGGCCTCCAAAATCACTGAAATTTATCATGTTCACCACGTTTGCCAAGGTCCTTATCGTGACCCTTTTACCTCTAGTCAAGCGTGCACTCGGGTGACAGAGGTCGTCAGGCTCCACAATCATCAAAACTTCCCCCGTTAACTATGTCTACTAAGGTTTTTACTACAACGGTTCTATCTTTAGTCATGCCTCTGACATGCCTACAAAGTTCACAAGCGTTTCTTTTTACCTATAACTTTGATATAGCTGTGTCATTTATTCAACGAGAGGCTTCAAATCGACGGTCGATGTAGTGGCTTGCCATTGGCTTTGGTATGATAAGCCTCCTGTCATGGCAACAGTCGGCGTAGCAATGTATTGAGAAGTGTATTAACGAGTACTAACGAGTACTAACGAGTACACAAGACCAATCAAACGAGTAGCGAGGGTATCATGGTGCGCCTGAAACTGAAATCTCCGCGCCCCTTGTAGGGTTCCTAAAAGCCATATCCGAATCTCGCGTCCGTCAAGCGATTACAAGCGCCACGTATGCCCACCATCTTACATATTCTCGATCACACGCGCGTTCATCGCACTCTGAAACATCGAATCGGTGTGCCCATACTCATCACCACCGCTGTGTGGACTAGCATACTTACTCGGCCCCTCGCCAGCCGCCTCCGCTTGCGCGAGCTGACTCTGCACGGTCTGATTCTGTGCCGGCAAGAAGATGACCTTACTGTTCGCCGTCTTCGCCATCGCCTGCATAGCCTCGAGATAGCGAATCTGCATCGCCGGAGCCGAAGATAAGATATCAGCAGCCTGACGCATAAGCTTCGCGCTCTCAACCTCTGCACGCGCAGCAATGACCTTGGCCTCGCCCGTGCGCTTGCTCTGCGCAGCCATGGATAGCGACTCTTGCAGCTCCTGGCTGAAGATAATGTCCTTCACCAGCATGCTCTCAACCTCGACGCCCCAGCCCACGGCGGTCTCCTCGATGATCTCGCGGATCGAGGCCGCGATCTCTTCGCGCCGCTCGATCACGTCTTGGAGGACGCGTGCGCCGATTACGTGTCGGAGGGTGGTTTGGGTACGCTCGACAAGGGCTTGGCGGATGTCGGAGATGCCGAAGGCGGCCTTATGGGGGCTCGTAATGCGATAGTAGATAACCGAAGTGAGATTCAGGTTTACGTTGTCTTTGGTCATGCAGACTTGTCGTGGCACCTCTGGGAAGGGCGTTAGTGGACGTGTACTGGATTCGCAGAGAAAGGAGGAAAGGGGTAAGTAGAAGACAAGAGTGAGTTCCCACATACCGACAATCTGGATCTTGACGTCTATCTGAAACAGACGCTCCGACAGCGGATTAACCTTGACGAGTCCGGGATCAACCGCGCGCGCAAAGCGGCCGAACTTGGTGATCAGGCCAACGTTGCCCTGTTGGACTTGCATAAAGGGATTCGGGCAGATGATACAGCATGGGATCGAGCCGAGCGTGCCGATCATAGTGCCTATGGTGTTTATCATCGAGCCGTACCAACCGTGGGTGTTCTCGTCCTCGGTGTCGGGCTTGATGACTTGCGCGTAGGAAGGTTGGAGGTCCTCGCGACGAGGCGGCTGGACCTTGACCAAGGGGTCTGTATCGCGCATGGGGGCTTTGCCGTTCATGTCTGCGGGGTGGGAGGTCATGGTTGCTGAAGATGAGGGTAGGATGTTGCGGGTCGATGCCTAGTTGATGACTATTAAGTATGCGCTTTTACTATCGCTAGAGAAATATGCAGAGGTGATGCTGCTCGTAGCGAGAGTCGTGTGAGATGGAGGTAGCAGCACAGGTGGAATACAGAGGGTGCCTCCATACTTAAGTCTTGACGTCTGGTGAGCGCTGAGTCGCACTCCCAGTGGTCCCTCGGTGAGCTACAGCTCAGGGTTCTCCGCCCTAGGCAGTGCTTGGCGAAGCTTGGTTGTGGCTATGCTAAATCCTCCCACTGCACCTCACTTACTCCAACACGGCACTGCACTCCGCAGCATCACGCGCTGCTTCGCCAGTCAGCCGTGGGATTCTTTGTGGACTGATAAGGATGTACGCAGTGCGCCGAGCAGGTGACTCTACACAATATCCTCGCTCCCCACCTTGTGACTCCGCTAGGAGGGGGTTGAGGGTCTTCCCGTAGTGGCCGCACGGTTACCGGCACGAAGTCAAGATCTTGGCGGGCTTGAGCTTGCATCAGGCTTCTATGGGTGTTCCATCAAGATGGGCTTTCGAACTGAACACATCGCTGTGCGAGCCGCTAAGGTTACTGCGGTCGCCGGTATGGATACCTTGCTTGAAGTGGATATGCTAAGCGCGAGGCACACAACCACCAACGTTACTCATCTCACTGCCTCGCAAAGCCTCGCGCTTATCCCTCGATCCGCCGGTTAGCCTCGCGAAAGCCTTGCGCAAGGCTTGTACGAGCAGTGTGCCCGACCGAAACCTCTCCTACAACCGAGGTGCACATACAAGATCTGCCTTAGGCTTCATCCGTTGTTTGTTCAGATCTATGCTCGGTATGAATGGAATGCTCCAAGAGATCCGCCGCTGCATTACGAAGGCGATTGGTGATATCATCATTGAGAACAGCGCTCGACTCTCCAGTGAAGAAGCTGGTCGATGTGCCTCTCTCTTTGTGAACGGCTATGTTTTTTCACTGAGCTTACCTGAGAGCCCAACCCTTACTCATCATGCTCTCAGCGTTTAAATGAGCTTTCAGACGTAGTGGATCATACAAGGTAGGCGCATGAGACATCGCCGGTGTGGGCTATGTCGGCCCAGCCGCTTTAGAGATATACATAGATTCTGCTTATGGATTCGGTGAAAGGTGATGGCTATTAGTACGGTAAGATCTTCTGGCAAGGCTTGACCGGAAAGTCAAGCAAATGGCTAGGAAACGGTGCTTGCAAGTGGCGTTAGGAGAGCTAGACGACCAAGGGCCACTCAAAGTTCGTTGGTACATCTTGACTGGTAGGTTGTTCAGTACCAGATCCACCATTGAGCTGGACTCGTGATCATGGCAAGAGTAAGAAAGTAAGGCCGGTTTCTTGTGGTCGAAAACATTAGAGCGTTTGGAAGGTTAGCCTCTTGGTGAATCCTACTTGCTACAGTACATCGACCATTGCTACGAGCCTACGACAGAATGCTCACTATGCGAGAGCCAATGTAACCGTGCTGTTAATGCGCAAGACCTCAATTGCGCCCTTCATATGTAGCTAACCATTTCTGCTGCTCTGCCTGACTGGCACACATCACCACAGGACGTCTACATGCTGAGTCTCCTTCCAATACCCCAATAGCTCATCAACCTTCTTGCCCGAAAACGGCTTGATGAAATACTGATTAACTCCCGCCTCAAGCGCCCTATCCCTATCCCTCTCACTAACAAGCCCAGTGAGCGCCACCACCAGCGCCTTCTCGTGCACACCTCCACCATTATCTTCAAAGGCCCGAATCTCTCGCGTTGCCTCGAATCCGTCCATGCCGGGCATGCTGAGATCCATGAGCACAATATCAAACGGCGGACCTTGAATGCTCGCGCGCACGAACTGCGCCACGGCGTCTTCGCCGGAGGAGACGGAGACGGTCTTTGAATCCGGTATACCGGCTTTCCGGAGATACATGGTGAGGACTCTGAGATTGATGGCGTTGTCATCCACGAGGAGGATGCGGGGGAGTCCATCATTTGCAGGCTTTAACGTCAATTTTTGCATTATCTGGGCCGTACCGGGGGTTGCAGGCGTTTCCGACTCGTGGTCCATCTCAGGCGCTACTTCGGACTCGTCGGAATGATGGATGCCGTTTGGAGTCTGACCGCTCGCACCACCGGTCGTTGGTCGCATCTCGTGTAGGAGTGAGCGTAGACGTTCGAGTTCTGCTTCCAATGCAGCGATACGTTTCTGAGATGCCGGTTCTGCGTTGTTGGATGATGTTCCCTTCAGGCGAACATCGCTCTCCGCATCATCCAGTGAGTGGCTGGTGACGGGTTCGGTACCCGTTGGTGGAGAAACAGATCTACTGCTGGGCGTCGCGTCCTTGGACTTGGTCGTCTGAAGTAGATGCGGTAGCAAGTGGCGCAGAGCTCTCCCTAATTTCCTCGGCGCTACAGGCTTGGTAATGTACACCGTGGTTTCCCTGCAACCACCGGGCTGCAACTCCCCTAATTTCGTAGTGGGGTTTGCGCTAAGGACAATGCGAGGTTTCTCGCTGAGAAACATGTCTGTGTCGGGGCTGGCGTGAGACCAAGACACACTCTCATCGACAACGACAAGATCCACTGGAGTCCCCGGTTCCCTCATCAGTGTCAGACCGAACCAATCCTGCATGTAAGTTAGGAGCGACTCGTGAGCATGCATGATTCCAGCAACCCGTTCGGTGCTGCCTGACGTGGAGTAAGGTTCATAGATAATGAAGACTTTGCCTCGCAGTTGCTCTCGCAGTGAGACGTCGGAAACAACATCCGGCATTTGGTTCTGATTAGTCTGGGGACCCTCGTCCGGCATAGCGAGCTCCCTGAGAGGTAGCCGGACGGTAAAAATTGTGCCAACACCAAGCTTGGATTGGAGATCGATGTCACCGCCGAGGATGCTGACGACCCTTTTAGTTATGGACAGCCCAAGCCCTGTGCCCTGCGAAGTTTGATCCTCCTGTGCGAAAGGAGTCCAGAGCCTTGACTGGATAAAATCTTGGGACATTCCTCTACCGCTATCGCTAACCTTAACTTTTACGATAGTCGTCCCAGGAGAAGAACCTTCGCCATCAGCAAGAGCATCTTGCGGTTCTGATTGATCGGTTACAAGGTCTTCTGCCTCAACTTTAACGGTCTATCTAGCGTTAGCATTGCTCGAGCATGAAAGGGGATTTCGAATAAGTACGTACTATGTAGCCGTCTGGCGTATATTTCAGCGCATTGCCCTAGCAACACTCACCCTGTTAGCATATGAAATCTGACCGCATGGGATATTCTATGATGATGCTGGAGGAAGATCAGAGCCAGAGAGCGCTATGCTGACGCACGGCGTCGTGACACGAGGCGCCTCCTAAACCGGAAACTGCCTTCAACAGTAGTGGATTGTGAAAGCAAGCGACTGCAGCGGAATTGCGATGCGTATGAGAGAGTCGAGAGTTGAACGTACAAAGAGGTTCATGATGATGCGTTGTATGGCTCCCGGCTGTGAAACGAACCGCCAATCACGCTTCACGATGTCGAGCGAGATGACAGGGCGGATCTGGTTCGGAGGCGGCGTATTGCTGGAGGGATCGAAGTCGTTCATCGGCGCCAGAGCATCGTGATACGTGCGGCCGAGCAACACACTGTCGATAACTTCCTCGCATAGCGCTGCAAGGTCGATAGCCACCGGTCTGTTGAGAAGCTGCCCATCTGTCGTTGTTTCGGAGCGCGATGAGCCGGTCTTCGACTGATCTACATTGGAAGATGACTGCAACTGAGGCCTTTTGGATTTACTTTCTATGCTGGTAAACTTTCCAAAATCCAGCACATGATCAATGGTGTCAAGAAGAACTCTGCCGCAGCTTTGGACGCTGGCCATAAGGTACTGTTGGGTTGGGTCACAGTGTGTGTCTCGAAGCAGCTCGGTGCTGGCCAGAATGCCGTGAAGAGGGCTTCTGAGTTCGTGGCTTATTGAGCCGATGAAATCCGCTTTCTGCTTGTTTGCTACTATGGCCTCCTCGTGCAGGATTATAGCGATTGCTGTCATGCAGAAAGACGCAAGATAAGGCAGATCGAACTCGCCAGTATAGAGGCGCTCCCAGCCGTCACTCCAGGCGATGGCTGCAACGCTGGAGTTATCCTTCCGAGGATCCAGCATTGACGTAAATATGATTTGACGCGATTCGGGTAGACACCGACTCAAGGCAAGCGCCGGATGGATACCACTACTCTTTTCGTCCTCAACAGACTGCGAGTCATTGGTTTCGCCGTCCGTCGAGGTATTGCTGGCGCCCATTGAAGGCACTAGGTTCCCCGCAGTATCAAAATGGAAGACCTTTCCCTCAGGATAGAGCTCAATGAGCGTCAGCAGCAGGTCATTTGGAAGCGTAAGCAAGCGGTTACAATCCGGCTCCGCGGACGCATATGCAATAACTCTGCTGTTAGAAGAGCCGGCGCTTGCAGCATGTGAGTCCACTGAGGAGCGCCGGTTTTCTAACAGGAAACTTCTGTTGCCGTTCGGTGAACTCGTTGTCCGCATAACTCGGTTGCGATCTGTAGCCAGTAAAGCCACACCGGTGCAGCCAAGACCGGTTCGCAGTAGCCTTGCGGCTCGGGGGTAGACGGCCTCACCTGGAACTATCGAAGCCGAGTGTCGAGTATCTAAGGAGGGCCGAGAGCTTGTTTCTAACCGGGTTTGGTCCAGCCAGCCAACTGAAGACGAGGAGGCTTTGCGCGTTGCTCCAAACTCGGCGAGACAGCGGTTCATGTCTAGCAGACGGCTCCGCTCTAGCACCCTGAGCTCAAGCTCTAGATGGGACATCACCTGTTTAGCAATGCGGACCATGATCAACTTCTCCTCGGGTTCTAGGTCGGGCCGCGGTCGCGCAGAGAATGCGAAGAGAGTGCCGATATTGTAACCATTCGGCGTAGTGATGGGTACTCCTGCATAGAAGTTGAACGGTCCACGGACGTCTTTCCAGTGCGGAACTTCCTCGATGTTCGGAACAATGTAGATAGGGTGCCCTTCATCTTTGGGCCTCTTCATGCATACTGCAACCTCGCAGATGCCTCCTACCGAACCGATAGTCTCGCATCCGAACTACGCTTACACTTAGCATCAGGATCATGCGTGTTAAATGAGGAATACGTGAGGGGGCGCACAAACCCACAACGCAGAGTCAGCATCGCTTTCAACGACACAGCTTGTAGACTTCGTAGCACCGCCTAAGAAGTACTGAGTGGAACCATCCATTAACGTGACCATAACCTTGTCGCAATCAATGCTGTGAACGACGCATTTGGCAAACGCTGCGATGGTGTAGTCGGGATCTGCGGCTGAGACCACTACTGACGATGAACCTGCATTTAAAGGTGGTATGTCGGCAGGTGCAGAGAGTGCCGTTCGACGAAATGAGTAACGCGTCTGATAGTATCTAGATCAACCGTCAGTCTTAGTGATTTCCAAAGCAAGGCGCAGTGTGGGGGCTTGTACTTTCGAAATTCTTTCACCCGTCGAGGATCCGAAAGATACTGACGATCGGCCTCATAGGAGGGATGCCGGACACTCATCTTGAGTGTGTTACTCAAGCTAAGCTGAAGAGAGCTTCGCTACTCGAGACCGCAAGCCGGAGAATGGTTTAGGAGTCCGTGGCATAAAAGCCCAGCTTGGTTCACGGGGAGACCTCAGTCAAGACGCCGGCGGGGTTCAAACACGATCTCTTTCCAGGCCGAGTAGCATTCCTCAGCGTACCCTCACACGAACAGCTACAAGGAGGTCTGTGGATTGTCTCCACGCTTCAAAAGTGGTCTCTCTTCGAGGCCCCTAGAGTCTGCCGAAACGATACGATTCGCTCAGATGGCGAAAATATGCAGCGGAGAAGTTCCAACACACACAATGAACGCCGACTCGTCAAGAAGATGCACTCGTAGCCAACGCTCGCAACACTGAAAGCGAAAAGTGTGGAGATGTGGCAAAGGCACGTTCGAGGGCCCGCGATGGGGTCCGGTCACGGGCAGAGCGGGGCGGCTGAAGAGCGTTGAGGGTGGAGCGGGAATTTTTTAGCGCTGCTTGGCGACTCGCACTCGAGCGGAAATGGCACCCAAGCAGGCCTTGAAAGCCGACGCAACCCTTAGGTAAAGCCTGTATTTTGAATCTGCTTGGAGATGTGCAGACCTTGCTGGATGAGCACACGCACATGCGCTCCTGCCGAGCTACAGCAGCTGTCAAGCCCGTTCTACGCTGCAGAAGGCCAAGCAAGTGCGGTGAGTTTTCCATCATGAGTAAAACATGTTGCCCAGCACCTCAGCTGGCCCCCAGTACAGGGGAGGTGTTCGAACACCATTGAGAGTGGAGGCCCTCATTGTCTGATCACTTGCTGCATGGAAAGCTAGTCTCAACTCAACTTCGTGCGAGGTTGGTGTGGAGGAACCCTGGAACTGCCCCAGGTTCAGAAGGGAAAACCTCGACAGCGGCCAGGGGTGCCTGGTTAGCGGTAGATCGAGCAACGCCACCAGCCGATTTTGGGGGCACGTCTGTCATGCAGCCAGCCAATTCTGCACCACAACGTTTCCGCGTCTTCGATTTGGGCAGCTGTCAACCGGCCAGCCCAGCCTTCATTGAGAGCCTACAGATGCATTGACCGCCTCGCCCTGGTCCAGTATTCGCGTCTCTCATCATTACGCATTACCGCTTAGCTAAGGATCGGTGGGCCGCAGTCGCAGTCGAGTCAGATGGACGACCAAGGAAGGCAGTCGACCGTGGCTGCGAACCAATTCAACGCATTCCACCGTTTGTTCCCGCAAAATCTTGACCCGGCAGCGCGGTTCCACGAGGGGCTCGGCGCGGGCTTCCCCACGGCCATGCCCGCTGCACATGGCGGCGCCGGAATCGTGCAGCAGCCACGAGGTGAGCCGATCTGCTTTGCCCAATCCCACTGCTCCCGTTCGTCTCCTCCCATGCCCGGCTGACCCGAACCTCCAGGACTCTCCTCGGTGCCGCAGAGCCTCTACGCCAACCAGACCGTACCCACACCAACGACTTCAACGCCGCAGCAATCAGCACCGTTCCTGACAAGCGCCCCGCCGCACCACATCTCCCCGTATACCAACCCTCAGCGCAGTTCCGCCTCGAATCCGTCTCTCCAGTCGCCCATGGCAGCCCCGCCTGTCCCGCCACAGCCCCCAGCGCTTCCCCAGCAAGCCCAGCAACCGCCGCCGCAAGCTCCCTTAAGCGCCGGACCCCAATCGCAATCGCAACCACAACCGCCACAGTCACCGCGCACGCAAGCGCGCGAACGAGAGCGCATCTCGCTCCTCCTAGAGATAAACCGTGAGCTGCTCCAGGAAGTCCTCCGGCTCCAGGCCGAGGGGAAGGGCGGCGACGTGCAAGCGCCGGCGCAGCCCGTAAAAGACGAGTCCAACGGCGCTGCACCAGCCAATCCCGCGAAGAAGGCGGTGGCAGCGCCCGAGTATACAGAGTGAGTCGTCTCCCCCCGCCTGGCACACAGACATGCCCGCTTTTGTCACAATGCACTCCCCTCCCCCTCCACTCCCCTTCCTCGCCAAAACGTCAACTAACACCCCGACCAGCTCAATGCGCCGCCTCCAAGCCAACCTCTCCTACCTAGTCGCAACCTCGCAAAAGCCTCACAGTCCCCAGCTGGCAGGCCCGGCGATCATGAGTCCGCCGCCTTCGACCGCCCCGCCCGCGCTCACCGAGATGTATACCCGGCTGCAGGCGTTGTTTCCCGGGTGGAAGGGACAGCTGCAGCAGAGCAAGGCGTCGCCAACTCCGCAAGGGGGTGGGGGCGGGGGCGGGGGCGGAGGTGGAGGCGGAGCGGGCGCGCAGACGCAGGGCTCGCCGGGAGCGCAGGCGCTGCAGACGTGAAGGACGGAGCGAAGTGGCCTAGTGCCTTTAGGGAGTGTGTAAGTGGGAAGTGAGGCGTTTGTGAGGTTGAACTGAGCGTAGGCGTTCTGGGTTTGGTCTGGGGACTATCAGAGCCCAGCATCCGCGCGAAACTTGGGCTGGTTTGGATGTTAAGGGTTCAAATATGACTTTGGCTGATATGTAGAGCAGTTGGTGGGGTTGGTTGTCGTACATGTACCAATTAAAAACTATCTCAACCGTTTATATCTACAAGACGATGATACCATGCCGTGCGGGCTACCATTTCGATCTCTAAAGCCTATGTATGGCCTTTTTCTTCTTCTGTGACCGACACCTGCATCACTCAGCAACGTCGGTGGTTGGACGAAAGCCTCAAATGGATGACTAGTAGTGAGTGTCCAGGGGCCGACAATACCGTGGCCAAAATCGCGAGCCTGTCCTCCTAATCCTGCACGCCAAAGATGCGATCTTTGGCGCCTCATACTCCTCTGTACCATGCAGCCACGCTCTATCTATATAATCACGGCTCCGTGGATGGCACACCGCGACGAAAAGCTGGCTACCCACCGGCCTCGTCCGCGTCGACACAGCGATGGTGCGGAGCGTGAACGCTGTCTAAGCCCGTCACCACCGCCGTCAGATCCCCCGTCTCCAGCTTTTCGGTCCGCGCGCTCTCCACCACGTTCCTCTCCCGCCTCATGGCCGCTCTTTGTTCGGCTTTCCACTCCCTCAACATCTCTTGTCCGCCTATCAGAGCTTTCTCCTTCTTCCTAATATACTCGCCATACTCTCACACAGCCTCTCCAGCATGAATTCAGGCTCGATCATCCCCGCCACCGTAGGGTTATCTTCGCCGATTTAGTTTCGTTCAATCATCTCCTCGTCCTCGCCCTCATAAGTCGTAAACCTGATCGACTTCGTAAACTCCACCCACTAGCACGTAATCTTGCCACCGCATGCCTAGCAACATAGGTGAAGTTATTGGGTGACGCAGGCAAGATCTCCAGCTATGGTCATCAACGTAAAGAATGCGAAACGGTGCCTGGACTCGTGGTTCCGATAGTATATTGGTGGTTCAAGGTCTGTGGAAACTGGCACTGGCCCCACGTGGATCCAGTAGCAGTTGAGTAGTCTCCTCAACGAAATCGAGTAACTCTGAATTGGAGGTAGGCATGTGGCCATTGCTCAGATCACCAACGTTTGATAATTCAACTTTGACGTCTCGCTGGAGGTAGGGGAAACCCTGACCTATCTTGGTGGATCCGGTGTTCGTGACCGCGGCAAGCAGCGCGCGCAAGCGTTTATAGAGTGGTCGTAATAAGTCGACGAAACGGCCCGCTGCGAATGAAGAGCTGCTACACCAGACTAGTAAATCAATACAGTCCTCGATGTGGGTAACGGTGTGGTCAAGTCCGTTGTAGTTCCGATGGAGAAGTTTCTGCGCTGCGTTGAAGAGAAGGATGCAGCAGCTATCGAAGCCCTGGTGACTGTCGAGTATATTAGCCCTGTATTCAGACATGATAACAGGAAAACCCTTACACAACAATCCAGCACTGTTTCGGGAACGTTCCATCAGCCTTCAACAAAGCCACGACACGAGCGCCCTGCGAAGCAGCCGTGATACAATCATTCTCAAACCCTCGTACCTCCTCCGGCGGCGCATCAACCTCCCAAGTTCCATTTCGACTCAAATTCGCGACCGCCGCGAGAATGGGTCGATGGAGCAATGTAACGGCACCTAGATAGAGTAGGTGGACCAGAAGCAGTGAGAACTTTTGATTTGGCGAGAGCATATCCGAATCTTCGGAGCTCAGCGTTGCCAAGCGCATGGTGAGCGGGAGCGCTGCGTGCCAGGCATTGAGCTTGTCCATGTAATACCTGATTGCCGCGACCCGAAGGCTGTCCGGCGAACTGACATGCTCCATGGTTGCGGCCGCTAGCATCGCAATCTCGGTGGTCTGGTAACGGATTCCTTCTTGTATGGAGATTTGCGTCAAGCCGTGAGCCGTCAAGGGGCATGCATACGCCTTGTCGGTAGAGGTGATCATGGATCTCTGGCGGAGACTGTAGCAAAACCAGCTCTCGACGAATATGCACGAACGAAATATCTTTCTCCAGAACCCCTCCTCTTCAGAATCGTCCGCGGGATTCTGAGACAGTGGAAGTCTCAGTCGGCCTATTTGGATGGCTGCAGAGACAAGGATGCGTGCGCTTGTATAATTCTCCATTATACAATAAAACGCCAAGGACAAGAACAAGCGCATGTAACGCAAGTCATCTACCTCTTGGCTGCCTTTCAACAGCCGTCCGCATGAGTGATATAGTGACTTCCTGGCAACCGTTGGGACGGCGTTCGTATCGAAATAGCTCCCGATGGCCGCCATGGCAAAAACTTCAGCCAGTGCAAGCGGGTCTGGTTCTTCTCCAGTTGTGTAAACTCTTTCCAGCAGGCTTGAGGCGTGTGACTCCTGGTATGTGAAGAGAAGCGAATCGGTACCGCCGAAGAAAGCCCTTACTCCACTATGGACCAGGTGTTGCGGAGGGAGAGTGTGAGCGTCGTACAAGTCCAAGTGCGAGCCTTCAGCTTCAAGCATCCGGGAAAGCTCCCCTATGGCGAAATTCACAATGTAGACGCAATCGTTCTGACCGGACGCGGAGCTGGGCCGGGTTGACGGTTCAGGAAACGTACCCGCTTCTCTTTGCTCTACAGACCGGGATCTGTTTGGGAGTGCCGAGCCGTCATCCGAGGAGGAAGGGGACTTACGGTGCTTCCGCTGGCTACCCCCACTGTTCGAGGTGGGGAGCTGCGGGTGCTTTTGTCGAAAGTCGCTGAGGTAAGCTTGATATTTGGTGTAGTTGTCGTGCTTCATGTATTCCAAGAGCTCTGCCTCGTATTTCTGTTGAGCATCTTTGCTTTGATTCTCCCACCACGACTTGTCTTCGGGCGGTAGACGCTGCCATTCGAGTCCGACTTTTTTGGCAATCTCGACGAAGCTAAGCTTACTGATCTCTAGAGAAGGAGAGGAATCAGACGACCATTCTGACTCGGTAACGAGTTTCGGCGAATACCTGAAAAGGTCCTGAGATGGTCTGAGAAATTTACGTACGCCGTCTTGGGCTTCTTGGGCGCGTTGGGATCAGGCTTGGGGTGACGTCTGTAACGGCGTTTGCTTTGCGCTTCTTGCGGTGTAGGTTTTCTTTTCAATCCGTCTTGCCCGTCTGCCAACGAAGCCTATGGTACATATCAGCGCAGTCCACTCTCGACTGTGGCACAATCCGCAGGTCACTCGTTTGCATGACACCTTTCAAAGAATGCGAAGACTCAAGCTCTGGATATTCCTGTAGCTCCGAGCTGAAAGTGAACCGAAGTGAGACATCCTCTACATATTTTGATGGCAGTTGCCCAACACACTTCACATATCGAAGAAACAGTAGAGCTTGGGCCGCTTACTTCTACGCTCGAGATATGAGGTGATCCGCCGCAACTTGAGGCCGGGGCCCTGTTCTGTGGTAGACCAAGGGCTTTCCTAATCTCTCGTTGGAGAACTCTCCGATGGCCGACTTTGAATCCGAGCTCTTCGAAGTCTTTTTCTGAGATGCAGCAGACCGTCTCCCAATCCTCAAAGCCGTTCGCCACCAGGCTGTCATAGTACTGGCTCAAGCCTATTCTTTCTAGAGTCGTGCGCAACTCTGCCGAGGGTGGCGACGACACCTGAGGGTCCTCCTTGGCCCCTCCCTCCATCCTGAGAGTCGCCGATGCGTGGGTGAGAGTGCGGACACAAGCGACGGTCATGCAGGTAGTCGCGAAGACTCGGAAAAACGGAGGATGGCGAGCTGGAAGCAAAAAGTGGTGAAGCCAGAGTGCTCAGAAGCGCTTTGGTGGAGGTGTTCTGTGTACGGTGGCGAAGGGTCCAGGTTAGACTGTCCAGGTGCTAGCCCCGTCATTTCCGGCAGGTGCCGACAATCCGCCCGATAGCCGGCACCTGGATCACTTAAGGCGGCAATGAAGAAGTAACATCGTTACTCCCGTCCCTCTGAGCATTTTGGTCGCCAGCACCGTCCTGCTTGACGAGTGGCTGTGCTCTGAGCTCGAGGGAGTGGTCATGGCTGAGGCCGGATGCGGGCTCCGACCGTATGACGGTGCTGGCCTGCGAGCCTTGGTTCAACATGGTCCGATAGCGATGAGGTCTGTACAGAACCTAGATAGACGGTACGAGTCGAGAGCAGAACCAGCGGTTTCTATACTGCTCAATGCCTCTTCCTAATGGCGTCGTGTTGAGCTACTTAACCGTCTCTGTGGCGAGTGGCGAGTGCCGTGTAAAGTGAGGTCGACGGTTCGCAGTCGGCGATCCAGCCCGGCTCCGCGACGACACAACGACCTCAGTCGAACTGATACTGTCCAGGTCACACGTAGTAACCGGCCTGGGAACCTCCAACGGCCCACACTGTTGCCGGCATGCTCCACCTCTTCCAAGCTGCTTCCGAAGACCAAGCTTCCTTCTTAACCTATTCCAAAGCGGTGGGGTACGGTATCCAGGGTGCGGCTTGGGATGGAGTACCTCGCCGCGGAGGCGGGCACCGCGCCGACGAGGACTTCATTCTGCGCAAACCGCCAGGAGCTTTCGTATTGCGTGCCTCCAAGTCGTGAGGATAGGAATGCGTGTCATGCGTGTCGCGACTGAATGAGTCGGTGCTGTTGCGGCGGCTTGCTTACGGCAAGGGCGAATGTAAGGGTTAACATGAGGCTGGACTCATGCTTTCGGGACAAACGGTCAAGCTATCGGAGTTCGTCAACAGCTTTCGAGACAAAGTCGGCGTTGTGGGAAAAGCAGTGCAGCAGCAGGTTTTATGGAGTTGTTGCAGGAAGCTCGGATCTCGGGGATGGCTCCGAAGAAGTGAGAGCAGGCCAGTACTGGACACAACCTCTTAGCCCTGACTTACGCATCTGAAGTAAATTTTGTCGAGGCTGCTCACTAAAATATCTAATTTCGTGGCTCTCAGCGAGCAAGGGCCATCCGAAGAGCTTGTTGCCGCGTTAAAAGCTGCTCGTAACCATAGAGATACGTAACCTCTACGCACAGTCTATAGATGAAGGACACCTTAGGCGATTGATGCATCTAAGAGGTAAACCGCTAAACATCCGTTGCATCTTTCGCATCATATTGGTCTAGCTGCTCTACGAGTGACAAGATCATGAATACACTTTGATCATGAATCTAGTAATGAACAAGCTGGAGCAAAGATGCGGCAACGGGCTCTTCGGGTGGCCGTTAGAGCTTGAGCTAGGTTCATACCTACTATGCTCTGAACGAAGATATAAAGGGACTGTACATTCCGCTCTTAGCTACTTGGAACAATTTTCTCGCCGACTTGAGACTTGAAATGTTGGAGTTCCCCTTCCAGCTTCGACTACGCAGCTGCTTGGCATAAGCCACAAGGCACAAGGAAGAAGATCGTATTGTGGCTATTGGGGGTATCCGAGCAATGCAAATCTGGCCACAATGTAACAGTAGCGTGAACAATGGCTGTGTCCTGGCCGCTGCCCAATCAGGAGCTCTGCCATACGTTCCCACTCATGCTTCATCGATCCTAGCACTCTTAGCCCTTTCCCTTCCTTGATCGTCTTCGTCACCCAGCTTCCTCTTGCTGCTACCATTCACAACGCTAGCGATGCCCTGATCCGCCTCGATGAGCTTCTTCTTATGCCGTACAAGCCCCGATAGGTCGTTGGCGCTCTTCGTGGCTTGCTCGATTCTGGCCTTCTGTTCTGCGGGATTCTCGCCGAGCAAGGAGCCAAGGACGCTGTTGAGCGGATTGCTTCCATCAGGAGCGCCTGCAGGGCCGATGGCAGCAGGCATACGGCTGGGGGGATTCCGGAGGTCATGAAGCTGTTTAATGATATTCATTAGCCCTTCATACAGCTTCTGGTGGTTATTGTCCAGAGTAAAGAGGCGCCTCGACAGGTAAAGGTAAACACATAACGGGGCACAGGCATGAAATAATATTACCCTTTGCTGCATCTCTTCCACCATCTCGTTTACATCCTTGACGCTCTGCTTCAGTGTTTCTTGTGCCGCAGGATCCATCGTGGCGAGCTCAGCTTCCCCCTTCTTGATTCGAAGCTTGCAGCTGCTGATTGCGGCCTCCATCTCTTTTGCTGCTTCGGCGAGGAGGTCTTCGTCAACCTCTGGCTCGTCTTCAGCAGCAGTTTTCCCCTCAGCAGCATCCCGCTGCGCGTCCCGGATGGCATATACAGATAACATCTCCAATGCCAGGGCGAGCTTGTAGTGACCTTCAGCCAGCAAGGCGGATTCTTCCGGATAAAGCTCTTTTCTGACCGCCAGGCAGGCGCGGAGCTCATTAACGGCGTCTTGGAAGCGTTCGTTCTCAAGTGAGATCTCGCCTTGTAGGTCGTGTATCTCTGCGAGGCGTTCTTTAACCTGCCGGATACCGGTGTCGTCGAGGGCTTGCCCATTGCCCTCATTTGCAGACACACTGGCGCCCCCATTACCAGTATCAGTTTTAAGTGCGTCGAGCTGCCGCGAGAGCAAAACCCGTGCCGAATCGAGGATTTCGTATGCAATGGCGAAGTCGTCGTCATCTTCCGCGTTAGCTTCGCCGTCTTCTGCCTCTTCCCCTTCTTCGTCGTCATCCGTGAGCCAATTGTCATCGCCGGTAATTTGGAAGAATGGCTTGTTCTCGACCCCCTCTTCTGCCGCCGGCTTCACGCCCTCCCTCTCCTCCACCGCAGCCTCCACAACCTCCTCCGCCAACCTCTCCTCCGCGCTCGGCACCGCTTCCCTGCGCTCCTCCTCTCGCTCATCCGCCCCCTTACTATCCCTCTTCTTCGGCCTCGACTTCACCTTTGGCTTTTCCTCCCCGGCAATCTTGCCGCCAAGCACATCGCTGCTGCTGACCGCGACGTGGAACAGACACCGGCCATACTGGTACAGTAGTTCGGCGTTCTCGCGCGCCATCTCGCCGTAGATCTGATCTTGGAGCTCCAGCGCGTCGGAGAAGAGGTCTGCGGCTGCGGTGTAGTTCTTCAGCTTGTATTGGAGGCTTGCGGCTGTGGTGAGCTCGTGGAGTTTCATGTGGTCGGTTGCTAGGGCGCCGGTGTCGGGGGGTGCGGGCGCGTTGGCCATTGTGGGGGCTGTCGGTTGAGGAGTCAGGCAACCCATCTGTGTAGTGTGGTCTTGGAGATGGGCTCTCTAAGGGTTGCCGAAGCCTTGCTGTGGTGTAGCTTACCTGTCGTGATCTCTTGGCTGCTACGGAGTTTGAGATGCGCGGTTGCAGAGTGTTCGCTGTGACCGAATGTAGTTTGAGTAGCGGTTTGATTACTAACTAAAGGCGTTCGTGTGGTTGTGAAAATATATGAGAAGCTGCGTGGAAGCCATTCGCGCCTGGGAGGAAGTCGAAGTGCGACGGCCCGCCCGCGGCCCAGCGCGTCGAACGCGAAACCACTTTGCGCGTCTTCCCCGATAACCACCATGACCTCCCACAACAAATCCCCCGACATAGGCACACCACGACCTGCAAACTCCCTCCACCCAAGATGAACCGCACCCTCAACCGCAAACTCGCGCCAATCAACCCCATTCCCTCCTCATCCCCCGCATTCGGCACACCTCTCCATCCGCTACCAGCCATCACCTCGGCACCAATACCAGCACCCCCCGCCCTGAAACCAACAATCCTCCCCATCCTCCTCCCCTCCGCGACCCTCCGCCCCCTCGCCTTCCGCACCTTCACGAAGAAGCACAACCTAACCCTAACCTCCTCTGCCCTTGCCCTCCTCGCAACGTTCGTGGGCCGACACTGCGGATCCGGATGGCGAGACGAGGGGCTCGCGGAGCGATTGCTCGAGGAGGTAGCAAGGGCGTGGAAGAGAGGGAGTGGAGATGTTATTGTTGATGCTGCGGGGGAGGGGGCCGCGCTGAAGGGGATTTTAAAGGGGTTGGAGGAGTGTATGGTTGGGGGGAGGGTTGTGGTAGGCAAGGGTAGTGGATTGAATCGAGAGGTGAGCTTCAGGCTTGGGCCGGATGGTGCTGTGGCAGGTACCAGACCTGGTTTGCTGCCGAGTGAGAGCAGTTTCGGCATGGGAGCCCTGGAGGTAGACGAGGAGGAAGAGGAGAATGGCTCGCGGGACCCAAGGGATTGGATTAAGGTCATTGATGCGTTTGAGCAGCCGAGGCTCACATACAACGTCAACAAGAAGCATTTCGAGAGGTAAGCTACAACAAAGCTCCCGCACAAGGCGACAGCTAAACTTCCCACCAGATCAACAACGAAAGCATCCCTCTTCCCTCCACCCTCCCACAGGACCGATCTCTTCCGCCAACGCTACCACCTCGTCCACCAGCGCTGCCTCCGTAATGAGTCGTTCCAAGCCCCCTCCTTCTCCGGCAACCGCTCCTTTCACCGTACCTCCTCCCTCTCCGTCACCCAATCCCACAAAATCACTCCCATCGCCAACCTCCTCGGCCGCAGCGGCACGAGCCACGTCCTGCTCGGTCTCCTGATCGTCTCCGCCTCCGGTACCCTCGCGCTCTCCGACCTCACCGGAACAATAGCGCTGGACATCCAGCATGCGCGACCTGTCCCGGAGGATGGCGCGTACTTCGCGCCGGGCATGATCGTCCTTGTCGACGGCGCATACGAAGAGGACTACAGTAACCCGGGTGCGGGGTCCATGTCTGCGCTCGGGGACGCCGGCGGTATCGGTGGGACCATCGGCGGTAAATTTGTCGCGTTTTCGGTCGGTCACCCGCCGTGCGAGCAGCGGGTGACTACTCTTGGCATTGCCGACAAAGGCTCCGGAGTCAATGAAGCGCACATAGGCACAGGCCCCGCCTTCGGCTGGACGGACTTCCTAGGCGTAGGTTCTGAGCGCGCAACTGGCGCCCGCATGCGCAGAGTCGAGCAGCGGCTCCTCGGGCCAGGGGCGCCGCACCATGACAACGCGCGCATTGCGATTGCTAGTGAGGTCAATCTGGATAACCCTGCCACGCTCTCCGCGCTGAGGACGATGCTGAACTCGTACGCCTCGCTGCCGCCGACGGCTTTTCCGATGGCTGTTGTCCTAATAGGAAATTTCTGCAGTAAGGCCGTTATGGCGGGTACACCGGGGGCTGAGTCGATCGAGTACAAGGAGTACTTTAACTCACTGGCGGCTGTGCTGTCCGACTTCCCGCAACTGTTGGCGCGGACGACGCTGGTGTTTGTGCCCGGAGACAATGACGCATGGCCGTCGGCATTCTCGGCAGGAACAGCGTGTCCGTTGCCGAGGAAGGGGGTGCCGGAGATGTTCACTAGTAGAGTCAGACGGGCTGTGGCAGAGGCGAATAGAGATGCCGGTGGACCAGGGAAGAAGGGAGAGGTGGTGTGGTCGACGAATCCGGCCAGACTGAGCTGGTTCGGGTGTCTTGGAGAGATGGTGCTCTTCAGAGATGACATCTGCGGGCGGCTACGAAGGACTGGACTGAGGTTCAAGAAGCCTGGTCAGGTGGAGGACGGCGACGATGATGAAGCACGAGAGAACAGCGCACGGCGGCGAGAGGTTGCTTCGCGCGAGCCAGGCGCCGCTGAAGTTGCAGAGCTCGTAACTCAGGAGTCGCAGCCGATGGACCTTGACAGCGTACCCATCCCCACGGCTGCAGCACTGTCAACGGATTCGGCGGATGAAGACGCCCTAACTGCCAGACGACTCACTCGCACACTGCTTGACCAGTCTCACCTTTCACCTTTTCCGCTCTCTACGCGACCTGTACACTGGGACTACGCGCATGCGCTATCGTTGTATCCTCTACCGACGTCTCTTGTGATTGCAGACGCAGAAGCACCGGCGTTTGCTCTGAGGTACGAAGGATGCTGCGCAATGAACCCCGGAAAGATCGTGGAAGGCAGGAGAGGCGAGAGGGCGCAGTGGGTAGAGTATGATGTGCTGAGTGGAAAGGGCGAAGTGAGGTGGAAGGACAGCTGAGCCATATAGGCATTACCGAAGCAATGACACGCTATGAACGTCCAGCTCTGGCGTCGCATCTTTTGAAATCCGAGCAGCTCTTCGCCAGATTGAAATATCCCGCAGAGAGTCAAAGCGCAGGTATGGCAGCAATTCCACAGCATCCTTACGTTCTTCGGGCTTATCTCGAGCGCGCACACAAGATGCATCTACCATGTGCGCGAAATTCTAAAGACAGTTCGAGGATATGAATATTGGCGGCATCCGCCTAGAGGGCTCAGTGCTGATGGCCTGGTATGAACGGTGCCTTAGCAGTAATCGCAGGCCTCAGAGCAACGGGCGTCAAGCAAGATTGCGGATGACGAGATGTTTGGAGCGTTGCATGGACATGTATTTAGCAGCGGCGGGACGTCATAGGCCGCTGGCATGAGGCCTGTGCATGGCCGCTGGCATTAGGCTTGTGCATAGCCTCCGGCTGACCATATGCAAGAAGGTTCCGTGCATTGTAGAGAAATAATAGTAGGAAAGATCCCGATGCGCTACCCGAGAAGGCCTGCTGATGCCTCCTTCTCAAGGCTGAATTTCATCTCAAGCCAGGAGTAAAAATTCGGTGATCGACAGAAGCTCCCATATAGCGCATCACGTGCTTTGTGTCTTTGGAAGTGGTTCTGTCCTCTGAACTTCGCGGAAGTCCCGTGCTTCGATAGACTCTGCAGAAAGTCGGCCTCGGAAAAGTTGGCGTAGGCCAGATTCCCGCCTGGAGTCGCCACGCTTGGCGACATGCTTGCAGCGAAATATCTGCTGAAGGGTGCCAGGAACTGAGCGGTGAGCTCTGCGAAGTGGCGACGGACGAAGGGGCCAATCTCCTCGAAGGCCGATTCGTCCTTCAGCAGGGAATCCAGCTGTTGAACGAATGAGCTATCGACCTTGAGATACTTTTTAGTTGCTGTTGGAGGGGCCAGTCCTCCCGCTCCAGGGATGTCAAAAGCCGGCGTATTACGGTGCCGTAGTGATTTTTCTCGCTTTATCGGTATCGACCGCTCGTTGTTCTGAAGGCATAACATATGGGGCACAGTCCCGCTTCCCGCACCGCTCAAGGTTGACAGCCGCTGAAGTAAGAAGGGGTTGGTAATACCAACAACGAAGCGATTAGGGGCACCGCCTTGGAAGCCGCTAGTGAAAAAGTCTGACTGCATCGTGATGTATGGCCGGGTCTCGCCAGCGTAAGGAATAGGCCGGATCAAGTCAATCAGGGCGGAGCAAAATTGGCTACATGTCTGTGGATTCTTTGCTAGGACAACGATGTTTTCGCATAGAAGTAGATTCTCGAAGATGATGTAGAGCTCGGATAGTGATGGCATAAGCTGCATCAAGGAGCTCCAAGAACCGATCGGTTCATAGGCGTATGTTGTCGACGCCGCTGTGAACGCAGACACTGGCGACGAGAGACCTTGCAACGGAAACGCGGAATGAGGCGCTATCTCAAGTAATTGCAAGGACCCCAAGAAAGGCAGTTCATGGCGTCCGATTGATGGTGACGGCCAGGCAGCGATCTGAGAGCACGCGGCTTCGAGAGCTGTAGGGTCGCTGATAAGCCCAGACGAAGTCATCCGCCGTAGAAGCTTGAGAAAAAAGGCTGAAAAGTTGTGGGTTGATATCAAAACAAGCGTCTTCTGATTAAAGCTCCTCTTAGAGGTCCGGTCGTGCTCTTGACGAAATATAGCACTACCGTAGAAGTCATTGGGATTGCAATGAGGCGAGCACGGAGAGGTCAGCTTGATGTTACAAGAGTTGTTGCGCAATGTGAAGTGGAATACGAGATCATCTGTAACCTCTGCATCTTGCGTTTCAGGGAAGCTGTTGAAGCATATCGCTGTCAGGTCCGAGGTACTGAATTGGGTTTCCGGAGGGTACACAAGCTCGATCTCAGGACCGACATCCACATTGAAAGTGCATACTACGAACGCAACCATCCAATGGTGCAGGTTGTCATGGGATATGTGACTCGGACGATTCGGAAGAGGAACGAGATGTTGAAGCTTCTCCATCATGCCTAAACCTGCGGTAGTAGAATGGATTCTGGTGGGTAATAAGGTGTGCTCGAGGTAGTAGATAGCATCATGGGTTGCTCAGAGTGGTGGAGTATGGTAATGCCATCGCTGGTGATATCTTAACAGAGCGAGCCTTGGACCCTTGATGGTTGTGGCTTGCTGAACCCCAGACCTGACGGCAACCGGGCCAGTCCCGCTTGTTTGCGCCAACGCGATTCATCCGCCAAACACATTGGCGTTCGGAGCGCTTTATGGCGGGTTGATATTTACTTAGTCCAGCCTGCCAACACAGCTTTTACAGCATGTAGAGAGTCTTTACCCACCGCTCACCATCTCGCCCATCAACATCTTGTCCACCTCTAAACGTTCCCAAGCAGCCTTCCGCCGCGTCATGCCCTACAAGCTTCGCCAGCTCGACCATGGACGCCAATATACAGAAGGCGCTGAATGATAAGCTCTACGATAAACGGAAAGGCGGGGCCCTGGAGTGAGTACCATGTCACTATACCTGCAATGCCGAAGAGCAGCCTCGACCTGATGGCGGAGGGGTTGTGGCAGTACCATATTTCTTGTAGGCTTTTTGGATACCAGAGAGACTCGAAGACTGCATATGCCAGAAGCATGGGGGACTGGTTGCATATTGGAACCTTGAACCGACTGACAATTTCACAGGCTAGAGACCCTTATACGAGATTCTCTTGCAGTCGGCAACCATGAACGGATCCAGAAGATAGTCACCCAGCTCTGCGACGACTATGCTTACCAAGTACACCACCCACACGCACGGAATGGAGGCCTGATAGGACTGGCTGCGGCGTCAATCGCTCTCGGCTCGGTAGGTGAGAAGACTACCTTGTGCAATATCGTCATACTAACATTAGGCACGCAGGAAGTCGCCAGATACCTTCGTGAGATCGTTCCTCCCGTACTCGCCTGCTTCTCCGACCAAGATGCCCGGGTTCGATATTACGCCTGCGAGAGCATGTACAATATTGCCAAGGTTGCGAAGGGCGAGATCCTCCTCTACTTTAATGAGGTCTTCGACGCACTCTGCAAGGTAGGGGGAAATGCTGCCGGTAGGACCTACGAAGAGTTGGCTGATATGAGTCTCATAGCTTGCTGCGGATTCGGAGATGTCAGTCAAGAACGGTGCAGAGCTGCTCGACCGACTCGTCAAGGACATTGTCTCGGAGTCCGCGTCATCCTACGTCTCCGTGTTAAGCACTTCAGACCGCACGTCTGCGAATGTAGATACTAATGGGGATGACTTCGCTCATCCCGATGTAGAGACCGCGTTCTCCTTGCCACGCTTCATACCTTTGCTTCAGGAGAGAATGAACGTTCTCAACCCCTTTACACGGACCTTTCTGGTTCAGTGGATTACCCTGCTTGATCAAATACCCGACCTGGAACTGGTTGCGTATCTACCATCGTTCCTTGGAGGCATATTCAAATTTCTTAGCGATCCCAACCCAGACGTCCACACACAGACCCAGGTTACTCTGGAGAGGTTCCTGGCAGAGATAAAAAGGATCGCTCGGATAAAACGAGGCATCGCAGAAAGCCGTAAGAGCCAGGGTGATGACGGGCTAAAGCCCTCAGACTCGGATTCTGACAGCAGCAAGAGCATGCGAAGTGCAATTAGCCTGAACGAAGAAAATGCAAGCATACGCACCGGTCAAGGTGCCTCGCTCGAGGGCGCAGAGACTCATAGTGTAGATACGGACTCAGATAGCGCGGCTGATGGAAAGTCCGCTGGGGCCGACGGTGATTGGATTCCTGGCCAAGATGTCCAGGTTGATCACCCCAAGATCCTGGACATTCTGGTAACATTTCTCAGCGATTCATCTGGTACAATTCTCCGTTCGATTCATAGCATGCGACGGCAGTTAACAAAGTGTAGAGGAAGAAATTCAGCTTACCGCTCTTCGATGGATTGACAGCTTCTTCGAAATATGTCCCGAAGACATACTCCCCTTCATACCACGTCTTCTGTCACACGTCTTGCCCGCGTTGTCGAGCGATGTCGAACAAGTCCGGCAGGCTGCCAGCCGCGTGAACACATCGCTGACAGAATATATCATGTCCCTGCCTGACAGCCCTTCGAAAACAAAAACCGACGAAGCGCATCAAGTTCAACTGCAGCTCCCTGTGGCTACCGTCAACAATGTCAAAGAGCTCAGCACCTTCGAACGGAGAGACTCAAATATCTCAAACAAAGCCAGTAAATCAAGCAGCCGAGATATAGCCCTAGAGCCAAAGGCCATTGAAGGCAAGGCCACGGAAAGCGCAGCGCAACCTGAGCGACAAGCTTCGTCGCCTGAAGGACGACCGCCTACGCCGCGGCAAGCTACTGATCTGGATTACGATGCAACTGTCAACGCGCTCACTCTGCAGTTCCTTAATGAGCATGAAGCTACACGAGTGGCCGCTTTAGCGTGGTTGATAATGTTGCACCGAAAAGCGCCCTCAAAGGTCTCTTAATTGTATACCCTGTCTCGAAGCAACTATTCGCTAATACCCACCAGACCCTAGCGATTAACGACGGCACATTTCCAGCGCTTCTGAAGACCCTGTCTGATCCCTCTGAGGCAGTTGTCACGCGCGATCTAGTTCTTCTTTCTCAGATATCCCGAAACAGCGACGATTCGTACTTTACCTCCTTTATGGTGAACCTTTTAAAGCTTTTCTGCACCGACCGCCAGCTACTCGAGACGCGAGGCAACCTGATTATCAGACAGCTTTGCGTTAGTTTGAGTGCGGAGCGAATATACCGCACAATGGCCGACTGCGTGGAGAAAGACGAGGTGTGTAGACCTTTGCTGTTGTATCCTCCTAGCTAACAGTTCAGGACGTCGAATTCGCCAGTATTATGGTTCAGAATCTCAATAACAACCTCATCACTGCTCCGGAGCTTGCAGACCTGCGCCGACGTCTAAGAAACCTTGAGACTCGAGTTAGTCCAAACCACTCCACATTCCGCTTTTCGGCAACCTGTTATCCTGACTGACCAATGCAGGACGGCCAAACATTCTTCATCACCCTCTTCCGGTGTTGGTGCCACAATGCTGTAGCAACATTCTCACTATGTTTACTGGCGCAGGCCTACGAGCAGGCCTATAACCTCCTCCAAATCTTGTGGGTTGCATCATAAAAGTTCAACGCAAATGTTGCTGACCATCGCAGTGGCGAGCTAGAAATGAATGTCCACGTCCTCATCCAAATCGACAAGCTCGTCCAGCTCCTCGAATCCCCCGTCTTCACCTGTGCGTAACCCTCATCTCCCTATACACCTCACCACTAACGCCCCACCTCCAGACCTCCGCCTCCAGCTCCTCGAGCCCGAGAAATACCCCCACCTCTATAAATGCCTCTATGGCCTCCTCATGCTTCTCCCGCAATCCTCGGCATTCGCGGCCCTCAAAAACCGCCTCAACAGCGTCAGCGCAATAGGCTACCTGCACATCGCGCCGCGAACGTACGTTGCCACTGCCCCTCCCGCCTCCGTCTCCTCCCTGTACCATGCACGGCAGAAGAGCTCAGATACCCCGCCCGCGTCTAGTAACTCCGCGCCGTCGGCCGTGAGCAACTTTGAGCGCCCGGTGAGGCTCAAGGCGAGGGAGGAACAGGGGATTAAGTGGGGAGAGCTGTTGGAGAAGTTTCGGAATACGCAGGAGAGGGCGAGGAGGCCGTCGAGGGGGGTGGGCGGGGAGGAGGGCGAGAGCGCACAGATGGGACTGGAGAAGGAGAGGAAGATCCCCGTGGAGGCGCAGCCGAGACAGCTGAGACCGCCGAGTGCGGGCAGCGTGACGAGGACGCAGACGGCGCCTCCGGGGAGTCTGAAGCCAAAGTCGGGGCTGAGCAACTTTGGGAGACTTGCTGGTGGCGTTGCGGGGCGAAAACCGAAGCGGTAGGCATATTGCGTGGGGTTCTATTCTATGTACTTATTCAGCCTTTGGGGACCTACGGGCTTAGGCGGCTGCGGTTATGGGACGGTGGTCAATCTGTATCTGTGGGCATTCGATAGCATGTGTGGATGGGATGAGAATCATGATGTCGGCCTCCTATACAGTAGCCCTTAATATTGAAGGTCTGGATACGCTGCTTTGTTCCCAACTGATGCCGCAGTATGAACTTGCCCCGCCATCTAAACCCGAATTGCTCCCTTCGATAGTGCCATGGACTCGATATAAATGGGTGATTTGAAATGGGTTTGTATGATGCGATAAGGTATATGATGCACTCCTTCGCAGCTCGGGGTCCACCCTCGCCTCAGTGGGGAGAGACATGATTCTAGGAAGCAGCTGGTTTGGGGTGTTTATTCAAAAAAGTATTCTGGGCTATGTAACGTTGGGTCCAATCTATATTCAAAAACACCGCCTCCCCGATGATGCGCCCATATCGATTCTGTACAAACGCCTAGCTGAACGCATGCACAACCAGCTCTTTTCAGCAAATTCCCAAATATCTTTTTTTCGAATATTAACTACAACATGGGCTGGATGTTATCAGCAACGGTAAACGGTGCGTCCGTCTTCGCCTTGATTTCATCGACCGTGACACCGTCCGCCAGCTCGATGAGCGTGAGGCCGTCGGTGAAGTCAACATCGAAGACACACTAGAGCGGCAGTCAGCAACCAGACACATGAACGTAGACACAGCTAAACATACCAGATCAGTGATGATCCTCGACACGCACGCCTTGCCCGTCAGCGGGAACTCGCACTGCTTCAGAATCTTCGGCCTGCCCTTCTTATCCGTATGCTCCATCGTGACAACGACCTTTGTCGCCTGCGGATTCGACACGAGATCCATCGCACCACCGAACCCCTTTATCTTACCCGGCAGCATCCAGTTCGCGAGATCGCCCTTCGCGCTCACCTGCATGGCCCCCAGAATCGTCAAGTTAATGCGGCCCGCCCTAATCATACCAAACGATTCGTCCGAGCCAAAGCACGCCGCACCTGGCAGCAGTGTGACAGTTTCCTTGCCCGCGTTGATAAGATCCGGGTCCTCCTCGCCCTTCTTGGGATACGGTCCCAGGCCCAGGATGCCGTTCTCAGACTGCAGCTGGACCTCGACGGAGGGGTCGACGAAGCTGGGCGCCAACATCGGCATGCCAATGCCCAGGTTCGCGTACATGCCGTTCTTAAACTCCTTTGCGGCGCGGCGGACGATGCGCTCGCGCTTGTTGCCTGCGTCGCCCGAGCCGAGCGCGTTGACGGCCTCCTCGGGGTCCTTTGCGTTCACAATCTTCTCGATCTTCTTCTCCGCGGAGGACTGGATGACGCGGTCGACGTAGATGCCCGGGACATGGACGGCAGCCGGATCGATATCGCCAGGCTCGACGAGATGCTCAGCCTCGACGATCGTCATCTTTGCGTTCCTCGCCATCGCACCGTTGAAGTTGGCCGCCGCGAAGCGGAACATGCAGTTGCCCAGCCGATCCGCCTTCCACGCCTTGATGAAAGCATAATCCCCCTTGATGGCCTCCTCCATGACATAGCTCTTGCCATCAAACACCTTAACATCGCGCGGCTGGCTATACTGCGCCACGCTGCCATCCTTGTTATGTCTCAGCGGCAGTTCCCCCGTCTGCACCACCGTCCCAAACGCCGCAGGTGTATAGAACGCCGGGATCCCCGCCCCGCCCGCACGACACCTTTCCGCGAGCGTGCCCTGCGGCGTGAGCTCCAGCTCGATCTCGCCCTTGAGGTACATGCTCTCAAACACCTTGTTCTCGCCCACATAGCTTGCGATCATCTTGCTGACCTGCTTGGAGGCGAGCAGGAGGCCCAGCCCGGAGCCGACGACGCCGGCGTTGTTGGAGACGGCGGTCAGGCCCGTGATGGAGGGGGTTTTTTCCACTTGGTTGATTAGCGTGTCCGGGACGCCGCAGAGGCCGAAACCGCCGCAGAGGAGCGTGCTGTTCGATTTCATGTCTTTGATTGCTTCGGCGGCGGAGGGGAGGATCTTGTTTATCTCGGACCGGCGGTGGGTCGAGGAGAAGGTGCGGGCGAGGAGGAGGGTCTGCGGGATGTTAGCTGCGGTTTAGGAGGGACCAATACTGTTGCTGTAGCTTGCCGTGGAGGTGTTTCGAGAGAAATGCGCTGCCGTCCGCGCGTATAGAGCTATTGAAGGCATGTCTGCTGCTGTGATGTGCTCGTATCCTAAGTGCTGCCTATATATTGATATATCGAAAATTACGACGAAAAGAGATTAGGGTATATAACTGAGTTTCACTCCAACACGAGGGCAGGACAGTTGAGTAGCAAAATAGCAGAACGGCCAGACGAGAGGGCCTCCAGCATGTTTATGGCGGAGAACAACGGGCATCGGCAAGACCAACGGCTGCCGGTGGATTGAGCCGGGCCCTGTTCTCCAAACCCTCAACCCCACAATCCGACCGGCAGAAGACCCCCCTGCTTCTCGGTAAACCCTCGACGCAGGTACCAATTAACATCAATTGTCCAGCAGAGCGCCCTGGTGCACTTGCGCCATCCTTTGTGAGCACACCTGTCTGTACAGGCAGCGACAGCTCTCGTAGAATTGCGTCGAGATTCAACTTCATTGAAGCCAAACATAAGAAGATAGTTACGTGCAAGGTCTAAGTGCTTGGCGGTAAATGTCCGGTTATGACTTTATCCGCTCGCAGGGCATGGGCACACACCTGTTGTTGACTCACGTGCCTACGCCTATATCGTGCTTGAGAGCTTCTAGCTGATGTGGTTAGGCAAAGAATCCCAACAAACTCATGTCAGATTGGTGATATCGCTCTTGCCGGCTACTATGTCGACGTTGAACAGCTTCCAACGCTTAGTGTACCTATCGCCGTAGACACTGGGGTTCCTCAGGCGAGAGCTGGAGTGTTGCAGTCTATAAACTCGGTTGAAGCTTCTCTAGGAAAGCGGATTTATTCATTTTAGGTGGTTGCGAGCTGAAAAATAGGCGCTCGACAGGTACTCGTATTCATGCGTGTAAAACCAACGTCGCCTCCAACTCCTTCTTATGCTTAGGAAACCTCTCTCCCGAACGATGAATAGTTATAGACGAGAATCGGACACGGTACCGTCAACGACCGCTACGGCTCCGGCATTGCCGGCGTCCGCAGATCCATTCAGCAGTGATATCGCAGAGATGACATCGGAAGGCTCAAGCAAGTGCCAGCTGGCAAGCGTCTGCTTTGAGCTGGCCCCTACTGTGCACGAGAACATATAGTCAGGCGGGAGCTTCGATTGACGGAGCGATCGAAACATATCTGATGCATTCATTAGCTGGGCCTGTGACACGTAGCAGTACAGAAGCTGCGACTTACCCTCATCCGTAGAGTCGTCGCCGAGGCAGAAGACGAAGTCTGGCATCACATCAGGAGTATCCCCGTATTGCACAATCAGCTTCTTAGCAATCTCGCCTTTGTTGACGAATTTCGGGCGGACTTCGAGATTTGCTTTGCCGGTCATGACTTCGACGTCGTACTTCCTCGCGACCGTGTTCTGAAGGTACTTGTAGCATTCGCGAGCTTGGAAAGCGCCGTACTCGGGGTCCGCTCTGCGGTAGTGCCACGTGAGAGCGATCTTCTTGCGTTCAATGAATGAGCCTGCAAAGTAGACATTAGTCTCTGCAGTGATTTTTTGCACTCGCTTGGACGACGGCATTATGAAATACCTTGCGTCTTGTCGGTAAAGTGTTGGAAAACCAGCATGACCTCCTTCTGCCAGCTCATGTCAATCGACTCCGTCAAGTTAATCCATTTGTCACTCTTCGGTCTACGCATGAAGCTTCCGTGCTCTGCGCTGAGACCGAGCTCCGGAATGTGTCCCATCCACTCATCGAGGAACGCCTGATCTCGTCCGCTAATAATCCACACCTCGTTGCGAGGGTCGGATGCTAGAGCTTTGAGTGTCCGAATTACCCTGTCGGACGGAATGGCAGCCTGGGGGTCTTTGACGATAGGGGTCAGAGTTCCGTCGTAGTCGAACATGAAGAGCCGCCGGCTTGACCGCCTGTACTGCGCCAGCAGCTTGGCTCTGTCCAAAGCAGGAGTAGCGAAGGATTGATCGAAAGACGCAAGGTTAGTCAACAGCCGTCTGAGGAAGTTGTTCGTCCAGTTTTGTATATTGTTGGTCACAACATGCTTGTACATCTTCTCATGTGTCGTTCTCCGTTCTTCGTCAGACATCGTCAAGGCTTGATCAATGGCGTCGGCAACACCGCCAAGGTCCCAAGGGTTGATGTGGATGGCGTTGCCTAGACTGCCGGCGGTGCCCGAGAACTCGGAGAGAATGAGCGGGCCGTGATTGTCCTTCTGGCAAATCACAAATTCCAGGCTGGTCGTGTTCATGCCATCTCGGACACTGGTAATCAGGCCTACGTCTGCGACCCGGAGAAGGGCAAAGTACTCTTCGCTTGAAAGGTACTGGGGGTAATGCTGCACAGGTGTAAAGCTGAGTGATCCGTAGGTGCCATTGATCTTTGCGACCAGGTCGGATATCTTGTTCACGAACTTGTTGTCATCCTCATCACTGTCGTTCGTAGAGTATCCGGGACTGGTGACTTGGATCAAAACCACCTTCTCGCGCCACTCAGGGTATCGCTCGAGGAAGATTTCGAAAGCCTGCAGTTTCTGGGCCACCCCCCTTACTGAGTCCAATCGGTCACGACCAACGATGATCTTTTTGCCAGCATATAGCTTGCGGATACCAGCGACCTTATCCTCAATCGCTGAATCCTGGAATGCACTTTTCTGTGTGGCTGCAGCGTTGATGCCGATCGGGAAGACGTCAACCGCGACATGCGCACCGTATGCATCCACACCAGCAGAGGATGAATCGAAGCCCAGGACACGCGTACAGCAGGATGAGAAGTGACGAGAGTAGCTGTAAGACTGGAAGCCTATCATGTTCGCGCCAAGCACGCCCTCCAGTATCTCCTTCCTTTGGCTGAGGCAGCGGTAGAACTCGCTACTTGGAAACGGGACATGCAGGAAGAATCCGATGTAAATGTTTGGCAAGCGCTGTCGTAGCAAACTCGGAAGGAGCATCAGGTAGTAGTCATGAATCATGACAATATCCCCTGGCTTGTATATCTCGAGTATGCGGTCGGCGAACATCTTGTTCAGGCGGTAGTAGTCGGCCCACGTCTGGCGTGCAGCTCGGCCATCGGTTGGCTCGTTTTGCTTGTAGTGAAACAAGGTGTAGAGTTCACGCTCGGCAAATCGACGCCATCTCGACTGGTTCTTAATAATCACAAGATCACGTTTCTCGTCATACTCGTCACTAAGCCACACCGGGACGATCTTGCCTCCATGGTCGCGCTCTAGTTGCCTTTCAAGACGTTGCCTGTCGGCGGCAGGCACTGCGAAGCCTTCTGTCTGGACAGGCTGTGGCGGCGGTTTGCTCGAATCAACAGGAATCGGTGCGGACGCTCTGTTCAGTGGGCCAACGGTTCCACTGGCATCACCCGTTGCACCTTGACCACTCGGTATACCCGAAGCATCCTTGATCTCGCCTGTCCAGCCAACTAGAGTACTGTTCCATGGGGAAGATGCCGACGCGAGATATGAGAACGAGTCAAAGAGAGCGGAGGTCCCACGGCGCGAGCCCAATTCCTACACCGATAGACAATCAGTAGATGCTCTTGTAGCTCGAGGTTTGTCCACGGTTCCTCCGCCTTGCAAGACAGAAGCAGTGCCGCAATAGGACCCTTTCAACACCATGAAGCCTCAATCAAACGCACGGGAAGACGTCGAGACTGTCAAAATTCCGTAGACTTGGGCAAGTCAGACGTACCCATTCATTGCCTGGCGAGTAGCCAATCGTGTATGGCACACAGAAGGTTGCGCTAATGATGCCCCCACTGAGGTTCAAGCCGGGATATGCTTCTCTCGGATCAACATTCGCCTGGCTCTGTTTCCTCCGATTATCTCCAACGAGGCTCAATCTTCGCAACAGTTCCTCTCCCGTTCTGGCACCACGAGCTACGTCGGTAGGAGAATTCGGTCGATTCTCATCCTGCTTAGAACAGTTAGTTAGGAGGTTGTGCGCAGCGCACATTCCCTTGTAGACGAAAATGGGCCCAAACGTGCAAGTCTTCCCAGCTCAGACCGCGCGAAGTTTGTAGAGCACTTACGTCCGGGCTTTGGTCTTCGTGTTTAGGAGTAAAATACGAGTTGGCGTTCCACTGGGGTCCTCGGGGTGTGTCGGGGTCGTGCTCGTACGAGCCATCAGCGTCTTCGGATACAGCCTGCGGCGCAATGTAGGCGGAGCCTCCTCCGATATGGACACCTGGTGTAACTGGGACAGAGATAATGGACGGATGAAGAGCAGGATGTCCGTGGTGCTGATCTTCAGACGGGTTTGGACTTGGGGCCGGCATTGAATCGCGCTGGTACGTCCTCTACAGTCAATTAGCGACATGTGGGCATAGGGAGGGACGAAGCTTTGCACGATGGGCTCGCTCGCCTTGGTTGCACGTTTAAAGTGCCATTGGCCGGTCACAACGTACGGTAAAGGGTCGTGTTACAGTGTGTTTAGAAAATAAGGGTTGCGAGGGAGGCTGCCGAGGTGGTGACGAAGAATAGGCGTAGGGTAGAGATCTGCGCAGAAGCTGGACCCGTGAGCCTCGAGGTAGGGACGTAGGGACGTAGGGACGTAGGGAGGTTGTCTCGAGGACAAGCCTTCTTCAGAGTATCAGTTGGCCTGCAGTGACATACCAGAATTCTATGTAGTTAATCTGAAGCGGCTTGACGGTTGAGTGCTGCAAATGGAAGACCGATGTGCGTGCCCCACGGCCCCTCCAGCCCACCAAGCGCGGGAGCAACGCCTGCCGTCAGCGGCTCATCGTCTGGGCAAGCTTCGGATGTCAGGAGCGACACGTCACGTGCTCATCAAGCTGATGCGCCACAAAGTCAATCACCGATACGCATGTAGGCCGCTTGTTTTTACTACTGACACTTGTTCGTATTAGTGGAGCGCAGTACTAGAGTGCTCGGAAGCCGCGGTCTCTAAGTCCGCAAAAGTCTCTCTGATCACGTGCGGTCGTCTCGCAACGGACTACTGTACGCGTCTGGCAGAATCAACGCCTCCTTCTGAGCTTCTGCTTCAAGCCAAGCAAGACCTTCTCCCTCTCCGCCTGTGTGCCATGTCCGTTGTCCAACAGCGAACAGGATGCCATGCGCCTAATGCCTTCCAGCCTCTCAAGGCTCTACATCAGCTCATCGGGAGCTCAGGTGCTCGCCTTGTTCCGCGGCAGCATTTCTCCGCAAGCTCTGCACCGCGAGATTCTGGCACTCGAGGGCGCTCATCAAGCCCAAAGACACCGGGAACCCTCCCAACGAAGAGGACAAAGATCAGATTAGACTACGATGTTGGCAGGCGCCATCGCGGGGATATCGTGGTCGACGACTTGACCGAGACACTTGAGCGACATCGCTCCACCAATCGAGCGTCCGTCATCAGGAAATCATTGAGCGGTCCAGCCTCAGAATCGACGGCATTTCGGCCAGCGCTACCACATCGGCTTCTCCGTCCATGGTCAGGCAGGGAGGAAGAGCCAGTGGAGAGAAGAGACGATGCGGACTTACTGTTCGATGACCCATTTCCGGAGGAGAAGGTGGATTGGTTCAGGCATCTGAAGATATATGGTCGGCAAGGCCGATCAGGGGATACCTCTCGGAACCAGACGGTGCCACAGCTCAAACAAGGATTAGACGAAACCATCCAGAACCGAACACAGCCATCCCCCGAAGATTTTCTGGAGAGAACCACTCCAGAAAAGGTCGTCCACGGTCGGACAGAGCCGCCACCTAGAGGTCTTGGGCTGGCGGAACGAATAAGAGCCAAGCGTGCGCTCCAGACACTGGATTACGAAGGCAGCTATGTGGCACCATCCATTACCTCAGCGGTTCCTGCGACCGAACTCCCGTGGGTCAGCGAACGGAATCTGGACAAGCTTGATGGCTGGGCTAGGTAATAGTAGCTGTGCCCGATTAGGCTAAAGGTATACTTATCGTTTGTAGGCTTTCTGCCGAAATCGAGGAGTTTGACAACTATATGATGCCGACCGCAGCGGAAGCAGCTACGAGGAGAGCCGTAATAGAGGAAATCCAAGCCTTCGCCGCCAGATACCTACCGCACGCTCCGCTGGAGGTCTTTGGATCTGGTCGAACAGGGCTAGCGTTGGCCATCTCAGACATTGACCTTCGACTCACTGCTTCTGAACACCGTGACACTTCGGGAGCTCCCCAGCCACCTCGGTGGGCCGTAAGAGATCAAAACGTCAGAAATCTCAAGAAACTCCATAAGGCATTCGACACTAGTAAAGACTTCATGCTTGTCGCACTCAGGCAAGCACGATACCCACTGATTTCGATGCAGCACAGAGAATCTGGGATTGATATTCAGGTTGTGTGTTCGAATGATACCGCCACTTCTCGGGACTGGATCAAGAAGTACCTCGATGAACTCCCCGGGCTTCGTGCCATCTACACCTTGGTCAAGGTCATGTTCGACATCAGAGGATTATCAGATGTTTACCGGGGCGGCTTGGGCTCATACAGCATCTTTATGATGGTCGTGGCAAGCCTCAAGCTTGCTGAAAATTCTGAGTCCGATGATCTGGCGCATAAGTTCATGTCGTTCTTGGACTTCTACATCAATCTCGATACACACAAGCATGGCGTTGCAGTGCATCCCCCCAGCTTCTTCGAGAAGCGGCCAGCTGAAGAACTTCAGACGGGCAAGCTCCGCGACCCGCAATCTGCCAGCACGCGCGGGGAGACTGGCGACGATGAGGTAGGTCACAATGGAGTTCCATGCTGCGCAAGTTCTTAGCGGCTAATGTTGGAGCAGATGCTAGCTGGTCAGCGGCGCTTAAGCATGATTGATCCCATACGGCCCTACATGTTGTGCTTGCAAGATCCAGCAGATGCATTCAATGATCTTGGGCGAAAGGCATACAGCATCAAGCACGTGCAAGCGACGCTGAATGAGCTAAGGAGTCAGTTGAGGGAAAAGGTCGCGCTCTATGAAGACTCAAGCACTAGTGAAGTAGGCTCGCTACTGAGTCCGCTTGTGGGCAGTAGCTTCGAGTTGTACGAGGGGAGGCGCAAGAAGCTTGAGGCATACGGGAATGCGGTCCTCGGCCATGATGCTGATCCTCTGCGGGAAAGTGCGTAGGAGCCTCTCGTGGCATATACGTAGATTAATCTCCTCAGGATAAGAGCCTTCATGTGAATGTAACCTGCATTCCTTGTTCGGTTCTTGTAAATACGATGCGGAGCGCTCCACAACAGCCTTGAGCTGCGTCGTGACTCACTCGCAAGAGTTACCCGATTGGGAGCTCGAAATATGCCTGCCTGCCATGCACTTCCCACTCGGCCTTACGCACGTTGACCATGATCCAGTGTCAATCATGTTCTAATCAAGGTCACTCCATGGTGGAAGCAGGATAAGGCCCCTCCTTTCATCTGACAGTGCAGAAATGCTTCTTTCATCCACCTAACAGCTGCCCCCTCAGGCTACAGCCGTTCAAATAGTGCACAAAGTATATAAACTCGTATTGTCAGATTTCTTCTCATCTCACAAACACTCCTTCATCAACGATCATGATCATGAAGCTTGAGAAACCAGTGTTTCCGATTGCTTGTGTTCTGTGTCTTCTCGTCCTCTTGCTTCGCAGGATGTGGGTTCGCCGGCTTGCTCGTCAAGACCCGCTGGAATCGCTTCCATGGGCTGGTCGTCGAAAGCAAATATTCTCAAGGCTTCGCGCCAATCTACGGGACTACAAACAAGGAATGCAAATACTCAACGATGGCTATAATAGCGTACGTCTGCTCATACCAGCTTTACGCAGTGGGATTTCGTCGAAAGTCTCTGGAGTTATCAAATGCCAGATACTCTTGTCTAACCGTCTCGCTGTTGTCGAGGGAGAAACACGTCCGCTTCTTTGCATCGAGTCTGACTAGATCTTCCAGCACAGCAAGCACGGCAGAGCGTGGGTATCGCCAGCTATACTCTGCCAACCAGTGGTTATGCTCGCACCTTCACACATATCATGGTTTTTCAGACAGCCAGAAGACGTCCTCACCAACAAAGTCGTCCAGGCTAGCTTTCTGGGTGTGCCATACGTCATGTCCGACCACCTCTTCGAGAATCCGCTGCATAACGACATTATCAGGAAAGACTTGACACGTAACCTCGAGAGCCTTACACCGGACATCATTGAAGAGATCAACACTAGCCTCGATAAGGTCTGGGGTACGGACACCGAGATATGGAAAGAGGTCAAGGTGCTCGAAACCATGCAGGGGCTTGCAGTTAGGACGGCAAGCCGGGCTCTGGTTGGTAAGCCCCTTTGCCGGAATGAAGCGTACCTCAAGAACGCCATCTATCATGCCATGGGCATAGCTCTGGGTAGCCTCGTCTGCAATTTGCTCCTCCTCAAAGGTTTGAAACTAGTCTTGGGACACTTATCAGGCCTACCGTGCCGTTACTTTACTTGGCGGTCTTACCGCCTGTTAGCACCACAAATCAAGCAGCACATGGAGGCCATCAAGAACGGACCATCCAATGCCTCCAATCCAGAGAAGGGTGGCTCCTATAGTACTCTGGAGAACATCGTCAGAGCAGCTCTGAAGCACCCGGATCCTCGCGAAAGGAGCCCATGGGCTATTACGGAACGCGTCAACCTCCTGAATTTCGCCGCTATCCACACCTCCACATTCACCCTCACCAATCTCCTTTTCGACTTACTCAGCAGCCCCCCAGAGAAGCAGTACGTCGAGCGCATCCGCGATGAAGCGGCGACAATCCTCCAAGAGAGTAACGGTGCCTGGACCCGGTCTGCGGTTGCCCGACTCTATCTTGCCGACTCCACTATCCGTGAAAGCATGAGATGCAGCACCATTGGGGGCCGCGGTGCCGTACACGAGGTCATGCCGAAGGAAGGCCTTACTCTACCGGACGGCCAATTTGTGCCGCAGGGAGCCTATGTGGGGCTGCCGTTTATCCCAATCCATCGGGATGAAGAGTTCTATCCGAGGCCCGACGAGTTCAGCCCTGAGAGGTTCTTAGAGCGCAAGCAGTGTATAGCAATGTTAGATTCGGAAAAGGACGGTGCGGACAGGGTGGACGAAAAGTCGGTGTCGAAAAAACAGGCGCTGGCGACGACAAGTGAGACTTTCCTAGCGTTCTCGCATGGGAGGCATGCTTGGTGAGTGATTCTATCTGAACTGACCTTGTCGGTTAGTATGCTTACGTCTATGGGATAATGAACAGTCCAGGCCGGTTCTTCGCTGCCCATGTGCTGAAGTTGACCCTCGCGGAAATGCTGCTGAGGTACGATATCCAGCACTTGCCGGAGCGGCCAGTAGGTAGATACATCAGCGACGTCATGGAGCCGCCCACCAAGGCAACCATCTCTGTGCGACGGAGGAAGGACACCACCTCATCGAGTGGTTTGCGGGCTCAGGAGGCAGAGGAAATTCTGAACGGAAATGTTTGAGGCTTCCGCATCGGGTTCGTTCCGGGGTTACTGCACACGACTCAATCGCTTCGAGCAACTGTATCATACTGTGGTCTAACAACCTGCACTCTTGCTTCATCAGCCCTCCGCGATATGATCAGTATGCGGGTACGAACATGCGGACGAGATTTTATCACGTGATCGACCTCGCGTCTGGAAGCCTCCAACTGGAGCTCACCAACGCACGCCGCTCACGCTGAAACCAGGACTAACCTGCAGAGAACACCAATGAATTCCGAGTTCTCCTATCCTCCCATAACAAGCAGATTCGATCAGCCGTGTTCGTTTGACCAAAGTCCATGCAATTTCTCGTGTCTCGCAGAGACGCCGCCAGCACAGCAATGGCTTGCATACAGCATGCGCTCCCGTGCCCCTTTTAAGTATCTCCGTAGCACAAGTTACGCTCCTTACTCGCCCAATCCATAGCTATGCACGCGAGTGTGTCTCGCAAGTCCACCACTCTATCTCAGTCCTTTGCATGCACACTGTCCTCTGCGGCTAGATTCAGGCAGCTGTATACCGGCCGAGGACGACAACAGTATCAGATTCATTGACAGCTCAGCAATCGTTTTATCGCTCCTTTCACTCTGTACAAATGGTATGCACGTCGTTTCTTAGCTGCAGCTAGTGTAGCCGCTCTTCTAGTTCCCGCTTGTTGCTGATTACCGGTGCGCTGAACTGCTCAGTCTGAACCCATCCCGGGCCAAGCATCTCAGCCTGGCTCTTCAAGCCTTGGTCTACCGCGACAGTCAAGACTCACAAAGTCAGCGCTGACTCCTCCGTTTCGCGAACGGGCGTCCAGAACCCAACGCAGCGTCAGTGATAGCCCGCAAACAGCATTCCCTACTTGGGTAGATGTAGATAAGGACGAACCACGTCGTAGCCGGGCCACAGGGGCCGGCAACCGTCGCTCCTCTTCTGATAGCAGTGGTATTGGTGCTACTGCAACGATCAGGAGGTCATCGGCACCAGAGTTGGGCTCGACTGGGAAAGAGACGAGCGGCTTCTTCCCTAAGCTCAGTAGGATACTGGAAGGCAAGGAGAATGACCGACCTCAAGACCGATCTCAGCATCCGAAAGAGCATGGACAGAGCATGAAAGAGCTAGTACCGTATGTGGGCCGACGCAGCTCTCAAAGGGACGAAGTGGAGATCCTCCATCGACGTGCCCTCCGGCCAAAGCACGACGGGGTACAGCGGAAGGTCGACAGCCTAGCTAACATTACCAATCCGTCTCTACTCTCTGTACTCTCAAGCTTCACCAATACCTCCGGTACGTCGAGCGGCAGCAACTCAACCATAACACAGAAGTCGTATGATCGAGCCGGCATCTCGAAACGCAAGCGACACAGAGACCGCAGCAGGCGGGTCGAGTCTGAAAGATCTTCGGTGAGAGGACAACGAAAACAAAGCCGCTCAGATACATTAGACCTGTTTGGGTTTCTGGGACGAGATAGCGAGCCCATGGCGTCGCTTTCACCTCACACCTGCCATACCAGTCCTGCATCGTTGCTAGACGGTCGAGAATTTCCCAACGACGCTGGCACCGCGATAGATGATTGTCGCCCACGACGTGCCTCGACATCTTCAGCTTCTACGAAGGAAGGTGCTACAGAAAGGTCATGGCCGCAGCAAGAGCAAATCCACTCGGATTCTGGCATATCCATAGGCGGCAGTAGTCCTGATCAACGCATCAAACAGTCCCCAATCAATCAGGTCCCTTCAGACACTCACTCAGACGGTTCCGATGATGACTCTGAACATTCGGATGAGAAACAAGAGTCCCCTCTGGAAACCTCTATTCAAAAGAAAGCACTCGCCATATCCGGCGCCTCGACACATGAAGCACAACCGGCTCCACACGACGACCATCTTTACCACAGACTGCAGAGTCAAGAGGAAGAGTTACGCCAACACATATCAGGAAGTCCTTACCCTGGAATCAACCACCAAGCATACCACTATTCTGCCCAGGAATCACCTCGTGTCCCCCTGCACCATCCTCAACCTCAGCATTCTGTGCCGCAAGCTCACTTCCATCCACCCCCATCTGCACCTCCATTCCCCTATGAAACACCTGCGTACCACCAAGCACAATTCCTCCCGTATGCCTACATGCAGCCGGCTAATCCGCAATACATGGTCAACGTGAGGGGTCCAGACCTTACCCGGACAACAATATCCGGCTACGAGATGCTCGCTTCACGACTATCGCAGCAGCCCTCACCAGAGCAAGGTAAGACCGAGAAACACGTCATTCCGATGTACCGTCGATTTGACGGACTCAACCATCGCATACTCCTGCATCTCCAAGATGAGATCGCAGAGATGGAGGAAGAGCTGCGCCTGTTGGATGAGTGTGTTGTGCAAATGGATCAAATGGGGTCTGATTGCGATGCACGCCCGGCATCCCGTCGTGCTGACGCTCGCTATGGCGGCGAGGTTCATTACAGACGGACGGAATTGCTTGGGAAGATATTTGTGAAGCTTGGCCAGTACAGTAAGTGCTTTGCGCGTCATAAACCCACACACAGTTGTTAATACCCATCAGCTCAAGCGCTCTCTTCATATGGAGGCATGATCAACGCTTTCGAGTCAGCCCAAACGGACAAAATTCGTGATTATCGGAGCTGGATGGAAAAGCACATGCCAATCGACAAATCAGAAGCACGCTTCTTGAGCCACGAGAGCGATCTGCTAGCTGTTACTTCCCAACGAACGACAAAGAATGGTTCTGATGTCAATCAATGTTCCGCTCTCGGTGTTCTCTTTGCCCTGCTCCTTCCGCTTGTCGCTTTTATCGTCGTGTCTGGTGCCCTTGGACGATTGTTCGTTGCAATCATTATCGGAATGGCTGAGGCGGCTGTGGTCGTCTACATGGATCTTACCTCACTCATGCCGGCCCAGGAGTGGATTACATGCGCTGCTGTGTGAGTACCCGTTTGTCTGTTGTTCGGCTGCGCCTTGCGCCCGGGAAGCTGATGCGTCGCACAGGTATTTTGCGTTTGTGGCTCTTGTCGCTGGCGTCGCTGGATGACCCACATATCCGCTCGACTGTTACTCATACTCTACAAAAGAAGCACGCGAGCGGCGAAGAATACGTCGCCGCGAACTTTACGAATACCGCGAGGGTCACACAACACGAACATCGAGTGTTTACCGCCACCAACACACCATCAGGTTTTTGATACTGTTGACAGGGAAGACAGTCATTGAGGAGCTGGCTATTTTCCTTTCTCTGTTGAAACACCGATTTCACGCGGCTGTTGTTCTATCGCTACGGGCCCGCGTGAGAAGTAGCGCCTTGAAACGCGCCAGGGCTGCAAGCTCACACATGGTTTTCAAGTGGTTGCGGGACTCTCCGCTGTAAGAACGATTGAGACTTGTATATTCACCGCCATTGGCGCGATTGGTGTTTGCGGTGGCAGCGACAGGCATGGCGTTCCCGAGAGATTGGCTTTTCCACTATTGAATCGCCTAACGCGTCTCCTTTGGGCGTTCAGACCTCAGGAAGGACAAGAGACGGAGTTGCCGCCGAAGAATGCTCATTCAACGGCCGTCGCTCATGTATACCCAGCGCATTTCATAGTGATTGTGGATGATCTTCTCCAGAGTTTGCCATGCTGTTTGCTAGGAACATGGCGGGGTTACAACGTCAATGGTAACCCCAGGGGGACGTTTCATGATTACGGTCAATGTAACACAGGTAATCTCATATTCAGATGATTAAAGGGTACCCTGAGACGCGGGCTACCGTATCGATGCAGCTGATATTGCTCTCGACCTGTTCACAGAATCCTCGGGGGCATTGGCTGGATATAATTTTTCTGGATCAGGGGATAGAAAACGCCCTCTGATACCCGTCCAGGATGGTTGATGATCATTGACGCCCAGTAAGCCACCCCGCGTCTATCAATGCCACGCATCACGCCCGGCGGCTTCGCCATCCATGACTGCCCTGTTGCTCCATGCGCATTAAGCGCTTGTCAGGCGGGTGGTCTTTTCGAAACAGACTGCCTACGATGCATGATGAAAAGACTGGATTTGGTAACAAGCGACACGCACCTCAGCGCTATGTTGTTCCGATGAACTAAATGTCGGCACAAGATGCTGTTTCGAGCATTACGGCACTCTATCCATCCGGAGATGGCAAGCGCTTCGGTGCTGAGGTCCGTCAGCTGACCGAACGAAGCGGGCCCTGACAGCGATGGTTCCTGTGCTAGCTGTTTTTGACGGCGCGTAGCGTCTCATGCCAAAGCCGTTTTCCGCTTGGTCTCTGAGGGTGGTATTAACTAACTTAGGGGTGCCAGGTGCCGGGTGCCGGGTGCCATCATCTAACTATGCCATTCGGCCTCTAAGTCATAAACCCCTCCCCTTGGCCGCTGTCCTGCTCGTTCACCACCAGTGCCACCTGCGCTCCCAGCGCGCCGTTCACAAGTGGAAGGTACAAGAGCGCGTTCGGGCAATTCTGCGCTTGCGCCCTGAAACAACAGCTCACCTTCGACCACTCATCGACGTCTTGCAGATAAACTGCCGCCGCCGCCCCTCCTGTCGCTCCTTTCCTTCCGTCTCGCTGCGCATACCCATACGGTAAACCGTCCGTCGAGAACCATTGTCGCGCGCTGGTTGGCGCCTTCGAAATCTCCTTCTGGAATGTCGCCGTCGCGCATTTAACAAAGTGTAATCTCACGCCAGCAAACCACAGCCCGCGACTGTTTCGCACCATCACACACGGCGATCAAACAGAACCGTTTCACAGTCGCCAGGATATCCCGTGCGCGCATTCCCACCGACCGCAGAGTCGTGCGACAGATTGCGCCATCTCGCCAATCTCCGCTTGGAATTTACACTCGCTGGGCGGGAGATCCCAGCTAAGCCAGCATCAACCAGGCTTCGCCGAAACCATCTACGTGGAGGGTATCGCTACGGCTAGCAGAAACGACTTTTGCAACAAAGCTCGAGAAGTGTGTGCGAGAACCTGCTGCTGTTACATCGACACCTTTGCGCATCGTCGAGATTCCTTTGTCTCCATTCAATACCTTGCGCGACTCGTGAAACTTCGTTCGTGTACCTGTCGATACCACTGCGAGTCCTCAAGACGCCCGTGTCGGGCTCGCTCCGCACAAGTTCACCGCCATGGCGGCCGCGAAGCTTCAAGCTCCCTCGCGAGCCTCGACCTCGTCCGCTTCCTCCTTCACACCCGTGTCGCGCCAGAACACCATGTCCTCCCACGATGGCTCCCGATCCATGCGGGCATCCAAGCGCTACTCGGTGACGGCCCTGTACCTCTCCATGTCCGCGAAAGAAAAGGATTTGGAGATTGAGGATGACTTGGCAAGAGGTATACTGGGCGCAAGCTACGCCACGTACATGAGGAGGTGCTGACGGTGTTGCGTAGCACAGAAAGCGCTCCGGGAGCTGAAAGCGAGGATTTCGTCGCAGTCGAAGAAGAACTTCGTGCTTGAGAAGGACGTACGATATCTGGACTCGCGGATAGCTCTGCTCATCCAGAACCGCATGGCCCTGGAGGAGGTACGTGCCGCGAAACTCTGCCACTGACATATCTACTAATCTACTGTGTAGCAAAATGAGGTCGCGAGCCATCTGGATGAGGCTGCTGAGCTCCAGGAGGGCTTCTTCCCGAACGATGAGAAAACTCAGAAATACGGCAATCTTCTCTTCCTCCTCCAATCAGAACCAAGACACATTGCGCATCTTTGTCGACTTGTTACATTGGCCGAGATCGACTCGCTGCTACAGACCGTCATGTTCACCATCTATGGCAATCAATACGAGAGCCGGGAGGAGCACCTGCTTCTGACCATGTTTCAGGTATTCTATCTACTGTGTCGGTGCGGAAGACAATAGATTGATGATAGAATTAGTCCGTTCTCACATACCAGTTCGACAACACCCCCGATTACTCGTCTCTTCTACGCGCAAACACCCCAGTGTCACGAATGATGACCACATACACTCGGCGCGGCCCCGGCCAGAGCTATCTAAAGCAGGTGCTTGCCGAGCGTATCAACTCGCTTATAGAGTTGAAAGATTTGGATCTCGAGATTAACCCACTGAAGGTATACGAGAAGATGGTCAGTGAGATCGAGGAGAGCCAAGGGAGCCTGCCGCCGAACATGCCTAAAGGAGTGACCGCCGAGCAAGCCGCGGAGAACGAGAAAGTCCAGGCGATCATTGCTCCTCGGTTGACTATGCTGATGGAGATCGCCAATTCGTTCCTCTCAACAATCATTGCTGGGCTTGACGAGACACCATACGGCATCCGCTGGATCTGCAAGCAGATTCGGAGTCTCTCAAAGAGGAAGTATCCCGACGCATCAGACCACACCGTGTGCACACTCATCGGCGGCTTCTTCTTTCTTCGGTTCATCAATCCAGCCATTGTCACTCCGCGATCGTACATGCTCATTGATGGAACACCTGCGGACAATCCGAAGCGTACCCTAACATACATTGCAAAGATGCTGCAGAATCTTGCAAACAAGCCGTCATACGCCAAAGAACCGTACATGGTCAAACTGCAGCCTTTCATTCAACAAAACAAAGAGCGGATCAACAGGTTCATGCTTGACCTCTGCGAGGTCCAGGACTTCTACGAATCCCTTGAGATGGACAACTACGTCGCGTTGTCGAAGAAGGACCTCGAACTGTCCATTACTCTCAACGAAGTCTATGCGACCCATGAACTTCTCGAGCGCCATGCTGCGGAGCTGGCAAAGGACGAGAGTTCACATCTTAGCGTCCTATTGCACGAGCTTGGTTCAGCGCCTGCTCAGCTACCGCGCAAGGAGAACAGGGTCATAAATCTGCCGCTGTTCAGCAAGTGGGAAACACCGCTTGATGATCTAACTGCTGCGCTGGATATCACCCAAGAAGAGGTTTATTTCATGGAGGCCAAGTCGACATTTGTTGTGATCATGCGTTCCCTGCCAGCGAACACTCCCCTAACCCGGAGGCCGCTTCGGCTGGATCGCATCGCAGAGGCTGCAGCAACCACAAGGAACGATTCTGTCATGGTCAAGAAGGGCATAAGAAGCATAGAGCTTCTGAGCCAGCTGCAGGAGCTAGGTGTGATTGACAAGAGTGACGGCTTTGCCTTGCTGCGGGATGAGATAGAGCAAGAGCTAGTACACCTGGGTTCCATGAAGGACAAGGTGGTTGAGGAGAGCCGGAAACTGGATGAAGTCTACCGCACGATCCGCGACCACAATAGCTACCTCATCAACCAGCTCGAGACGTACAAGTCCTACCTTCACAACGTCCGTGGCCAGTCAGAAGGCAAGACGAGGAAGCAGCAGAAGCACCAAGTGCTGGGCCCGTACAAGTTCACGCATCAGCAGTTGGAGAAGGAGGGCGTGATCCAGAAGAGCAACGTGCCCGAGAATCGCCGGGCGAACATCTACTTCAACTTCACAAGTCCTCTGCCGGGTACCTTTGTCATCTCACTGCATTACAAAGGTAGGTCCGGTACCAAATTTACCTTTGGAGACACGACTGACGCCACTTTTGCAGGTCGGAACAGGGGCTTACTGGAGCTCGATCTCAAGCTTGACGACCTGCTCGAGATGCAGAAAGACAACCAAGAAGAGCTGGACCTGGAATACGTACTGTTCAACGTATCGAAGGTCCTTGTGTTGCTGAACAAGAGGTTCACGCGGAAGAAGGGGTGGTAAATGTTATATCTTTTCTGCGTCTATGGCTTTCTTCCGTTTCACGCCATGGGCAGCGTGCATCTTCGTGCGCTGAAGCGTGGGCCTTCTTTTGGCAGAGTTGGTTTCTGGCGTCCAGGAGCCCTTTGTTCTGCTTTTTTTGAGGATACCCAAGGGATGCGCGACAGCTGTAAGATGGAGGGTTTTGGGATCAGGCAGCGGAGCGCGAAGGCAAAGTTAAGCTTCTGCCTCCAGTTTCTTTGTTTGCGGCGGCGTGTGTCTCACGGCCACTTGGACTTCCAGTCACACCTTGTAGTTGGCTTCTACGGGGGTGCTGGCTCACGTCTACTTTCTTGTGAGGACAGCTCCCAGGTTCAGGGCGCTCCGGCGGGACCGTTGAGCGCGCTGCAGAACGGGAACCCTGGTTTGACGCTTTGTTTGGGCGATGCCTATGTAACAATAAGATAGCAATCTACGTCATAATGCGACTTTGACTCTTTGAAGTGCCTGCGACTGATCTGGAGCTTCAGGCACTCCCGACATCCCGGCGGGATCAGCAGTTGTGCCGAGTCCGCAGCCTCGAGTCATCCGTCACTGCATCCTCGCCCAGAGCTTCCCCAATCAACCTCACGACTCAACTTCTCCGTGAGCTCAGCCTTTACTGTTCCTCTGGAGCTTTGCAGTGCTTCTCACTCTTTTACACATCCCGTGCCAGTTACCTGTCTTCGCCTACCGCGAGAATGTCGTCCTCCATCGCTATCCCCAAGCGCAGGAAGCAGCAGGCTGTCAGCGAAGCCCCAAGTCCCAGCAGTTCTTCGTCCTACTCGAGCTCGGCGGACTCACCACGCACGTCGCAAGCTACGTCCGCCACGTCCTCACCGCAGACTCGCTACAACCATGATCGGCGGCCGTCGTTGTTGAGTATGTCCCTTACCAAGCTGCCCAGTCGTCAGCGGCGCTTCGAGGAGCTACTTGAAGCGTTAGCATACTGGACCAGAACCCAGAGCTGACAAGAGCACCCAGGCTCCTCCATCTCGAAGTGCGAGCACATGGTTATCAACGTCGGACACCCTGACGCTCCTCGGCTGGTATGCGACCCCCCACAACACAGCCTCGCGATTCCACATTTGCTGATCTAAGCTGCGTAGATAACGTGTGTCAAGTCTTCGCAAGGCTTCGACTGGAACCAAGGTACGTCGCAACAGCCCCGCTCGCCGTGAATTCAAACAGCTGACCCCGCGTCCAGACCTCTTCCTCCCCTCCTACATCGACCATGACTCTTACGATCTCGAGCATAAGAAAGACCCGATTCAAGACATAGTTCTTACGGATGAGGAGGCTGCATCGTTCCTCCCGCAGTAATTGTCCATCATATCCGTTCTTGGGCATACTGGCGCAATTGAGACATGCAGCATGAGGCCTGGGGTTGGCGCTTTGGATCAGCGGACACTGGGACGGGGCGAGCTGGGCTCAGTATAGCATCGATTTAGCATCATGTTGCGTTATATGGGGTCGTATCTGGCGTCGGATTTGGCGCTTTGGGCGTGTGCTTGGGACGGTGAATAGCGCTATCTCTGAGGACTCAATACCACTCTGTAAACATGTAGATCTTCCAACTCTATCGAGTAGGTGAAGCTATGCGCTTTCAACATACTTACTTGGTACCAGACAATAGAGCTCCGAAGAGTCACTCCTATTGGCCTGCTTCTGGTTCAATCAACAGCGACGACCCAGACTTACAAGATACCCCACGTGATACCCCACGTTTCGGCTTACCTTCCCTGACGGGCCGTTGCTTAGCTCCCGCCGCATCATCAAAACAATCCCCATCCCACCAAGCCCCAAGTCATTGCAAGGGCACCAGACATTGATCTCATTGAAGCTCTACCCACGCAAAACCCGTAACACACCCCTCAAAAGACAATGGACACAGCCCACCGCAAAATCGAGCTCCAGTCCCCCGCCGACTTCGCTTACCTCCAGTCCAACGCGTTACGCGCCGCGCGCCAGAAAATAGACCTGCACCTCCCGCCCAGCGCGGCGCCTGCGGGGGAGGATGCGCTCAGGAGGAGGGTTGAGGAGCTGGTCGATGAGGTAGGACTCCATACGGCAAGGTGGAGGTGTTTCGAATCTGATTAAGGAGCGGAGAGGGCTGACCGGAAGGGGGCGATGCGATGGTGCAGTACATCCGCACCACCTTCGCGCGCGCGCAGCACAACATCAGCATCAACGGGCTGGAGGCCGCGGAGGCTCAGGAGCCTGCCGGGGGCGAAGGTGCGTTCTCCACAGCATCCCTTCTCAATGTCGACAACGGAGTGGAACGCGGGGGTGTTCTAGCGGGGCTTGCTATACTGCTCTGACAGGCAAACAGAATACGAACCCTACGACTCCCGCCTCTCAGCCCACCTCCAGTCCCTCGAGCGCCGGAGAGAAGACCTCACGGCCCAGGTCGCCGACCTGCGCCGCACGGCCCCCTTGCGCGCTGCACAGGCTTTCCAGACATCCTTCACCCGAGAATCCGAGACCCTCGACACTAAGCTCAAAGCCGAAGAGGAGGCACTGTTGGCGCAAGCAGAGAAAGAGGGAAGGCTGGATATCGGGCAGCTGCAGCGCTGGGACGAGGTGCAAGCCATGTGGGAAAGGGGGACCGAGGGGCTGGTGGGGTTGAAGGGGCTGACGGAGACGGTTGCGAGGTTGGAGAGGGCGGAGGGCGTGGTGGGGTATTTGGAGCGGAAGTGAGCAAGTCGTCGGATTCGTGCGCTTGGGGTCTGGGCGCTGAGGACTGGATTTGGCGTTGCTTGGATCAGGCGCCGGGGTACGTTTTGTGGCGGGCTTTGAGGGGTGTAGAATGGTGTTGGAGTCCAGATCTCACAAATGCCACGGCAGATGCTTCAGCCACTTCTCTATCGGATTTCGGAATAGTTTCGTGGTACTTCACTCGGGTCTAAATCACTATCATATCGACTGTTCGTCTACGACGGTGTGGAGCTGTCCTCAGGTCAAGGCTGTAGAACTCGCTCGAGCAGGGTTAACAAACGCGGTCACGGCGAATAAAGCCGTGTGAAAGAGCACCTGTCTCAGGTCACGTGAAGTCCATGGCCCCCCGTAAAGCACTCTTCATTCTGTAACGCACTAAGCTAAGACCGTCTAAAATGCAAATTTCCCCTTAACCACACGCCCGGTCGATGAGTACCGATATGCAATCATCAAAGAAAGAAAAGCCGAGCTCAGAGCCGTCATCATAAGAGCAATCCTCCGTTCCCACCGCAGCCTAACCACCTTGTTCGGTGTCGAGTTATGTGCTGAGCCACTTTCCCAGTGCAGGAATAAAGGTGTGCATAGCAAAGCATCCCCCCGTAGCAAGCATCAAGCCTAGATGGCGTACTTCCTAGTCCACTCTCTGGCCGTGGCTTCGTAGCGGGCACGATCGGTCTTGTAGACGTGCGCGATTTCTGGCACCAGCGGGTCATCCGGGTTCGGGTCTGTGAGCATTGAGCAGATTGAGAGTAGTACTACAAAAACTGTCAGTAGGTGTACTTCTTTGGTATGTTCTGCTTCAACTAACCTTTCGATATGGTCAACGCAGGGCTCCACTGGTCTCGCAGAATGTCTAAGCAGATGCTGCCGTTTGAGTTGATGTTCGGGTGGTAGATCCGCGTCGTGAAGTTGACCTTTGGCGGCTTGAAAGGATAGTCTGTGGGGAAGTGGATGGCTAGGAAGAAGACGCCACCGGAGTATGGAGAGTCGCCCTGCTGGTGAGTTAGCCTTCGAGTTCGATCGTAGTGTGGGGTAGCCGTTCTAGCAGCGTGAGGGGTACGCGAAACGGTTTCGGAGAGGTAGACTTACGGGACCCATGATTGTCGCTTGCCAGTGGAACTGTTGTAAAGACTCTGTCAGTCCTCGTTCGTCCCCAGATCTCGGCGGCGGTCACGCCAGCCTGGTCTTGCCAAGTCAGAAGCTGAAAGGACTCAAACGTACCAGATCATCTCCGATAGGGCCAGCAGAGCAGGATGAGGGAGGGTCACTGAAGAGTTCTGTTAGCGGGGGTGATCTTTCAACTTCTCGCAGAAGGCGAGTGGCACAGCCCAGCGGGGCACACAACGTCAAGCGATCGCGCAAACGCTGTCGGTGCAAGGAAGAAAGAGGCGGGTGTTCACATACCGACCAAGGTCAGTGAGTTCCTTGTTGATGCGCTTCAGAGCCATGTCGAGTAGTGAGTGTTTGTGCGGGTTTGCTTGTGTGTGGTGTGTGTTGTGTGTTTAGGCGCTTGGTGGGTGGTGGATGGCGGGCGGATGTTGCGCAGTTGGCTGGCCTTGCGGGCGAGAAATAGATTAGCGCTTGTCTGAAGCGGGCTGGCGGAAGCCTGACGTAGCGACAAAGAGGGCAGGTGCGGATCTGGCTCACAACGTACCTGGTGTCGGCGACAGGATCTGGAAAGGCGTAAGTGAGGTTTGAAATGTGGAGTGGAAGGAAGCACGGAGGCACTCGGTGTGGTGTTTTTGTGCTTTGCCGCTGGAAGTCGGCAGAACCTTGGAATAATTTTCGGCTTGCCGGTCAGTCACGATCTCTCAGCTGCTCAGCCGGCCTGAATAAGCAGCATGTCACGCGTGCATTGTTTCAAGTCAGGTGAAAGACCGCTTCTCAACTGAAGTAGCCGCCGGTGCTTGCGGCGGCTAACAAGCAAAGATCAACTGCTCTATATACACTGCCACTATGCTACCTGTTTGCCTTTATCAAAACGCCCAACCATATCCGGGTTGTACGAAACAACCGCTACACGGATGCTGGGAAAAGAGGGCGCACCTGTCCACAGAGAAGACAAAACCCAACCCCAGCTCAACAGAAGGCTTGAAGGCCGGTGATGGCCCTTCCCAAAATGAGGGCTACGAGCATGAGGTCAGCGTTGGCTTCTTCTAGGGCTCGGACTGGCCTACCGTGAATGTCACTTTGCCCCTCATACGTCTGCGTCACGAACAAGTTGGCAACGTGGCGGCCAATGCCATACTCGTCACTGACAGCGTTGCCACCGAAGACCTCTTGAAGCCTGGTAACCGTTAGTGTTAAGGCATGTCCTTGGACCGTCTTGAAGCCACTTACACTCTCGCATTAACCAACGCTCGGTCACAATTCTGCCTCTTGATCATAGAAATCATCTCGGGTGCGAGCTTGCCCTCGTCCTTTAGCCTTCCCGCTTGGGTGGCTGCTACTATGCCGTATGCCGCGTCGGTTGTTGCGTCCGCGAGTTTCTTCTGCACGAGCTGGTACTTGGCAACCGGGTTGCCCTTGAACTGCTTCCTCTCAAGAGCGTACTCTCTCGTGCGAGCGATGCAGTCTTCCAACGCGCCCATGGTTCCCCAAGCAATACCGTATCTGGCAGAGTTCAGGCAGCTGAACGGCCCCTTCAAGCCCTCGACATTGGGAAACATGTTGGCTTCCGGCACTGGACATTCGTCGAGCTGGATCATGCCAGTGATGGATGCCCGTAGCCCGTTCTTGTTCTTGATGGCAGGCGTCTCCAGCGTTCCTGGCGGACACTGATCGCGGTCAATGAGGAAGCCCCGGATCTTGCCCGTTTCCTGTAGCTTCGCCCATACCAACATCACGTCGGCGATCGGCGAGTTCGTGATCCAAGTCTTGGCGCCGGATATCGAGAAATAGCCTTTCTTCGAGGGGTGCGGCTTTGCGGTGGTCTCCATCGATCCTGGGTCAGAGCCGTGGTTTGGCTCCGTCAAGCCAAAGCAGCCTAGAATCTTGCCCTTCGCCATGCCTGGCAGGTATTTCTCTTTCATCTCCTGTGTGCCATGTTCGTCGATGCCGCCCATGACCAGCGAGCTCTGGACTGACATGCCGGACCGGTAGCCAGAGTCGACTCGCTCTACTGCTCGCGTGATGAGGCCGGACGCTACGCTGCTAACGCCTGCGCAGTCGTAGCCCTTTATTGTTGCGCCGAGAAGACCCAGCTCACCCATCTCTTCCAGTATCTTCTTGTCGTACTCTTCATTGCGGTAGGCCTCTAGATGGTCGAGGATCAGCTCCAGAATCATAATCTGATATGGAGAGGTGATGGTATACCTAGTACTCGCGGCAGCATGCGCTCCTGGCAGTAAGACTCAGCAGTCTCCGAGATTGCCAACTCCTCTTCCGTGAACATGTTGTTCGATCCCAATGGATCTTTCCAATCAAACGGCACTGGCGCGTGGAGATGCCTACTGCCGATGGCGGCGCTGCGGGTGGCAGCGGCCAACTGCCGTGTAGCATGTCTGCAGACTGGTTTGAACATGTTGGAGGACGGTACAGTATGAGCGACTCAGAGTAAGAGGGAGATAATCGCAGAGTGCTGAGTGCCACAGAAATGCGTCCTAACTTTTGAGCAGCATTCGGCTCAACCCCACAAATGACAGATGAGGGATCGGCATAGGGTTCAAGAGCCGAGGCTCCCCAGGGCGTAGTTAGCTCGATTGCGGAGCGCCATGATGTCTGCGCCTTGAGCTTGGAATTATACGTGTTCACCTACATGAGACTCTGGCTGGGGATAGTGCGTCTCTACCTCAATAGCGATGCAGCCGTCTCGCCACAAGTTCACGTTCCGTCCTCCTGTCAAGGAACGGCGGCGCTGCGGGCGCAAGGCTGCCAAGTCGCGTAAGGCTTGAAGTGCGCGCGTAACCGACGCGCCGCGAATGGCGTCACCCGTCACCAGCCACCAGCCATTCCCTCTTTAATCATCAAGTGAACAACCACACGCCCACAGTCGCAGCATTAGACAAATCCCTCGCAGCAACAGCCAGTAGCTAGGAGCCAAAATGGGTATCAAGCGTAAGGTCTTGACTTCTCTGCGCAGTTTCAACTACTGACTCCCCCAGATCTGTACCAAGTCATCAGCGAAAATGCCCCCGACGCCATCAAGACCGGCGAAATCAAGAATCAGTTCGGGCGAAAGGTTGCCATAGTACGTCTCCCTTGCACCAGCAGCCTTCACATCACTAACCTCACCCAGGATGCGTAAGCTCACTCACTCGCTCCACCTCCAAATCTATCCCATACCTAACCCACCCCGCAGCTCCATGAGTATCTACAGCTTTCTCATCGCCGTCCGCTCCGATGGGCAGCAACTCATGAGCGACACGGGCGAAACAACCTCGCACCTGATGGGCATGTTCTACCGCACGCTGCGCATGGTCGACAACGGGATCAAGCCGCTCTTCGTCTTCGACGGCGCGCCGCCCAAGCTCAAATCCGGCGAGCTCGCGAAGCGCTTCCAGCGCAAGTCCGAAGCGCAGGAGGCGCACGAGGAGGCCAAGGAGACGGGCACGGCGGAGGAGGTGGAGAAGTTCTCGCGGCGCACGGTTAGGGTGACGCGCGAGCACAATGCAGAGTGCCAGCGGCTGCTGACGCTGATGGGGATCCCGTATATCGTTGCGCCGACGGAGGCGGAGGCGCAATGTGCGGTGCTGGCGCGAGCTGGCAAGGTCTACGCCGCCGCGTCCGAGGACATGGACACCCTAACCTTCAACTCGCCCGTGCTGCTGCGCCACCTGACCTTCAGCGAGCAGCGCAAAGAGCCCATCCTCGAGATCCACCTCGACAAGGTGCTCGAGGGGCTCGAGATGGAGATGCCGCAGTTCGTGGACCTCTGCATCCTGCTCGGCTGCGACTACGTCGACCCGATCAAAGGCATCGGCCCCAGCACGGCCCTAAAGCTGATCCGCGACCACAAGAACCTCGAGGGCGTCGTCGAGTTCTTCGAGACGAGCAAGAAGTACAGCCTGCCCGAAGACTGGCCCTACAAAGACGCGCGGCTATTGTTCCTCGAGCCCGACGTCCGGCCCGCAGACCACCCCGACTGCGATTTCAAGTGGGATGCCCCTGACGTCGACGGCCTGATCAAGTTCCTGGTGGAGGAAAAGGGCTTCAGCGAGGACAGGGTGCGCAATGCGGCGACCCGGCTGCAGAAGAACCTCAAGAGCGCGCAGCAGAGCCGGCTGGAGGGCTTCTTCAAGCCGATGGACAGGACGCCGGAGCAGCAGGCGGCGCTGAAGCGGAAGAATGAGGCGAAGATTGAGGACAAGAAGAAGAAGCAGAAGCAGGTCGCCAAGGAGAAGAAGGAGGCGAAGGCGAAGCCCAGGGGTGGATTGTGATTCACGGCTTTTCTATCACGGGAACGGTGGGGACTTTGGGCTTTGCTTGCTTCTGTTGCGCTTTTCGGTGGCGATCACGGCATAGGATGGCTCTGCAAGGCGTTGCTGGTGCAAAGCGGGTGGAAATACCATGGCAGATGTCTACAGGTCACGTGTGCAAGACCGAGGTCTCGGGCAATTCGAAACTGGCTCTCTAATTTTCTACGATACCACACGGATGAATATACGGTTACAATGGGTGATAATACAAGTCAAAAAGAAAACCTATCATGCGGGTAAACCGCCCACTGCCATCAATGCATTCCAAAGTCTCCGCTCTGGACAATCGCCCTCTGGCACTCCGCCAGAATGGCCGCCTGTCTCGTGACCTCACCAAGCCGTCCAATAACCTCCTTGTTGCCCTCCACAAAGCCATACAGCGCGTACGGTATGCTGACCTCATCGCAAAACTGCTGTACAAGCTTCTGCGTCCTCCTAAGATTATGCCTCGGAATCCTCGGATACAGGTGATGGATCGCCTGGAACTGGAGCCCGCCATGGAAGAAGTCGAGCCACTGGGGACACTCGACGTCCATGGTGGTCCTGAGCATCTTCTGCGGGAAGCTCTCATGCGTGCCTAGGTCCGCGGTGCTCATGGCGTAGTGGCTCAGCGTGATCTGCACGTGCAGCGGCGCGGTGACAATGTGGCTGATCAGGACGAAGGCGACGCGCGCCGTCCACGTCGGGATGCTGCAGTAGAGCACCCCGTACCCGAACCAGCTCCAGAAGAAGAGCTGGCCCGCGATCTCGAACCAGCGCGTCCACCACGCGGGGCCCTTGCGGATCGCTTGCCCGCCGAAGAGGTAGAGCCAGGAAAGGCGGTAGAGATTGAAGCGGCCGAGGCACAGGATCGGGTAGTAGAGGTAGCTTTGGTATTGCACGAGGAACTTGGCGGCCGCGTCGTAGGTCATGTTGAAGTCGTAGTAGGTCGAGTTGAGGGACTCGAAGAAGCGGTGCGAGAGCGCGAAGAAGGGCATGAGCTCGATGTCTGGGTCGTGCTCGGGGGAGTTAGTGACGATGTGGTGCACGTTGTGGCTGCGCTTCCACCAGCCCAGGCTGAGGCCGCCGATGAAGTCTGCCACGACGATTCCGATGATAGTGTCCTTTGTGAAATCATGGGTGATGCCCATGTGCCCTGCGTCGTGGGCCGTGAAGACGAGTTGGTGCCAGAACATGCCGAGGAAGACGGCGCTGGTGCAGTACCAGCCCCTGCGGAGGAAGACCAGGAAGAGGGAGAACAGGAGGGTGTATCTACATAGCTCGTACGCGTAGGCGCTGTAGTTGCACTGGTAGAGACCTTCGGCTCTGATGCGTTCGTTCAGTAGGCGGTACTTTTGCACAATCTCGTCCTGGACCTTTGCGTCGAGAGACGGATATCTAGATAGATCGAGCTCGATCTCCTCCTGGGTCTTACGATCCATGGGGGAAACTTTGGTTGGGCTCCCAACTTCAGAGAGCTCGACGGAGGAGATGGAGGTGGTTGAGGACGCCCGAGTTCTAGTAGTGTCGCCCAGATGCCGCTGGCGCAAGCCTGACGCTCCATCTGCGGGCTCGAAGATTGGTGACGGCTCCGTAGAGGTTCCTTCGCTCGACGAGTCTTGCTCGAGATTCTTCCCTGCCCAAAGTGCGTCCGTGGTCTCGGGATCCAGATAGACACGGAATTTCCCACCCTGGATCGGAGGGAGGAAGTTGGTCCAACGACCCTCGATACGGCCGATCTGGTAGTTGCTCATGCGGGCAAGAGCCTCTGGGGAGTGAAGACTGAGAAGTGGTCAGTACAGGCAAACAAAGTGCAGCTGGGTAGACGTACGCCTTGACCTCGTCGGTAGCATCTCTGCCCACCATATGCGAGATAGCTTTAGGTCCACCAGGGTGAAAATCGAGCCATGCATCCGCCTTGAAAACCTTGCCGTCCACTATGAATATGGAGCGGCCTTCTGCGATCAAGCCTTCTATTTGACGTCTAGCAAGGACCGCGTCCTTGCGGGCGGTCGAAGCTGAAAAGGAGGCCATGGTGGCCTGGGAATGAACGAATGCTGATTCCAACTGGACAAGAGCGCGTTGTCTATTGTTCCAACTGTAAAGCGAGGTTCCAATGGACGAGCGGGAGGGACAGGAGGTGAAAGGGACGGCAGAAGAAGGAACGACAAAGTCGGAATGAGCTCCGGCTCTAACCAGTCTCTGCTGGCGCTTGAGGGGAAAACAAGCCCAGACCCGGTGCTTTTTACAGCCACAGCCACAAAAAAGCCACAGTGCTTGGCGGGCTAGGCCTGTTGCAGCAGGCGTCAGTTCCTGCTTGCCCCTACAGAGCACCAGCAGAGTGCAGACGTGTGTACGCTCAATTGCGGCCGGTTTTGCGGGTCGAGGAAGGGGCAGGAGCTCAGGGTCATCCGCCAAGGAGTCCAAAGTCGATGGAAAGGGTCCTTGGAATTCCAGGGTCCCGTCCGCGCGCGTCAGATTGCGGCTGAGTTTTCACTGATCGCGCCAGGGGCGGTTGCGTGCGGGGGTGCCCAGCTGAGCTTCCAGGTTCCACCAAGCCGTTCCACCGCTCTGGTCTAAAATCAAGCCACAGACCGTTTTTTATGGCCCTGGTCCATTTCACGTCGAAGCTTGTTCTACCAACCCTCTTGGTGCTCTGGTCCGGCATTGCCTCGCTCGAGCACTGATTGAAAGTCCCATTAGTTACTGCCATTCTAGCAGAAGCAAGCGTCGGTCGCATCAGGGTGCTCGTCGGAAGCGGCCGAGAGAGCCCTGACGTGCACAGGTAGGATTCCGATTCCGACCAGAAAACTCAGGTGATTTGCCCTCCGCGCCATTTATCTACAAGACCCCCAAACGGCACCAGTACACAACATCCTGCTACTTCGTCCTTTCTCTAGAGTACATTAACGCGCGGCGACCTTTATTGCCGGATACACGTGACGTAGGCTTCCGGTTGAGATTCTCTATTCCCGTTGCCCAGAGACATCTGGGGCTGCCAATTACTATCCGCATCTCTACTCGCAGAACTATCAATATTATTCCACCAGCATAACCAATCAGAATGATAGGCGCCATTAAGGAACTGGCCGAAGAATGGCTGCGCCTCGATAGAGACGCGACCACGAGGGAACAGATCTACCAACTGTTGGTGAACAACGAGCAAGAGGAACTCGAGAGACGACTCGCACCCCGCATAGCCTTTGGCACCGCCGGCTTGCGTGGACCCATGAAAGCCGGGTTCGCATGTCTCAATTCATTAACGGTCATACAAGCATCCCAAGGGCTAGCCGCTTATCTACTGGATACCGAGACTAACGTCCATCACCGAGGCGTCGTCATCGGCCGCGACGCGCGACACAATTCCGACAAATTTGCAAAGCTCACCGCCGCTGCATTTGCAGCCAAGGGCATCAAAGTGTGGTGGTTCGAGCAGCCTGTTCACACGCCCTTTGTGCCTTTTGGTGTCAGTGAGCTGGGCGCCGTAGCTGGCGTAATGATCACTGCGAGTCACAACCCAGCGCAAGACAACGGGTACAAGGTCTACTGGTCAAATGGCTGTCAGATCATACCTCCACATGACGCTGGCATAGCAGCATCGATTCTGAGGAACCTTGAGCCAGTCACGTGGGACACGTCTGTAGTCGACGAGGGCAACCTGCTCGTTGAAAGCACGTACGGCCTCGTCAGGGACGCCTACTTCAGGGCCGTTAGTGCAGGTGCACGATCAGTAGAGCCTGCAGATGCAGAAAAACACCCAACCCGGGTTTCAGACATCAGTTTTGTCTACACGCCCATGCATGGAGTGGGCCTTCCGTACATGACCAAAGCCGTTCGCGGTTTAGGTTTAGAAGAGAACATGGTGGTCGTCCCTGAACAAGCAGATCCCGATCCCGACTTTCCCACGGTGCGGTTTCCTAACCCCGAAGAGCGAGGCGCGCTTGACCTTGCCATCAAGACCGCTGACGCTCATTCCATCCAACTCGTTATTGCCAGCGATCCGGATGCCGACCGCCTAGCGGTGGTAGAAAAGGTGGAAGACGAGTGGCATCAACTCACTGGCAACCAACTCGGTATCCTTCTTGCATCACACATCTTCGATACGTGGCGACATCTCCACTCGGAAATCGAAAAACTTGCCATGCTCGCTTCGACCGTCTCATCCCAGATGCTCGCCGTTATGGCCAAAACCGAAGGCTTTCACTTCGAGGAGACCCTCACCGGCTTCAAGTGGCTTGGTAACATGGCTCTCAAGCTGGATGAGCGGGGCTTCGACTCTCGATTCGCCTTTGAAGAAGCCATCGGCTACATGATTCCCGGCGTTGTGAAGGACAAAGACGCCATCAGCGCCGCGGCCGTGTTCTTGACAGCGGTTGCGAGATGGAGGGATGGGGAGGGTCTCACTCCGTGGACCAAGTTGCAGCAGCTGTACGGAAAGTACGGGCACTTCGAGGACGCGAACACCTATCTTGTCTCCCCGTCACGTGCTGTGACCGATGCCGTCTTTGCGGATATCAGGAAACTGGGAACTCCGCATCCGACGCATCTAGGCAAGCGGAAAATCCTGCGCTGGCGAGATTTGACAGAGGGTTATGATTCGGCGACAGAGGACCATAAGCCAGTGTTGCCGGTATCGAAGGATAGCCAGATGATCACGTGCGAGCTGGAAGGACAGGTGAGGTTTACTGCGAGAGGATCGGGCACGGAGCCAAAGCTCAAGTTGTATATTGAGTGTCGTGCTGGAAGCTCGGCAGAGGCGCGAAAGGGGGCGAATGAAGTTCTGGAAGACTTGTTGGAGGAGTGGTTCAAGCCGGCGCATTATGGACTCAGGCCAGCTTGAGTGGCCTCTGCGCTGAGCCCTGATATCCTTTTGGTGTAGCGGATCTCTCCTTTTGGACAGGACCAATTCTTGAACACATTGCGGGAGGCTCAGTATGACTTGGGAATACCGTCAGCGATGACTAGAGAAAGCCGTTCTGCCATCATCTTGGCTCGATGTCTAGGGCATCAAGACACCCATGAAGCGGCATACAAGCCGAGAGAGCTTTGCACAAGCTTCGGCGAACATGTTCCTATGCGGTTCCTGCTCACAGAAGCCGCCGTGTGTTCCTAGTCCTTGTTTTCCGCAGACGCTGACCTTCGCCAAGTAACGGTAACCACATGGATCTCATACGACGACGGCGGTTTTGTACGACGCCAACCCCTTTGTCTAGTCCAGCTTTTCACAGTTGTGCTCTCATCCGCCACCATATTCGTTCCGTCCCTCAACTCAAAGCGCCATAGCATCACCCTCTTAACCAACTCATCGAGCTTGCCTTTCCACTCTTTTGTGACCTCAAACTCAACCTTGACGTCCTCGAGTTCGTTGGGGAACTTGGTAAGATCAGGTGAGCCCCAGCTGGCACTAAAAAGCTGTTGGATGTCGTCGTTACCATAACGAGTATCGGACCAGTTGTTACCCCAGCTGATGGTGATGGTGAGGTGCTTGGGGCGGAATTGCTGTGGAGACATAAAGGTACTGAACTCCCGACAGTAGTAAGCCATGAAGACGTGGACGTGGTTGAGGTCGGTCTGCTGTTTGCGCGTTAAGCTTTCGAACCGGAGAGGCGTTCGGCTAGGATCTCGAGAACAACTGATCGTGCCGAGCCAGAAGCAATGCGTAGCACTGCTCATTGGAATGGTGTTGGTCTCGTAGTACACACGCCGGCAAGTGCGGAGGAGGTCCGTGTTGATAACCTTGGGGAAGCAATGCCCGGGACGGTAGTAGTTGTCAGTTGGGTCGTAGGGTCGCGTTGAGTCCTCGTGTTCAGAGAGTGCCAGCTCGAAGATCTGGTTGCGGATTTCTGGAGGGAGTACCGAGAAGAGTGGGGACTGCATCTGTGGATGAGAGTTGAGCGGTGAGATCTCTGTGAGAGATCTCCGCACTTTGCGGACTGCGACCCTGCGTTCGCGACGACTTGTCGAGAGCATGTTGCATTCGGTGTCGTTTCTGGGAGAAGCAATGAATATGATATGCGACAAGCTGATACTTATAGAGGCCACAGCGCTTTAGACAAACTTGCATGGGAAAGTCATTGCGAGGCGATAGGCAACAGCAAACAACAGCAAGAACTTTAAGGAATCGCGCTGATCTTGAAGGCCGCTTCTGCTTACCTTCCCACGACAGCTATCTCCGCGTTGCTCATATTGCTAGGTCTGCTCGATCCCCAAACTGAATTACAAGGAGCTTGCTCAGTTAATAACCATACCTCCTAGGCACAGTGCTGGACCGAAGCTGGGTGGATATGTCGCTTTGATTAGACCGCAGACGCCGCTTATTCCTGACACTGAGTTTCCAGTATGTAAGCTTCTAGAGCTTCGTGCAGCTTGACTTGGTCGTGGTGCTTTACTGATGTTCCTCGTTCACGTGGTGCTGCGCTTATCTCAGCTTGCGGCTCAGACGGCAAATAAGACAAGGGCCCTATAGCTAAGCTCCACCCTACCCCACCCTATCCACTAATTAAACCCCTCCCTCTAGGTTTTGTCTTATTTACCGTCTAAGAGCCTCTAGTGCGAGTTTCTATAAGGCTTAACTTATAAGACGCGTGGAAGATTATTCTACTATAAATCACACTCCTACTATAAGCTTAGACGTGTGTAGACTATAAAAAGATAGTATAAAATATAAATATATATACTTTTAGCACTTTTTTTAAAGGAAAAGACGTAAGATTAAAGTGTATAAGCGATTCTTACGCAGCTTATAGCTATATATAGAACGACTCGTCCTTTTAACTTTTCTTACTTTTTATTTTTTTTTTTAACTTTTCTACCTTTTAAGTTTTTTTTTCTATATCTTAGGAGACGCTTTATATTAGTTATATAAAGCGTCTCCCAGCTTTTAGAAAAAAAACCCTAAGAGTTAGAAAAGTTAAGAAAAAAAACAAAAAGTTAGTAATTTTTCATATATAATACTTCACTATTACTTTTCCACCTTTTAGGATTTTCTTTCCAAATTTTAGGAGATACTATATATGAGTTATATATCGCATCCTCTAACTTTTAGAAAGAAAATCTTAAGAGGTGGAAAAGTCGTATAAATTAAGTCGTCTCTTATATAAATCTATACTAGTGGCTCTTAGACGGCAGGAGTGACTCTATACACCGCTATAGGCTTGTGTGCTAATGCTAAGGCCACCCCTGCAAAAGTCTGAGTCGCTAACTGAGATAATGCTGCGCGGAGCTCTTCGTGCCGCGATGTCACGTGCTCGTGAGAGCCGACATTTTCCATGTGCAGAGTTGTTCTCAGCCAACATATACTAGGAGCAATCCCCTGATGCTACCTGCGCTAGTATTTGATAGGCAACATGGCAGAAATCAGGATTCGAAGACTGCTTAAGGGTTCTACCTCGGTAGACATACCCAAGCACTTTCCTATCACAAGCACGAATTGGTATTACGGCTATGCGCAAGGGTATTGCAAACGATCCACGAAGCTAAGTGGTTCGTCGCTTGCCCATTGTTTGTATTCGTACATGAGGGTGTTGTTTCTTCGTTAGCTGAAGCATTCACAACCTCAATCAAGCGTTGGCACCTCCGTTCACACTCCAAGTCGCACCTACGACAGAGCTACTCTCTTTGCTCAAGAGGAATGCAACAACATTGGCATTCTCCTGCGGTGTACCGAGGCGGGGAATAAGACAATTCGGCACTGGGTTCGGCGCTCCAGCACCTCTTGTAGCGTGCGTTATAGTTGTATCAACAGCACCACTACAACATATATTAGCCCAACCCGCTCGTCATCGCTGTCGAAGGACATCACTTACGGCATGACCATGTTGACCCTGATGTTCCGCTTCCCCTGCCTCCATCGCCGCGCTCTTCACCATTCCCACAGCCGCATGCTTGCTGGCGCTAAACAGTGCACCTTGTGGATACCCGCGCATCGAAAATATGCTCGAACGTGAACGACGCTACCCGGCTCTTCCAGGACGCCGGGCTTGAGTGCCTCCGCGAGTACGTGAAACAGGCCCTTGATATTGACGTCGACGATGTACTCCATCTCCCTATCTTCAGTTTCCCAGATCGACTCCGGCCCCAGCTTATGGCCTCCCGTGCCTGCGATTTAGGCTACGCCATCCAGTCCGCCGAGCTTCGACTTCGTGGCTTCGAGGAAGGATCTTACAGCACCGCGGTCCGCGATGTCGAGAACTTGGATGATGACGCGGCTCTTTTGCTCCTCGGTGAGTGAGTTAAAGAGCTTCTTGAGGCTGGCGCCGTTCAGGTCGCAGAGGCCGAGCGAGGCACCCCGCTCTAGGAGGGTTTTGGTGATGGCGAGGCCCATGCCGGAGGTTGCCGGTAACGATGAAGACGCGGCCGGAAAAGGAAGATGCCATCTTTGAAAACAGGGACACAGGGACGAGTGAGACGAGGCTGCACAGTGAAATCCGAACACTGCTTGGGTTAAGAGATTTACTTAGAGAAAAACGCGGAGTTCTGCATGCAGATTGACAAGAACCGCAGAGTATCTTGAGGGCAGTTGAGGATGAGACGTCCTTGCGAGATTTGAGTGAAATGGCAGCTCCATAACGGAATATATAGGGAAACTTTCGTTCGTGCACTCGTCCATAACGACACACACTCGGCTGCTGCTCTTACGTTGCCGCACGATAGGTAGACTAAGACGGATATGCCAAACTTAAGTCGCGAGTCTTTTGTTAAAGCCTACGACGTACCTTGGGAAGGGTTGGAGTTTCATCGGTCAAGGTCGGTGCACGGGCTCCCGTCGTCAGCAGCTTGCATTGGTCCCTTGAACCCCTGTCCTGGCGTCAAGGGCCAGCATAGGATTGCTTCACCATGCGCTTCATTAATCATTCTGTTCGTCACAACCTGCTACTGCTACTTCTACCGTTACCACTGTGTCAGCAGCTCACATATCGCCCCGACTGCGAGCAGAGTGCCTTGACGGGAATGGAGACCTCTATATTCATACCTACAGCCGATTCGTCCGCTGCTCCACTAATACCCTTGGAGCGAATGACGCAGCAGGCCAAAGTCCACGCTCCGCAAGAAGATTGGACGGGCGTGACTGATTCGAGATTGCGAAGGAAGCTGCAGAATAGGTTGAACCAGAGGTCTCGCCGTAAGTGTCTCCAGGGCGATATCATGGTGACAGTGCTCACTAACGCCCACTAACGCCCTGTCATCTTTGTGCAGGAAAACGTGAAGCGTACACCAAGACTACAGGGCATATCCCACCGGCGGCGCAGTCGATCACCTCGCGTATATATGACGACAGCAGCGTATCTGGTTCGCGATGGAGTACGCAAATCATAGATTCCAGCTCGCCGGAGGTGGCTGTAGTCGTCTCCACCGCGCTTGAGCCGCAGGTCAAGCCTCGAAAGCTTGGCCAATGGGCCAATACTTATGCTGGAGAGGCCGATGATATCCAGCAAACAGTCCTTAACCAGCTCGAGGAACTCGCGAGCCAAAAATACATGGGCTCTCCGACCGCCGATTTTCTGCTGACTCTAATCCAATTCAATGTTTTCCGCGCGCTGTTGCGCAATACCTTTACCCTTAGGCTGACACTGGACTGGCTACAAGACGATGCGTTCTCGCCTTTCTGCGCTGGACACTTCAATGAGTCCGCGCCCTCGAGCCTGCAACCGACGTTGCTGCAGCGTACAACAGAGCATCACCCCTGGATAGATCTCTTCCCCTTCCCTGCGATGCGGGATAATCTGCTCCGTATATACGGCAAGTTCGATGAGGACCAACTCTGTGGGGATTTAGTAGGCTGGTGCAGGTCACCGGGTGAGCGTACTGGGCTCATCGTCTGGAGCGAGCCGTGGGATCCTTCAGGCTGGGAAGCTACGGAGGCGTTCTTGAAGACGTGGGGCTGGACGATCAGGGGTTGCAGGGAGATTTCCTACTCGACGAACTACTGGCGGGCTCGGCGTGGAGAAGAGCCTCTTGAGGACGCGTTGTTCGAGCTTTCTGCCTGATAGTTTAAGATGTCACTTGAGACTTCGGAGTATGGTTCTTGCGAGTACCTCCCGCAAAAGGTATGTCAATCACGTGCCGCATGCCGCAGCACCGCGACCATGATGAGGTATTTAAAAGCCTGCAGTCATCAGCGGGCGTGATACTGTTGTATCAATACAAAGTCCCGGCAGAATTGCGTATAAGCAGCTTAGCCTCCACCGCGTTTGTAAGCATACGGCACGTGACTGCTGTACCATTTAGCGGGGAGAGGCACCTTCTGAGACACAAGTTAAAGAAACAGTCATAAATCTGACAACGGGCGTTAACCGATACTAGAGCTAGGAAACTGAACACAATGGCCGAAAAGCAGGTTCGGCGACTCCCCTAGACTCTAGTCATAAGTAGGTAGTAGGGCAGCGAGATAACCGTCAGCGATCCAGACGACCAGCACCACCACCAATGGCTTCGCCGATAAAGATGGCCAATTTCGTCGCCAGCCCAGCAAGTTCCGGAACACCATTGAACCTGCTGCGGACGTTCCATTCCCGGCAGTGAAAGATCGCTACGTCCTGTACATCAATTACGGCTGCCCGTGGGCACACCGCACGAATATTACACGATGCCTCAAGGGCCTTCAAGACATCATTCAGCTCGTCGAAGTGGACGCCCGCAAGCCTGACCTTGGATGGTTCTTCTCGGGCCGAACGGGGCCTGACAGCGATCCGCTGTACGGCGGGAAGTATCTTCGTGATCTGTATGAAAGGGCAGAACCGGGCTATGAAGGCAGGACCCTGGTGCCGACGCTCTGGGATAAGGAGAAAGAGACTATCGTGTCCAACGAGAGCAGCGAGATAATCCGCATGTTCTACACCGCTTTCGATCATCTTCTACCTGAGGATAAGCGTGAGGAGGCGAAGGGCAAAGCTGGCTTGTTCCCTGAGCATCTGCGCAACGACATCGAGGCAATGAACGAATGGGTCTACGATACTGTCAACAACGGTGTTTACAAGACCGGCTTCGCCAGCACTCAGGAGGCTTACGAGCAGAATGTGTTTCCGCTCTTCAAATCGCTTGACCGGCTTGAAGAGCACCTGAGCAAGCCGGAACACCAACCGTACCTCTTCGGGGAGCATATCACCGAAGCAGATATCAGGCTCTATCCGACGATAGTGAGGTTTGATGTCGGATACTACACTCTCTTCAAGTGCAACCTGAAGATGATAAGACACGATTACCCCAAGCTGCATGACTGGGTACGACGCCTGTACTGGGATGAGAGTGAGCGGACCAATGGTGGCGCCTTTGGTAAGACCACGAGGTTCGATGCGGTATGTAATCTATGGGCACTATTGTAAGCGCATTAACGCTGATCTCGTATAGATCAAAAGGGGATACGCGTCAGCGACTGGCAGCAAGGTTGTGCCGGCTGGACCGCTGCCCGATATGCTACCCCTTGAATGACATCTATTCCAAGACCAGTAATGCATCAAAGCTTCTCAGTGGAACAGGAGCACGCGGACGACAGAAATCGCCGGATTAGCCAATGCTGCCAATCATCAGACTCCCAAATAATTACCAAATCGCCAAAACTTATTAGACTCACCATGCTTCCAAAGGTCTTTGGTCTGGCTGTTCCATCTCTACTTATGGCTTGAACTCTCTTACGAAGTAGTCTTGGTTGCCACACGCCCGAAGACCTACCTCTCCATCAGTATGCCCTGTAGTAGGCGGTTCGCCGTGTTTCGTGTCCGGTGATCTTTGTCACCCGGGTGGGGAGTTTTGCAGTTTTCGAATCAGACCCCGTCATTGACGGATTGACGAACATATATGGGTTACAACATTTTCCCTCTCCATACAGCAGCATTGCGAGAACACATTGAAGCCTATCAGTTCCAATCCTGCTCTCGTGAAAATGCCTACCTCTTGAGTCTCCCATATTACGATCTATCCTAGTTCGCAGCGCTCATAATAGAGCAGCGCAAAAAGAAAAGCCGCAGAAGACTGAGGGACAGTGGAGAGGAGTTTGGCTTTTGGTTAAGTATTTTACAGACTCGGCGGGAGAGACATTACCATCACATCTCTTTCGATGTGATTTGTTCATCAGCGCTTTTTAATAATGTGCTGCAAGAACTGGAAGTGCGGAACTTATGTTCAAGACTGAGAATATTATGATCATCGAGCTCATATCGTCAACTTCCTTCTGCACCTTCGCCATGCGCCGGAAAAGAGTTAAGCGCTCCAGTCTGACGGCATCCCGTTCGCTATTCTGAAGCTGTGTCTTGGTAGCGCTAATCTCAGCCTCCAATCTAGCAATGTACTGTACAACGTCAGCATTCCGAGTATCTGTCGCGGCCGACTGGCGCCTATTGACCTCAGCACAACCCGAATGATTTTCAGTCTGTTCCATGTTCGATTCAACTCCATAGGTCGCATCTTTAGTCAGTGCGCCTGATGAACTGGCCGTTCGGCACCGGATCCGATTCAGTCTTACTAGCGCCTGCGAAGGGGTTGGCCGAATGGTACGATACGCCGTTCGCATCATCGCACCTGAGCTTCTGGTGAGTACACGGCTGTATCGGTACGTCTTCTGGGTTGGTGTGTTGCTGAGTTGTTTCAGAGGCCGAGGTGTGCGGGCCTTGCGCCGATAGATTCGGAAGTAGCAGGATCACGATTTGAATTTCTCTTGGTAAGAAAGAGGTTGGAGAAGCTCAGTCGTCTGGCAACCTCTAAAAAGTTGGTTATATACTTGGTGTTGGCACTAACGGCAGAGCTCCTTCGGTCCCGTATAACGTCTGCTGCGGTGCCGAGATCATCCGCTACCAAACCTGAACTTTATGTTTCAACGGCTCGACAAGGCAGCCCGAGAACAGAAGCTGCGTGCTAGTCTTAGCCGCGGCATAACATGTTTGAGTGGGAGCCTGCATCGGCATGTACTGCAATCATATGGTAATGATAACACTGATGTTAGCTCAAGTTGTCGAAGCTTGGTAAATACAGAACACATTAGACTGCTGATGTATTAACTATATCGCCAGCGTTCTGTTGCGGCCATAGCAAAGAGAGACACAGCAAGGCCAGCGTTCGCATCACCGCCTGATCGTACCACCGTACGGCTACCGTAAACCTCAGTCATCTACTTGCGAAGTTCCAAACCACCGTTCATACAACTTGGTCAACTTCCCGACGGTGTAGTAGTCGATGATGCGTGTGATCGTCGAACCGTTCATTACCTCCACAGTGCAGAATAACGCGTACCATCTGATCCTCCTCACCAAATCTTTAGTTGTATCAACATCATTGGCCATCTTGACGATGCGGTGCCCGATCCTACGTTGCGCATTCCCGATCGAGGTTCTTGATGCGGTTACCCGGTTCCGGTAAGGGGTCCATTTGAGCATCCGTAGAGAGTTGGTAGTGGAGTGCTGGGCCGGGATAAAGGCCCTTCGTGGTCTCAGAAAGGCGCGGCTGAACACCTTGCTGAGGATCTTGCTAAACATTGCGCGGGTTTATGTATTTCTACCTTGATCAGATTTTACTGGTGAGATTGTGCCCATAGGGCGACGATGGTGTTTGAAATACCTAGTTTCTGTTGAAGTGGTATCTTGTATGAAGCTTTATTGATTGTGTAGTTATCCATCGACACTGGGCCAGCGGCCGCCTTATATACCAATTCACTCGAATTACTGGTCATGTAAGCCTTTTCTATTCCGATATCTTCCGCCTTGAAAACTTTATTGCAGCACGCGCGAGTAGTGTTTGGTACACTCAGATTCAACTTTGGTTCCGCTAGAAGCTTGATTAACAGAGCACGAATAGAAGCCGCATGCATCGCTCATCTGCGGCACGCACCGCAAGGCAAATAAATCCATTTTTGCAACCGACCGTAGATGAGCTGAACGCACATGAACCTCGCGAATGTCATTCTCGCTCATCATCGCAGTTTTGGTAGTGTAAGCGAAAGGCCAGCAAGGTGCGACGGAAGTGGGCTTCATGGCAGTGTGGAGTAACGCGTACCCTTTCGCACTGTACCATAAAGTGAACATATAGGCAGATTAACACTGGCTGTTATCTACAGAGGTGTCGTGCCCGGTGCCCACTCTTCACGACTGCTCTGTCGCAACAAGTACGCCTCGATGGTACCCCCGGTTCCCGAGGTCGAGTACTTCAAGCGAAAGCAGTAGAGTAATCATTCAACGACCGTCGCTAAGCCAACATTCCCTAGAAATAAGCTCATGCACAGAAGGTGCAGCAAAAAGGATGATGCACCAGGTTCAGGACTTTTCATACGAATAACCACCCCATAACAGCAAAAGCCGTCACGAGGCTTGCGAGCCACTGTGCGCCGATATTGCCAGCAGCACTAGGTGGGTCACCATGTATACCCAGCGCTTCGTCCTGGAACCTGTGTCACAGTTAGCATGCGCCCACTTTTATAGATTTGTGGACCACCTACCCAAACGTGACGTTCTGAGGGACACTTTGGTTATAGCACTGCCCATTGGCAATATCCAGCCCCCTCAAGTCGTCCGGCACGTTGAAGAACATGTACATCCGCTGGTTAAGATTCTCAAACCCACTCGTGTCGTACGGGAAGTAGTTGTCCGCGTCCGTGGCAGACGTATTCCTCAGAAAGATGCACTGGACCTGGTTCGGCCGGTCGACCGCTAGCTGCGGATACGCCCTCATGACGTCCGAGTTGCTCGTGTCCGCCACGAGGATGAACTTCCGCTGCGGGAACGTGTCGAAGATCTTGTTGAGCAGGAAAGCACGGATGCTCAGTGTGGCGCTGACGTCGGAGAAGTTCAGCGGCCGCGTGTCGAAGGATCCGCCTGGGTAGGTCTTGAATATGAAGTCCATGTAGTTACGGGTCACTTGCTCGGGCGTCGTGGTGAGGTAGTGGAAGTGGAAGTCGGGGATGCTACGGCTCCAGTTGGCGTAGATCTCGGGCATGTTCATCCATGGGACGAAGGGTCTGGCGAAGCTGTTCAGGAGCCCCTCCGCGGGATCGTAGATCTTGGTCACGCGGAGAATGTCGTCCACGTCGGAGATGATGGTCAAGCCGGTTGGTGGGACAAGGTAGGCCGTTGCGTTTCCGGTGTTCGTCCCGTTTGCGTACACGTTTAGCCGCTGGATATCATTGGTAGCATTGCCAGCCATGAGGTAGCCGTTTGGACCGGAGGTATTGGCGATGGGCAAGAAGACATCAAAGTCGCCTTGTTCGGTAGTCGGATAAGGCAAGGCCAAATCCTGGCTTCCTCCACCTGGAGTCACGGCGCCGCCACCACCTGGCTCTCCACTGCTCCCTGCCATCGGCGCCGGCTCGAGATGTACGGTGACATTCTGGTCTTCCTGCTGTATGACGAAGATTGAGGCGGTCATGTTCCGAGCTTGGTCCTGCTGCTCTGGTGGTAAAGTCTCGATGTCGACGTCGATGAGGAAGATATTGGCAAGATCGTTCAGTCTATCCTGAGGGATGTTGGGCTGCTTGTAGACATTGCCGTGGAAGCGAACATTCCAGCCCTGGTCTGTCCAGTTGCCGTATGGGGACAGATTGAGGACATTCGTAGGCAGAGCGGCCACTTGTTGATCGTCCAGGCCGAGGGAGCTCTGCACCGCATCGCCAGTTGGGAAGTCTTGGAAGAAGTTTGGGACTGCGTCACACGATCAGTTACCCAGTCCGGCAAGATCGGAGGACCACGTCTTACCGCCAGAAGCCACGTATGATGGTATGTTTCCCAACTGGCTGAGCACGGAGTTGACGCCGCTGCCAAGCGAATCGAAGAGGTCTCTTCGGTGCTTGTACGTCTGCGTAGGATGACGCTGGACGCGGGATGGAGGGGTTATCTGGGGCTGAGGAGCGAATGCTACAAGCTGTGTAGAGGGCGTGGGAGCAGGGTCTGCGAGGGCTACAGCTGTGACTCCGGCAAGAGCCACGCAAAGCTGCGACTTGAAGATAGCCATGGTTACGGGGTGCAGGTAGAAGGAGAGTAGAAATGCTGTAGACCCTCTATAACGGTAGGCCACGCGTGGCCGTGAAGCAGTCAAGAAACGATTCCACTATTATGTACAACGAAGGTGGATGATAAGACAGAGGGAAGAGAAGAGGACAGGACTACAGCAGACAGAAAAACCTGAATAAAGAAGCAGAAGTTAGATCCCTAGTTCCGGCAGCATCGGCAGCATGGTGAACACGCCGGGATCAAGGATTGAGGAACAGGACAAGCAGCGCCATCGGTGCTTGGCTCCCGCTGTCCCGCGCTCTTGTTTCCACTATCCAAAAGCTTGACTTAACACAACCTTGGCAACCTCCCCTTGCCGACTAACTCATTACCACCATCCGTTGGAACGACTGCACATTTAGCTGATGTTTGTTATCAATGTTTGTAGTAGCATGCAGCCTTCAAGTGGTAGACAATACATCATGGGCTATCTACGCCAGACTAAGGCCGCGTGGGTTTACGACGGTTGCGGCCGTGGAACTCACGTGCCTCCTGCGTTTTCTGTAATAACTTATATTGAGCGTAGCATCTGTGTTTTCCGAGCATGAGTAGGGTGAGGATGACGAGAGAAGACACCCGTGTCAGGCATGTGTGCCGCAAGAACAACCCGTGAATGGACTTCATCACCGATGTCTTACCAAAAATATGAAGAACTGTGCGTTGACACTACGCGTCACTTTCGTGTTTGCAGATCGGTGAGGGCAAGCGCGACAACATAGAGGTCATTCACAAGCAGCCAGCACGTCGGGTCATCGTTTGTTATCCTGTTAAAGGCTGCGCAGCGGATAGATGTGATCTCGTACCAACCGCCGAACCGCAATTCGCGTCCAACGCCTTGGGGAGCTTACGAGAAGTGTGCATCGGCCCTCAGCAGCATCGGCCCTCGCGAAAGAGCCTCTCCAGCACCTCAGTACCAAACCAAGATGCCGCCCATGAGCCAGAAAGACCACCGATACGTTACCCTGCGCGCTTGGTACGCCTCCCTAGGCCTCCGCCCAAATCGACATCCCGTAAAAATGATCCACTTCGTCTCCAGCACCCACGATCCCCAGCACGATAATCCGCTGCTCCAGTACCTCGACATCCCCGTGATCCTGGAGATGAATCTCAAATGTCTCGCGCCCTGCTCTCCGCACCTTGTCGCGCGCGGCTTGGACGGCCTTACCGCAGAGGTATTCAACGACTTCGCCTCCAATCCCGAAGCGAACGAGGCGTGGATGGACGCGTGCCGACTCATTGAAAGCCGACTCATGGACCTGGAGGCTGGCGGAAGGCGGCCGGGTCACGTGGCTGTGGTTGTGAGGTCGAAGCTCGGTCTGCATAGGAGCGTGGCGATGGTGCGGTGGTTGACGGGTGTCTTCAAGGAGAAGTACACGGTTCGGGAAGTCCATGAAGTGTTGGGGAGACAGTTCTGGCGGGGTTCCGGGTTCGACAATGAATTTTTGAAGGGGCATGGGAGACGGTGGAGCACCTGAGCGGCCCTTGTTCTTAGGAGGATATGTGGAGGATCTAATGCGGACCTGTGGGTTTTCCGGATACGGTCTGGATGATGCTGGTATGTGGAGGTTGCTTGCTCTCCTATGCATTTGCGTTTGTCTAATAATTCTCGTGTGCTTGAATCGGTTTCATGATGGGGTCTTCCTAGCAACTTCGTCAGCCATGCTTTGGTCATGTGGGATTATAGAAGGATGAGTCGACTTACTGCGCGAGCCTGAATTACCGCTGATGGAAGCACGTGCTCAGTTTTCTCACAGCGAACAGCGCCCTTGAAAGACAGAAATCTATTGGGTATGCCTACAATGCAGTACACGCTAAAGCTCATCATGCGGGTTCTTGAGCGCTCCCTCAGGCCTTCCGCTATCTTTCAACAGGTTGACGCCTTTCTTCCTGCGCCACTTGTCCCAAATGCCCCAGAACTCCTTCTCCATGCTCTTGTCCATCTGGTCCGGAAGCACAACCACGTACTCCACATGCAGTGCGCCAAAATCCAGATATAACTCATCGTGATGGCCTTGCTGCCATATCGGCATGCCCTCGCCTGATATCACATCCACCTGGTTCGGTTGAACCACCTGGCCCCTCTTTCTGCCTAGCCGTACGACATGCCCGTCCAGATGCGTGACGTTCCTCGACCAGTCACCCATCCATGCTTCCCGAAGACTCAGCACCTCTCGCCAGAACAGATCGTTCCCTCTCCTCCTAAAGAACGTCCCATCCGTCCGCGCACTCTCCTCGGTGCCCAACTCCGGCTCCCTCTCCACCAAATTAACGATAAGATCCCCAGCAACCCAATCCGGGCTCTCATCCGCCTCATTCTCATACGTTATCCGTATACCCCGCGGCATGCCCCGCTCAATCTTCAGCTCGTGAGTTTCCGGTTCCCTCACCACACGCGCGCCATTACAAACGGGACACGCATGCCGCACCGTCTTGCCCTTCCCGCCGCACGTGTCGCACAGCGACTGGACCTGTTGAAATATGCCCGGCGCAAGCTGGTGTTTCTGAATCCGCATCCCCCGGCCCCCGCAGGTGTTACACGTGTCCACGACCCCGTCTTTGCTCCCACTGCCCTCGCACGCCGAGCATATGGCCTGCTTCTCGACCGTGAACTCCATGTTTCTGCCAGTGTAGAAGTCGCGCAGCGGCACCGCGACCCGGACTTCCATGTTGTGGCCGCGCCGCTCGCCGCCGTGGCCGAAGTGTCCGCTGCCGCCGAAGAAGCGCGAGAAGAGGTCGAAGGGGTCGTGGTGTTGTTGTCTATGGCCCCCTTGTTTGTGCTGCGCGAGTCCTTCGTGGCCATACTGGTCGTATATCTTGCGGGTTTCGGGGTCGATCAGGGCGTCGTAGGCTTCGGCTACGGCGACAAAGTTGTGGTGGGCTTTCTCGTCATTTCTGGTCGGTGGTTAGCTTGGGTAAGGGGTGTGAGTGGATGCGGATGGTAGGTGAAGCGGGTAGGTGTTTTCGTTGGGGAGGAAAGGCGCAGATAAAGATATCACGTACGGATTCTTGTCAGGGTGGTATTTCTTGCTGAGGGTTCGGTAGGCCTTCTTGATCTCGCGATCTGAGGCGCTTTTGTCTAGTCCCAGGAGCTGGACACAGGAATCCATTAGTCGATGGCGCTGTACGATTTCATGAATATATCATACCTGATAGTAGTCCTCCGCGCAAAACGCCAATAGAGGGAGCAGAAAGAAGAACAGCAGCCCGGCGAGCAGCATCTTGACGGTTGATAGGAATGAAACGGAGCCGTGTTGATGCAGCGAGTGGCGGCTGAGGATATTCCCAAGACCGAGTGTTACATGAAGAGAGTCAACATGCCCAAACAGACGGCGCCCCAGGCAGGATAGAAGGAAAGGGTATCACTGGAATCTATGCAGGAGTTTACCGCGAAACTTCCTCTAAGGGTGCTATCTGGCCTCACGGGGAAACTTCGGTCAGGGGAGATCCTCTCAAGGTCCAAATCTGGCAATGCCTAACAGGTGCCACTGTATCACTGCAGGTGTCAGATTCTTTGCGGTTTCTGAAGCGATATCTCATGAATAAGGGAGTTAATATCTTCTAGCTGTTTACATATTATAGCGCATGCATGCGTTACCTCTCGGTGCACTCTTTGTTAACAGTTGAGTACGTGTAGTGCATCTTCTCCCCTTCTGGTTCGCAGCTTGAGGGGCTTAGTCCATAAGGAATTGCAGCAGTTTTCTTTTGCCGGAGGCAATGCAGGCTCCACCAAGACCCTCTATGTGGAAAAAGATACTGCGCAAAAGAGGCTCTGTGTAATAGAGTACGGTACGTCTCCATCATAGTGCATGCCTGAAGCAGACAGAAGCAAGCAGGGTATCCAATCGTGAATATAGCTCACCAAACCCTTGCCCGTATGGCTCGCAGTTCTAAAATTGCTCTCTTGTGGAGCACCATCCGCGACCGTTAATGCTCGTCCCTTATGTCTCATACCTCATAACCCACTGGTCCCCTTGATGTAGCATCCAACGTCCTCCCCAACCCAGACGCCCAAAGATTATTCCAACATCGCAGACGGGACACATCCACTCCCCGTCCTTACGCCCTCTTCTTCGCGCCCTGACTCGACCCCGTTTTGTCGCCCCCACCCAACCCAGCAAACTGCCACGCCTTAACCAGCACGCTCTGCGTCCGGTCTGCGTACTCCTCGTTCTGGACGTCCTTGACGCCGACCCGCATCCCGTCTTTCGTGAAGGAGACGTTTTTCTTTTCCATCTTCTTGACGCCGCGGTCTGCCATTTCGTTTGCGAAGAGGAAGATCTGTGGCAGGTGGGGAGCTTGTTAGTAGGGGTTTCATGGGGGTAGGGGCCTTTTGGTGATGGGAGAGGGAGGGGAGCGGGTACCTGGTAGCCTACCCACGCGCCGACAGCGAGGAAGACGAAGAGGATTATAAGAGGGACGAGGTTGCCTAGGGCGCCCATGGCTGCAATGTGAGCGAAGTCCTCGAGTGTGAGAAATAACCAAGCGGTGCTATCGTAGGTCGCGCGAGTGAATAAGTTCAATAGTTATTCGGTATCGTAGCAGTAGCGATGTCGAAGTTGGCAGTTGAACGGTGAATAGATTGACCGCCAGGTAGTTGTTTAGGGCCTCATAAGAACTTGAAACTTGGATTGTCAGATGTCAAATGTCAGGGACCAAAAGCTCGTGCGGCCAAACCCGTAGGGCTGTCCCTGATGACGCGTCCGCGTGTTTCGTGCGGGACGGCAAGCCACGCGGCGCCGGCGGGTCACAGATCGTTCAGCGCCACCAAGTGAGGTATTGGCACCAGGGCAGCCATGAAGGTGGTCGAATGCATTGATGTTTAGTTGAGTGAATGCCCAAGTCACGGGACGACAGCTGATTGAACGATAGCTCCGATTGTTCTTAAACTCTAATGTGCCATGCTTCATCCAAGGGTCCCCAGCCATTCCAAACCGTAATCCGATATAGACAGTATTCAGAAACTGTACCCGATGTGGTATCTAACAAAGACCGTCTATCATTTCCCAAGCGCCAGTCGCTATGCAGAAAGCCTCGCACCCAATGCCGCTGAATGAAACCAACATACGGTGTACTACAACAAGAAAGCAACGCTCGCTAATATCGATGCAATAAACAAGCCGACTGTGGTAGCTAGACGACCTGACCCGTTGAGCTTTTGAATAGGTACGGCCGCCGCACCACCATTAGCACCCCCTAATGCCAACGCAATCGAGGTGCTGATAGAAGATGGGGCAGCCGTGATCAAAAATCCACGGTCGTCATATGATTTCGCCTGACTGGGAGCACCGGCCGCCACGACGATCAAAGTGGCAAAACCCTTCTCGTCGTATGCCGTGCGCGTCTCAAACCCGCCAGCCGAGACAGAGGCCGGCGATGAGACTGCTGGCGAGGAGATAGAGGATGCGGGAAGGGATGTCGACTGTCAAGGTTAAACGTCAGTATTACGATGCATAGAAATTTAGGGTGATAACACAGGGGAGGTCTTACTCACAGGTGCCGCGCTAGGCGGGATTACTTTACCGGTGTCTGAGACGGTCCAGCCGGCGGGCAAGCCTGGATAATTCGAGGAGCTGGCAGCTACGGTGGACAGTGTCGTCGCTTCCGGGACCCAAGGATACACCGAGGGCTTTACGTAGGTTGAGGGGTTTTGATGTGTACCGGCCCAGGGGATCGGCTGGCCACTGGACGATGAGGTTATCGCTGGGGCAGCAGCTTGAACATTGGATGAATCGCCAGAATTGACTGAGCCTCCGACAGCCACGATGGACTGCCAGGTCCCGGTGCTGTCGCCGTACTGGTACTGCGTACCGGTCGAGTAGTCGGCGACTGAGATAGCTTTGACGCGCATCGTGAAGGGGCCTGCGGAGTAGTCGGTCGGACCGCGAGCCCACTCCACGGTTCCGGGCGAGTTCAGGTTGACGTCTCCACCGGCCCATGCTCCGAACTTGATCTGCATTGGCGTCTGCGGATACTGACTGCCGGCAGCAGTCGCTTCCAGCACTCTGACGGTGACGTCGTCGATCTGCCACACGATCTGGCTGGCTGTCCAGATGATGGTGTACTTCTTGAAGCCGGCCTGGCTGCCCGTATCTGCGTGGAAGGCGCCGCGGTTGTAGGTGGTCGTCTGGCCCTTACTAAAGTAGTTGGTTTGAACCTCGTCCGGAGCGGCTCCCAACCATTCCCAGTCAATCTCGTCCAGGGAGTCGGACATCAAAACGAAGCTGCTGACAATGCCGGCTCCGGGCGCTGCTTGCAGCCACACGTCCACTTTGCCGAACATGATGTACCACTTGGAAGTCACTTTCGGGGAGTCGCCCGGTTTCGCGACGGTGAAGGAGGCGCCATTGCTGTCGTATGAGATTGTGCTGCCTTCTGCGGTAAAGCTGTCCGAGGCGCCCGAGCCGAAATTGATGTTGACGGCCTTCCCCAGTGCTGTGTCTGCTGGACAGCCGCCTTGGATAATAGGATTGCAATTGCTCCAGGTTTGGGCCACTGAGGGTGCGAATAGTGTTGCTGCGGTTGTGAGTACTGCGATGGTGCGTGTTGATGGTCTCATTGCAAGATATGTGAGTGTTAGAGGATATTTGGCAGCAAGTCGGTCGACAGATCCGATCGAGAGTATCGCTGCGAGGTGGAATGCAGCGCGAACGCTGATACGAAGAGAGTTATGGCGGTAAGTCTGCGAATTTTTTAGAGCAAAGCGATTAATAGCGGCGAACGGATAGATGCTTGTGTGATGGTGGACAATGGGAGACGGAGCACGAGATTGTTTATCAAGGCGGACACCCAGCCATCTCTGGAATTGGCAGGAATAATTCTACGTCAGCTATTCAGTCACTGGCCGGCATCTGGCATGTAACTACGGCAGGGGCCCATTACTGGTAGGGAACCTCCTCCAGCATGGATGAGGCATGCGCGCCGTTTGGTGGTAAAGTCTGGAGGCTGGTCCCTGCCGGGGCGCGCAACAAGCAGGAAAATCCGGTGGCTGTTGAAAAGTGGCTGGTGGCACTCGGGCCGCCCGTTCCACATGCCACGTGCCTGAGGCTGGTGTCGAACAATGCCGGTAGAACCCCGGCAGAAGACCCGACCGTCGGATGCGAAACTTTCTTGTGATGATTCCCAGCCCTACGGAGACGTCGAAGGGCGTGCTTACGGATGAGTAAAAGGCTTCCAAGGTGTTGATCAGGCGTTGGTATACGAGTAGACGCAATCTCAGAACCCATCCGGTAGGCTCATCTTGTTCAGCAGGCTCATCCACTGGAAGCATTAGCCCGTCATCAACCTTACCGCTCTCCAGCCTAAGGTCTCGATCCAGCTGCTCTATATCGTTGAAGTTACTTGAAAGTCTATAATGTCCCTGACAAACGCGACTCCGTACGAGGCCGCGAGAGCCGCGAGACTCTCGTCCCGCAAGCTTGCTGTTCTCCCTGCACAGGCCCGCAATGAGGCACTACAGGCTGTTCATTCCGCTCTATCTGACGCGAAGGACGAGATTCTCGCTGCTAACAAGCGAGATCTTGCGGCAGCCACTAAAGCAGCTGAGGGCGGCCAACTAAGCCAGAGCTTGGTCAAAAGGCTCGATTTGACTAAGAAGGGCAAATATGAGGACATGCTCCAGGGCATACTGGACGTGGTAAACCTCGAAGATCCAAGTATGTCAGTAACACCTATGATGTTTGCTATAGCCCTAATCTAATACTCACGTGCTGCAGTCGGTAAGGTCGACGTACGTACGTTACTCGACGATGGCCTAATCCTCGAGCGGAAATCTTCTCCTATCGGTGTCCTCCTGATCATCTTTGAAGCGCGCCCTGAAGTCATTGCAAACATCGCCTCGCTCGCAATCAAGTCCGCCAACGCCGCCATCCTCAAGGGCGGCAAGGAGTCCACCGAGTCATTCAAAGCCATCTCGACGGTAATTTCCAAGGCACTGGCATCAACCGCCGTGCCGAACGATTGCCTGCAGCTCGTGACCACTCGAGACGCAATAGAGCCGCTTCTGCAGCTCGACCAGTACATCGACCTCGTCATCCCGCGTGGCGGCAACGAGCTCGTCCGCAAGGTCAAGCAAAGCACCACCATTCCCGTACTTGGCCACGCAGATGGCCTCTGCACGATCTACCTCCGAGCGGACTACCCTGTGGATATGGCAACAAAGCTCCTAGTCGACGCAAAGACCAGCTATCCCGCCGCCTGCAACAGCGTAGAAACGCTGCTAGTCGACGAAGACGCGCTCACAACCGTCCTGCCCGCAGCAGCCGGAGCCCTTCTCTCGAAAGGCGTCTCCCTCCGCTGCGACACCCAAAGCAAAGCCGCGCTATCGTCAAGCCTGGACAAGCACCACGCCGTGCTCCTCCAAGACGCCACAGAGGCAGACTTCAAGACCGAGTTCCTCGACCTTGTCCTGGCCATCAAAACCGTCCCCAAAACAGCGAACCCGGAAACGTCAGCCGACCTCGCAGTTGCGCACATCAATGAGTACTCCTCCCACCATACCGATGCAATCCTGACTGCGTCCAAAGAGATCGCCGAGCGCTTCCAGGAAGGCGTGGACAGCGCCTCCGTCTTCTGGAACACCAGCACCAGGATGGCTGATGGGCAGCGGTTTGGTTTCGGCACGGAGGTGGGTATTAGTACGAACAAGATTCACGCGCGGGGGCCTGTGGGGCTCGAGGGTTTGACGATCTATCGGTGGAGGTTGAGTGGGAGTGGGCAGGCGTCTACGGATTATGGTGCGGGTGGGAAGAAGTGGAAGCATGAGAAGATGCCCGTTGGAGAGGAGGAAAGGATCGCGAGGACGGAGGAGGAGTGGGAGATGTTGAAGAAGTTCCGGGCGCAGAGAGCATAAGTTCACTAGAGGCTGTCAGTCAACTTGTACATATCATCTTCTAACCAAAAGTCACGAGGGGTTTGATGCGGGCATTCATGCGATGTGTTGCTCATGTTTTGTGCGACTTGACGTGCAGAGGATACCGATTGGTGTACGCATATGATAGAGCTCATTCATGTCTCAACCCGACTGACATCTAAACGTAAACATTACTGGTTCTGTACGCGTGTGGTATACTCTCATCACTTGTTTTACCCTACTCTCTTTTGACGCCCACTTTTCCGATCTTTCTCAACCCCCAAATACTCACCGCCAGCGTTGCTATCCCGAGCGCGAACACATACCAGAATGTCGCTCTATATCCAACCATCAGGCTCTCCGGCGACGCTCCCCCATGTCCCTCTCCCACCTTGTCCCCGCCCTCCCTCATACGCGCCGTAACACTAGCAGCAACGACCGCACTAGTCGCAAGCCCCACGCTCTTCCCGATCTGAGCAATCGTGTTGAACACACCGCCCGCCAACCCCTGCGTCTTCGACGGAAAGACGGACGTGATAAGCAGGTTCGAGATCGTAAACAACGTGTCCGCGCCAATCGGGTTCAAGAAAACCGCCCAGAATGGCGCGGTCCAGTAGCTCCACTGCGGGTTCACGACTGCCATCACCAGCGGCGCGACACAGCTGACCGCCGTGGCGATGGACACGGCCCAGTCGGCGCGCATGCGGTGCACGACGAGCCCCATGACGAGGTTTGTGAGCGCGCCGGAGACGGGGGCGGGGAGAAATCGTAGAGAGGTCTGGATTGCGCTGATCTGCTGCACGTACTGGAAGTAGAAGGTGAGGATGTTCTCGACGGCGTTGAACGCGCCCCAGGTTAGGAAGACGGCGATGCAGATCGCTGTGAAGACGCGGTTCCGCCATAGGGAGTTGGGGATCAGCGCGGGCCGGTTTAGGCGCTCCTGGCGACCGACCCAGAGGATGAAAGCGGGGACGAGGAGGATGGCGGTGGTGAGGAGAGCGATGTTGGTGGGGACTTTGATGTTTGAGGTACTGCTGGATAGGGTGCTGGGCACTATCAGTATATACCAATGAAGCTTGCTTGGGGTTGACTTACGCAAGGACGTAGGAAAACATGGCCAACGAGATGCTGGCAAGGGCGGCGCCCATCCAATCAACGTCGGTAGCCAGGCGCTGCCAGCTTACAGCGGCTGCCTCACCAATATTCTTGGGCAAACCCCATAACGCCACGACGAAGATCACGCTGTTGATGATGGCGGCAATGTGGAATCCCCATTCCCAACCTATACTATCGGCGAAGACACCCCCGAGTGCCAGACCCAGGGAGAATCCGATGGGTTGCCCTCCGCCCATGGCTGCGAAAGCAATGTTCCTCGGCCTCCCCTCAGGTAGGGTGTTGGTGATGATACTGACGGCCGATGGGAGGCAGAACGATATAGCGATGCCCGCCAACCCTCGGAACACGATCAGCTGGGTGCCGTTCTTGGAGAGACCGCACGCCAGCGTAAAGACGGATTGTAAGACGCATCCGATGAGATACATGATACGGCAGCCGACTACGTCGGCGACAGCGCCGGATAAGAGGAGCGTACAACCGCATGTCAGGGCGTAGATGGAGGCGGGCCTGGTCGAAGATTATGTCAGGTCTTGCTTTTGCTCTGCATCTTAAGAATTGTACATACCATAACTCAAGAGCCGGTGGTATATTCAAATCTTTTGCAATCGTAGGAAGCCCAACCGTAACCAAACCCGCTAGAAGGCTACTAATCCCAGTGATACATGTCACCGAGGTGATGACCACTGCCGTTGTCCCCTTTGAGAGGTCTTTCCGCCCGGCAGAGACTACCTCTGTAAGAGTGCGTCGATCGTCATCATTTGATTCAGACTGGCGCGTTGCGATTGAGTAGGTGGATCCAGTGTTTGCGGTCGGGGCTGGCAGAGCTACGGAGGCTGGATAGGTGACTTGCGGAACGAGCTCAATTGACGTGCGAGACATTGCTGCCGGAGTGGAATAGCACAAGAACGGAGGTCACGGCATCAACTTATGAGCATTTCATCAGTGTAAATTTCAAATCAATCTGTTGGATGAGGCTTTTTCCATTACGGCTATAATCGGTGCGGCTCTTTTCCGCTGCCAACGCCATTGACGTCTAGAGAATCGCGAGCCCGCGGGCGGTGGCAGAATAAAGCTACCCTGCTTGTTATACTCAGAGATCAGTCTCGCGGAGTATATATAACCTTGGTCAGGACGTTGGTCCTACAAGGTTTGACAACTTCCGAGTCCCTTCAGGCTTGGAATGCAGAACATCATCCTCGGACGCAATGCTTTTAGCGGCAAAGCAGCAGTTGCATGTGACTCAGCCGCGCTCAGGCTGAGTCGATACTGCCTATAGTAATCGACGCAACCTACTCAGCACGATGACAGCGGCTCTTCGTTACGGTTCTGCACAATGACTTGGTAGTATATAAGTGTCCTCAATCGTGGGCCAGCCGTGGCTTCAGAAACTGAGACTCATAAGCTAGTGGCAGGAGTGCAGCGGAACCAGAAGCTGTCTCCTGGTTCCTTCCGATTCTTTAGTCTTTACACGAGGCTTATCTCGCCATTCCGGTCTTGTCATCGGAGCACTCCTGACAAATCTCTTCCCATAGAGCTCACCCTGTCTTCCAGTTCACGCTTTCTGCACTCCAGCTCCCTGATCTCTTCTTCTTCTTTGTGCAAATCTTCGCGCCTCAATGCAATCTCCGCGGGTGCAGATGGTTGCGCATTCGTTGCTTCTGCATCGTCCAAGTCGTCCTCTGCGTCGAAAGCGTGTGAGCGATTCATGCGATTCAACTGGGCCGACTGCTCGGCAATCCGCATCTCATAGTGCTCAAGAGAGGCAGCAAGTCGCCTGTGTCTTTGCCGTAGTGAATGGATTTTCTCAGCGGCGCCTGGTATGGGACTGACAACATCAGTACAACACTCAACCCGGAGCTGGAGCTTGTCGACTCACTATACGCCGCACAGCTTCTCCGCGCCCTCCAGCAAGACATCCACATCTACCTCGCCTTTGTCTCTCCCATCAAATGATCTATACCCCAGGCCACTGCCGACCCCGCCCCCACCTCCCCTCCATATTCGCTCAACAAGCTCACCGCCCAGCACTGCTGCGACCGCGGTATTCCGCCTCGGCGCACGCGCTGTGTTCACTCCACCACCTCCAAAGACACTGCTGTTTCCGCTAGCGTTAAAAGCGGTGTGTCGCCGGCTCGCGTTGCTGGATGAGTCTTGTGCTTTGGGTGGAGGTGGAGGGGCAGGCACGGAGAATAGTGCGCGTTCGTGTATCTCGGTGTCACGAATGAGGGCGGTGATATCGTGAGGTTGCAGTAGGGCGTTCGTGAAGATTTTGGGTGGAGGAAATCTGGGCAGCGCAATTAGTATAGCTTATGCGGTTGTAATATCCCACGCACTTACGGGAGCTCGGCAATGGATGCGGCGCACAATGAGATCTGCTCCAGATGAGCGTCGAGTAGCGTCATTGTACTCATGAGACTTTTGAAGCAATTTAATTAATTCGTATAATGTTTGCTCGCGTAGGTTACTGCGAGTGCTGCTACCAACAACACGCTCGAGATCGGAAGAAAGCCGGCCGACGCGTCCGCCAAGCCATCGCCATCCTGGAGCTTGGAAGCTCTTCCTGCGTCGTTGGTCGTCAAGTTTAGACAACATCGAACATCAGCATAATCACAGAGCGTCTCCTGTCTACTTCTCGCCCCCGCCTAGCAACGCCGCTTGGTTCAGATCAACTACGACCTTCTTACGGGAACGCCGTCGCAGTCTCCTCTGCAAGATGGCGGACACGATGGAAGGCGTGGTGAGCACTACGCAGGAACAGCCGGAAGTTCAGAACGACGACACAAAAACTGTTGACGGTACGTTTGTCCAAGCCAGAGTCATGTGCTCTGAGATGCTTTCGCGGTAAACGCACCACTGTGATGCATCCCGGGGACCATCGCTATGCCTAGAAGACTATCGCGCTTTTTTTCGTCTACTCAACCGGGCTCAACGCTGACGCTATCTACGCAGATATTCTGAGCAATTTTGGCCTTCTCGAACGAGCCGTGGCAGAGTTTGATGCTCGGTTTACCCTACGTGCCCTCCGCTCGATATCGTCCCTTCGGAAACGCCTTTCGCCAACAGTCTTGTGCCAGGCGATTGCATCGACTTATCCCCCAAATAGTCCGACAGCCAGAACGCTTTGCCAGGCGACGGGCGTCGACGATGCTACTCTTCAGACTCTCCTATCTCAGGCGGAGCAGAAAGCCCGAGAAGACAAACACAACTCAAGAGATCCAAAGGAAGTCGTTCCAGAGATTGACATCTACATCGGCATTCTGATACAAGTCAGTCCAACCACGAGACCTGCCAGATCGGCTTGTCTATAAACGCCTTTCCATAGAGCGCTAGGTTTCGTCCAGAAGGAGAGATGGCGCTAACGGAAGTACAGGTATATCTATACGATAACAAGCATCACCAAACCGGCGCCGAGTTCTCGTCTCGGCTGGTGGACAGAATCCGTGAGCTCAATCGCCGCACGCTGGATTCGCTGGCCGCTAAGGCGTATTTTTACTTTGCGCTCTTTCACGAGGCTCTAGACCCAAAACCTCCTTCTCGACAGTCGCCTGTTACCTCCATTCGCGGAAAGCTATTAGCTGCTCTACGCAGCTCGGTGCTCCGCAAAGACCAGGACACACAGGCCGCAGTCCTCACCCTTCTACTTCGCAACTATATCTCGACAGCCGATATCACGCAGGCAGATCTTTTGGTTGCTCAGACCCAGTTCCCTAGCACAGCCCCGAACAACCAGGTCGCGCGGTACCTCTACTATCTCGGGCGGATACGGGCCGTGCAACTCTCATACACAGAGGCACAGGCTCACCTCACAAGCGCCACCCGCAAAGCCCCGAGCAGTGCAGTGGCTGCAGGCTTTTATCAGTCGTCTACCAAATTCCTTGTCGTCGTTGAGCTGTTGATGGGAGACATCCCGGACCGTGCGGTCTTCAGCCAGCCTAGACTCGAACGGGCGCTTGAACCATACTTCCGTCTTGTACAAGCTGTCCGCGTTGGCGATCTTCATGCCTTCCAGCAGGTTGTGCAGACTCACTCGAAGAGCTTCCACCAGGACGGGACTTATACCTTGATCCTCCGCCTGCGGCAGAACGTCATCAAAACCGGCATCCGCATGCTCTCCCTTTCTTACTCTCGCATATCGCTTCGCGACATCTGCATCCGGCTTGGTCTGGATACGGAGGAGTCGGCAGAGTACATTGTCGCCAAAGCCATTCGTGATGGCGTCATCGAAGCTACTATCGACAGTGAGAAGGGCTACATGGAGACCAAGAAGGCGGGTGACGTCTATGCTACTAGGGAGCCCGCTGAGGCTTTCCACGAGCGCATTAGAGCTTGCTTGACTATCCACGACGAGTGCGTCAAGGCGATGCGTTACCCGATGAACCAGCATAGACTTGAGCTGAAGAACGCTCAAGAGGCACGCGAGCGCGAAAGGGAGCTGGCCAAGGAGATCCAAGATGGAGATATCGACGAGGATGATGCGGCGGGTGACTTTGAGGGGTTGTAGGCTAATAGGCTGTTGAAGAGCTGAGAGAGGGAGAAGTAATTTTAGTGTACCAAAGATAGACTCAAGGGCATCCTATGCGTGGAGCTCTCTATGACCTTGTTTGTCCAAGCGCCAATATCGCATTTGAATGCATGATTTGACTGTCTCGTGAATTTGCCCGCTGTGTTCATATTAACGTCTTCACCATTTCCCATAGCCCTCCCCGCTAAGGCCGCCAAACCTCCGCAGCCGTGACGTTCATCCTGATGCCTACCACCAGGATGCTTCTGCAATGTATGCCCTAGCTCCCTTCACGCACTACAAGAGCTCACACATTATATAGGATTGACGTCTCTGTGCGCCTCCGCCGCGCTATCCTTCGCAATGACCTCCCCCTCGTGAAGCGCATCATCCGCAACGACCCACAATACCTCCAGAACCCAGACTTCTCGGATCAAAGCAACACCTCCCTCCACCTAGCCGCACAGCATGGCTTCATCGAGATCGCTGTACGGCGCTCTCCCCTCACAGCACTACTTCACGGATCTCCACCACCACCTATCTCCTGCTGACCTCACCTGTCTAGGAATACCTCATCCTCTCTGGGCACGAAACATCCTCCATCTCCCTCAACACAACAAACAGCACGCCCCTCCTCCTCTGCATAACCTCCCCCGCACCCAACACCAACGCCCTCGCCCTCGCCAAGCTCCTCATAACGCACTTCCCCCAAACAATCTCCCTCCCCAACTCCCGCGGCCAAACGCCCCTCATGCTCGCCTCCAAGCACGGCCAAACGCCCCTCCTCTCCCTCCTCCTGACGTACCCGACCCACGCCGCGGATCCCAATGCCGTGGATAATGAGGGCAACACGGCGCTGCACTATGCCTCCGCGGCCGGGGAGCTGAAGGCGCTAAGAGTCCTGCTGGGCCACGGCGCGGATCCGGGGGTCAGGAACGTGTACGCGTGGCCGCCGGTAGCGTATTCGGCGACTGTGGCTGCGGAGCAGTATTTCATGGGCTTGGCTAAGGAGGTTGAGCAGCGGAGGATGGATGCGGTGGTGGCGCAGCAGCAGCAGGTGAGGAGGGAGAGAGAGAGGGAACGGCAGGGGAAGAGGGTTGGGGCTGTGAGATTGGTTACGGAGAGGGATGAGGCAGGGAGTCATAGTGATAGAGGCGGCGGCGGCGGTGGAGTTAGAAGCGCGGATGGGTCGGTGCCGGGGTATGTGGATTGGAGTCCGGTTGAGGAGCGGAGGAGGGCTATGACGCCGACAGCGGGGAGGAGCGAGTGGAGTGGGAGCTTGGAAGGACGAGCGAGGGCGTGGAGTGGCGAGTGAGAAGGCTGTAGTGGTCGATTGTCATGGTTCAGGTGCTCACCTCAGGGGTGGCTTCCGATTTGCGAGGCGTGCGCGGATGGTGCTCGAGGATCAGTGAGGTCTGCGCAGAGTGCGGCAGGGAAGATCACAATCTTAGGCCGAAGATGCGACAGGACTGCTGTCTTATGGCGAGGTAACGTCCTCCTGCCCTGAATGGGGACACGACTGGAGACGGGCAAGGTCGCGTGAAGTGTAGAACGTGAAAGGGAGGCCATATCATGTGCTTACGACGGTTTCAGAGATCAGACCAATCGGTAGCTTAGTAAAATGCCAGTGGAATACACCCTAGTAAGCATTTGCTTGTTGAGGTCTTGAGTATTGAGCTGAGCAGAGTCCACTTCGGAGACTATGAAGATGAGGATGCCAACACCATCGCAGCAGATGCAAAACGCTGCAGAGGACAAAGCAACATGCAGCCAATGACCAAAGCCAAGAGAGCCGTCGTTTTATACAGTGCAAAGCTACCGAGATGGAAAGCCCGCAACCACCTGAAGCCAACTCGGTCTAGAGCTAGCAGCATCCTGCGGGAAGGGACGATTTGAGTAAGAATATCTGCGCCGGTGCACCACAGCTGCCATATGATACAGACCAATTCTAGTTGTCTATTTCCGCCTCTTCATAACTTTAGTACACATTTCGATCAAGCCGTCTCTAGCATCACTAGCCGGGAAGCCGCTGATCGCCTGGATTGCCTTGCCGACGTAGTCTTGAGCCAGCACTCTCGTCTGTTCAAGGCCCCTGCTTCGAAGGACAATTTCTCGAGCCTATCATCGTTAGCGTTTATCCCTATACAGCTAGAGCAAACTCACTCTCTGCACATCGCCCGGCTCGGCAAACTTCCTTCCTACCAGTTCCCCCAACTCTGGATAGTCCCTCCACGCAAACAACAGCGGCGCCGTTGCAAGGCCCAACTCTAAATCTGCGCCAGCCGGCTTCCCAAGCTCTTCTCCGCTGATTGTATAATCCAACATATCATCCACAAGCTGGAAAGCCAGTCCCAGATTCTTGCCATACGCATATGCCGCCTCCACCACCTCGGGCGAGCTCTGTCCGAGGAGCGCCGCCGCTCTACAGCTCTTACTTATCAAAGACGCGGACTTGAGGTATGTCTTTTGGAGGTAGTAAGAAACGGTCTCCTCTGTCCAAACAGGGTTCTTCTCGTCCTGAGCCGTGTTCTTCAGCTGCATGAATTCGCCTTCGACGAGGTTCGCTATCACAGTCGCAAGTAGCTCTGTCACCTCCGGATCTCGTAACCGAGCCAATGCGACTGACGCGCGGCCGAGCAGGAAATCGCCTGCTAGGACGGCCATCTTGTTACCAAAAGCGACGTTTGCGGAGGGCGCAGCGCGGCGGGCGAGTGAGTGGTCTATCACATCGTCGTGGAGGAGCGAGGCGGTGTGGATGAGTTCGGTGATCTCAGCGAGACGGCGCTGTGAGGGGAGAATATCGGAGTCTTCGGAGGTATAGGCCTCGTCTGGAGAGGTGGAGGAGAGGGGCGTGTAGGCTGGTGCGGAAGGATTGGCGTCCTCGAGGATGGCGGAGGGTGAGATGGGCGTGTTGATGGGCTCTAGGCGCTGGAAGCCGCTTTGTCTAGCTACCTTCGGCGTGAGGGCTGTTGCCCGCGACATGAGCAAGACGAGCATTGGGCGGACATATTTTCCTTCCGACTGGGTATAGTATTTAGCGACGGTGTCGAGGGTTGGATGGCCGGAGCCGAGTAGTTGTTGTATGTTTTTCGTGAGAAACTTGAGCTCCTTTGCGACTGTCCGTAAAGGATCAACCTGTATCGGCGCTCGGGGGTCCGGCGTGGCATTGAATATATTCTGCGCAGCAGTGACTGCGGCTGCCCAACCCGACTGGCTTCGCCGCCGCGGAGGGTGGTACAATGAGGAGACGGCGGATATCTGGGGGATTGACGGGGTCTGTAAGCATCGAGAGCAGACAGAGTGTTGAGGACGTTGGGAGGCGAGGGAGCTTCGGAGGAGCGAAGGAGCTCTTATCGACCGACTGGCCATTGAAGGAGTCGCGCAAGGCCAGCCTCCGCAGGGGTTCTGCTTCTATATCAACGGAGATGGGGGTTAGACGACAATCGGTGTCCTCACTCTTACAATATCTCGCGCTCAGGGCTGCTCCGAACTTTTTGCGGAAGAGATCCCCGTTGGATGACGCTTGGACGGCATCTCGGAACAACCACCGCCCGCGTAAGGCGTCCAAGTATCTGGTACAATTAAAGCCTCTGTACAAATGTCCTTTTCTATACAACCGCAGCCATGGTCCTCCTCACCATGACGCGTATCGTGGTGGCAGCTGTGAAAGGATGTCAAGACGTAGCACCTGGAGAGCTCGAGAAGCTACAGCTCGGCTCAGAACCGTCACTCGCCGCACCAGAGGTCGGTAATCCAATATCACATGGGCAACTCATCGACATATCGAAGCTGCTCAAGGCCCGGAGCAATCTTCAAGAAGACGAATTAGAAGACCAAGACATGCCATATCGGCTTAACGACCTCCTCCAGGGCTCGAGAATCTACATTCCACCGCCTGCTCCTAAGCCTGCCCAGTCCTCAGAATATAAAGCATTGATGGCCCGCCTACACGCCGAGGAGGAAGCTCGCGCTTACGAACGCATGCTCAACCCGCCTCCAGTACCTGAAGCATTTACCCAGCGCTTTCCCGCCTCGCCCCATGCTCACCTCTTCAATACTCCGTCCGATATCGCGAAACAGGAAGCGGACGAGGTTACCTACGCGGATGTCAATCGTCAGGTCGCCCTCATCATCAACGTGCTCGTCTCTATCATCGCTTGCAGTGTGGCTATCTGGATAGCCGCCCGGCACTGGAGTACGCCGCAGCGACTGGGACTGAGCATGACTGGAAGCGGTATCGTGGCCATGGCAGAGGTGGCGATCTATGTCGGATACCTCGGACGTGTGAAAGAGAGCAAGCAACTGGAGAAGGCAAAAGTGGAAGTGCAAGAGGTGGTTGAGTCCTGGGTAATTGAGGCAGACTCCACGAAGAACACCAGGTTGCCGAGGCTCATCTCGGAGAAGGATGAGAACGTCGATAGCGTCAGATTCCGGAAGGGCAAACACAGATAAAGCGGTTCGGCGGAGCCTCACGTCACACGTGGTGATTGCCTCATTGCCGTGCTCTACGGATGCTGAGCAAGCGAACCATTGCCTGATGCAGGCATCGACGAGCGCCGACGATTTCCGCAGAAAGGCGACAGCACGTTTCAAGTCTATGTACTCGGGACGTGCTCAACGTGACATCTCCCTGTTGCTGGCGAAAAGCGGAACTCAGGTTGTAGGCCTGGGATATCTTCGGCGGAAGCTTGTCGGCCAACGGTTCGGTACTCTGAATATGCAGAGTATCCGTGGGGATGGTTACCTGCCCGCTAAATAGCCGCTCGGCTATTCTGTCGCCCCGAGGTGTGTAGACGCACCCCTTTGGCTGGCTACCGAAGGGATGCCCATGGCAGAGACTGAACGATTGGCGGTTGCTCTGGTGCTCAGAGTGGTCTCCCGCAGCGTGCCCCGCTCGGCTTGTCACCTGGCAGCCAAAGAAGGCTGTCTACTGCATGGTCGACATCATCGCGGGATCCAGCGTGGGAGCTATCATGGGAGGGTTTGGAGGCTCTGCTGATGCGAGCTTTTATGCGCGGCAGTTCAGAAGCCTATTAAGTGAGCCTTGTGCAGGTCTTACAAACAAATAATCATACCTGCTGATTGCATCACCCTGTGCGCTTCCGTCGTGCTCAAGCCACTGGTCCCTCAAATCCTATAATCCCAGGAAGTACGCATTCAATGAGCCTGCCCAACCCTGTGAATATCATGGTATGGGTCTGGGATACAGTTCCGTCGTACCGCCTTAGAAGGGCCGATTTAAAAACATACTTGACGAACTTGTTTGGAGAATACGAGGGAGATTTCTACATTGAGGTTTGTTTCTAGAGCAAGTCGCCCAGCGGCATATAGCTGACGGTCACGTACAGCTTTCGAATGACAATTACCGTTTCTATGTTCCAAGATCTCTGACACAAGTAAGGCGACCCACCAGGCCATGACGCAGCCGCAGTGACTGAAAAGTTCTGACGAGGACAGAATGAGAGAGACAGTGTCCTAGATTTGCGCTGGGAGGACGAATAGAAGCTTCCTCCTTGCCTCGCGCCTCGTGCTTCGCGCCTCGCTACAGGCACGGAGGGCGCTCTTTGTGATCCGCGCGGACGAAGGGCCGAGAGCCACATGAATAGGGGTTGCAGCGGTTTCATTCTGAGGAGGTTGGTGGAGTGCAACATCTCGTTCACGTAGAGAGTTACTGAGTCGATGTATGTGACTTGGAGACAAATGTACTTGTACGGAGGTGGCTACCAAAAGTCGCTGAACACGCTAAGGCAGCCACAGCAGCACTATCACGCATCTGTCCCACTTGAGGCTAGCGGTGAGCAGGGATGCAAGCTCTGGCTTAGATCTAAGCAGCGTTAATATTAAGACCTCCCTTTGGTACAAGGATAAATTTAAGCTGTCTACCGAATGCATTCCATATATAAAAGTGGTGAACAGGCTGACCGAAGGCTAAGACTATGAATTGATGCTAGAGCTCTTGACTAGCAACCCAGCCCCTGTACCCGGCTTACTTGAAGAAGCTAGCGTCCGATAGCTCCCGCTGTGGCTGCCTTAGCGTGTCCTGCAACTTTTGGTAGCCACCTCCGTACACTAGGCCGTCGAGGCACACATGCATGGGCGGACGGTGCGGGTTGAGGCATCACCCAGGCTCAGCTCTAATGTTAAGCTGCGCCACCGAGGCACCCGGGGCAAACCTATGGTTCCACGGATTGTGTCCGGTGGACCAACAAGACGCTTTCAACCAAGTTGTGTTCACCGAGAAGATGTGCGTGGCAACCTCGGCTGGGGCTCAGACGCGATTGGCGACAGAGGCTTAGACACGTTCGTCACTTGGACTGGAGAACAAGGTAGGGCGTTGTCGCCAACCCTTTGGGCAGCAAGGAGAGCAGGTCTCGCGTTGGCTGATTGTGTGTTCTTCTCAGCAACATATTTGTCTTGAGAATGCATGTTCTTGCAAATGTTCTAGAGAAGCACCCAGAGTGTCACCGTACTACAATGGACCAATTCATCAGCTCTTGCGATTCTGCAGGAGAATACCCTCGAAATCTAATTCATCCCAACGCCTATGTCCACAAGCTCAGGGCGTGCGCCGAGCGGTTAGACAGTGAGAACGAACGTCTCTTCAGTAATGAAGCCAGAGCTGCCGTGGACTTCCTAGATTTCGATGAACAGGCGCAGAGTACGTTAATACGCTTGTTCCAGCTTTAATATTGATCGAGGCATCACACTTACCTTACTTAGCCTTCCGGCTAGCTTGCATGCGGAATATAGATGAATTGAAGAAGCAGTTGCGCTTTGCGTGTGTACCCGGTTTTATGGATTCGCGATGTAGATTCATGTACGTGATAGCCCGTCCAGTGTTGACAACTTTATTCTGACGGCCACGTACAGCTTCATCAGTGCACCGCATTCACGAGAGCGATTGAAGATCACACGTGGAATGCTCATGGTTATACTCACGTACTATCAGGTGATGCCGTCATTCCTGGACTTTCTCTTCACGTTTGGAAGACAAGAGTACGCACAGGATTTCCACTTCAGTGCCTTCTGGCACGAGACGCGTTTGATGGAGATGGAAAGAGGCCTTCTTCTGTCAGATCTTGGACGCTCAGGTCGAGATATCCGTTTGTGTTACAGCTTACGATCAGTGGAACCGTCTACAGGGCAAGAGGGTTGGCCTTGGTCCGTCCGTCAAACTGCCCTCTATCATTCGTTGGATGTGGCAACCGGCCGGACGACATGGATTTTCATAAAGGGCGATCAGTTGATGAAGAAACGCATTAGGGATGAGACAGGACCAGATGGGTCCTCAGCCATGAATACGTTCACAACAAATGCTCGGGCTTTCGCGTCGACACTTGCAACCCATCTGATAGTTTGCGATTGGGCTGGGGAGCATTGGCGGTGGTATGTTAGTTTCCTTGAAAAGGAGCTTCAACATACAACTCGACGCACGCTATCAGCAAAAGTAGAGAAGAGGGAAGAAGCAGCGCCTGAGATGACACCTCTGCCGACACCACTGCCGACACCGTTCGTAACTCCTCGAACGACATATGCATCGGAGTCGCGAGTTCGACAGGAGCCTTGGATGTATTCATTTATGAAAAGAATAACTGACAAGGCTATCTCCCCTGCTTCGATATCATCGACGAGCCCCTGGGACCATACAGATCGTGGTGAAAAGCAGCCAGGCGCACCCACGGTGCAGGCTGACTTTTCATTCAGCGACTTGCAGCGAATCCAATTTCTCGAAGATAAAGCCAATGAGACTTCGCTGGTGCTGGAAGTCAATCTAAAAGTTTTGGGGGAACTCAAAAAGCATTATCTATCGGTGACAGGTTCAGAGGATTGTCCAGCAGAGTTCCATCGTGATTGCAAGATGGACATTTCCCGGTTTGAGCAGCGTGTGATGAGCGTGGAAAATGATCTTAGGACCCAGCATTCTAGAGTAAGGACGCTACTACGATTACTCGCCGATAGGAAGAACCTGGTATGTCCGAGTTCCTCAGTTTCAATTAAAGATCTTGAACGGCAGGCTGACTTGTTTAAGCTTTACGGTATATTGCAGTACCGTAATATGGAAGCAAGCAAGTCACTTGCTGAGGAGGCTCAGCGTTCTGCTAAGAAGATGGAGAACATGACAGGCGATATGCATGAAATTGCAAAAAGAACGAAGCAGGAAACTGTCTCAATGAAGATCATCACCCTCGTCACTCTTTTCTTCTTGCCGGGAACATATATATCGGTAGGTGTTGAAAATTCCGATCTGATAGATGGATGGATGTTTAACTCAAGCCTTAGACGCTCATGAGCACCGACATCGTTAGGTATCAGACAGAGAGTACGGGACCACCGGTAAAGGTTTTCCAACCAGGTGCTCTACGACTCTACCTGGCTATCACATTACCGCTAATGATTGTCACTTTCCTCGGGTGGTACGGAGTATATTGGTGGGTGAATCGAAAGGAGGCGCGTGGAGGAGCTAACAAGGTGTACAACACTGTCCGAAATTACACGCAAGTCTAACACAGAACGCGCATCGTACGCAACTGCAAGAGGGCGTACGACGTACGGGTCGAGCAGTGCTTGTATCGTTCAGGTTCTCAGCTCGCTCGTGTAGAGACGTAAAAAGAGCATCTACTGTAAAGCAACAGCAACAGAGTGACAGATCCATGATTGGAGAGCATGGTAAGGGCGCGACACAGGCAATCTGGCTTGCTACCGAACGACACAAGCCTAGGCGGGGCTAAAGTGCAAATACAGTGTTAATTTGAGCAAAGATCACGGACGGTGAGCTCGTGAGCCGCACTAAGGATTGAGGTTGGCACGATGACGAAGGGAGGGCGGCTTTACAGTCTATAGCTTTTGAAGGTTTACCTTTCATCACTAACTCACTGCGTTGTATCGCTCGAGAGCTTCAACATCATGCTTATAGATCGCCACTGATGGACTTACGACCGTGCCGGCTCAGAAGAGAATCTTTCTATGACGTTCACGACATCTGTTTCGAGGGATATGCGGCCGCGGCGGCAGGTAGGCTGTGAAGCAACCCTGCCCGTAAATGGTGCCAGAGTAGTTAACGGATGTCTCAAGCTCTTGATATCTGTGGCAACAACCGTGCGATCAGCTGTCCACCCTCGTCAGGCGGGAAAATGGCCTCACCGCGAAAATCATGCTTTTATCAACTATCACGTGCACAATCAGCTTTTAAAGGCTGTAGATAGTGTATAAAGGCTATTTATAAAGCACTAATCTATCCTCTTCCTTAGTGCACTATTTTAAGTAATCTATCACTTTGTTGATAAGGGGGTGTGTTGAGAGCAAAGCGAGGCGTGGTCGATAAAACGTGAGTTTCGCGGCGAAATTCTCGCGATGAGGCCATTTACCCGCCCGACGAGCCATCCAAGATCGGGTTTCAATCTGGAGTAACCCTGACCCTGATCCCAGGTGCTTCGCCGCAGGTAGCCGGTTACAAGCAATCAAGGTATCGCGAAGTCAATCTTGGTTACGTTTAAGCCTTACCTAGCGCCGACTGACCGGTGACAAGGTGCCGCACTTAGCGCGAGGGCTGTTGCGGGGCCATGTGGGGTTCTGTGGACGCCTTCAAGCTCGTGTCCTGATATGATTCATGCGTTGATGCCGCCCTGCTAGCAGGCAGGAGTCCCATATCAGCCTCAAGGTTACCCAACGCATGCTAACCTTGGAAGTCCCGCCGCTCTTCGCAGGGCGAAGCAATGTGCGTGCGCATTTATTTCATATACTCACTTTACTCGATGCCTGTTCCTGTCTTGTCTTGTTTTGCGCTTGACAACGGACCGTCCTCTACTAATGTCCGAGTCGCAACCCGACCACGAGAGCACGATCCAGGAGTTTTTGGGATTCCTGAGAAGTGCTGCCTGCGAAGGTGCCCTTGGATCTGACCCTGAAGCGAAACCTCAATTCGTACCGATTGACAGGATCACAGAGCGAGTGCAAGACACTAAGCGATTGTTGAAGCTCCTAGACGCCTTGTTCCGCAACAGAGAGCATGATTTCTACCCGGAAATCGTTCAGAAGGACTTTCCTAGGGTCTTCTGTACATTGTTGAGCATCGGCAGGGCAACGTTTATCGAGAACTTCATCGAGGACAGCCTGAGCGACAAGCTGCTCCCCTTTCGCGAAAAGCCGCCCCAGTTCCCAATCGCCACCGAAGGACTGGACTTCTGGAAGTCTTTCGAGGAAAAGCAATGGATGTTCTGTCCTGCAACCTTCGAGAACAGCACCCCCAAATTACGCTTCGTAGAAAAGCTTATCCTTCCCATCATACACAAAGAGAAGATAACAGAAGGTGGTAGCGCCGTGATCCATAAGATACAGATACATCCAGCATACAATCGGTTGAGGCCGTACAGTGAGGATCTGGTACAGCGTGTACGTCTCCGATATCGCAAAAGTTTGCAGACAAGTGTCTAACCCGATCTAGAACTTGAATCATCAGGTCGCAAACACGTTCGTCCTCAAAACGTACCGTACCAGAGACGCCAAGAGGTATTATGATAGTGAGGTTTACGGCTTCAGTAAGCTCAACTCTGGCGGGAGGCCTGAGCCTACCATAATCGGTTTCTATGGGAGCTTTACCCAGAACGATACCTTCAATGTGCTCTTAGAATACGCTGATGTGGGCAACTTGGAGCAATACTTCCAAAATCCAAATATCTCGCCGCCATCAAAGGGAGAGGAAATTGAAAGTTTCTGGTCCAAGCTTCTTGACATTACGAGGGCTATAAGATGCATACACAATGTCGAGCAAGGTGACTCTGTCAGTCCGAAGATTTTCCAAGGGTATGTGCATATCCAATGTTATCTTTATTTGGTAATGTTCTAATGTGGCGAAGGTGGCACCAGGACATCAAACCCGCCAACATTCTCGTCATGAGCAATGGGCAAAACTCACCATACATGTACGACTTCAAACTGGCTGACCTCGGACTCAGCCACTTTCGCAAGCATGTACCTTCAGAAGGGGATGCCCTGGATAAGGACACTTGCGGGACCCGTACCTACGGTAAGTTGCCGTCAACTGGGCTACAAATTCAACCCTATAACTCCATCATAGGCCCTCCTGAGTGCTGGAGAGCGGACGCTTTCAGCGCCAGGACTCCGCTCCGGATCCAGCAGAAAGCTGATATCTGGTCCTTCGCATGTGTCTTAAGCGAGGCAGCAGTTTGGATAGTCCATGGCCGTCATGGACTGCAAGAATACCGCCAGCGGCGCAAAGCCGAGACTGGGCTGAGGTCCAGCTTTGAAGACAGCGACTGCTTTCACAACGGCGAAAGAGTACTCAACGCTGTCAAGCAGACGCACGAATCCCTGGAGACCCATATTCGCCTCTCGGATCATATTACTCAAGCTGTCTGGAAGTCCATGATCAGAGAGATGCTGGTTGACGTTCAATCGCGTCCTGATGCGTTTCAATCTTACAACAAGACGAGGTTGATCCTTGAAGATGCAAGAGGACGCGGAACGACTAACCGATCCGGCACATCTCAAGTAGTCGTTGCCGTACCACCTTCGACACTGCCCGAGTCTCCAATTGATCGGCGGCGTTCTCAGCTGACGCCTCTGCACATGAAAGAAGTCCGGAGAACACTGCCTCCAGCGGGTCCCGCTTATCAGCCAGCGCCGACAACTAGAGAAGACCGAGCACAAACCTGTGATCCGAATTGCGTGCCGCCTAACGTGCTGCGCGGCAGTGATACCTGGCGGCCCAGGTTGCGTAGCTCTCAGGAGATGAAAAGCACACTTCTAATTTCTGGGCAGGCCTCGCGTCCTCGAGGTGGTAAAACGTGGGCTGAAGATAAGGATGACCAAATGTGTGAGTCTCCATCTGACCTTGACGACATTAGCGGACTCCATCCGGCCAGGTTTGGGTGTTTGGAGGAAGCCGATGCCGAAGACGTACGTTCCGGCCAATGCCGTACAAAGGAGGGCCGAGTGCTAGTAGCCGAAGGTCCGGTCACCTCTCCAACGACGACACAATCTCCTGTTGACACGCTTGAGCGTCCGTTCTCAGCTATTCCCGGTTCATTTCGCGAAGCCGGTCCTGAAGATCAAATACCGAAGTTATCCCTTGACGATGCGCAAAAATGGAAGCAATCCAAGAAGAGCAAATCCAAGGATGCTAAGCAGTTACCCTCCACGTATTGGTGGAATATAATAAAAGGCCGAGACCATGTATGTAACCCTTCCTACACATACTGAATTTACTGTTAAGCAGTACGCAGGCCTTCCTGATCGATAATTCTTCCTCGATGAGACAACACTGGAGTAATGTGTTGTCTCTGCTTGAAGTTCTGGCTTACATAGCCAAAATAGCGGACCCTGACAAGCTAGATTTGTACTTTTCGATGCCCGGCGAACCCAGCAAGAACAAAAAATGTAAGACTACAACGGAGCTTGTGAAAGCCGTGGAAAGCATGAGGCCGAATGGCCCCAGCTCAATGAAGTCGGACATGAATGCAAGCATAGGTTCTATCATTGGCAATTATCAAAATAAACTTGATGACCGTTACTCCTCAAAGATATCTTGGAGAAGGATGTCGGGGTCGTCCGTCAGACCATTAAGTCTTTGTGTTCTTACGGATGGAGTGTGGCAGCCGAACTGCAGTCTGGACAACACTATCAACAGCCTGGTGGGGATGTTGAAAAGATTCGGTCTCCAAGGTTCCCAGGTTGGGCTTCAATTCGTCAGGTTTGGCAATGACGAGGAGGGCAAAACACGTTTGGATCACCTCGACCATTTAGATCGCGAATTGGGCCTTAAGATGTGGGTGTATCCGCGATCCACAACTGCCACCTGTGGTCCGCTAATCAGTCTCTTTGCTCCAGGGACATTATTGACACCGAACCTTTTGACGGCTGCAACATCTGGAAAGTGTTTCTCGGTCCCATCAACAGATGGTTCGATGACGACCATCCTCGCAGCAGCAAACAACAGGAGCTTGACACCCGTCCTGCCAACGACGACACAAGGATTCGGTCCGCTTCTTCGCCATAACTCTGCACATGGCCGGTCGGGGAAGTCTGAAGGCGTCCTGCAGGTTCGACTTCAGTCTCGACATTCGAGTTGCTCAGTCGACACTTTCTCATCCGTCCCTTCCTTCATTTCTTAGTGATACCCGGCTTTTCGCTGCCACAGCACGCGCTCCATCCGTTTTGCAACGCTCGTTCCATCATGAACCGAAGCGATACAGCGCATTTCCTACCAGAAGTCTTTGCTCAACGGTGGCCAGAATACTAGGAAGGTTACGAGGGCGTTTCAGTCTTCTCCATTACTGCGGGCACGCCTATTGTGGCCTTATGGATTTATATCCGGCGCTGTGCTGAATTTTCTGCGTCGAGTCCCATGAATTAGTTGATGTATCTTGTTGAGGAGAGGCGCTTGCTGACTCAGAGGACGTTGTACATGAATATATCCCAAGATATCCGATACAGGGCTCTGTACAGTTTCTGTATGCTTGAAGCATGGCAGGGCGTCTTGATGGACTCCGCGGTTCCAATGTTTTTTGTCACTTCCTCTGCGGGTAACTTCACGGTGTTAGACAGCGGTGGCATGTACTTTATCTGATTCCCGTCATAGGCATTCGTCGTGCGCAATTGGGGATTGTCCGAAGAGTTGCTCTCGCTTAAGCGCTGTGCCGCATTTCTGGGCAGCATTCAAGACACCGGCACTATAGACTAGCAGTAGCAGGACCCATTGGGACAAGCTTAAGATGCATTGCTGTTGCTAATAATAATCTGCATTCAATTGTTCACTAAAGGCTCGGAAAGTCACGGTTTTCTGTTGTTGCCCAAAACATCACATTCTCGACAAAGGACTCGGGCGATGCGCACGATTCTCCCGCACAAGTGACGACGTAGATCCGGTCTTGAGCCTCAACGCCTGATTGTAGTTTGTTGTGACAGTATGGATGAGGGACAACTCGGCTCTCGGATAAGGCTCTGCTGAATTCAGCAGATACGAGCCAAGCTTTGATGGTCAGAAAGTAGGATAACCCAAAGTAAGAAAACCCTGCAACAAGCTGATAAGTCAAGAAATTGTTCTACAAGGGATCAAAAGAGCAGCACGGAGCTTGCTTGCTACCAGGAGCTCGCCTTGTGGAAGTGGGAGAAGGCACACGTGATGGCCCCCAATTCCTACATGGTTTCATATTTCGCCCCCATCTTCTACACTTCCACTGACCGGGTAGTCATAAGCAAGGCTTTCGCTACGAGGGATTGATGATAGGTGAACAACAAGCTGGCAGCTGAAGGAGACAATACCACTAGGCTACCGGCATACATGAATCAGCTGCACAATCCTTGTCCAATATTGTATGTACAAGCTGCAAGAGGATGCGTGCCCCCAGCTTGTCCGCCCATGAGGGCCTTGCATTGTCTGCGATGCATCGGAAGGCGGATGTGGATCCGGGGAACCTGGGGAGGTCCTTGTAAGTTTCGAACAACGTGCTTGAGAGAGGTATCACGTCCCCATACATATGTTATGAAAATTGAAGAGCGAACGGTGTAGATGGTGCCTCAAGGTGTCTGTATTACTTTGATACTGTACAGTTGCAAATATGATAATGCGCTTAGAAGCAGGCAGATCCAGCCCAGATCCTCTCCCAAGGTCTATCCAAGCCCGCGAAGCGGTTCCGTAACTAACGTCTCTGCCTCTACCAGAAAGGACAGTACTGCGTACATCAAATGGTATCTCAACTCCGCCCGGCCGCAGCTTTATGCCAGAAAACAATATCGTGTAAAAACATGTATGGGAAGATTTTTTAACCGTGCTGAGCACCTGCCTCACGCTCCGCCTTCTCGTACGCAACAGCGTGGCGGTCGCCAGCGATGCCGGTGTGCTGCTCGCCACTGCTCTCACTCGGCTCCCTGCCCTCTAGCATCTGGCTGTGTTGCGGAATGCCGTGGCGGTCACCCTGAGGGATCTGCTGCTCAGTCCTTGCTATGTCGGCCTTCGCGGGCGTCCAGGCGAGGTAGTCGCGGCGAACTTCAACGTAGTCGTAAGCGAACTCGCCCAGCTGGTCGTCGTCCATACCGAGCAGCTCTGCCTCCTCGGATGCGCGTAGCTTGAGGCCGGGGATGAAGTTGATGCCGTAAGCGAGGAGCGCGCTGATGCAGAATGCCCAGGCGGAGCAGGCGACGATGTAGGCGATTTGGATGTACATCTGCTTCCAGTTGTGTTGGATCCAACCTCCCGAGATGCCGTTGTTAAAGCCGTCGAGACCGATGATGTAGTCCGCGCCGAAGATTCCGTTGAAAATTAGACCAACGATGCCAGCGACACCGTGCTCAGCGAACACGTCCATAGAGTCGTCGATCTTGACCCAGAATTTGACTGCAATTGATTAGCGAGATCTCTCGGGTCACGTACGAAACAGACTTACTCTTAGTTGCATAATTGCATACGACGCCGGTTGTGATGCCAAGGACAACGCTAGCCCACGGAGGAAGATAACCGGAGGCAGGAGTGGCTGCGACCAGGCCGGAGATGGTTCCTGAACACCAGCCGACCATAGACCATTTCCTCGCGAGCCTCCAATCGAGCAGAACCCAAGTGATGGCGGCGAATGAGGCAGTAATGTTCGTGTTCCAGCAGGCCATCACGGCACGAAGGTTGGCGCCGAAGGAGGATCCGCCGTTGAAGCCAAGCCATCCAAACCAGAGCAAAACCGTGCCGAGTGTGATGAGCGAGACGTTATGGGGGCGGAAGTTAAGCATCATCTTCTCTTGGCGCCGGCCGAGAACCATGGAGTATGCCAAAGCTGACAGACCAGAGCCGATTTCGACAGGCCCGCCTCCGGCGTAGTCCATGACACCCCAGTTGAAGCCCCATCCGTTCGCAGCCCATGCCCAGTATGCGATCGGGCAATATACGATTGTGGCCCAGCAGAATATAAAGACCATCATGGGAATCAGGCGACCGCGCTCAGCAACGGCACCGACTGTGATAGCAGCGGTAACCGAGCAGAACATCATCTGAGAAAGTCAGCATCTGGAACGTTCTGCGCAAGCATGTAGAGCGTACCTGGTAAAACGCGTAGAGAAGATCGGGGATATACGGGCTGCCAGGGCTCGGAGCTCCCAGAGTATTCATAAGCCCAAGCTTCTTCAGGTCACCGATGAACCCGTTGGTCGAGTATTGACTGAATGCCAGCGAGTAACCCCAGAAGTACCATTGGAAACAGACAACGGAGGAGGAGAATAAGCAGGCCCAGATCATGCTAAGGGCCGACTTTCTTCGCGCAAGGCCGGAGTAGAGGAAGCCCAGTCCCGGTATCATGATCAGCACCATGGCAGATGCCACGATTATGTATGAAGCGTCTCCAGCCTGGTACCATTGGTTGAGATTCTCGGTGACTGGTAACCGCGAGTATTAGTAAACGTACAATAGTGACTTCGAGGACGGCGAGCTGCGGACTCGGCTATGATGGAAAATAGCATGTGATTGGAGATTTCGCAGAAATCCACTGTAACAATCTGAACTTACGTGAATCACCACCGAGATCCGGGTTCGTGCCATTGAACTCTGTCGGACCAGAATTGATCCAGGGCTGAGAACCGTAGCCTGACATTTCGACGGCTTGATCTCACCAAAGGGAGCACGTGAGATGGTACTGGTAGGGAAAACTTGAAACCTGGAGAGAGAAAGGAATACAGGGCCGCAGGGGCAGCTGCCAGTTCAAATATGGGGCAGAGCGACGTTGGGATACCCACAATCCCGGAGGAGTACGGGTTGTTTTAAGAGCTCACCCATTGATCAAACGAGCGTCAAGCACAGGCGTAGCATGAAGCGCAGCTTATCTTTCGCCGCACAAGCCAATGGCGGCAAGATAGACAGAGGGCGGGCTACATCACCCACAGGTCGTGGGGTTGTGGCGCGTTGGTTCGAGATCTTGGACCGTTGTTTTTCTGTGGTCCGAGAGGGTCCCAGCATGCCGTCAGCGAGCTCCGAGCCCCAGCGCTGGCGCTGCTGCCAACGGCGGGATACTCGGACGCCTATCTGCGTGAGAGAATTTTTGTCTTCGTTAGCCGCACAACGAGATCGATTCAGGTCTATCTGACGCCTGCGCGGCATGCATGAATCTGGAAGTCTCATCGAGTGCGTCTCCAACTTCTGTCTATTCCTGAAGGCACACACGCTGGGATTTACCCTTGGCACGGGATGGGGTCGGCCCTGCAGCGGCGTGCTTATCTGGGAGTTTTGGTTTCATCACCACCTTACGCGACGCCTGCGCGGACTGCCAGCCTTGCCGCCGTCCAATTGGGCGCGGGAAGGCAGATAGGACCTGACTAGAACTGAACTAGCACACTCGCGTGAATGCCGGATGGGGCAGACCCACGGTAGATGATCGCTCGCGCTAAGTCAGCTTGCTGTCTATTTTGCGTGCGGCTGATTCGCTGCTTCAACCTCAGAGATAAGAGCTCGCAACCACTCTCTTGCTGGGGCCAGCCGTGCGTCTCGGATGCATGTTGGACCGTTTTACAGGTGTGGTGATTCTGGGGAAGGCTGGAGAGATAAGCCGAATGTGCAATTCCAATTTTCACCAGGCGCCCCTCAGAGTTAAGATGATGGTGAGGCTTTCGATGGCGCTGCTCTATGATCTCTACCTCTGCAGCGCGTGCTGATATCCAGATACTGCCAACGTGACGATCTTCGTACGATTTCTAGACAGAACAGAATCAAGGTCTCAACGAACACAAGCAGCCCATGACGGGTGATATCGCTGGCGCTTCTTTTGAAGTGGCTGAGGTCCATAGAGCGCTCGAGCTCACCCTTCTGCGGGTGTTGCGTGGGCTACTCGGAAGACATCCGTCTGGAACGACAAACTTTATGGATCCTTTGTGGGGTAGAGAAGCATTTCCGAGGCCGTGATCCTGCATGTCAAACCTCCGTCTCCTGTCTGCCGGGTTTGGAGAACAGTGGAGGTTCTGGGTCCTCGATGTTTGCTTCAAATTAGGTTGTTCACCCATCAAGGTGGAGACTTGCGTAACGTTGCCCAGCATGTGAGAGCGCAAGGTCACCTCCTGACGGGCGCTTAACCTCAGGCTCACACACGGACAGGCTGGGCCACAGCTTTCTCATGGTTGACGTCGTGCAACTGACGGTATTCGACAGACGAATAAGAGCCTGCCCATGAGATCTCTACCGCCACGCGAACCGCCACGTCCAAGACGGAAGGCTGACGCATAGAGCAGTGTCCTTCCCACCGCGGCTGTCCGTACGCTGTTAACAAAAGGTGCTGACAACCGGTCAAGAACCCATATTTACCGATGACCGAACCGGACCCGACTCTGACAGCTCCGAGATCGGAGACAAGAACTTCGAGCGCTAGGAGCGGTCAGAGGCCGAAGACGGACAAGGCCTCCACAAGGCTCCCACAATAGGAATTGCATCGGCGCTGTGGAACCTCGCCAGCTAACTAAACCGGCGACTTCACCGAGTTTCTGAGTGATACTCGTGACAGCTCTGCAGACGTCCGGAACCAAGCGCAAGTGCGGAGCGACTTGGCATCAATAACGACCCATCAACCGCGCGGCGGCGATGATCAGTGTCTGCTGAAGTTCAAGAGCTGCAGACAGGGTGTCATCGACCTGATTCATAGAATAGTGAGCCGACAACGACTATTAGAAGGAAGTCTGAGTCTCTATGTAATGCTGTTTCTTCTCTTCAAGATGGAGAATTGAGCTTCTCCATCGGGTCTTTTACTTTTACGCTTTTGCGGCGCGACTACGCGAGAGACCTGGACTTTGAGACACGCGTAATGATCTCGTGCTGGTTGTATACTTCAAGACGCAAAGGACTGTCTATTTGATATCTTGTCCATTGCTCGGCGAACGACGAGCTTCTCATATTCCTTGTAGGCACATTGTGAATACTACACTCGATCCGGAATAATTCAGATCAGACTGATGGTGCGCTTACGTGGAGATCGAGGAGTCAAGGGCAAGAAAGAGGCCGAGCGAATAGATCACTCAGAAGCCGCTAGGAATTGGTACCCGCTCATGAAATGCTCATGCTTCTGTGCTAGAAGGGGATGCAGATCGCTGGCGTAGCTCTATTGTTCTGCCTTCAACTAGTTGATTAACAGATCATGCTCTGCCCATTTGACAGACAGAGTGAGGTGAACAAAAGACGGACTCCAATTCCCAGTTCAGTTCCGCTGAATCTTCACATTGGTATGCGGATGGATGCTCATAGATAGAACATATTCATGGAATCATGCGTACCAAAAGCTGCTCACGTGCTCTACGGAGTACGGCGGACGACAGACACTCCCGCCGCACTCCGCATGTCAACGGTCTTGGCACAGCGCGACCTCAACCCTCCATTGTGAGCACCAGAGCCCTAGTAAACAGCAATGGTGCTCTCCTTCATCCTCATACAGAACCGGCAGTAAGTGCGCTCGAATTCGCCAGACAACGCCGAGGCTAGTCTCCAGATGCTTGGGGCTAGCGGCTGATGCGGTTTCGTACAGAGGGAAGACGCGCCTTGCGAAGTGGTATGCGCCGTATAGCGTAAGTCCTCATTGAGACCCCGTTCTTCATGCGCACTGGATGAGAAGATTAGAGTGCTAATGAGTGCCTCGAACAGGATGAGGAAAAAGTCAAGTTGAAAGGCGAGGTCCGTCTCCTCTCCCTCCGCTTTCCCCCCTCCTCCGCCCTCTCCCTCTACACCCTCAAATTCCCCTTGCCGGCCCCGACTCATGCGCCCCTCTTATGGATTACAGGTCCACCGCCTAATCGCGCCCCGCGACCAAAAGCATCAATCCAACTTCGTCGAGTTCCGCAACACCTCCAAGATCGTTTACCGGCGGTACGCAGGTCTCTTCTTCTGCGCATGCGTCGACACAAATGACAACGAGCTCGCGTATCTGGAGGCGATACACTTCTTCGTCGAGGTTTTGGATGCATTTTTCGGGAACGTGTGTGAGCTGGACTTGGTGTTCAACTTTTACAAGGTGCGTGCGGGGAGCTGTGAGGCGGATGAGAGAGATGCTGCTAGGAGGGAAAATGGTGTGGAGCTATGGGGCTGATAAAGCCGCGCACAGGTCTATGCGATCTTGGATGAAGTCTTCCTTGCGGGAGAGATCGAGGAGACGAGTAAACAGGTTGTGTTGACGAGGTTGGAGCATTTGGACAAACTGGAGTGATGGATCTTGGGATCGGTTTGGGTTGAACACATGGAGGAATTCTCAGGCGTTGGTTGCGGTTACATAGGCAGGATCTCATGGGTAACAACTGGCGACATTACGGTTTTGGTGCGCTTGTCAGTGCCACTTCAGAGATGCATCTCGAGGTGTAAAGGCAGTTGAGGAGTAACGATGAGTGTCGTTTGTTCCTTCCTAGTGACTATTTACGAACGCGGGTAGCAATCTCAGTAAAGCATGACAATGACAACCAACTCATACCAATGAAACCCAAAGAATTGCGCCGACAACCAAACCGCAAGAAGGACAACCGCAGCGGGGTATAGTGATAGTAAAGCGAGACAGTAACAAGAACGCGCAGCAGAGCCAACAACACCCACCAATCCCAATAACGCCTAGCAATGACAGTAATGCGCAGTAGTGACAGTAAACATTCCCATCTCCACAGCGAGTTCCTATACCAACGCAAGGACCTCCTCCAGACGTTCCTTGATGCTTCCATCGAGCTTCTCCGGCAGCTGAAAGAGTCGGATAGCCGGCTTCACCTCCACAGCGGCCTGAATGCGCTTGATGTTTGCAGCGACGTTGTCGTGCCTGACTTCCCGCACCGGGACACTCCCACTGAACGAGGTGGTGGAGATGTCATAGAGGATGGTCGATGTTTTGAGGCCCTTCGGGGTCGAGAATGGCAAATCTGCCTGTTCGAGGTTCGAGATTTTGATAGTGAGGTGTCGGATCATGTCGAAGGAGGCGGGGTTGATGACGCTGGAGATGAGCTTGAGGGCGTTTGAGTCGAACACGTTTTCGCGGTAGAGAATAGTGACCGCTTCCGAATATATTTGTTGCGAGACGCCGAGGATACTGGTTGATATGCCCAGTGCGCCATCCTCCACCCAGGCCAAGTCGATGTAGTGGTGAACGCTGCCGCATTTGCAGGTGCTGGCGTCGGTGCAGGCTGAACGGCGGTCGAGGCCGGTGATGAAATATCCGAACTTGGACGTGCGAATTTTGCAATGAGTTTTGAGGAGGTTGCGGTAAACGTCCAAGCGGAGCTCTTTCGGCATCCCCATGAAGGTACCGGAGGGGGCGGTGGTGACTGCGAAGCGTGTTAGCACAAGCACTTCCACGTCTGAGAGGCAAGTAACAACTTACTGATGGCATTGCCTTGCTTGAGCTCACGAGCGAGAGTGGACATTGTGATAATGATGATGATTGTTGTTTATTGTGCTTGGTGATGATGTGCTTTTTTACAGTTTACTTTTACAGAGTGAAGTTTGGAAGCAAGAGTTGTCTGAGGATTCAGCAGCGAGGGAGACGGAGACTATGTACGCGGGCGAGGATCTCACACCACATGTTACCTCTCGAGTCTAGCTTGAAAAACATCCACTAACATGTTTGTGAGTCACTATACCCCCCAGCTTTACCATGAGAACCGCCCATCGGAAAGCGGGCAAGGCGCTATTTCCGTGACTTTGCCATGAAAAAGACCCACCGAGAAGTGAGGGGAACACCATGGCCTTCGGGTTTGCTCTGGAATAGATCCATCGGAATGTCAGCATGAAGATCTCTTTCCTCTTTTTGCCATTAAAACTTGCTCGCCGAGAAGCTAGAGCATTGCATTCTCGCGGGGACTTTTGAAAAGCGCTCACGTGGGTCACTAGTACCACGGTTCCCGCCCCACGTTTTGCAACGTCTTCAGCACAGACTGCAGTCACCGGCATCGCGCCTTCCGCAGCGTGGTAAAGCTCCTTGCGGACAAGAGGTAACGTGACTGGTAGGAACTTGAAAGCTGTGCGGTATTGGGACCGCATGAAGATACCAGCACCAACAGTACCTCAGCAGATCCAAGCAGATGAAAACGGAGAGCATCGGACGGCTGCGGTGCTATCAAAATCAGAAGCGCTTTTTCTCTGAAAACTATTGAGAGTGATAGAGTAAGATATGTTCTCTAATCGCAACGCCTTACCAGGTTGTTCCAGCTGGGAAGGACCGCTCCGGAAGGTGCATTCGCAAACCCGTTGCATACGCATTTGGCCGGCAGGTGCAAACAGTATTGTGTTCTGCTTACCTTTGGCAGTGCTAGCACAAAGCTGCCGGCAATCCAGGTGATACTCCAACAACTCAATGCTTTGGTACACCCACCTGCTTCGATGCCTTGGAGTACCACCCATGCAAGATCGCAGCTTTGAGTATGAAACGCTCTTTATACAAGTCAGCATTGATCTCTTCGTCACCGACCTCATTGCTTGGCTAAAAATCGGGTAGCGACAAATATGTTGAAGACTTCGAAGAGATGCGCGTAGTATTACTAGTTGTTGACGAAAAAGAAGACTGTGCGACATAAACAAGGAAACCACGCCATAGAGCGTGTTTGCGATCATCATCGCAGCTCTTCAGAATGCGTGACACGTGCAAGAAGCCTGCGGATTTTCTCACGCGTGAAGTCGCAGACAAGTGAAGTGAAGTCAGGTAGAACTCGTGACAAAGTCCGAACAAACGCTGAAAGAATCGCTCGCGTCTTGCGCGCCTTATTTCCTCAATCGTCCTCTTCTCATTCTCAAACCTCGCTTCATTCCCAGAAGTCTGCTCGTCAACACCGCGAGTTCCCAAGATCTGACAGAGAGCATCACAACCTCAGAACCTACCTTTCGGACGCGAAGAGCAGCTACCACACGTGGTGGGTCAATAATCTCAAGATCTATCACTTTCCTAGCCCGCCACCAGATGCCCCAAGGCAATAGGGCTTCATCCAGACCGCTCACGCTCAAGCATCTCCAAGAGACCGTTAGCCTAGCGACTGGATGAGTTCAATCCGCTTGAGGCAGCGTCCCTGACTGCGAGGCGGAGGATCTAGCGCGCTTCTGAGCATTCAGTCACACTTAACCTTGCAAAAAACCAATTACTGACTCGACCGCTGCCAGAACGAACCTTCAAAATGGCCGAGAACTTAGCCAAATCCGCCTGGACTGAGACGGAAAAGGTGTGTCTGGGTCCGGCTACTCGAGGATGATGCCTCGCTGACTTCACAGCTCAACTTCCTCATCAGCGTGGTCAAGCACCAGCCCATCAAGTGGGACGAGGTGACCACTCCTGAGGGCCGCACCAAGAAGGCCTGCCAGGAGATGTTCAGACGTCTTCAGGCTTCCGTTGAGAAGGATAACGAGGCCGGAAAGGGCGCCACCAACGGCAATGAGGCCGGCGAACCAAATCCACCGAAGACGCCGCGCAAGAGGGCCCCTTCGAAGAAGAAGGCCGACACTGAGGCCCAAGCTGATGAGGAAGATGGCCCAAAGACTCCGAAGCCGAAGGGCAGCGCGCGCAAGAGGAAGGATGCTGGCGACGACAACGGGGCGAAGAAGAGCCCAACGAAGAAGGTGAAGGCGTGAGTTCTCCCAGTTCCAAGTCAGCTTTCGCTGTGAATGGCTTCAAAGTGCGTTACTTGCGCAATACCTAGCGGCGATGCTGCAGTGAGGAAAGCTATGCTTGACCCTCGTAGTACCAACCCTCTTCCTTGGTGCTAATCCTGAAAGTTTCTGGTCGCTCTGGGTTTCTTCCGATGACTGACCTTTCTGAACAGGGCCCCGAAGGCCAAGTCCACTGAGCCTGAGGAGGAGGACGCTACAGTCAAGGATGAGGAGGTCAAGGATGAAGGTGCTGAAGAGGATGTCTAGTTGCTCAGCTATGGAGAGCAAACTGGGGCAGGCTGTGCATTGAGATGCCTCGTTGGGCTTTTTCAGCGCTCGTCAGTTGTTCGCTGCATCAACTTCGTGCTCTTAATGGGATCTATGGAGGAAAACGGCTATATGTGAGATCTCTTGCTTTCTCTGGGGTATCTGCAGGCACCAAGCGGATAGGGGTTCAGCTTCACCGCTGCGCGGGCATGTCGGCAAGTCCGTAAGCAATGGAAATAATCATTGCATTCAATCAGGAGCTGAAACCAGCAACTTCTCGTGATGGAAAATCCTTCGGATGCGTGGGGTGCCTGAGGTGTCCGCTGAGTAAGCCCGGCTTGTCCGCCAGGGTCTCCGGTAGGGTCCTGGGAGAGGGCGATGAAGAATGTTTAACGGGGTTGATAGATCACTTCATTATCCCCCAATCGCCACCTAAGACTGGTTGGCGCTTCTACCGCCTTCCGCTCCTTCACTCTGAATGCTCGCTGGCCCCCGTTTTGGCGCCACAAGAGGATTCCGCCGTAGCACCTATCGTTTGACAGCACAGCGCAACCTGCATTTCACCGACCGACGCGCGCCATTTACAGCCTCATCATCGCCTTCGCAGACCATTCACACCCGTAGACCACTGCAGCCTCATAGACCCGTATCCTCAGCTCTCAGCTTCACCCCCATACTACGTCGCGCCTTCCCAACTTCGCCTCCCCCTACATCACCTGCCCCGAAAGCCATGGACTCCTCCATCGAAACCCGCAGCAAGCGTAAACAACCACCGACACCCTCAAACGATCGTCCGATGAAGCAAAGAAGACCGGAAGTACAATACGTTAACGGGTCCGCGTCGGACTCGCCGGTCAACGGCCTGCTCAACCACGCGGATCTGGACTATGAGAGCGACGATGCGCCGTCCATAGCACACATCGCCGCGACTGCGGACACGGCAGAGTGGCAGGCTACTATAGAGAATGTCGTCAAGAACGTTGTCTCCATACACTTTTGTCAGACTTGCTCCTTTGATACGGACGCGGCCGTTTCGAGCGAGGCTACGGGCTTTGTGGTGGACGCGGAGAAGGGCTATATTCTTACGAATAGGGTAAGAGCTCTGTATCGCCGGAGATCAGGAAGGGCTTTCAGGCTGACTATGAGGAGCATGTTGTAGGCGCGGGCCCGTTCTGGGGCTACTGCATTTTCGACAATCATGAGGAGGTAGGTCAGATCTGTGGCCAATTGAGGTTCAAAGGCTCATGATGTATCATAGTGCGACGTCTGGCCTGTCTACCGCGACCCCGTCCACGACTTCGGTATCCTTAGGTTCGACCCCAAGGCGATTAAGTACATGCCAATAGCCGCCTTGCAGCTACGGCCCGACCTTGCCAAAGTGGGCGCCGAGATCCGCGTCGTAGGTAATGACGCTGGAGAGAAGCTCAGTATTCTTTCTGGCGTGATCAGCCGTCTCGACCGTAACGCACCGGAATATGGAGAGGGCTACAGCGATTTTAATACCAACTACATCCAAGCGGCAGCCGCGGCCAGCGGAGGCAGCTCAGGCAGTCCAGTAGTCAATATTGATGGCTATGCCGTGGCTCTTCAAGCCGGCGGCAGGGCTGATGGCGCGGCAACCGACTATTTCCTGCCTCTCGACCGACCCCTTCGCGCGCTCGAATGTATACAAAGAGGAGAACACGTGGCTCGCGGTACAATACAAACACAGTGGATTCTGAAGCCGTTTGATGAGTGCCGCAGGCTCGGCTTAACACCTGACTGGGAGGCTGCCATCCGCGAAAGCTTTCCGAAGGAGACGGGAATGCTCGTAGCGGAGGTTGTGCTTCCGAAGGGTCCAGCAGACCAAAACCTTGAAGAGGGCGATCTTCTGATCAAAGTCAACGGCGAGCTTTTGACTCAGTTTATTCGCCTGGATGCAATTCTGGACTCCAGCGTAGGGGGCAAAATCAGGCTCCTGGTGCAGCGTGGCGGGCAGGACATGGAAGTTGAGCTTAACGTGGGAGATCTCCACGCTATTACACCTGACCGATTCGTCTCGGTGGCAGGAGCTGCTTTCCATGACCTCTCTTACCAACAAGCTAGGCTCTATGCTATTGCTACCAATGAGCATGGCGTATTCGTGGCCGAAGCATCAGGGTCCTTCAAATTTGAGGGTAGCGAGTCTGGCTGGCTAGTCCAGTCTGTTGACCACAAGGACACACCTGACCTGGAAACTTTTGTCGAGGTCATGAAGACCATACCCGGTATGATTCCCTGTTAACTTCTCCATATCGACATACACTTACACCCAATATAGACCGCGCCCGCATCGTAGTAACCTACAAACACCTCCGCGATCTACACACTCTCAACACCTCCATCATCACTATCGACCGTCATTGGAGCCGTAAGATGCGCCTCGCCAAGCGTAATGACACCACCGGACTCTGGGATTTCACCGACATTGCCGACGCCCTGCCCCCCACCAAGCCCGTTGCCCGTAAAGCTAATTTCATTCGAATGGACAGCGCAAAGTACGCTAACGCGGTAGACATCGTCCGCTCCTTCGTCCGCGTTGTAGCCAACATGCCCATCAAGCTTGACGGCTTCCCTCGCGCGCGAAAGATCGGACATGGGCTCGTCGTGGACGCCGAGAAGGGTCTCGTACTAGCAAGCCGAGCCATCATCCCCTACGACCTCTGCGACGTATCCCTAACGTTCGCGGACTCGATCATCGTGGACGCGAAAGTGCTATTCATGCATCCCCTGCAGAACTACTGCATCGTGCAATATGACCCCTCCCTCGTGCAAGCGCCCGTCAAGACCCCGACCTTCGCCACCGAGCCGATCAAGCAGGGCGAAGAGACCGTCTTCTTCGGTTTCAACCAGAACCTCCGCCCAGTGGTTGCCAATACTGTCGTTACGGACATTACGACTGTCGCGATCCCCGCCAGCGCCTCAACGCCCCGCTACAGAGCTATCAACCTGGACGCCGTGACCGTCGACACGTCGCTGGCGTCGCAATGCGGCACAGGCGTGCTGGTGGCTGAGGACGGCACCGTGCAGGCCCTGTGGCTGACATACTTGGGCGAGCGGTCCAGCCACAGCGGCAAGGACATGGAGTACCACCTCGGCCTCTCGACGCCCATGGTCCTGCCGATCCTGGAGCAGGTCCGCAAAGGCGAGAAGCCGCGGCTTAGGATCCTGAATGTCGAAACGAACACTGTGCAGATGAGCCAGGTGCGCACAATGGGCGTCAGCGAGGAGTGGATCGAGCGCGTCGAGCGTGAGGACCCGGAGCGCCATCAGCTGTTCATGGTCAGAAAAGTGGACAGTGGCCACAAGGAAGGGCTGCAGGAGGGCGACGTGGTGCTCACTCTCAACGGCAAGTTGATTACGAGAGTCCAGCATCTGGATATCATGTACGACAACGAGGTTCTGGACGCAGTGATTGTGCGGAAGAGGAAGGAGATGCGGATTAAGGTCCCGACGGTGCCGACGGAGGATTTGGAGACGGATCAGTGTGTCGTGTTTTGTGGGGCGGTGCTACATCGGCCGCATCATGCTGTCAGGCAGCAGATCAGCAAGGTGCATAGTGACATTTATGTCAGCGGACGGGTGAGTCAAGATTACTTTTCTCCTCATACCTTATATCTTCCTACGCCCTTTCTCTCTTGCTCTCTTGTCTAGGAATACGAAGACACTGCTAACGCTTGTGGTAACAGATGCGCGGCTCCCCCGCCTACGCCTACGGCCTCGCCCCCACAAACTTCATAACCCACGTCAACGGCGTCCCGACGCCCGACCTCGACTCCTTCCTGGCCGAGTCCGCAAAGATTCCAGACAACACCTACTTCCGGCTCAAAGTCATGACCTTTGACAACGTCCCCTGGGTCGCCACCATGAAGAAAAACGAGCACTACTTCCCGACCGTTGAGGTCGTCAAGGACGCCGCCGAGGACCTGGGCTGGAAAAGGATCGTGCATGAGTGTGAGAAGGGAGGCGCGGGGATGGAGGCAGTGGTTGAGGGGAGTGGAGCGGATGTGGGGGACGAGATGGAGGTTGCGGAGGGGGAGCCTTGTGCGTGAGCTGGCGGAGTCGATTGTGATGCCGGAAGGGTGGGGCGCCATGATGTCCCTGGAGGCTTCATCGAGGAACTTGATGGGAAGGCGGAGTGGTCCTTTGTATACTAGAGCCTAGAGCAGCGATGGGGCGGCGATGAGCATCGCGTCATACTGCATCGGGTGGATTGCACAGCATAGCATAGCCCAGGCGTTTTGTCTCCACCTTGTACTCCGTTCCCTTCCTGGGTAGTCTCCTAGCGAAAAATCATCGCTTCCATCTCTTATCTGTCGTGTCATCCTGTTTCCGCCCAGCGCCAGCGGCTAACTAATAGAAAACATAACCAGAGCCATAACTCGGCGGTTTGGGACGCGCATTCACCGGTCTCCAGAGCTTTTTGTAAGAGCACGCAGATGGAGACATGTGGTGACCGACCATGGGTTGCGTGCGTGTGCATGTTTACCACTGCTGTGCTTATACCACATCTCTGGAACGGACACAGGTCTGATCTCATCTCGCAAACCTATTCCTCCATATCGTGTCCGACCTGGCGGCTTTACCACCATGATTACTAACAGTCGTGTCTGCGCCACCACGGATCTAAGACCAACCTGTTCCCTTCTTTCCACTTGCCGTGTAATCGAATACCATACTCTGATGACAAGGGAGAAGGGAGTTGCAGACTAAGAAGATTCGTCTTTTGCTAAAGTGAGCGCGTTTGCGTGCTAAATAAACACATGTGAGATACCGAGCTGGAAAACTGAGTACAGCCGACTACAGGAGGCAGCGGTAGGAACAGCCGAGCAACATGTGTTCTTAGCCCTATTTCCCCAAGAAACAAGTCACTGAGTAACGCGTCTTGACTGGGAGTTGCGATCAGTACGACGCACATGGCAATACCAGACCTATGAGCAACTTGTGTCATCCAAGCGCAGAGATGTAGAACTGGTACACCCCAAGGTACTCCCTCAACTGCTGGCGCCCCTACTCCCGCGGTCCCGAGAGGAGGTACAGTAAGGTCAGTGTACCTACCACCACAGGTTCACACCAACCCTGTCGTTCACAACTGCCGGTCGAATACCTCACTTACACAGGAATGCACGCGAGTCACGAGCGTCAGCACTAAGCTCATCAAGGTGCTCACTCTAGCATGCTCTCAGCCTCGACGACAGCGTTTCGAAAGCCGCCAATCCCTTACACGTCTCACGTACAAGCGACAGTGAGATTGGGAGTGATCGCCAGTTACTCATATGGCATGCAAACGACCCCTCCTCGCTTTTCCGCGGGGGTCTCCCACTCTGGTTCGCCGAGCAGCGTTGACGGCTGCTCCCGAGGTCGCATTGTTGGGGACGATTGATAACGCAATCTCGATTCGTGGAAGTGTGGGGTTTCTGATTGCGGAGACTGGGGTAATCCAGACGCTGATCCCGGGAGGCCATGCAGGGAAGGGCTTGGCTGCATGGCCGCTCACGTCCGTCTGCGTGTGTGGTGCGTGGTGTGGAGATAAGGGAAAGTTTTTTGCTGGGGTCTGAGGGCCTGATTGCGGGGAACCTGGAAAGTTTTGAGGGAATCGACGATTGCCTGGAAAGGAAATCAAGCGGAGAGGACAGACGGATGAGGTAAAACTTGGCTCGTGGGAGCCGTAGTAGGACGTTTCTATGGTACAGTAGAAGATTAGGAATACAAGTCGCATAGCGTCGTAGGACTGCTTGGTATCGTGGACCCGTTGCCCTGTGTCGTGACGCCGTCTCGGTGACGCCGTCTTGTAAACACCATACCATACCGCCCATTTAAATGGATCCACTCGACACCGGTTGCCGAGAAATGCCGACCAGTGTGTCCCAGAACAAGAGCCAATGCTCACGACCAAAGCATCGACGAGAGATCCCAGACTCCAGCTTCCTAACTCCGACAACGGAAAATGCAATGACTCTGGGACTGAACACTTGAAACCTCATCGGCCTCGCAAGACTCAGAACCTGGGTGAAAGGATCGCACTCCTCTCCAAACTCTCAGCAACCCTCTCCACAAACTCCCGGTCGATGGAGCTCCTCCTCCGCTTCTGCTTCCTCAGCTCAACCTCCGCATCCATGAGCCTGTTCTGTATCCAGGCCCGGAACTTGTTGTCAGCCTTGACTGTTGGCGAGTTGAGCAGCTCCGTGAGTGTAGTTTTGATTTGGTGATTGACCTCGTAGAGACGGTCCTCCTCCGCTTTGTCGGCGGCTGTCTGCATCGTGCTAGATCGATGAGCTAGACCGGGCTCAGTGGGTATGGCTAGCGTCAATGTGGCTGGCGCAGGATATGTTGAGGCCAAGCCGGGCGGTGGTGAGGCGCTGAACGGTGAATATGATTCTGGCGTGTGGGTCTCGGAAATGGCGGTGATGGGAGAAGTCGAGGACACTCGCAGAGATATGCGGCGGCGGAGGGCTTCTTGCTGGGTGGAGAGCTCTATGTACTCTTCGAGGCCTCGATCCTGCTGGAGCGGTGTTAGCTGGGATGTCCCCAAGAGCGCCATGTAGAAGCGGAGCTGGTGCATTGAGCTAATGCATTCATACGTACCTGGTGTGGAGGGTATGTTGCTGGATTCGCCATGTCTCCTCTCAACATCGATGATAGCATTGGTGTTGTGTGGTCGTGGAATGAGGTGTCGGTGTTGCAATTGAATGGCTCAACGGATGGCAGCAGCCGTGCTTGGGAGAAGAGCAATTTAGAGGAAACGGCCTTGCTAAAATTTTACGTGGATGGCCTGCTCTCCGGGTCTTCCGTTCCGCAACAGTGGATCGCGCTGTGTCCCGACACCGTATGTAGCTTGAAGGTTGGTGGACTGACTGGTGCTGGGGTGACTGGTGGCAAGGTGATTGGACGGGTGTTCGCAGCGGAGAAGCTGCTGCAAGAATACGAGTATCCTGACACAGCTTGGGTTTGGGTGACAGCAACGCGGGTGTTTACGGCGGCCTTTCTTCGAGTGATGAGTTCGCGGCGTCACGTAGTAATTGCAGGCGAGGGAGAATAGGGGATAAGAGACAGGCGTGACAGGCTGGCGCTGTTAAAGGCATGCTGGGCAGCATGCTGGGCAGCTTCTCCCTGATCCTGGCTGTGGGATGGGAAATGCCCAGGTGTGGAAGTGACGTTGGTACCTTGCCTTGCAGTCGCGGGAACTCACGAAGCGTCCCCATTAGCGCTCCCGAAGGTCGCGCCACTGGTGGAGCAGCGACCTCGGGAGGAAAGAACCTTGAAAACGTGAGAATTTGGCTCAGCCTCACAAGAGACAGGCCTGCGCGGACCCGGACAGTCATCCCATCACGCGGGCCAAACCTGCCTCCGGCGCGATCCTGCGGGCTGCGTGCGATCTCGAGGCAGGAGAACTGCCACAATCATTCGATTCGAGCGGCTCGAGTTGCCCATGCTTGCCTTCCTTTGACTGAGTCGTGGGCCATTCCCAAAAACGTCACCCTGACGCAGGTCTCAAGCCTGTTTGGCTGCAGGGCTGAGCCGGGGGGCTTCTTTTGGGACGTTCAGCATCGCCGGAACGTTGCGCAGCTTGTTGCAGGACGTAGAGGACCTACCGGTACCTGCTCTTGAGTTGATTTTCGAAAGACTAAGGTACCTCTAGCAGAGTAAGATACAACAGACAAACCGAACAGCACTGCGTCCCAACATCCACCGCTGAGTGCGGAACCCCTTGCTTCCCGGAACGGTGAACAGGAGGCGAAGCATGTACTGGGATGACGCTCGGTAGCTCCACTTCCCCGTCTCATTGCAAGGAAGGCCGGCTTCGACGACGGTCCATGGGATTTCGTATTAGCCTTCATTGAAACGCTGTTCTAGCCTTACGAGAAACTCTTCATTCATCCGTCATGACGTTAGAATCAGCGGTAGTGGCAAACACTTCGAGCATTGGAGCACACTACACACAGCTAGACTAGGGGTAAAAGCAGACAGAAGGAAACCACCGCTGCGTACTCACGCAGTGTAACGATATAATTACCAGTATCGGTAGGAGTGACTCGCTTTCTAGTAAGAAGCACAATCTCTTGAATGCTTTACAACGTTCGCTTTCTATACTACGTGTGTACCAGTGTGCCAGCGCTCCCGAATTGACGAACCGCTGGCACCCGGCGTCTTGTTCTGCGATCTGTATAGAAACGCTCAAAGAAGAGCCGTCTTCCAGACCCCATTCTCGCCCACAAGAGATAGAGCCGTCGATGCCATTGAAACAAATAACGCACTGGAAGGGAGAGAAAACGCCATATCACGGAACACGGGATTTATCATCGCATACCTAGATGAACAGCGAGCATCTGCAGCCAGTTGCTACGACAGGGTGGGAATGACATATTGAAGTCATTGCGAACCGCGATTCTACTCACAACTCACAGCACAGACGTTTTAAGGACGCAGCTGTGCTACCTAATTAGGAAAAAATCCGGGAATCGTAGAACGTCGCCTGCTTGGATGCGCTGAGCATCGCGCTCTGTCCTCGCAGCGGGTCGCTGGAACGTCCACTAGGCAGAACAGAGAGTGCTTCCTATCATCGACCGACGGGGTTCGCGTGGAGATTGTCGGTCCAGGCTGGCGGTGTGCCGCTGTCGTTGGCAGGCTCGCACTCTGGTTGTGGCCGCTGGAGCCTTCAGCATATTGATGAAGATAGTCCTTGATGATGATGGGCCACGGGACGATTTGGATCGGCACGAAAGTCTTGTCAAACGTGTGGATTCGTGCTCTCGGCTGGCGACGTGCCAGGTTCGCCCGTAGACTTGCCAACCGGTGAGTGGCCGTAAACGACTTCGGCGTGTTGATGAGGATACCTTTTGATGGACTTTGTGGCGGGGTGGCCGTGGGCTGAGAGTTCCGAGCAGGTAGTGGATTTTCTCATCTGCGACGTTCTATGGTTACCATATTGGGCAACTCCAATTCCCTCATCAAACGCCTACGTCGTCAAAATAGAGTTGCGCTTAGATATCTGTTCTATGATGGAACCCGCAATTGATAAGATGCAGATATGATCCATCCGGAGACGCAGCAGAACGAGAAAGACGCGCAAGACCAAGGGAAGGCGGACGCGCTGACCAGAACAAAACTGTCGCCTTGCGAACAAATCAAATTACCATCACTCGTGGAACGTAGAGCATACAGTTGCCACAAGGCGTCGAACTCTCCAGGAAGAGTAATTGTTCTAGCATAAAGAAGAAAACGTATCTTTCTGATGTGGGCCTCCTAACACCCACTCTATGTATCCGCATTCTTCCTGTAGATCCAACGCCAGACAGTCTAGTAGGTATCACTTCATTATTCCCCCCATCTCTTGCGCCAAATGCTCGCTCAGGAACGCAGGAGATATCAAAACGTGAGATCCAGAGTAGAGAGAGAGCCAAATTACGATGCCGAAAGCGCCCATCCACCCCTCCCTTCACCGCCCTCACTGAACGCCAAATTAACTATGCGACCGTAGCGGACGTCCTCCGTTTCCCGTTGTTCTTCAAAACCATGCTTCCCAACGCCATGCCTGAGCCACGTACCTGTCCATGGCTCAGAAGATGCTCTCCAGGATTGAACTCGCTCATGCGCCTGAACAGCTCCGGGTCGCTGTCGTCGCCGATAAAGGTCCAGCTTTCTTCGATAGTCTCGTCCGCTTCATTTGAAATTCCGTCGCGCTTCTTGATGAGCGTCTTCGCGTATTCCAACGTGCGGTAGAGAGTCTGTATCGCTCTGCCGACACCATCCTCCTGCAGAACCTTGTTAGCGCTGTGTTTTCTCGGGCACAGATTGGCACGGGGTATACTTACACTTCTGATCTGATCGCCCATAACACGAGCTCGAGCAATCATACGCTCACTATGCGTAGCCTCCCACAGCGCCCTCGCCAAGACAGTCGTGTTGAGCTTCCGAAGATAGACTCCCACACCTAGATCCTCTACCCGCGACCCAAAGAAGAATTGATCGCCAAAGAAAGGTTTGATGATAGTCGGGATACCAGCCCTAAGACTGGCGCCAGTCGTGCCTGCACCGCCATGGTGGGTAGCCGCATCTACCTTCGTGAAGAGCCAGTCATGCGGCGCCTGGTCGATCCTGAAGACCTCGGGGGGCAGCGGCGTCTCATCGCCTGAGGTGCCGGCTTTGGACAGGCGATCGGACCAGCCTCGGGACAGGATGCAGCGGACGTCTGCTTTGAGGACAGCATCCACGACCGTCCTCGTCATTGCAGCGGCATCTTCGACGATTATAGAGCCGAAGCCCACATAGACCAGCTTCTTCCCATCTCTACGTGCTGTTTCGATGAAGGAGACAAGCTCTGCAGATGGCTGCCAACCCGTCGCTTCGTCCAAGAACCAGTATCCGGTGATGTCGATCCAGTCGCTGTAATCGATAGGCCGAGGGACGACATGCGGACTGACAAAGTACATGAACGGCACCTTGTTGGGCTGTAATTGGTCCAGAGTCGTGCTTCGCAGACCAAGCTCTTTTCTTCGCCAGCGATTGATCTGGCCCGCGGTCAACTTCCAGAACAGGTTCTCGAATACTACATAGGTGTAGTAGTTGAATGCGCCACCTCGCTTGTGCTCCGGAATGCCAAAAGCATGCGGGTAGGTCCTGGTACGCGTCCAAGGCATGGCGAAGGCCCGGAAGTAGGGGATCTGTAAGGCCTCCGCGATGTGGATTCCGACCATTGCGCTGGGACTTTCAATGAGCAAGTCGGATTCTTGACATGCCCGCCAGGCGGAGCTGCACAGCCCGTCAAGCCAACCTCGGAACTACGCTTGTTAGTGGCCGTTTCACTGGGAGGTTTGTATACAGCGCTAACCTTGCCGTGGGTCTCCCGGATGAAAGAGTACGTGAACATGCCATTTTCTACACAGACCCTCATCAATTCTGCCGGATCGCCTTCGACAGGCGCGAAGTCGATGCCATGCTTCCGTATCCATGGCTCAAACTCGACATGGGTTGCGATCCGAGGCTTGTGCCCCTCTTTGATCAATCCTTTACAAAACGCAATATACGGCTGGACATCGCCGCGCGTGCCGATAGTGAGGCAAGTTATCCGAAGAGAGGTGTCTGGCTTGAACCGAACAATTGAAGCTTCTGTGTCATCGAAGATCACCGGTCGCTCTACTGCTCGTTAGTAAATGAGTCTTTGCAACGTTAGGGATACATACCGTTCTCTTGGAGATCCCTTGGCGTTTGAAGCTGTATTTCGGCTTCAGCTTTCTGGCGTGCCTCTTGCAGCGTCTCATGCTCAACCTTCGCAGCTTTGGCATCCTCGATCTCTGTTTCACTTAGGACGTTTGGACCTTGTGCGTAGTGCGAGATCTCTAGACTCTCGAGAAGCGTGATGGCACAGTCATCCCGGGACCCCGATTCTCTAAAGTCAAAGAGAAGCTCCTCATGGCCCCGAATCACGAGGACAAGGGCAGAGTAGCCGAAGCGAAAACCGTTCTCCTTGTGAACGTTCTCGATGTCTTTGAAAGGAAGGATCAACTGCTCCAAGTCAGCAATGAGAAATCGGTCAAGGCAGCGACACTCACCTTTGTTCGCGTGCCCGGCAGGAAGCTACGAAAGCAAAAATGACGGTCGCTGATGTAGATTTTGCCATATAAAGGCAGCACACGGTGAAGGTATCCGAAAAATGTGGCCCGCAATCTCTCCGAACTAGGCATCGCAAAGTGGTCTCGAAAGCGCTGCTCGTGCTTCTCAGCGTCCTCGTCATCTTCAGTCTCCTGAATCTCGTCATCCGCCGCAAGGCCTTCTGCTGTCCCGTAATGTTTGCGTCCTCCAGCCCACATGCCAGAAACTTTCTCGTAGTAACCCATGGATTCTGTTGCGAGCAGATTGCTCATGCGCTTCGAGCGATTCCTTAGGAAACCTGCAATCCCCGAAGCCTTCTGTAACGGCACGCTGCCTGCGCGCATCCAATCTTGTATCGCAGAAGATGAACCTGAACGCTGCAAGCCGGTTTGTGGTGCTTCGTTGTACTCGTCTAACCCAGGCGGATGAAGGCCCTCAGCGCCTGTTTGCCGCTTACCTACACCCTGCTGTCCTTGAGGACGAGCCAATGGTTGTGGTAGAGGTTTGCGTACATCTGACGATCTGGCTGTGTCTTGCGAGTTCCTCAGCGACCTATCAACAGACAGATCGGACTGAGCCGTTGTATGACGAACTATGGTAGGCCGATTGAAGACAGCACTTCCGCTCAGAATCTGGCTTGCAGAGGCGTTCGTGTCTCCAATTGACTGTATGGCAGCTGATGAATCCGTCTCCGGATCCAGAGAGTTCGTAGCCGATTCAGAGGAGTCATGCAGTACTGGTGACAAAGGAGATTTGCCTCTTCGTCTGTCTTTACTGACGCTCTTGCTACGGCCTGAGCTGAAGCTTCGTCTCACTTCAGAGCTCGACAGTCGTGTTTGGCGCCCGACGTCTAAGCTGCGTCGTGACCTGTCGAAGCTTGAGCGCAAGGTTTCGCCGCTGGGCCTAGGAAGTGAGGGCTCTCGAGAGCTGGGCGAGATAGGTGATAGCGTGGATCGTACGCCTTCACGGACTGTTGGCGACAGCACGTCCTGTGGATCGTGACCTCGCGCAACGCCGCCCAAGGTACTTACGTCCTGGCTTGGCCTTACTGCCGGCGGAGTGGTCGAGATCTCTTCGTCGGTCACGTGGTGACCATTTCCGCTCACCATGATCCTCAGGACGTTGACCGCATCCTGACTCGAGTTCCAGAACGAGAAGAAATACTGTGTAGCGATTAGCATGAACACAGCAAGCCAGTCGATTGAGAGCAAATACTTCATCCATAGCATAAGTCTCGTCATTGTCGATTACCCGGATCTTGACAGTGTCACCATACTCAAGCACAGCACTCTCTTCAATATCAATCACACTCTCGGTTGGTAGACTGATCTTGACGCTGTCGCCTTCGTTGTGCGCCCTGAATATGACCTTCTGAATCGCTTTGACCCATTCCTTTGCACTGGTAGCGCTGTCTGCTCGGAAGGTATACGTTCTCTGGTGTGTTTCTACCACAAAGCCTAGGGCGTCTTTTGAATCCATTGGAGCGGCAGATATGCCGTAGCGTAGATCGATGGTGCCGCTTGGAAAATATAATTCTGTCGGATCCGAGTAATAGAAGAGTACATCGCCTTTGAGAACGCACCAGTATCTGTTGTATTTGGGGTTTCGTCGGCCGCGCTTTGCTAGATTACCAGACTTTATAACTTCGTGCTGGATGAGGTCAGTCTACCCAGCAGCCTGGGGACAGGGCAGCTTACAGTCTTCTTCGGTAGATAGGCGTAGAAACATATGTGCTTCTGCGTCACATACATATAGCCCTGGAGAAGAACGCTCTGTAAAAGCCAGCAAGGGTATTCTAACATCGTTAGTATCACAACCATGGGTTTCAAGGGATATTATGCTATACCGGCAATCACTTCTTCGGGCGCCTCAAACTCGAACACGTCCATCAGCTTCTGCGGAAGGCTCACGGGAGTCTTGGATCGGGGAATCTTCTGACCAACATCGCGTTCGGAGGCACGTCTCTCCCGCGGACCCTCCGAAGCTTCCATGTTGGCTTCGGCCTGTAGTATTCGACTCATGACAGGGGCGACACCATGCGCTTGCTCAGCTGTGTCCTCCTCGGGCTGTTGTTCCGGCAGTATCTGGGAATCTGACATGCCATCCATACTCGTTCGCGCAGCTTTGCGCTCTTTGATAGGTCTGAGGAGAGACAGCTTCGGCACCGATTTGAAAAGCCTGTGATGCGATGGCTTTAGCCCGGACTTGTGGCCTTCCCTCTCCTGCTCTCTTCCCCTTCGTGGGGCCCCAGTAAATAGTACCGTGGATGCGGCCGTCCTAGGTTGCGCAGGTACGTCCTCGTCTTCGCTACCGCTAGACTGGTTCTCATCGAAGTGGGAGCGCTGGTCCATGTTCGAGCCGACCCTCGTTATTAGAGAGAGGACGGACTGGTTCATGTATTGTGTCTCTAATGTCTTTGGGGCTGTGACATCCTCTTCCTCGTCCTCTCCGCCCTTGAGCCGGTCTGGTATCTCCACCGACACCCTCCGTAGAGGCCTCCCAGGCCGTCTTAAGCTCCTGCCTGCCTTGTCGGCAGACATCCTGCGGGCGTCCATGGTGTGATGTCTCTGTTCGGGATCGCGCCAAAGCGACGGGTTTCGCGCGAGGCTCTGGGCTCGTACGAGGAGCGGACTGCGCGAGCTCCAGGACGCAAGAGGATGATGCCGGAAGCACTCGTCTAATCTGGAGATGCGTTGAGCAAACCAGCACTGGAGCGAGTGCGGCTACTGATCTATGTTAATCACATGTTGAGTGCGACTGGAAACAGTTAACTCCCGGGCCACGATCATGCACTCGACGCACCTCAGCGTTGGGGATCTCTTGACCAGTCGGAAGCTTGGCGTTCACCGCCTTTGAAAGCGGCCTATGGGGCATCGTTCATTGTTAGGTACCAACGGCGCCTCACGCAGCTGTGAAGGCAGCAGTGTGAAGCTAAACTTCAAAGGAATGTTACTACCCTCGGTGCCTAGGTAGGCGGTCACAGAGGATCAGTACCGCTCCAACAGGGCCATAACTACCCGACCGCCAGCCCAGATTGTGAACGTGGTGCCTGGAAACCTCAGGGTTCATTAACATACCGCACGTGACATGCTGTGTTCCGCGCCTTAGTGCACGGCATCACGGAGACGGCTGTTTACCAATCCGGGCAGCACATCTAGATGTCTCATCAGGTCTGCCTAAGAAACGGTGTCAAACTACAGGAATGGAAGCGGATATAGTGTAACCCGGAGCGTCTCGTTGACGAGAGATTGAAGCATTTTCAATATCCTGATCAGGTTCCGCGCTGACAAACAATCCGTCTGCCGATTTGGCGTGCTGAGAATGCCGTCGGAACTGACATCGGATATCAAACACAGGATATAAGAGGACTCTGCCGGAGGAAACCCTGACGTGTTATATCTACTTCGTCCACACATCAAATAGCTCTGCACCTTCGCGTCTGATAGACCACACTCAATCCGTAGAAATGGCAGATCCAAGCCTGTATACTTATCCCTCACCTCTTGAAGGCTTTGAGGATTTACCTCCCTTATCAGAGTATGTTCAATATCTTGTCCACTGTTTGCAAAGAGTGGTGGCGCTCTGTAATTACAAGTTCTCCGTTCGGTTCTTTGTGCATCCTGATAGCCTCAACAGGTCTACTTCAGTCTAGCATTTAGTTCAGGGCCGAAGACGCACTTGCCACATATACTGACCCGAGACAGCGAGCGAGCGGCGGATGGGAAATCCTTCGTAAATCCGCCAGCAGCTGAGCCGAGTCCAGCGTATAAAAGCTTCACCGCACCCGTCTCCAATGGCGAACGTGGAGGCTTTGACGTGCACATCTATTTCCTGCAGTCCGACCAAGAGCAGACGACGTTCGCAGCGCAGCTATGGGAGAGGATACGCCGGGAATGTCAGTCCAGCACTCTGATGTGACTTCTTCACAACCGTCTTGATACACAGAGCTGATGTTCCAATAGTCCCTGAGCTAAGAATCTATCGGATATTCGATAAGCCCATCGGGCCGCACCCTATGGGAATGTTCGAGGTCAACATCTTCACTCCAGGTTAGCCGATCTCAGCACTCCAAACCCGATTTAGCATGGCTTTTTGGGCAGTATCTAACTTTGTTTCCAGAGCAATTTGGCGCATTTATTCCATGGCTTGTCATCAATCGCGGGCCGCTATCAGCTCTTATTCATCCCAACACCGACGATGAGGAGCGTGACCACACACAGCGAGCTACGTGGATGGGGCACCCCTTGCCATTGAATCTGAAGATGTTCAAGGGAGGAAAGCATTGAGCGCAGACTGGTCAACATGCGGAACAGGCTTCTGAGGAGTAGTGAAGATCAGCGTCAGCTCGTGCGAAATGCTTGCCAATCCGAACAGCATGTTCCTAGTCTACAATCTGTCCTTGACCATAACGTTGACTTTGATGCCTTTTCCAAGTGACGTAGCCGCAAATCGTAGCATGCTTCCCGGAGCATGTGGCCTAGCTCGTCCCAAGCACGATATGTGCAGCATGGCCGTATCTGACCCTTGTGATGAGCCTTTGGATGCTGGTGCCCCTCTCACAGGTGATGCACCCAGCCTCAGCCATTTCAACCTTCTTCGTCCACCACGTCGAGCGGAGCAAGGACACGGCCAATCATCTTGCGCTCCCTGCACAGCTCCCTTTCAACCCTTCTTCTCCCCCTCCCCACCCGTCTTCCTCTTCTTCGCCTTATCCTTCTTCCTCTTACTCCTATCCCTCTTCTTCAGCGCCTGCATCCCCGCCTTACACACCTCCGCATACCGTGCATAGAACGTCTCTAGCGCGTCCGGCTGCACGACCGTAGACAGCTTAACCTTACCGGCTCGCTTCTCTTTCGACTTGCCGTTTGTGGCTCGGACAATGACTGGTAGCGGGTTTTCTGGGTGCAGGTCCCACAGGGGGTCGTCGGCAACTTTGACGGGGCTGGAGGGTGCCGAATCCGCAGAATATGTGACTGGTAGCTTGTGAGTTGAAGCTTTATAGAGGTTCCGGGAGGCGCACATCGCTTCTGGGTGAGGAAGATAGAGCCGTGTTGCTTCTCCTGGCTTTTGCTGAAGAGACCGGCAAGCTGGGTGAAGAACTACTGTCGAGTTAGCGATGGTGGCCTTTGGCGGGTCGCGCTGCAGTACCTCTTCGTTGGTCAGCTGTGTCTCTGCCATATTAGAGTCGGTAGCCTAGTTATAGGGCCCTTTGCATTTGTGTATTGCTCAACCACGAATTCTCACGTTACTCGCTCGATGCGCTTGAAGTGGGATGCGCCGCGCTAGCGAATCGCGGGGCCATTCCGCAGCCTTGCCCGAACTTTTCCTGAGCATCGCCATCTTCCCTGCCCACTATGCGACATCAGACCTACAGAGGCCCGAAGCTACCGAGTGCGCTGCTTGGCCAGATCGGAGGTGCGCATAACAAACTCTCAGTCCGTGTCCATTGCTAATTTGTCCAGATGCCAAAGCTACAGGACGCAAAGGACCCGGGCGCAATGCGCCTGGCGGCCGCAAAGAACGGCGTAAAGCGGAGAGGGTGCAGAAGAAGACGCAGCGGAGGCAGCCAAGGGTGACAAAGACGCTTAATGAGCCTGTCGAAGAAGACTCGGACGATTTTGAGGGATTTGAAGAGGAGGATGATCCATCACCACCGCTCAGGTCTGAGCCGGGCGTTCAGAAACCGGAAACACAGCAGCCCAAGTCGATCCTCAAACGAACTCAGAAGGCGGATCCAGGAACCGGAGCTCGGGACAGGCTGTCCACGTCACCAGGACCAGAACCGCGGATATCGAGAGGTGTCCGGGATAAGCTGGCAGAAGACGATGCGGAGATTGCGGCCCTGGAGAAGAGGCTGGGATTGAAGAGCAAGAAGCTTCCGAAATCTTTTGAAGATGATGGATTAGATCTGCTTCTAGAGGGCCTGGACGATGATACAGGGTCAAGTGGCATGGGCAAGAGAAAGAGGACGGATGATGAGGAGTGGTTAGCAAAAAAGAGACGAAGATCCGGGAGAGATCAGATTGAGGAGCATGAGAGCAGCACCGAGACTGAGGAGGACGAAAGTGGGGATGAGGGGATGCTCGATGAGGAAGGCGAACAGTCTGACTCCGAGGATGGCGACACTCTCGATTCTTTGAACGACGGCAAAGACGACCGCCACCAGCCGCTCAGAATACACAACCCAGAGGAAGATGACGGCTTTGACGATTTTAGCGACGATGTCTCAGACACTCCAGAGGAGGTCCAGCCTCGCAAGGTCCGAGAGAATCCTTATGTAGCTCCCGTCTCCGGAACCAGCGACCGTTCAGCGAAGTACATACCCCCTTCTCTTCGCGCACCATCGACCTCCGATGCTGAGTCTATGGCTCGGTTGCGGCGCCAGTGTCAAGGGTTACTCAATCGACTCTCCGAAGCCAACCTTTTGACCATTCTGAAGGACGTGGAACAAATATATCAGCAAAACCCTCGTCAGTACGTTACCTCGACGCTTATCGAACTGTTACTCGGTTTGTTATGCGATAGAACAGTCCTGAATGACACTTTCCTCATTTTGCACGCTGGTTTCATCGCAGCAATCTACAGAGTTGTTGGTGCAGATTTTGGGGCACAGCTGGTTGAGCGTATAGTCACTGAATTCGATAAGTTCTACAAGTCATCTGCAGACGGCGGAGGCAAGGAAGCCGCAAATCTCGTGTCTTTGCTCTCGGAACTTTACAATTTTCATGTCGTCGGCAGTAACATTGTCTTTGACTATATCCGCCTTTTTCTCGAGGAGCTTTCAGAAGTCAACACGGAGCTCCTCCTTCGAATTATTAGAAGTAGGCTTGTAATGCCTGCGCCACTAATCGTTTCATGCTAACAAACACCAGATTCTGGACAACAGCTTCGCTCGGATGATCCGTCCTCCCTGAAAGACATCGTGGTTTTATTACGAAAAGCGGCGACCAAGGCTGGCGAGACAAACCTATCTGTTCGCACCAGGTTCATGATGGAGACTATCAACAGCCTCAAAAATAACCGCATGAAGACCGGCGTCGCCGCTTCCGCCGTCAACACCGAGCATACAGTCCGCATGAGGAAGACCTTAGGGACGCTAAACACGCGAGCTGTCATGGCTAGTGAGCCGCTGCGGATCGGTCTGAGCGATGTCAGAGACTCAGACAAGAAGGGCAAGTGGTGGCTCGTGGGTGCGAGTTGGAGGAACTCAAGTGCAAACCAAAACCCCCAGACATCCAAAACTCATTCGCAGGAAGCGGAGAAGACTACAGACGAGCTTGCAAACATCGATAGTGGCTTGCCAGACCTTCTACAACTCGCTAGGGAACAGCGTATGAACACGGACATACGTCGGGCAATATTCGTCACCATCATGTCAGCCTCGGATTATAAGGATGCTCATCTCCGGCTGTTGAAGCTGAAGCTCAAGAAATCCCAAGAGCTCGAGATACCGCGCGTCCTCATTCATTGTGCTGGGGTCGAGCAGCGATACAATCCCTACTACACCTTGATTGCGCGCCAGTTCTGCTCTGATCGGAGGCTCAAGATGGCGTTTCAGTTCGGGCTATGGGAGCTCTTCAAGCGCATGGGAGAGAGGACAAACGAAGACGATCTCGAAGAGAATGACGATGAGGAGGCAGATGACATGAATATGAGGAGAATCGTTAACTTGGCACGGATGTTTGGTGCGCTGATCGCGGATGGGGGCCTCTCTATTGGAGTGTTGAAGGTAAGCCCTTGAGGAGCAGTAATACAATCAAGCTCGTACTGACAACGAGATTGCAGACTCTCAACTTCGCTTACCTGCAGCCAAAGACGAAGACTTTCGCTGAGGTTTTACTCACTACTGTGATTCTCCAGTCGCAAAAGCGTTCGTCTGGCGAAAGAGATACCAAAGCCCTGCTGGACGTATTTGAGAAGGTCAACGACGCGCCTCAGATGGCGAGGGCCCTCCAATACTTTCTCGAAAAGGTTGTTAAGAAAGGGGATGTAGCTGGGAGCAAGTCGGAAAAGGAAACGGTTCGGTGGGGATGTAGCCAGGCTGTTGATGCGTTGACGGCAACGGTTGCATCGGCGGTCGTAGAAGAGGACTAGATAGTCTTCTTTGCCATTCTATGTAGTTCGGAACAATATATCCATGATCTACTAACCGTTGATTGATTAATAATAATCTCATCACGAGCACGACTTTCGCCTCGCGACGATGCCAAGAGATGTCAGCCACGCCGCTTCTTCCCGCACGCGGAGCTCCGATCTTGCCCAACAGCTCCAACAGCGGCATCCATAGCGTCAGCCATCTCAAGCTCCCGCCTCACCACCCCCGACCTCTATCACAATTGCTGTGCGACGCGCAGCATATCTCTCTCCTCCCTTTCATCTTCCTTTGGCGCCATGTTCAAGACCTTGATACCAAAGGCCACCTCGAGGTCGCTGCTCCGACCCGTCGGCCAAGCCAGCAGCACCTTTCGCCCCTCCACGTTCTACCTCGTCGACCGGGCGCGGAGAGGATATGCTACAGAAGCAGGTCAGGCACAGGCGTCCTAGGGACATTGCATAGCAAGGCGCTGACTCTGGTGCAGAGGAGAAGGACCTAGTAATCATAGGCGGAGGCGTCGCCGGATATGTCGCAGCTATCAAAGCAGGCCAAGCAGGCCTAAAGGTAGAGTCGAGCTCTATCCAGCAACACGCACATCTCGTGGCTCACCTGGACACAGGTTGCTTGCATAGAGAAGCGCGGCGCGCTCGGCGGCACATGTCTCAACGTCGGCTGCATTCCCTCCAAGTCCCTCCTGAACAACTCGCACCTCTACCACACCATCCTACACGACACGAAGAACCGGGGTATAGAAGTCGGAGATGTCAAGCTCAACCTGGAGCAGATGATGAAGGCGAAGGAAACCTCTGTCAGCGGCCTCACGAAGGGTATCGAGTTTCTCTTCAAGAAGAACAACGTCGAGTATATCAGGGGCACCGGCGCTTTCGCGGACGAGCACACAGTTGCTGTCAACCTCATTGATGGCGGCGAGACCAGCGTGCGCGGCAAGAACATCATCATCGCCACTGGTAGCGAGGCGACACCGTTTCCAGGCTTGTCTATCGACGAAAAGAGGGTCGTCACTAGCACAGGCGCTATTGCACTCAAGGAGGTGCCGAAGAAGATGGTTGTCATTGGAGGCGGCATCATTGGTCTAGAAATGGTATGCAAAGGCGTGATATAGAAATAAGGAGGACCATGCACTGACCACGCACGCAGGGCTCAGTATGGTCTCGACTAGGCGCTGAGGTCACTGTCGTCGAGTTCTTGGGGCAGATTGGTGGACCTGGTATGGACGCTGAGATCTCAAAGATGACGCAAAAGATTCTCCAAAAGCAAGGCATGAAGTTTAAGCTCAATACGAAGGTCACCAAGGGCGACGACAGCGGTGACACCATCAAAATCAGTGTTGAGGCTGCAAAGGGCGGCAAGGAGGAGACCGTAAGCTTCTCAGCCGTGTGCCTCAAACACACCAGCTAACATGCTCCCAGCTCGATGCAGACGTCGTCCTCGTAGCAATCGGCCGCCGACCCTACACCGCCGGTCTAGGTGTCGAGAACATCGGCATCGAGACCGACGAGCGAGGCCGCCTTGTCATCGATCAAGAGTACCGCACCAAGCTCCCGCACATCCGAGTGATCGGCGACTGCACATTCGGCCCCATGCTAGCCCACAAGGCAGAAGAAGAGGCCGTCGCAGCAGTCGAGTTCATCACCAAGAACTACGGTCACGTGAACTACAACGCTATCCCCTCGGTCATGTACACGCACCCCGAAGTCGCCTGGGTCGGCCAGACCGAGGCGGAAGTGAAGAATTCGGGCGTCAAGTATAATGTTGGCAGCTTCCCGTTTTCTGCTAACTCGAGAGCTAAGACGAACCTGGATACTGATGGCATTGTTAAGTTCATTGCGGATGCCGAGACGGATAGGATATTGGGTATTCACATCGTCGGACCCAATGCTGGTGAGATGATTGCGGAGGGCACGCTGGCACTCGAGTATGGCGCGAGCTCGGAAGATGTTGCGAGGACGAGTCATGCTCATCCCACTCTAGCGTAAGTTGTCATCGCGTTGTTCCTTCCACTTCTGAAGAAAACCGCTAACCGTTCGATTTTAGTGAGGCATTCAAGGGTAAGCGACCGTCTGACAACTCTCCTATTGTCTATGAAGACTGGGCTAACCCGGCGCGTGTCGAAAACAATAGAAGCAGCTATGGCCACGCATTCGAAGGCAATTCACTATTAGTTGATCGGCGGTTTGGTGGAGCAAAAGATCTTCTCGTTGTTCTTGTAGCGCGCATCGTCGAACCTGGTTGTGTATGTAAAGTATTTGATGCGGAGCCGCCCCAACTCTCGTCAGATATGCCGATAACAGGCAATGTGAATATCTGTATGATACGGACGCTTCTTCACTGTGAACCGTAAGGGTGAGCGGATCGCAGCTTGATGTTGTTATGGCTTGACTTTGACCGGATGAGGAAGAGCCGCGGAAAGGATTCTACATCCCTTCCAGAGGCCGTTCTCGAGAACGATGTGAGATCCGATGGATATTCATGCTACTCTTGCTTGCGACATTCGAGCTGGATTACCCAGCATGTTGTGTTTCGTATGTCGTTTAGATACTTATGGACGATGACCTCAGGACGTATGCTGCGGGTTCTTTTCGAACACATCCGTCCAGTAGCGCAGTCACAATCCCTTTGAAGAACCTCCAATAACACCAGGAAGTATCACATTCACCCTAGAGCGCCCCGACAACAGCTTCTCCTGCCAGTGAAGTCCAATGTCGCTCGAAAGCTTGCCCGTCTCGGGAGCGCGTTGTCAGACAAGCGGTGCAGTGGCTTTCGCGTCTCGGCTGGCGCCGCACTCCCTTCAACCGCGCCAGGCTTTGTTCACTCAGCTCTGAGCACACTCACACTCGATCGACCAAGTAATTGCGCATACGATTGCGGCTCTCAAAGTCGCCTTCAGAGAACACACATGCCCTGATGGACTTATCTTTCCGGAGATGACCACCTCCGCGGGCTCATCGACGCCGACCAGCGTGCCGTCCGCTCACCCTGGCTTCCGCCGCTCTATTACCGTTCCTGCGCTATTAGCCAACCCTCCCAGACCCCCTACAGCAGATTCGTCAGGAGGTGCAGAAAGCGTAGAAGTCCTCTTTGTGCATCCGTTCGCCAAAGTCGTGTCTTTTACCACATCGTCAAGCACATCGAGGCCGAGCTCTAGCTCAAGTCGAGGGACCGATGGGCCGGATAGAGAGCTATACGGGACACTATCATGGACTTCACCTACGGAGAGGACGATGGCGGCTGGTAGTAACTACATGCGCCGGAAGCAAGCATTCAATCGCTGATGTTGTTAGGCCCGCTGAGGATATATCGCGTCCCTAACAGCGTATCCTTCCTTCACTCTGGCACCCTACTTCATGCGATTCTACCAAAGTCGCAGTGCTGGTGTGTTGATCAGGAAGGACGGTTTGTTCTTCGAATACGGCTGAGCTCATACTACCGAATCGAACTTCCCTGGGACAACGACGAGAACAAGCAGAAGGTGGAGGAATTCAAGAGCATCCTCATCAGCGTACTACAGTACGAGAAGACGCCATGTCCGTTCAAAGGTGGTCCACACGTGGAGATGCCGGAAAGACCTGAGACACCGCGGCGAAGGTCGCTGCAACCAGTGGAGAAGGCCAAGCGCTGGAAACTGAACAGGGTCTGGACGCCAGAAGATGCCGGGCTACGCGCTTTTGATGGTACGGACACGAGTACAACGTCTGCCTCGGAGGACGATGATAGCAACACCGTGAGCGCAAGTAGCGCAACAGAACATAGTCCCGGTGCGCTGGAGGTTTCGGAGTCTGTCGAGAACTCGCCAGAGAGCTTGCAGATCCCGCGAAGACCTCGTGCTCTCAGGGACACACGCTCTGTAACGGCACCAGCCCAGATGATAGTTAGGAAGACCGAAGGTCCACAACTACCGTCCGCTCAGCAGGACTCTAGTGATCCCCCTTCAGACTCCGTGAGCTTGGCTTCGAGTGTTGACTCGTTTTGTTCGTTCCCAGAGTTGCCTCCGGTGCCACTTTCATCATCCCATCTGGCACCCGCATCTGTTTATGGCGATGCTGTTGAGGAGCAATACTCGGACATCGAGGTACGAAAACCTCGGGCACGCCACAGACGCGACATATCAGACATCACCATCACTCCAAATGCGGCGAACCGCTCCGCAGGGCCTACACCGCTTCATTCGCCCCTTTCAGAAGATAGTCGACTACGATCCGCGCCTTCTACGCCGACGTTGATGAGCGACTCCGAAGACGCTTTGTCGTCGCCATCTTCTAGCTTGAAAACGCCGCCAGATACGATCCGGTTACGTCCTATGACAGGCGCCTCGCAACGGCGCTCCTATTCCCCGATGCCGCACGCGGTAAACCTGTTCACACCGCCAAGACGACAGCTGGGCACTGTGTTGGTGCAGAAGACGGCTGAAATCTTACTCAGCCCGCCTAGTCATCTGATCGCGCTTATGCTGCGTATTGCTGCGAACTTTACACGCGGGGCGTTTACTAGCCCCAGTTCGAACAGTAGAGGCGGGAGGATACCGTGCTCGTGGGAGTCCAGCGGCGATGAGGAAGATGATTGGGGCGAGGATGACTATGGAATTCCACTCACGACTATCAGCTCCGCAGAGTCGAAGAGGAATCGTTCGGGCACCCGATTGGAGACTGGTTGATTTGGTGTTTTCTCTGTTTTTTATGAGTCCTTTTTGCATATGATACCATTGAAGTTGGTGTTTGTGAATTTGGATGGGAGCACTTGGTGGCACTTTCTTGGAAATGTAATCGCTTGTGTCTGGACAGACAGGAGCGCAAGAACATAGCGCTATGGGTAATAAGTGCACACATGATTTGAACCGAGCATTCTTAGATGGTCTCGAATCGGGAGAAGTTTGGGAGTGTTCATCGCTTGTAAGCATTGTGATGTACAAAGCGGCGCAACTTCAGTAAGCGTTACACTCTACGTGGAATTCCCACCCAACAGCACTGAGATGGTCTCTTGGATACTGTGTTCGAAGACATCGCGATCTTGTTCAAGGACTGTTCATCGCGTTCCACTTGGATTGACAGATCGGTGGCTGGCATAGCTGGAACCCAAATAATCACCTGATCCATACAACCAGCCACAACGCTGACCGCCTTCGAGCTCGCTCCTGTCATCTCTCACCCAGAAGCGTTAATCGTAAACCACGCAGTCAGCAAGGTGCAACAAACCGATGGCACCCTTATATGCTTAGTACTGGCTCTGACTGTTCCTCCGTGACCAAGTGATGTTGGAGATACCAGCAGTTGAGCGCCACTTGATCACTAGCTACCACGAAGAGACGGCGGAACAACTCTCTCGATTCCCTAAGTGGGGTTTTACTGCTTCTTAGTGTATCACTGTTCGCGTTCAGCTCAGAAGTGTAACAACTCTCCGGACGTATAATAGCCGTCCTTGAGGCAATTCCAGACTACCTATGGATCTAATCAAAGCTGAGGCATCAACACCATGGTGGGGCTGAATGGCAACCTGCAAGCAATTCCCCTCATACAGTGTCATGCATGAGGCAATGTACGCCATTTTGCGGCGTCCCCGAGGGTGGTGTTAGGTGGTTGGGTACGGGTGGTAGTGGCAGGTACGGCTGACTGCTAGCCACATCGCTGCAACCGCCCGTCTCCACCGCATCTTCAACAGCATCCATAGAAACTTCACGAAATGGGTCTTCCCCATCAAAGTTGGGTGATCGTGTGTATTTAGATGGCAGCTCCCCGCCACCGATCCTTTACTTCATTGACAGATATGAGCGCTTTCCTGTCCACTTGAGTTATCTTGCCCGTCTCGCTCACACCTCGTTTCCAACTGCTACCCCGTAAAATGTATTCAACGATGAATTCTTACCGTTCTCCTGCTCGATCGTCATTTTCACTGTCACCCGATCTCCTCTGTTCTCCCAGATCGTCCCCGCAATTCGACCCGGACCATTCGGGGCCACTACACAGCTACGGCCTTAACGAGAGTTACGTCCACCGCAGCGTACCTAAGGAGGGGCATACGACAACAACGCATTCATCAGCTTTGCGGACACCTTCTGTCAACTCTGTGAGCTCAGCGTGCTCCTTCCAAACGGCTGCATCGTCAACATCTGCCGTGTCCCGCTTTCTTCGCCACAAGAAGTCTCCGCGGCACGAGTCCTTACGACAGCTCCGCGCAAAAGAGTCCGACGCCTGTTTGCAGCAGCTCTACGAGCGGCAGATCATGGATTACCTGAATGGAAACGTCTCCTTTGATCCTGCGAGCATTGGCTGCTACATCAGGCCATCAACATCAACTTTCGACTACCACTGAAAGATGTCGAGACCGAGGTTGCGACGATGGAATCGACTGGGAAGACCTCGTGAGTTCGTGATACGCCCTGCTCCTTGCATTAGCAGCACTGTAATCCTAACACCCAGCCTTGCGCATCATGTCACCCCTGCTAAGCTTGCGCTGCGTCACGCTCCACCATCGAAACCATCGAGGCTACGAGGCAGCCACACCGTCCCCCAATTGCTAGCATAACACTGACGGGCGCGCAGCTTACATGCCGGGCCGGGAAACACGCAAATGGAAGGACTAATGACCGCTTACCTCCCAGCGTCACTACGATACCAGACGTAATTTGCCGGCAGCCACATAGCGCGGAGAAGGGACGGGCTACCAGCTGTCAAAGTCAAGGACCGGTGTGACGTGGGCCTGGTCGTAACAGAAGCCGCTGCGATGACTGAGCTGCTAGTCCGAGGATGATTTTAGAGGCATCCGGGCCAGCGGGATTGATAGCTTTCTGAGGCTGAGTGGGTACAATGTATATCTCGAGAAGGAGTAAACATGTCGGTGGGTGGAGCGGGGTGTATCCGGGCAATGATGGTTTATGGAGAGGCATGAATTCACCATTAAAGAGTTGTTTGTTATGCCTAGATGAGGTCGTCGACCTATCGGTCGGACCTGTTCAGTGCTTTTGAGGGCGCCATCGTGCTCTACTTGTTCACGCCTCCTCATCTTCAACGACTTATCCGAAACTGTGATGCAGTACATCTCGAACTGCCCCGCGATGCCCCACATCGTGCGGCAGTCGGCACGCTCAGGAACAGAACGTCATACCTTCAGCGTTCCTGAAAACGCCGCACGGAGACAAAACCCTCTACCATACACGAAATAGTGCCTTCAACACTCTATCAGGCTTAGAGATTGCAAAGCCGGCGCGAAACTCATTCAGTATGCCAGACAATCTGCCAGACAAGATGCGCGCAGTCGGTAAGTAACCTACTGGTTAGGGCACATTATTCTATCCGATTGTCTTCCCAATACTACTCTCAGGACCTCGAGCTCTCCTGTCACAAAGGAATCAGCTAGGACACTGATACCTCAACTTCCAGCCATCAAGAACTCCACCGGCCCCGCAGACGCCCTCCACATAACCACGCTGCCTCTCCCCAAGCCCACCTCCTCCCAAGCCCTCGTCAAGATCCACGCCTTCGGCCTCAACCGCATGGACCTCCTGCAGCGCGAAGGCCGCTACCCCGTCCCACCCCAAGCGCCCTCAACCCTCGGCGTCGAGTTCTCCGGCACCATCGTCTCCTTCCCTCCCGGCGCCGAAAACCCCGAGGACTTCGCCGAAGGCGACGAAGTCTTCGGCCTAGCCTACGGCGGCGCATACGCCGAGTACATCGCCGTGTCGACACACATGCTTGTGCGGAAGCCGGCCGAGCTGAGCTGGGAGCAGTGCGCGGGCATCCCCGAGACGTGGATCACGGCGCTGCAGGCGCTGTATCTGGTGGGCGGGTACGCGCCGGGCAAGAGCGTGCTGTGGCATGCGGGGGCCAGCAGCGTGAGCATTGCGGGGATACAGTTGGCCAGGGCGGATGGCGCGGCCAAGGTGTTTGCGACGGCGCGGCAGGATGCGAAGTGCGAGTTTTGCGTCAAGGAGCTGGGGTGTGATGGCGCGTTTAACAGCACGAGAGAGCAGCCGGGATGGGCAGAGGAGGTGCTGAAGGCGACGGAGGGGAAGGGCGTGGATATTGTGGTTGATTTCGTGGGCGCGGATTACTTCCAGGGGAACCTGGATGTGCTGGCTAAGGATGGGCGGGCGGTGCACTTGGGAGCCATGAGCGGGACGAAGTTGCCTGCGGGCGTGGATATCAGTGCTTTTATCAGGAAGAGGATTAGATTTGAGGGAAGCAGTCTCAGGAGCAGAGACGAGGAGTATCAAGGGAAGCTCAGAGACCAGCTGGTGGAGCACGCGTTGCCCAAGTTTAAGGATGGGAGCTTCAAGGTCCTTATAGATAAGGTGTTCGATTGGGAAGATGTGGTAGAGGCGCACAAATACATGGAAAGCAACCAGAGCAAAGGTAAGATCATATGTAAGATATCGTGAGCCACATGCTCTTGACCAAGCTCTTGTCTGATCTTCGTCCTACTTCTGCTTCATGGTGTCAGGCCACCAGGTGTCCCACTTCACGAAGAAGTCCTGGGCCATTCTCGACCTCGAGCGGCACTTCTTCGCTGTATCTGCGTAGATATCCACGATAGCATCAAAATTGCTGTCCTTCTGCGCTATGAGGAGCTTCGCGACGAAGATGCTGCCGCGACTGCAGGCATTCAGGTGCAATTTCGACGCCTCCTTTGATGAGACCTCGGTATGGACATCTTTCAGCAAGGTCCAAACCAAATCATCGTCGGGCGGGCTAGGAAGGCCTTTCTTCTTGGCAGAATCTATAAGCTCACCCAGCACACCTGACGCCTTGTCCGCCACCTGCTTGGTAGGAGTAGTCCTGATCAGGCGTAAAAGCGGCAGAATGACTTCCAGGGCGAGAGGGTTGGCATGCTGCTGCTTGACGAAGATGGACAAGAGATCCAGAACGCGATTCTTGAAATTGACGACGGTCTCCTTTGCCCCTTTGCCCTCTTTCTTCTTATCGGCTAGCTTTTTCCTTTCTGCCATGACTTTTGCGAGAGCTGGCTCAATCGCAAACATCTGATCATCATCCATGTCCGATCCGTCGTCTTCATCGGAGTCGACATCCTCCTGGTCTCCGGCTTGGAATTTGGACGTCTTGAGTGTCTCCGCCAGCTTCTTCTCGAATTCCGCTACTTCGTCTTGGTCGTCATCCGAGTCATCGTCCGAGTCGTCATCGCTGGCTGTAGAACCGTTGGATGATTCCGTACTGCTGCCTCCACCCTCGTCTTCGTTTCCGTTTTCAAGCTGGCCTTCTGTTATCTCCACGTCTGACGCTTCTTCGTCCTCGTCATCGTCCATGTCAGAACCGGCTTGGTCGAATAACTCTTGCTGGCCCGCAAGGTTTTCTCTCTTTTCCAAGATGTTCACAAGCGACTGAAGTCCATCACGAGTCAGCTGAGCTGCAAATGTTGCAAACACCTGCTCCGCAATAGCGCGGAAGACGCTTTGCGGCTTCGATACGAGACTCAGCAAGATCTCGAGTAGCAAGTCGAACGAAGTGTCGACAGCCTTCTTAGATTCGAGCGTTGACTGATAGCAAAGCTGCAGTTCCTCAAGTATCGAGACGGCGTCCGGTTCTCCATTGTAGAGCTCTAGCATCGCGAAGGAGTACAAGAGACTAAAGGCATGAAGCGCGGACCTCTCTGGTCCACCAGCACCTGTCATCTATTAGGAGTTAGTGAAGAGCGTGAGGCACATACGTTCTCCATCACACGAGGCTTACCCTTTGCGAAATTGAGCCTAGAGCTTCGTACGCTTCTTGTATGACCTTCAGCGTTTCCTCATCGTGTTGAACGGCAACCTTGTATGTCTTTTCTCGACTTAGATTCCGAATACTATTGACAACAAGAAGTGGCGAAGGATCTTCGGGTCGACCTGCAAGGATGTGTTTCAAGCACGACTTCAGCCGGACTTTCAAAACAGCGCGGGTAGCATCAGATACAGGCAGCGAGGGAGAGGTATTGTCAACGTTGGTAGGAACGAAGTACGCTAGGATGACGAACTGTGTGACAACTCTGTCACGCCATGATTCTCCACTCGGCATGAAGGCGTCAGGCGCACGAGGACTCTTGACAGCAGTAACAAGGAGATCGGCGAGTGTCTGCCGGCGGGAGTTGGCCTCGCGCTCGTCTTGAGTTCCGGGCCGCGCCATCAGGTCGCACAGCGAAGGGACCAGCTTGATCATTGCATCAGCGTCTGCTAGCCCCATGATGTTCTCCACTGTCTTCGTTTTTGTAATCTTGTCGAAATTGATTGACCCATGCTCCGAGAATAGGCCGGCGATAATCGTGGCAGCGAGCTCAGGCTCCCTGCTAACTCTGGATTTCATCGCCTTCAGCGAACCTTCTGCAGCGCTGTGAAGGTATCGCTCCTTGTCATTGATTTGATTGATCAAGGATCTTATAAGGTTCTGGCTGAAGGTAGCAGGAAAGACCCAACCGGGAGCGGTCAGCAACACCCTGGAGAAGAGCTGGAACCCCCATGATTTGCGTTCATGTGAGGCGCTGCTCGAAAACAAGTTGTCTAACAAGCGAAGTGAGTAGGCAGAAGATATAGGAGCAAAGAGACTGACTTACCATCAACGACTACGTCCCAGAACTTCCAGAATTCTGATACATCCGTACTGGACGACCCACCTTTATGTTTCGAGTACTTCTGAATGACGGCAGTGATGACTATGAGCCATGCAAAATTCAGATGTGACTGTGATGCTCCGGATTTGACAGGCTTTTTCTCGCCACCGTCATGATCTGTCGCGGAGCTTAGGTCTCCCTTCATCACTTTGGCGAGAGTTCGCCGTTCTTTCGTGCACAAAGGATCTTTCTTGTGCCACACATCTTCCGGAAGCACGCTATCCGGGAATTTGTTTCGAACAGACAGCCATACAGCAACACCTTCAAGCGTCTTCTCTAGCTTATTGGTTTTCAGAGCCTGCATGAGATCTCGAGCTCGTGTCTGCCCATGCTCGTCTGCGTCAAGGCTCTCTGCGAACTCGTACAAGATTTTCCCACATTCCTCGCGTAGCCATGGCGTGAATAGTGCAAGATTGCCTATCAAATCTAGAAAATTGATCCACTTTTCCTCAGGCGCCGAAGGTTGCACGGCGATTGAAGATCGGAGGACAGCTTGCCACGCAAAGAGACGACCTAAAAGGTGATCTCTCTTTTCCTGCCAGACGGTTAATATGAACGCCTGACGTGACAAGACTGTTGGTAAATTTACCTGGCCAGCCGCTTTAGCTTCCGGCTTAGTGCATTCAATGATGAGAGAAAGGAGGTCTTCAGCGGTTAATGTGAAATCTGGTATAGGCTGACTTCTTGGTCCATATAGTTTGCGGAGGACCTCTGCCAAGGCCACGCCATATCCTAGACGAGCTGCTTTACGTCCGCTGCATAGTCCCCGAATTAGTCTTCTGAGGATTCTCTCGGCAGACGCCGACGTTGGATTGTTTTCTGGATCCAGTCTGGAGATGAGTTCCTTTGCCGCTTCAATTCTGCCTGTCTCGGCTTCGGATGCAAGGTTCTCATAGATCTTTGCAAGTTTAGAGTCCTCTTCGGTATACTGGCGCTTCCGCGCAACTGTATTCGCGGACTGATCATCATCTTCCGCAGCTCGTCGCCTTTTGCGAGGCATGTTTCCGGTTTGTGAACGTGACATATAGTCACGCTCTGTATCCTGCCGTGGTGCTCGCGTCAACCAGAAAGTTTCAGATGCGCCGGCGAAAGGTTTTGCCGAAGCGCGGAACGCCTCAGGCTGCAGCCGCTCTTTGAGCTATCACGTGACGGTATCAACGCCTAGCTCACCTGCAGGAACGCAGCTTTGCGTTCTTCCTGATCGACTTCTGACCGGTCCCATTCTGCCAAAGACATCGTCGAGTCTGGTCCCGTCCCCGAGCCATGCATGTGCCACGGGTTCCTACATCGGACCCAACAGTCGGAGATTTGCTAGGAACAGCAACCACGGTTTACAGCTCGCGACGTTTTGGTAGGAATTTTCGTGAGTCGCTCTCCAAGGCTGGTTCCAGCTCAGTCACAGAGATAGCTTGAACAACCCTCACTCATCAGTGAGGGCGATAGACGGGGGCCGATGAGGACGGAGGACAATTATTGTTCTCATCGATTTGCAGAAAGCCATCTTCCCCTAAGGGGCCAAGGACATGTGTGTTATTCGATGTTCCAAGGTGCAGTTTTTACCAAGACAGAATGCTCGAAGAATTTTACAGCCGCAAAGACAGCCTGAAACCTAGCCATCAGCTGCGTCTCGAGGCTGTGAGCACATCTTCACGAGGATTCCACCTGCGGTGTCCATCGCTGCGAAGCATGCATTGATTGGGTCACGGGACTGCGCGTCTGTTTATTGTCGCGCGTCGCGTCACCCCAGCTATCGCCGGCGGAATCTTGACTGCCAGGGGGATGACCCTGCAAGCCTCAGACAAAGGCGCGACGCCAACCTGTCGGCTTGTACAGAAGGTCTTTTGTTCAAATCCTACCTTGGTGGGGTAAAGGAGGTGGAGCCCGCTAGAGAAAGCTGATCTGCGGTCTCGATCGAGGTCAGCCCGCCCCCCACCCACTGAGGCTTGCTGAAGGCTTCGGGTTGTCCGACATTCAGAGCAACCAGCTGTCTCTGTGGAATCGAAGCCGTTCTCGACAGAGGACGAGACGAGTCTCAGCTTTGTGGGAATAAACAATGGCAAGCAAGAAAATCCAACGGGACGGGCCTTGCGGTAACCGAGCAGCCTTCCAAGGTGTCGTGTAGCTAAATACAGGATTCATGCAATGACGTCCGCCTCGACAAGAAATCGAGGAAGGAGCGGCAGAATCACCGATCTGATCACAAGGCTGAAGAGCTGTCGGCGTTTAAGAGCAACGTGAGGACGGACTTGGCCGGCCGAGTTCTCCAGAGTGAGCTAGGTTAGCCGTGCTGTCAGAGAGATCAGACGGCCCACAGACCGGATTGCGTCTTGTTTCGCAATGCCTTGCCGCCTTGATCTTGGCAGGCTTGAGAAAATCCGGATGGACGATATCTCGGTTTCACCAATGGACGACCGCTGAGAGCCTCAGTCGTTCAAGCGTTCGCTTGTCTAAAACGTTCAGCCAGCGCATCCAAGAAGCCACCTCGGGCAGTTCCCTGCTTCTCAGCGCACAATCGGAGCAGTTTGCACCGATGACGACAGCGGCCCGGATGCGGGACTTGTGAGCGGGGTTGTTCTGAGGAAGGTTCGTCGAAGAGGGGATCAGCAAAGCACGCAAGCTGTGGAAGACAACGGGCGATCAGGGTCTCGTGGTGTTGTAGCTAGGTACCTTAGACGGCAACAGTTGTGGTCGGTCCCTGAGGCTCCAGGAGCTCCAGAAGGCGTGGAAGGCGACTGTCTTTGTGCACCCGTTTCTCATTTTCAAGTTGTACAAAAACTCCCCATGTTCGCGAGGGAGGAATGGGAGACGGGTGCACCGTGCTGTGGAAGGAGCTGGCCGAGCAACGCTCGAAATGATTCTGTGCCGGCCTTATGCAGGCCCCTGCAAGCGCTGCACAGCGAGGTGCAACGCGTGAACGGTCGAGCTCGGCGAGTTATTGGCCAAGCTGGGTGGCTGGCCGTGATGCACAACCGTGTGTGGCCGCTTCGAGCATCCCATCGAGTCCCATCGAAGACATGAGCTTTTGCAGCCTTTCCAGGTTTTCCAGCAACCGCGCACCAAGTCAGCCCCCCGATTGGAGGCACGTTGCTGTACTGCAGATCCGTAGAGTAATGTTATCTTAGTAGCCGCTGGTCGGTCGGTTGTGCCGCATGGCCGCATGGCCCATGGAGCGAGGTGCCGCTGATGTGCAGGCTGGCGCTGCTCCTTGGTTGTGCCTGAGCTTCGGAAGCGAGCGCTGCGTGGTGCTGCGAGGTACCAAGGAGTGTGCAGAAGTGCACCGCTAGCTCGGCTTCCTCACATCTCCAGGACAACGCCGAGCTACGGCTTCACGCAGCCTCTCTACCTCTTTATCCCCCCTCCTCCCTTTGCTCTTGCCTCTCACAGTCACCAGAAGGCTCTGCCGACCATCGTTTTGCTTGGGGATCGTGTGCTTTTGGAAGTCAGGGACCGCACCAGGACGATTTGCTTCGGCCTTGCTTGCCCGCCCTGTACACCTTCAATCCAGCCCGCCCACCGATAGCTACACTCGCTTTATCACACATAGCTATTCGAGCCTTCGACCTATTATACGAGCACATCACCCTAGGAGCAACCATTTCGTCAATTGCATGCTTTAGGTACAGTAGTCGAGCATCCGTTACAGCACCCCCAGGAACGACCTCACAGCCGCCTCCGCACCTCTGCTGCACAAGAAACCCGAGACATACACCCAACGGCTTCAGCACTCCTCTAAACTTCCAATTGACTGTGGACTACCATTTGAGCACGCAAAGATGGAGTTCTCATCACCGTGTGCTGCTCTGCAACCTCCTTCCTTCGCGACACATTTCGGCCACAGGCGCGACCTCCCCGTATCACGACAGGCCCGGCTGGCCCAGACAATTGGGGCCAACAGCTTCAACTTCAGAGACTTGAGCATGAAGAAGCCTGAAATAGACTACTTCACCCTCAAACCGGCGAGGGGGTCTTCGCCCACGGCCAGTCTCGCCGCGGACCTGTCCCGGAATTTCCATATCGACCAGAGGTACGTACATTCCTTGCGTGGACAGTAGTGAGACTAGCTCACAAATCTCGCAGCCCGCAACTTCCTACACCACGCCGGTCGCTCTTCGCTCCCAACATCTTCCAAGCGCCTGACAGCCGAGGTAAGAACAAGCCTGAAACTCTGTCCGACTGCCAATGCTTATCCTGTCTGAAGCAGAGGGTGTAACAACACCGCCAATCAGGTGGGAGGGCGTGACAACTCCACCAATATTGTCCTCTTCACCTGGATTCGGCAACGAGTCGATGGACATCTCGCCGCTGCCGCACAAAGCCCCCTTCTCGCGCCTCGCACAGATCAACATCGTGTCGCCGACACCGGAGCATACGCCGCTCGATGAGGACATGATGTCGCTTTGTACCGAGCCGTCGAGTTCCTTGTTGGAGGTACCAAGGCCTCCGAGTGCAGCTGAGTATGTCGTCCACTACCAATGCCTCGTTGGACTGCTCTGACTAACCCCTCTTCAGACGCAAGAAGCCGTTCCCCCGACCATCACTATCTCGTACGAAAGGGTTCTCGACTAACACAATCATCTTGAAGCCTAAAGAGAGCCAGCTACCGGCTTTCACGTTTGGTGCCGTTGGTGGTGAGGCGTCATGTGTGCTTACGCCAACTCTTGACGAATGCTTCACCGAGTCCCCGCCCCAAGAACGAAAGCCGATATTCAACCCATTGATGCCATCGCAGCGCCCAAGGCCGCCTCTCTTCAACATGAGCCGCTCTTACCGTGGCAATGGCTCGCCTGTAACAGGCATCGTCAGGAAACCCGTGACGCGGCCGACGAAGCTGAGCCGTAGATCGCAGAGCGTGTATGCAGCGCCAGGTGATGTCTGGAAAGAAGACAAGAAGTATGCTCCCAGCGGGCTCCAGTCTGTCATGGACATCGATGACACGCATGAGCTCAAGCTTCCGCACTTCATACCCAATTCCAATGACAATCCGGACGGGCTACCTCGCATTGAGCACGGCACCCTCGTCGACGTGCTTGACGGCAAGTACAATCATACATACGATGACATTGTCGTTGTTGATTGCCGGTTCGAATTCGAATTTGAAGGCGGCCACATCCGTGATGCTCTGAACTTCAACAGCAAGGATGAGCTTGCCGACAAACTCTTCGCCGAAAATGCACGGCCAGCCAGCCCAAACACTCTACTGATCTTTCACTGCGAGTACTCCCAGCATCGTGCTCCGCTTATGGCCAGGTTCGTTCGCCAACGCGATCGAAGAGTAAACGAGGAGAACTATCCTCGACTTACCTATCCTGAGATGTACATTCTCGAGGGAGGCTACTGCGCGTTTTACAAGCAGCACAACACACGTTGTCTTGGAACGTACGTCAGCATGGAAGACAAAGCTCATGAACGCACGGTCGAGAAAGAGCTTGCTAAGATTAAAGACAACCACCGCGGCAAGTTAAGCCGCGCACATACGTACACGCTCGGCCAACAACCCTGGCAGGCTTGTCAGATGGAGGACAGTCCGACAGCCATGGGCAGGTCTTATGTCCGCAGCCTCCTTCCAGTCGATCTCATGCTCGACAACGACTTCAACTCTCGACGATTTCATGCTCCTCGCACTGCCTCGTATTAAGCCCATGCATTCTATGGTTAATACGAGTTCTAACTTACGGCGATAGAGATTGACGGCGTTCTTTCTCTGCTTTCGGTTATCAATTGCATCTCGGCATAGCGACACGGTTCCGATGGCATTTTCTGCGGCGTTCAAGCGATTTGACTTTTACCGTCGTTTTCCACCATCACTGGGCTTGCGTCCACGGACTGCAATGCGCATCTCCTACTCGACAACAATATTCCGCGGACCCCTCGGAGGATGCATTCCCGGCATTTGCTTTTCCATGGGAGTCTCAGAAGACAGTCTTCGAGACATACTCCACCGGGCCGCGCTACACAACACCTCCACTTGCTTCGCAAGTACTATCAAGACCGAAACCTGCTATGGCGCTATGGACATTACTGGCGCAGAATCGGCGCTTGGTTACGGGAATCATCAGCATTTCATTTGTTCGCACTCACTTTCTACGGTGCGTCCTCACTATGGCACGGACGCGGATGCCGCTGTACCGGCTGTACATGCTGCAAATTGCAAGGCACTTCCGACATTATCAAGGATCGGCAAACAAACCTCTCAGCACCCGCAGGCCGACACATACGATGTCCACTTCTACGACCTTTCCTACGACTTTTATACCTTCCATTGAGCCTCTTCTCTTCTACTTCGTTTCGTGAGCACTGCTTTGCGCTGCCAAGCTTTATACCCCTTTTGCGCGCAGCGTTATCCTGGAGCACCGGATAGCGTTGTCGTATTTTTCTGTTTTTCGCTTCACTTGCCAGCCTTTGGAAGGACTGGGTGGAAGGTGGAGCAGGGACTTTGTACATACCTTTGGAGCATCTGCAGCGTAGGAAAGGGAAGCTGTCGTTCAGTGGCAAGGCACAAGACTTTTGCATCTGTAGTGCGGTGGCAGAGAGAAGTGAGGAGGGGTCACATACACTGCTGCTTGCTCTATCGCTAGGCAGAAATCCAGACATTGAAAACTTATTTGGACCTCTTGAGCTGCGATTGAACATAGTTGCACCGTGAGACCGATTGAAGTGATGAAGCCACGATAGGGCGAGAGAAAGAGAAGTGTTGAGCTGTGGAACCGCGATCCGGGGCTTTTTGACGACTTGACGTCTCGCAGCGGAGCAACAAGGGCTGCGAATGGTTCTGTTCTGATATACGGAAAGTCTTGAGTTTAGTGGATAAACACGTTTTTGTACAGCTGTCCTGACCTCCCTGCTTACCAAGTTACCATTCGATTATGGACCCACGACATGCCTCAAACGCACTGGGTGTTGGTTTGCCATTAATGTCATCGAAGGCGGGTAGCAACTGTGCTGCATAGAAGTCTCTTGGGTATATTTGAGTGCTGTTGAACACAACGATCCTATGTAGTCAGAGTGCCCACCCTGAGAGAATGCCGGTTTGCTGAAGACGAAATGTAGGATGTGATCCAGAGCCGAGAACTTTTCGGTTCAGAATTACTAAATCCGACCTTCGAGTTGATTTAGGCATTAAAGGTATCCAGTGTCTGAGGATGCCATACATGGACAAAGTGTCAATGATGCTCCGCGAACATGATTGGGCGAAACTGGGACTTCTGTCAGCTTCCACAGTTTCCTCGTGTGAGTCTGAAGTTCTGAACATATAAAACTCGATACTTGAAGATCTGATCAACAAGCTATTCGCCGGAACCGTCAGAGAGCACACCCATACCTACTCCCTAGTATACGGAACACTTACGCTATCATCCAGATGATTTAGCAACCGATTCTTGTACCACTTCTGGGCCTTTTGAGCCTCCTGGCTTTCACCCCGCGGTTTTTTGGCATCGTTGTCGAGATCACCGAGACTCTGATTGAGACAACCTTACCAAATCTGACTTACTTTGCCAATATTCCCACCGTCATCATCTTGACAAAGCTCTTCATACAGGCGGTTGACCACGTCACACTCCTCTCCTGATCTACTGAGATCGTAGCAGTCTTTGATAGACCGGCAAACCTGAGACTGATTGCTCCTTAGTCTGCCAGGCCCAAAGTCGAAGATACTGGTGAATGCCGTATCTGCCTCTGTAAGCAAATCACGAATAGAGCTCTGTATCCAGTCGTGTTCATTGGATTGCTCCTTCAAGGATCTCTTTAGCTCACTCCTGAGCTCAACCTTCTCTCTTTGTCTTATCTCCTTTCTTGTGAATCTCTCCGGAGTGTCTTCCAAGAACTGGCGCGTGAACTCTGGTTGACAAGTTTCACCGTAACCGGGAGGTCTTAAGCTCCTCCACTCAATGCCGGGGTTTTGTCCTTGCTTGAAAATTTCTTTGAGTGCCAGAACTATCCTCTCGTTGACCTTTGGTTCCTTGCCGGTCTTTCCATTCTCAAATCGGTGTCCAACCCTGGTCCTAGTATCGGTTTCTCCTGGAGCGGCGACCGTAGTACTAGCTTGTCCTCAGCCTTAACCGCGGAAGGTTTCGGGCTGTTCACGACTTCGATTTCAACAACATGATCCGGTTGGTTGCGCGCTCCTCTCTTGGGAGCACAGTGCTCTATCATGCATTCAGTACTGTATTTATGAACCTCTTTGGATGTGATCGTGCCTTCTCTTACCTTTGTCTTTCAAGGACAAAAGTGTTGTACATATCACACTGGACACCCCAGTGTTCCACTTGCAGCTTACGTTCGGGCTGCGATCGTTGAAAGTACCTCCCCATTAGCTTCGTCAACTCCCTTTTCAGCTTGTCTTCACCGTTCCGTATCTTTTCGACAGGAAGGATCGGGCCGTTCTCAAGTTTCAGGTCTGCAACTTTTCTGGCCACTGTTTGGATGCAGCCATAATAACACCAAAGGAGCAGGGCTCTTCGGAGCTGAAACGCTGCGTGATTCTCTGCGTCGGATCCGCCTCTCTTTAAGCTTTCAGTCTCTGCCTCGAGCTCCCTCTCTTCCAGCAAGTTAACGCGATCTAGAAATCGTTGCACCGCAGATCTGGTCTCGGCTGCAAGTCCTTTTTGTAGTTCCTGAAGTTCCACCTGGTCCAGTGACTCAGACTCGAAGTCTAGTTGCGTCATATCAACCTCCGAAGACATTTTCCGCCGCAGTTGATTCGAGTAGTCAATTGCCGCCTTTCTCAGCCTCGCGAAGTCCCGTTTTGACTTGTCAACGACTGGCTTCTCGTCCTCATTCCAGTCATCCCAAAAGTCGATGTTCGATTCCCTGAGTTTCAAGAACATAAATTGGTTCAGCCAGCCCTGGATGTCGTAAATCATCTCGATGTTCCCGGTATACCAATTTCTGTTGCCGATAGCAGAAGAGACGTCTTGAATATTGAAAGCTTGCCAACTTTCCATAATGTATCCAATACAGATGGTTCGGAATGGACTAAGTTCTGTGCTACGGTGCCACCAATCGTGATATCCTGTCTGTCCACGTCCCTGATCGAGGGCAAATGTTGTGGGAGGCATATACGGCGTAGTCATCAGGAGCCATGTCAACGAGCTCCGAATGCAAGACTCAAGCCGAGCGAGATACTGTTTCTCGGAATCGTCTTCGTTCGTTTTCACCGGTATCAGAGAGAAAGTTGTGGGGGTTAACAATCAAACGGATCTGCCAACTGCAGTTCGTCAAACGAATTACACGTGTCTGAGAAGGCCAAACCGTACAACATCCCTTCATAATCTACACCCCACATGGTCATAATATTCTCGATTAGTGGAATAGTAGTTCTGTGCGGAATCTTTCCCTGAGTTCTCTTTTCACTTAGGATGCTTGGGTCTCGCTCCTTCCCGGACTCGCCGTCGTTGTCGATCCCTGCGTTCGGTGGTGAGCACAATACAGCCGCGCCCGGTTCGGAGACGCTCGATTTTTCCCTTCTGACAAAATCAGCGGCTCGCCTTTGCCAGAATGAATTGTTTCTGTGGCTGATGCTGTAGTCTCTCGGTTGGCGGCTGCGATCGTTCCTTGGGCGGCTGCCTCGGAAGCATTCGGCCCCTTTGTACCTAGCATCCTGGGCTCGTCGCTTCCTGCGGCTTCGACTGTGTCTTTGTTCGACGCTGGAGGGGTTTCAATAGCATTCCTTCCGGTGGTGTTCGACTTGTTCTCATCTGGAAAAGATTGAAGAGGTCCAGTGCAAGTCTTCTCCTGTGATTCTTCCTCGCCGATGTTCACTAGTACAAAAGACACACCCAGAATCCGCTCTATACACCTGGCAATGGCATGGACCTCTGAGTGTTCTTCTATAGACTCATTGTCTTCTGGGCCGTGACCATTACTGTAAGCATCGGTCCATAACTGAGCTGTAGGTACTGTTTTGCTATATCCCATCCTCAGGTAATATCGCACGTCGGGACCCAGCGGCATTTCTTTTGGGGGGTTCCCGTTAGCAGCATCTCCGGTATCGAGGGAGTAACATGCAATGATGCTGGGGTGGCCATCACGTTGGAGGCTCTAGGTCTACGGATCTGATGTCATGTCGACATATTCTTTCGCCGTCCCGACTTTCGTTGACGGTCCAGTCTTAGAAATACCATCCTATCGCAGGACATATGCAGCCATATTGTTTGTTGCATCGGCGGACAGTTTTATGTCACTGCCTTGCCTGCTGCTTTGTCCTCCTCGATCAGGTACTGAGTTGGCTGTTTGAGAATTGCCACATCTCCATTGATAAACAACTGCATCCGAGATCGCAAGTTTCCGCCATCCTCGCGTGTTGCGGTTAGTACCTCCGCTTTGCCACACGTGCGCAAACTGTGCATGGTATCAACCTTTCTGGGCTCAGCAGTCAAACTCGCTCTTCTGGAAAAGTTCTGGGTATCTGTGTAGTTGAACCTGACTCATCTGCCTATCGTAAAAACCAAATCTTTCCCGATATCTACGTCATCCGACCCTCGCACTAAGCAAAGTTGGTAAACGGTGTTGTCTATAACGAAGGAGCAGATAAAGAGCTGCCCGATGATATCTGATTGTTCAGATACTTCGATGGAATGATTTTGAACACGAGACTTGTCGGCGGCCGGCTTCAGTATGAGTCTATAAGCCATACATGGCCACTGGTGGTTGATAAGGCCCTAGGATATAGGAGTCTTGACTTCGATTTGGGAGCTGCTTGAGATCCCGAATCCCCAGCTTCCTCGACCTCTTTCATCCTGTGCTCGGGCTAAGATGGAACCCGGTTGATTCGGATAGTCTCCACGGACATACACAAGTCCTTCCGGGTGAGAAGCGGTTATCTGAAGAATATTATGCCAGTCTGACACAGATGCAGTCACACCGTTAACGCCGAAATATATCGTCCTTCCCGGGCGGCTCCAGTCGACGCTTGTATAGCAATTACCTGCGCGGGTGAACGTTGTTATTATACTACTCAAGACCAACCCGAAGAACCAGTATGCACTCACTGTCCTCAAGGTCATCACACAGCCATCTCCAAATTTCACTGTCATCCAAGGGGATCAGGCTCCGCCGAAGATTACTCGACTTTACTGAAAGTTTACTCGACATGGGTCAGGCTCGAGCGGCAACGAGCGAAGACGACACTATGGCGACCACGCGAACTCTTCTTCCTGGCAGTATAGGTCGTTAGCCACTGAGGACTTTGGACGCTCTAGATGAATAAATTTGAGAACAATGACATTCAGCAGGGGTTTGTATTGTCTTTCAGAAATCTGATTGTCTCACACTACCCATCACTTTGAAGGGCCTCAGGTACACGAGCTTACCTTAGTTAGAGTGTTTGCTCATGTTACATTTCCATGGGTTACAAGTTTTATCACGTGACTGCAACCCGGCACCCATCCTATCCCAACCTCAGCCAGATAGGTTACCTACTCCCACCAGCCAGGAGAACCCAGAAACTGTGACCCTCGCATCGGCATGGTCTCACTTTCCACCTCAGACACTTCGTACTTTGATTGAAGGACTTCCGGCTGCACAGCGCCCTTACGACCTGATCGTTCGCTCCTTGATCTCCTACTTTCGCGCTCTCGCGCTGTCACGTGACCGCGTGCCGCGCCCGCCCATCACACTTGACTGCCTTCTACCCCCAAGCTACCGGAACTCACCCCCCGCGCACATATGCTACTTCCACGCTACCAATGGATATCGACGACATTCTCGCCGACGTCTCGACCGCGGCGGAACCGCAGGAGAGCCGCGACCTCCAGCAACTGACGCGTGCGTGGGTCGCTGAGCGCGTCGCGCCGGAGGTATTGCCGTGGCCTGCTGGCTTGATGGACAGGATTGAGGGGAGGATAAGACGGCAGGTGGGTATGCTGAATCCGGATCCTTCGTAGTGCAGGCTTCGGATGAGACGGGAGAGCTTGGGAACTGGAGAACAGTCAAAGGGGAAGCAAGGACACGGAATGCATGAGTTTTATCAGCGGGTATCGGTGACAGCTGACATGAGGTGCCGGCAACCTGTAGATTGAGCTTGTAGAAGAGCAGACGGGAAACATGGACCCTAAGGCCAACTTCAGGCTCATCGTCATCCAAACGGAACTCGAGCGGTTCAAGTTTCTGGTGCGGTCGTTCCTGCGGGCGAGGATAGCTAAGGTGCGTTCATATTGATACACAACGAAATATTCAGCAGTTCTCTCTTCCTTTCCATCGGCGGATGTCAAAAGCATTAACTAACACCCACCCTCTCAGATAGACAAATATGCCCAGCACTACCTCTCCCTCGCCGCTCAACAACCCACGCTCCTCGCACCCACCGAACTCCAGTACCTGCAAGCTCACATCGCGCTCCTCTCCCGGCACTACTCAACCTCCTTCCTGAGCGCCTTCCCTCCGAGCCTGCAGCGGCTCGATGACACAGCCGGCGGTATCAGCATGGTCGACGGTCCAGATCTGGATACGGTGGTCTTCTGTCGCGTGTTGCGGGATGTTGGGACCGTGAGGGTTGAGGGCACGGATGTGGAGATGAACATGCGGAGGGGGGATGTTTGGGTTGTGAGGTGGGGGAGTATCAGGAATGCGGTTGTGGAGAGGGGGGACATCGAGCTGATATGAGTGGGCTTGCATGACTTTGGAGCGCTGTGAGTAGACACGAGCATGGTCTGGGGTGGGGACTCTGGGATGGTGCATGGAGACGGCGTTGTGGGAGTTGGTTTGAAGCTGTATTGTTGTGTTTAGCACTGTGAACTGGATCTCATGTCTGTCAAGAAAACGTCGTTGGCTACAATAGTGAAAATTCAAGTGAGAGGATTACATTAACGCCTAGCCGAAACACATGACCATTTCGAGCCTTGCTAAAGACGCGATAGCAGTGGCGCAGGAGGTTCGAAGGCCCGAGTCAAGCCTTGCATTTCAATGCGCCTGAAGCCAACCCAGCATCTGCCCGAAAGCCCGCTTCTGGGCGTCCCTAATCTTCTGGTCCTCGTAATCGCCAAATACCGCGAAGCCTACAAGCCATCCAATTAGCACAGCTCCGACACATTATGCCAGCCGCCGGAAGTCCAAGACTTACCGTGGGGAACGCTGGGATAAACTTCAATCTCGTGCTCAACGCCGGCTTTCTCTAGGGCTCCCTTCCCAGCCTCCCGGACTTCATCCGGAAAGAGGCTATCGTTCTCCACACAGACCATGCATACCGGCACCTTGACTGCTGTGATATCCTCTTTGGTGACCATGGTGCCTGCCTCATCAGCGCGATTCACACCACCCGCACGCAGAGGAGAACCTACCATGAGCAATGGCCCCAGCCTTGATCAGCGGCCCCTGCTTCACGTTTCCAGCCTCCTCGTCCTCCGGCTTGGGCTGACCCCACAGCTTCGTATCCGTGTGCTCGCCAGCCAGCAGAAGGACGTACTTGGCGCCAAAACAGTAGCCCACAGCATAGACACCACCACCATTCGCAACCGCATCGGCAAACTCATCCTTAGCGTTACTGAGGACGGCGTGCAGAAGCGGAAGAACCTTCTCTGGTGTATGCCGAGCGAGCCACATATCAATCACGAAAGACTTGGCGGTCTCTGCAGCACGGAGTTTGACAGTTTCAATCCAGGAGGTGTTCTGGTCTGGGGAGGGAAGCTCGGTACTGGAGTTAGGAGCTGGGTCGCCAGCGAACTGGTCCGGCATTACGACGAGGAAGCCTTCGGCGGCGTACTTGTCGGCTTGGAGCTGGTTGTTGGTCGAGTGGATGCCGGTGCCGCCGGTGAGGAAGAGAAGGAGCTTGGAGGGTGAGTGGGGGTAGTCACTGGGTTTGGTTATGTAGACCTGTGGTGTTGTCAGATGTGTTCATATGAGACTTCAGCGTTGACCAGATGTTTCTTATGTGAAAAGGTTGCGGCCATGCTGTCCGCTGTGACTTTGGAGAGAGTGTTTCTCACGTCGATATCGCCCAGCTTAGTCATCTCCTAGACTTTTTATTAGGTTTACGCACGCACTAGGGACGGTCGAGACACTGACTCCAGTTGGCTTCTCTCCGGCAGCTGCCCTGCCGTCAGCAGTCCCCTATCAAGGGATCATCTCAAGAGCCATACGAGTGGGTCTGTCTGTAACGCAGTGTTCCTGTGACTGTCAGCCATTGAACGTGGCTCGAAGCTTGCTCTACATAGTTCGGCTATGATATGCCTAAAATGAATGCCTAGGTAACCTTGAATAGAGCTGTTGGCGCCGTGTATACATCGAGGGAGGTTTCGGACTTGGGGAGAAATAGGTTGTTCATATTTTCAAAGTCATAAAGCCCTGTCATCATCCGTCATACTAAAAGCAACTGAAATCTCGGCAACACATAAAATACAGGACTTTGATGTTCAAGCCTGCGAGAGAAGAAGCCGAGTGGGATGATGCACCTACAGCCATGCTTGGACCCTGTTGAGCGGGAGTGTCTCCCGGAAAGATACTTTGCTGAGCAGCATCGCTCTCGGGCGCTTTCGTAGCTACTTCGTCGTCGGCCATTTTGTTGTTCAGCCTCTGTTGTCAGCTCAAGGCACGGCTGTTGGTGTTGACGAATCGTGGGGAGCTTCCCATTCCAGTCACGTGAGGTGGGGTTCGCGAGCGACGCGCCTAGACGCGTTCCTCTCCAGGCAGATCTCGCCGCCGCGCCGACATCAACCACATCGTCCGCACATTGTCCCATCTCGACTCGGATTCAAGTCGGTCATCTGCGGAAAGCATCTTTGTCATCGCGCAACAATGTCGGCTGAAGCTGCTTCCCACATCACTCAAGGAGCCCTTAGGTTCGTCTCATCCCATCGGGTTCACTCAAACTGGACTGACGAGCTCTCAGGGCTGTCTTTGAGCAAGGCCGAGAAGCGGTTGGAGAACCTGTCGTCCAAGCTGTACAGATCAAGCCTCTCGAAGCAAAGGGTGATGGCCCCGAGCGGTACCGGGTGGTCTTCAGCGACATGCAGAACTTTGTCCAGAGCATGATTGCGGAGAGTACGTGCCACTGCTTACAGAAGCGACCAGAGTCGTGTTTGTGCTAACATTATGCTGTTAGAGTACTCCTCGGTAGTTAGCGACGGTACACTGAAGCGCGGCGCAATCGTCCGGCTGATCCAGTACACGCCGAACGTCATCAAAGGGAAAAAGTAGGGTTCTTCCGAAACTTGGAAGGGCCGACTAACAACCGTAGAATCCTTATCGTCGGCGAGGTACAAGTCTTGTCAGAACTGGGCGAGCACGAGAAACTTGGGAATCCCAAGGGCTTGGAGGCGGCACCGGAACAGGAGCAGCAGAATGCACAACCGGGATCTATATCAGGCGACGGGTTCTATGGAGCGAAACCGCAACAGCAACAGCTGCAGCCTCAGCGGCAAAACCTCCCTTCCCGCACGAATGTGTCCGCGGATTCCAGCGCAAACCACGGCAACATCTACCCGATCGAAGCTCTGTCACCCTACTCTCATAAGTGGACAATTAAGGCGCGAGTAACCTACAAGTCTCCGATCAAGACATGGCATAAACAAAGCAGTGAAGGGAAGCTCTTCAGCGTAAACTTACTGGATGAGAGTGGAGAGATAAAGATGACCGGCTTCAATGCTGAGTGTGACGCATGGTATAACGTCCTACAAGAGGGCAGTGTATACTACATCTCGAGTCCTTGCAAGGTCAACATGGCGAAGAAGCAGTTTTCAAATCTCAACAACGACTACGAACTAGCGCTTGAGAGGGATACGGTCATAGAAGCGGTACGCTGTCCATGCTAAATTTCCAACTTTCCTCTCGGGATATCACTGACACAAAGTAGGCTCCCGACCAAAGCAGCGTACCGCAAGTGCGCTTCAACTTTACCACCATAGGAGATTTGGAGTCTGTCGAGAAGAACACCACCATCGATACTATCGGCGTCCTCCAACAGGTCGGTGAAGTCTCAGAGATTGTGTCGAAAACTACAAGCAAGCCCTATGCCAAACGCGAGCTGACTCTGGTCGACAACACCAACCACTCCGTCCGGCTAACGATATGGGGAGATACCGCGCACTCGTTCGACGCGCCAGAAGGAAGTGCAATCGCATTCAAGGGAGTCAAAGTATCGGATTTCGGCGGCCGAAGTCTGAGCTTGCTCAGCTCAGGCTCCATGACTATCGATCCTGACATCGATGAAGCGCACAAGCTGAAGGGCTGGTACGATGCCCAAGGCCGCCAGGACACCTTCCAGTCCTTCCAGAACATGGGTGCATCACTGGGTGGTGGAGGAAACAGTTCCAAAACTATCCAAGAGGTCAAGGATGAGAACCTTGGGATGAACGAAGAAAAGCCCGATTACTTCAACCTGAAGGCCACAGTCGTCTTCATAAAGCAGGACAACATCGCCTATCCCGCATGTCTGTCCCCAGACTGCAACAAGAAGGTTGTAGAGGTCGATCCAGGCCAATGGCGCTGTGAGAAGTGCGACAAGACACATCCGAGACCGCAATACCGCTACATGATGTCGATCAACGTCAGCGATCACACTGGACAGATGTGGTTGAGCGCCTTCGACGACCACGGTAGGCTTCTGTTGGGCATGGACGCCGATCAAATCATGGCCTGGAAAGAGGAAGAGAACAAACAGGCGCTTGACGATGCCTTCCAGGCTGCTAACTGCAAGACTTATGTCTTCCGGTGCCGGGCGAAGATGGACAACTTCCAGGATCAGCAGAGGTGAGCTCATTCTCGGCCGCTGATAAGCTGGCCCTACTCAAGCTATCAAATATTTGCGGCTAATCTTTGTCAATCATAGGGTCCGCTATCAAGTTCAACAAGCTCATGACCTCAACTTCGTTTCTGAATGTCGCAAACTGACAGAGGTACTGAAGCAATACAACCTAAGCTCAGACAACAATAGCCTCTTCGTCCACTAGTTGTAGTAAACAGGTGCTCTGTACTGAAAGCGGATTCGTTCTTAGTGTGGGGAGGTGATGTGCTATCTGACGGCTGAAACTTGCATCTCCTGGCGTCTGGCTGGGTAGCGGAGCGGCTACGGGCTCGACATTGGTCCCTGGATTTCAGTGTAGATGTCAAGTGTATTTTAGCCTTCATCTTGCAGAGCTTACTAAAGGGCCTGTATTTGCTGTCAGAAGAGACTGGTGATGGTCCCTTGAGATAGCAGCATGTCGCGTGCGACAGCTTGAAACAGGTGGAGACAAGTAACAACGGCTTTAGTTGCCGAGAATGGAGTATTAAATGCTGCTACATCTCCGCTTGACAAGTCTCCCAAGGTTACTGAATATGTGCAACCAGAACGCAATACACAAAGGAATCTATCTCGAAAGTTTGTGATGGTGAACATCTCTTGCGGGCTTGGCAAAAGTGGGATGCAGACGAATCCCATTTGGGTTAGCGTCTTTGCTTCCCACAAACGCATTTCCACAACCTCTCGTCAGTGATATCGAACAACGCCCAGCGACCCGCCGACGACAACTCTTCAAAATGTAAGGATTTCCAGATCCACCGACACCCTGCCCCTTCTACAAACGATGAGGCGTTCGAAGGACGCCTCCACCGTCTAGTTGAGACCGACACGGCTTCCAGGATTGCGACGACTCTCTCATGCTCTCCGCACCGTTGACTCTGTGGCGAACAATGTCACTAACCCAGTGCTTCTCGGTAGGGTGAACCTCACGACTCAGAAGCGCCTCGCGGCGTCCGTCGCCGGCTGCGGCAAGCGCAAGATCTGGATGGACCCGAACGAGAGCAACGAACTTTCAAACGCCAACAGCCGCAACACCATCCGCAAGCTCCTCAAGGATGGCCTCATCATCAAGAAGCCCGTCACTATGCACTCGCGTGCCCGCGCCCGGGCCTTGACCGCCGCACGACGGATCGGCAGACATCGGGGTTTCGGTAAGAGGAAGGGTACTGCGGACGCTCGTATGCCTAGGTAGGTCAACCCCGCGGCATCGCCCGGATCGGCCGATTCACAGAGCTGGAGGGAGCCCATTCAGTTTGGAAGGATCAGTGGGCGTCTGGGAACGAGATACTGACGGATACCACACAGCCAAGTCCTATGGATGCGTCACCAGCGTGTCCTCCGCCGTCTCCTCGTCAAGTACCGCGCCAGCGGCAAGATCGACAAGCACCTCTACCACGAGCTCTACGCGCTCAGCAAGGGTAACACATTCAAGCACAAGCGTGCTCTCGTCGAACACGTACGTTCTGAGCTTTGTGACATCATTATTACTGAACCCGACTAACCCGCCTTCATAGATCCACAGGGCCAAGGCCGAGAAGCAGCGCGAGAGGATCATCAAGGAGGAGATGGACGCCAAGCGTGCGAAGACCAGGGCTGCGAGGGAAAGGAGGCAGCAGCGCGTGGAGGAGAAGAGGCAGGCGACCGTTGCGGAGGAGTAAATGCGGATCAAGGCGGGTGCGGGGAGTGTGCTCAATGTGGCATGAGGTCTGGCGTGGATTTCTTTGTGGGCGTAGACTCACTTTCGCCGGCATATCGCTGGCTACATCTTCGGGCATTGCGAGAAACTTCTCCTGACATATCTGGGTGCACCGTCGAAAAGTTGAGGCCAGTGATACTCATAGCAGCACCGCGAGCAATGCTGCTGCCAGAACGCGGCTCTGTAGTTTGTGTCACCCGACATCGAACTCTTGAATCATGGGATCTATAAATGATACGGCAGAGCTCATCACATCGCCTCGCTTTGTGCCCTCATGAATATTTTCAAACACGTCGGTTGCAAGCAACAAGATTCAGCCCACGAATCGCATCCTAAAACAGAACGTGAACCACGACCAATCAAGTATGACCCATTCATGGACGGCCCTCAGACCCAGGGCTCACTCGCTCTCTCTTACCCTCGGACCACACTCAATCGGAAACTGAGAATACTTCTTATGCTTCGAGACTAGTAACGCTAGTAAGGCATGACTGCAAAATTGGCAAGAGAAAGGTCGTCCAGGTCTACTACATGTCTCTGAGATCTTTGAGTACGCTTTGTTCCCGTACATTATCAACTCGCTAAGCAGCAATATTTCTCTGATGCCTGACGAAACAAACTTGTGCAAGCTTGCCCACATGAACCATGACCATCGGATGCTGGAGTTGATCTTTTTTCGCTTGAACGCAGGATGCCAGCGACGATTTTGCAGCCAAGGATCGGACATGTATGCGGGTCACGAAAACACTTCTACCTCATCACCTTTAAAGCTGCTTCATACCTGTTCCGTTCCTCAGCCTATTCTCCCGCTGCACGATCCTCATCGGCAGCGCCTCTCCGATGCCAAACAGCACGAAGAGCGCCCACTTCCACCTGAAGGGGTTGATAACGATGATGAAGACGAACCAGTATAGCAGTTCGCCATACGTAAAGAAGTCGAACGCACCACTATATGCTATTAGCACGCCGTATTGTCTAAAGCATCAAACCCAGACAACTTACCCCGGTGCCTTGGATTTAAGGAACCTAGTCATGTCGATCCACCGCTTCATCCACCACCGCTGCGGCCTCGCCAGCGGATCAACAAGGAACACCAGCAGGAATCTCGTATAGATGCCAATATGGTAGTTCCCAACCGTCCCAATCGCATTGACATACGTGCAGTTGTTCGCGCAGACATCAACATGAGCCGGTGGGAAGACCTGGAGGTACCAATTCGGGGGCTCGTAACCCTCCTCGAAGCACTCATCCGGAAGGAACGAAAGCGAGGGCCGCGTGTAGCCCGTCGCCATGATGCACACATCACCCTCGATGAACTCCTCGCGGCCAGGTCCGCCCTTGGGCACGCCTTGGGCGCGGCGGTTGAAGCGCACGCCGTGCTCCTCGAAGCCGAGGATGTCGCCGCGGAGCCACTTCGCCTTGCCCGCGCGAACGAGTCTGAAGACGTCGTCGTTGACCATCGGCGTGTCAGTGAAGATGCCTTTGCTGCCAGGCGGTGGGGCGAGATCAGCGAGGTCGCGGTAGAAGAACAGACGGAGGAGGCCCTCTGGGATCCAGGACAGGAGCGTCTCCTGCCCGAAGACGTTGAGAGAGAGCAGCGCATCGACCAAGGGGTTCCGCGGGATGATCCACTTCTCGGAGCGCGCGAGGATGGAGGTCTGTGCCGCGTCTTCGGCGGCGACGAATTCAAGCGCTTCGACCGCGGATGCACCGCCGCCGATCACGATCACTTTCTTGTCTTTGGCCTGCTTGCCGTCGAGCTGGGAGGAGTGGCAGATCTCGCCTTGGAACTTCTCCTGGCCCGGAATGTGAGGCATCTTGGGATCGCCGCAGGTGCCGACGGCGGCGATGATGCCGTCGAAACGGCCGTTCGAAGGGTCGTTGACGATCCATCTGCCCTGGCGGTCTTTGAAGACCTTGGTGACTTTGGTGTTGAACTTGGTGCGGTCTTCGAGGCTGTAGCGCCTCCAGAGCTGCGTGATCTGACTGACGATCTGCTGGCGGTCGGGGTAGCCTTTGCTCCACTTTATGGAGGGGTGGAAGCGGTACATAATACTGTGAATCTGGAGGCCGGATGTGTTGTTTACTTTCTGATATGGTGGTCAGCAATCAACATGTATGTCGGCATGTTAAGGGACGTCGTACAGCCCATATTCCACCAAGGGAATTCCGACCACCAGCCTCGAAGATGGTAGTCTCAAAGCCATGGCCAACACAGTGGGAAGCGGCGGAGACGCCAGTCAGGCCGGCACCAATGACTGCGATCTTTGGCCTGTCCAAAAGCTGCTCTGACTTGGGAGGTGGAGGTGCAGGCGAGAGGAGCCTGTCAAGCAGCCATTGATAGACTTGGTAAATGAAAAGGATGGGGTTGGTGAGAAGATGCTCGAACAAAGCTTGCACACTCATCTTTCTGAAGCTCAATTGCAACAGAAGGAATAGGTAAAGAAGTCGGAGAACTCGGGGCTTAGACTGTGAATCAATTCATATACATACCTACTCCTCGGCCAGTGAACGTATCTGTCGGCATAATGACAACATGCTGGGGAGGTACTGCAGCATATGCACGTGATAGGCGCGTTGCGGCATGCGTGAGTTAGAACTCCCATTTCCCATTGTTTGCGGTTTCCTTCAAAGAGCAACAAAGGCGGAATGAGAGTCACCATGAGCACTCAGAGCACCTCCACCATGGAGTCCTTTACACCACACGAAGACTGGAAGGGCAGCTCATTGCCTGGCCTTGGACCATGGCGTTCGGACAACCAAGCTTGCCCAAGCTTGACGCCGCCTTGCGCGACTTGCTCGCTGGGGAAACCTCACAACCAACGTCGAGGTCATGGCTCAAGCCGAAGCCAAAGCCAACACCTACGCGTTCGACAACCCCTCCGAGCGCTCCTAGACAGCAGCGGCAACACTCTCCTCCTAATCCTCAGCGTAGTGCACTGGTAGCCTCTGGCGCTGGTCTGGATGGGACATCGAGGCCCTACCTGAAGCCGACGCCAAAGCCGAACTCGAAACCTACGCCTACGCACCCGTTGAACAGTCGCCAACAGCACCGGCAGTCACCTCCTCGTGGTTCACCAGCAGTCTCAGTTCCTGATCCGCACGCAACGCCGAAGCCATATCTGCAGCCAAAGCCAAAGCCAACTTTAAACTCTCTAGGCCAATCTACCGCGCCGAGACAGCGGCAGAGATCACCTTCTCCCAACCCACCATCTGGAGCTCTCATAGGCCATTTGCTCGAAGTGCTCAACGAATGCGGACCTCCCAAGCTCGACAAGTTCCAACTCACAGCAATTTTTCACGCCGTACGAGGACGTGAGTTTGGTCGAGGTGCTGCCAGCGCGCTCACCTTTGAAGAGCTAGATGCACTCAAAGAACCACTCGGAGAAGCCATCCTCAAGGCTAAGCTTGCCCGTACACAGCCACAACCTGTGTTTTCTGCCAGTACCGCTCAGTCCTGGGAGTCGGTACCTGCATCACCAGCGGTGAGTTGCTCTGTGGCCTGTTTCAGAAGAAATTCCTCGCGGCGTTGTACGACTGAAAGGCCTTATGCTAATTCGTTGCAATCAGGACACTATGATGGCGGACGGTACGCCCACCGGTACGCCCACACTCGATCAGTTTCTCGCCGAACTCCAGCGCATCATTTGTGAACAGAATGGCGCCCAGTTGCAGGATTACCTAGTAATAGAGCCCCCATACCGACAGCTGTACACTGCAATGATTGCGGAGATAAGGCAGCGCTACCCAAAAGGCAAGGAGGACGAGTTGGAGGGGAAGTGTAGCGCAGCGCTTCCGGAGGCGCGGGAAGGCGCAGACGGTAGTCCATGGACTGCCTTCATCAAGTTCATAACACAGTACTTCGCATTCATACGAGATGTGAACGTCGAAAATCTCCTAGAGACATACAACCAACTAAGCGAGCTCGTTCAGTAAGTGTTCCGTGGTGGAAAACAGTTCTTCAGAGATGCATGTGGCTAACTGATTGCAAAAGAAAGTGCAACAGCGCACTCGGTCATCCATCTCTTGGTATCGTCATCCTGCCAACGGTTATCGCATACTCTCGTGTCCTCGCAAGGCTCGCGATAGGCCTTGACAAGAGACCAGAGCTCATTGCGCACCTCACCAAGCAATCCTCCGACGACAGCGGAGTCCGCGAAACCCTTCCCGAACGGGCCGCGAATATCCTCCGCCAGGCCTTCGTCACATGTCTAAACGATCGAACGGGCACAGCATCCGGCGTTCGAGACGGCAAGCCGGACGGCAAGAAAGTCGGTATCTACACGATCGCGAACCTCTGCCTCAAAATCCTCTTCCAGTGCCGCAAGACGCGTAACGCCGAGCAGATCTTCTCCAACATCTACAACCAGTCCCCGCCGCTCTCAATCTACCCGCGCCCAGAGCGCATCACCTACCTCTACTACCTCGGCCGCTTCCTCTTCTCCAACAACCACTTCTACCGCGCACAGCACGCGCTGCAAGCCGCGTACGACCAATGTCCGCCTCACCGCCTGAAGCAGCGTCGCCTCATCCTCATCTACCTCGTCGCATCCAACATCATCCTCGGCCGCTTCCCCTCGGCCGCTCTCTACTCACAGCCCGAAGCCCTCGGCTTCGCGGAGCGCTTCGCCCCCCTCTGCCGCAGCATCGCGCGCGGCGACCTCGCGACCTTCCGCCGCCTAACCGACCCCAAAAACGAGCACGCGTCCTGGTTCCTGCACTACCGCATCTTCCTGCAGCTGAAGAACAGATGCGAGGTGCTAGTCTGGCGGTCTCTGATCCGCAAGACCTTCGTGCTCGCGGGCCAGCAGGGCGATGCGCAGGCTCGGAAGGCCCCGACGCTGGATCTCGGGTACGTGCTGCAGCTGGCGCAGATGCTGGAGCAGAAGGCGCTGAGTCCGCTGAGCCAGTTGGATGGCGGGCCGGGCCGGAGACACACGAACTGGATCTTTATGGATAGGGAGCCGCCGGCGAGCGCGCGGTATGTTGATCCCGATTTTGCGGGGACGGAGGAGGGGAGGCCGGAGGTGCTGCTGCCGGATATGCTGGAGGTTGAGAGCATAGTGGCGAGTCTGGTTGACCAGGGGCTTCTGAATGGGTTCATCAGCCATAGGCAGTTGCGGTTTGCGATCCAGGGCGCGAAGAGGAAGGGCGCGCTGCCGGCAGGGTTTCCGAATGTGTGGGAGGTTGTTAAGGGCCGGTGTGATGAGGAGGTGCCTGGTTGGAAGAAGGACCCGCCACGCGGTGCGGTCGGTGCCACTGCTGGGAGAATTGCGGCGGGAGGCTTTGGGCCGGGTATGGTGGTCAACCTGAGTGGTGCTAGGCCTGTTGGCGCTGTGCCTTGACCGCGGAGTAACATGCCTAGCCGTGCTGCAGAAAGGGACTGTGTTAGGGTTATGCTCACAGATCTCGTTGCTTAGCGTGTTGATGGCAGCCACAAGCCTCCTGGATATACACTTCAAAGACATCCAAGACGAGAATCAAACAACATCTGCGGCTGCAAGGCTGCTTAATCGTACCTTTCGCACCGCATTGACATGGAAGACAGCATTGATCAGCCTCTTGTATCTAATGCAAATCGCCATATGGATTGTTTGCCCTGTCTTCGCCGGCGTCTCAACCGGTTTTATTTACAACGTTTTGAACTGCCCAAGTGGTACTTTGGGCATCTCTGCAAGGTCAAAGCTGACAGATGTGCAAGGACACGGTGGGTAGAAGGAACAACAAGACCGTAAGCACGAAGATCGCATCGCCGGATCCTTGGACGCTGCGCTTAAGACAGACTGGCTGCCGGCTGTGCAGTTGTTGTTGATTGGAGAGCACAAACGCCCGTGTAGACTTGGATTATCACCCTTACAGAACATCGTGACGTCCAAAGTAGCAAATGGGCCTGCTAGTGGTGCCGTGCAATCTTCAAGAAGCCTCGTGTCATCGGTATTGCGCCTGAACAGGAGCCGAAGCCCATCACCTTCCTGAGAGTACTCCATGCTGGGCAAGGACGTGCGGTAGGTCAACCGTCGTCTGTCCTTGGGGACAGGTTGGTTTCTGTGGGGCGTTTTCCTTGAAGCTTCATGGCAGTCTGGGTCGTCCAATGGTCGAAACGGTAGGTTTCTTGACCCTAAGAGGAGGGGCGGTGATAAGATCGGACAGATATCCTAACGTAGCTTGTGAGGAATTACTATAACATCAGGTGGATCTCAGACAGGGTTACTTCCGTGAGAAGGGTGGTGATGCAAATTTGAAAGTATTGTGAGATGAGACGTATTTGGAGATATGAATTGTTTAGAGGGATTCGAGTAAGTCGCTCGCGCTCGTTGAATGATTCTGGGTTCATTGCGACCTAATGGAGAGACGATGGAGGATAGGGACATACTAAGCATTGAAAATCACTCATGAGATTTGCCAGCATAAGGATAGGCGACTGAAAGACGCCGGCCCAATCGACCGTGATCTATCTGCTGGTAGATTGCATAGTATATGGCTGAAGGTTCGCCGCCACACGCTCGCAGAGCATGCAGGCTGTTCAAGATTTACAAGCGAAGCAAAAGTGGTATCGTACAGCAGCAGCAAGCCCAAGAGCCGGGCAGCCCTGCATCAGTAGCCAGAACCCAAAAACGGCTTTGCAGATGTTCACTCCAGACCGCGACGCCGGAGAAATGCGCACGTGACGTTACCGAACCCTATGCACCGGGTCTCCGCACTGGCGGCCGGAGAGTGACGATATAGCCTGAACCCCAAAAGACAATATAGTACATGCAAGGCCGCTGGCCGCGCGGCACTCTCGCTGAAGTCCGGTACTGGAACAGGAAAAAACATATGTGCTGACGGCCTCCAAGCAGGCTGACGCGGAAGCGAAGTGATCTATGCCGATGAACCATGGGTATATGTGAACGATCGGGAAAATAGGCCTCAGGATGATCCGGATGAAGCCAATGCGGCAGCGAAAATCTGATAGAAGAAGGTATGCTCGTTAACGTGACATGCAGGATCGAGGCCGCTCTACGGTGATCGTAAACTATGAAGTACGAATGGCGCGTGCGCTCCCGGCGGCGCCCTCATCTCGCTTCTCCGAGATCACGAACGTTATCGCGGCTCCCGTTTAGGGGAGCCTGGCGCAGGATTTCGATCAGGACCAGCTGAGAAGTGCGAAAAGTGCGAATAGCGTGTTTCACGTTGGGTTGGCGGGTCTGGATTGCGGGCACTTCCTGAGCCACGTTCATCTCCACCACCCCGTTCCTCATCGATTCGTTGCTGTTGCTGTTGCTGGTAATGTTGCTCAGCACTGGACCTTTCGGATCGCCCTACACTCTCTGCACGGCCAGATGCCGGTTCGTGATAGCTTCGTGGTCGTGCTCCAGGGTCGTAGCCTCGTGTGGAAGCGTCGCTGCGTGTTCGAGCATGGCCACGACGGCCAGGAGTAGAAGTCGATGATGACACTTGAGAAAACGATGGCGAGGTGTATTGGGTAGTAGGCTGTGGAGCGGGTTGGTGGGCGCCTTGCGCTTTTCGCTTCTTCGGTGAGCTGGTGTAATCCGAATCGAACTCATGGGACCCTGACAGATGCGACGAGTGTGTGATCTTCGCCTTGACTGACGGGGTGGCTGGGGGATTGCTGCTTGATCCTGCTTGAGATGACGGAGGCACCCAGTGATGGAAGTAGATCGACGGCGATGAGGCAGTATGCTCTTGCTGATGCGCGGACTGACTGTGCTGTAACGAGTGCACTGCTGGTGCCGAGGGCGGCTGCTGTATATGCATATCGTTTGTCGTCAACCGTGGGAGTTGAGAGTGCGGTGGCGGCGGCCTTGGGGCGGACGTTGGTGCACCAACCTGACCGGGAGGCTGCAAGGCTCTCGCCCTGCTAGTTGGCGACATAGTACCGACAGAGTATGAGGAAGCTGAGAATGCTCCTGCATGTTGCGGAGGTGGTGCTAGGGGCTGCACCTGGAGTACAACAGGTGCTGCCGCAACCTGTTGCGACACTTGCGGCCCTATGCTGTACACGCTTGGCTGAGGCTGGCCGATCATCCTCTGGTCCCTGCGTGAATCTGGTGAACTCTGCGCTTGTACAATGACTTGCTGCTGCTGAGCTGCTTGCAACTGCGCTGCATACTGTTGCAACCAGTCTATGCTGATGTTTGCGAGATTCCCTCCGCCAATGCCGGCGAATATCATCGGCACGAGGTGGGGAGGGACACCGCCCGACATAGAGTCTCTCAGCATTGTCTGCTCAATCTTTCGTTGCTCCAACTTTAGGCTTTCCTGTCGAGTTCTTTCCTCTTCCTGCCTCCTCTTCTCCTCTTCAGCTTTCGCCATGAGCCAGTTTCGCATGGATTCTTCCGCACCTTGCCACTGTGATGGGGGAGCAGGCATCTGACCGAAGGAAGAAGGTAGTTGTTGGGATCCTGACGGCCCGCGGCTTGGATCTGGCAGCGTCATGGCCGCCGGCGGCGGCAACCCTCGATGAGGCGTGCCCATTGTTCGCGAGGCGCTGCCTGGCAACGGACGAAGCGGATCGCCAGCGGTCGTCGGAGGGGATCGTAAGGTCGACAACGATAATGGCGGAGAGTAATCATGAGGAGTTTTGAACTTGAACTCTGATTTGGCTGGTGGAGAAAGTGTGAGCAACATGAGGGCGACTATGCGTTGACAACCATCCGAAAGTGCTCAGATACGAGGAGAGGTAGCGGATGAACAGTAAAGCAACCAGAAAGATACTCTATGCACTGATGACAAGTGAAAAGTTCCACATACTGATCTCTTAAGAGAAAACACAAGCCATGGACCCAAAAGGCCACTGGGCAGCAAAAGCTCGTAGGCCGTTGCCAGAACTAGTGCTGCTCTGCAAAGACAGTGGTACCTGAGACTTGAACCTCTGATTTGCCCATCCCATAGGGCTCTTGCTACCGCGGAGTTAACTTGGATGAATCCGTCTGCTGCACCGATGATCTGGCCCAGCGCTCGCGTGGTCTGCTAGTCAAAGAATGCCGATCAAGAAGGGCCTGGAAGGCAAAGTTAAGCAAGAAGTAACGGGGAGTACACGAAAGAGACGAAGATGCCGGCTCGGCTTGTCAAATGAGCGGACGCCGGTGCGGGCAACGGCAACAGGAAAAAAGATGAGTGTCGCTGGATGCTGCAAGGATCAGCATGAAGAAGGACGAGACGGCGAACGACGGGCGGAGTGACGTCCTCAGCAAGGCCGACCGAAGTTGGCAGTACTTCTTAGCCGCAGGTCTGTGGCGCCTCAGGAGCAGATGCGGCAGGCCTCTCTTTGAACCGCTGTCAAATTACGTTACCGGACGGAACAGGTTCTTTACCGGTCATTCCAAGTTACTTCAAAAGGAACCCCGGTGACTTCGGCATGGTTTACTTGGTGAGTGATGGACTGTAGCAGTTAAGACCCTTGCTACCGTTCACGTCACCGTACCTGGTCTCTATCACAGCCGCTGGACAATCGCGAAAAGTTCGCTCCTAGCTAGCTGTAAAACGTGCTGTGGCGGGTCGTGTCAATGGTGAGTAGCCAGCAAGGTAGCCGGACGCGGCACTCGCGTGTGCAGCCGGTAGAGCCTGCCGAGCGACTCCTTGTCTACGTTACAGCATGCCCTAAAGAGCAACTGCCGACGTTCTCGGCGAGGTAGCTCTGATGAGCAGGACATGCCTCTATCGAGTAACGATGCACGCTCTTCAGTGATTAACGGTCGTAGCTCCATCCGTGCGTGGCTTGCTGACGGCGGCACCCACAACGGGCCAGGGAATGTGCATCAAGCCTGCCGCTGAGAACCGCCGCCCAGGACCAGGGACGAAGCGAGCAAATCTCCATGCGAAGTGAGCCCTGCAACTTGAGGCAGCGGACGGATTAGTGATGAATCAGCTCTAGTTCTTGTCCGATCGGTCCTGGCGAAATGAAGGGGCTCTTCGGCCATCCCCGATTGTCAGACGACAGGCGCTTCTTTATGGCTGTCTTTGCGCCTACCCTTTGCCTCAACTGCTTCCCGCTCGGATACAGCTGCTCTGAGAGTAGTTAACCCTCGTCGTGCCAAAGGTGGTACGTGGGACTACGATGGGGCTAACGGCAGGCTTCGATGAGCACAAATAGCAGCGGTAACACAGTGCTAGTCCGCCAGCGCGGTCAGGGAGCGTGGCCATGCACCCCGAGCTGAGCATGCTCAATGCATACGGACTCCACGAGGCTCTCTGGTTTACCCACTGAACGAGACCTTTCGAGAACCAAGGAGGTTCCCCTCCTGAATGGAAACCGCTGTCGGCCAGTCAGAGCGCAGCAGCGGTATTCTTCCCCTCCCGCTCAAGCAGGGACGTTGTTACAGCACCCCTCGCGAGACGTGCTGTGCTTCAAAAAGGCTCACGACTACAATGCCTACCCAGCTCTGTCACAGTCTCCTCTATGGCGATCGAGTCGAGGGGAAGGAGCGCTACCTCGTGCTTCGCAAGCTGGCCAGGCTTCGGTCAACATGCTACTCGAGGCTCACCTTAGAGCACTCCCGCAGTGGTTTAAGAGGGCAAGAAGCGATTGATGTTGCGCATGGGGGGTGGAGGGACTTTGGCGGCGCCAGGCGATTTAGAGCGACCCACAGCCGCGTCTCGACGGAAAGCCGTCACTTCGGGTTGCGCAATCACTGGGCGTCTGGCAGCGCTAAAGTAGCTCCACTTGGAAGGCCTGGGCAAGGTCTTCGCTATGGGCATTCCTTCGCCCGGCGTGTTGCATCTGAAACTCGTGGCGTCGGACATGGATCGAATGTCGTTAGATCCATATCCGTCTTCTATGGCAGCGTCCACATGCCGTCGAACTTGCCAGCACCGTCTCGCTGTAATGTATGGGTGATTAACTACGTGGATGTAAGTTACGAAGCATCGCCAGAATCCCTCAAAAACCCCGATGCACATATGCAGTCCCTGCATCGGCTTATGGGTCGCGGCGAAACCATGCGCGCATGATGACTGCCCTGCGTGCCGTTGAATCCAGATAACTGTTTTCCGAACCGGCGCTTGCTGGATGCGCTTGTTGCGGCTGCTTTGTGTATTTCCGGGTTTCCTACGATCTTGCTTATATCAATCTTTCAAGACCACGACCATCTTATGGCTGCATCCTCAAACCTTAGTGGACAAGACCGTTCGGAGTCTCAAACGATAAACTTTGCATTACCGTGAGCCCAGTTTGTTTTGCAATTTAGCATGATGATCTATTCTCCCACTAACCTCCGGTACAACCATGTGGGAGCGGCACTCGCGGCCTCGCACCTCCAACGAGACAAGATCTACCACGATCGACCTTCTTGATCAGCATACCCACATGTCGAGTCTTCCTACAGTACACAACAGAATCCGCTTAGCCCCGAGGGCTCGTGAATTCGTCCCGCCTCCCTGGCTAAGCGCCGCTCAATCCGGCTGCGAGGGTTGCCTAGCAGGTCAGCTCGTCTGGACATCCCAGTCTGACAGCGGAGCATCCGCCGCGAAGATTCCAATTTGACAATCCTTCACACTCAAATTCTCGGGACCTGTGTGACCGCTTCTTCGAAGATCGATGCTCGTGGTTCCTTCGAACAGAAAACCGAACTGCAGGGAGGCGCAAGTCCAGTCGCTGTGCTTGCATGCTTGTAAGCAGCCTCACAATGCTCTGGCGTCCTGCCACGGCCGTTCAAGACCAATCAACCATTTCTACCTACACAAATACCTTGGATACCTTCATCGAACCCAACCCAGCCCTTTACCGATTACATGCGTGATGATTAGAGGTGAGAGTAGCGGCAGGACGTGGCGAGATCAGCGCCTCCACCACCTGCCAAAAGTAGAAATGGAAAACATCCCATGCAGCCTCCCAATCCGTCGACAAACAACCCAACCTGAAGAAGCAAATGCTCGCTGACTTTTGCTGCCGGGCACGGGCCACCCAGCCCATGATGAGGGCCACGTTGAAGCCACGCGAGAACAACATCAGCCGCTGACCTCAGCGATCTGCATGCGGCGCCTTCTCGAAGCAATCTGGAAGCGAATTGGAAGCTTTCCCAAAAAATTGCGCAACACTGCTGCCGTCCACCCCATACCCATCCCACGTGGGTTGCAGACAAGGGTTGCATCACTGCCAGACGCCCTAACCGGCTTCGGGGCACCTCGAGCGTCGCCGTCGCGCGCTTCCGTCCCGCGCTCACCCAAAAAGAAGGAACAGCCTTCTTCAGTAAAGGGGGGGGGGGGGGGGGGGGGGGCAGCCCTACGTCGCAGCCCTAGCCCTCCTCTTCCGCTGCTTCCACTCCGCTTTCGCCACCTTCATCAGCAGATCTTCATCTTTGACCGGGATCCACGAGGTCAGCACCTTCATGGCGTTCTCAAAGTCCGAATCCAGCAGGATCTCTCGCGTGGCATCAATCAAAGCGGCCGAGGTCGCGTGCAGCACGTCTAGATCGGCGCCGAACGACGGCGGAGAGCCGGGGCTTGCGTTCGAGGCGTCGCCTAGAAGCATGAAGACGTCCCAGACGCGGAGCTGCGCTGGGAAGGGGATGGAGTAGTTGAAAAGGGTCAGGTACCAGCGCGTGCCGTACGCTGTCGATGTGATACCCAATTCGTCCTGGGTTGAGCATGGTCAGCACATGGTGAACAGGATCTTGCGCACCCTCCAAGGCTTAGTGCACTTAGATGTTGCCGCATCTCTATCGCATTTTAGTAGGAAAGGATGCGGCAATGACTAAGTGCACCGAGCCTTGCTCCTAACGGAGCTCTTCGGCGCATTCGGGCTCCCTCACGAAGCAGCCATCGGCACATGTGCCGAAACGGTAACAGATAAACCACACGGGGCAAGGTAAGCCGAGGAGGAACCAAGCTTACCAATTTCTGCGCGACGTCTCCCCCGGCAAGCCAATTCTTTTCGAAGTCGTTCAGCGCCTCCATCAGTCCATCGAAGCCGGATTGGTAAAGGCGTTCTAGACCGCGAAGCTGCCAGAGGCGGACCAGCATCACGAACGCCGTCTCCTCGTCGAAATAGCACAGAAGCGTTGCAGCCAGCGTAGCCATGCCCTGAACATAGCCCGTATCGGGCAGATACAAGGACATCGCGTGCAGCACGCGGAATAAAAGCCGCTGGCCTCCGCGATACCGCCGCCTGAACATGATGTGGCTGCTGATCGTCCTCGGGACATCGACATCAATTTGCACGTCATCTGCTGAATCCACCTCTTGGAGCTCGTAGAAGGCCTGCACAAGCTCTTCCTCAGACGGACTGCCCTTGGCTTCTCTGGCGCTTGCCGACAGGAATGAATGCCAGGCCATGGATCTCCAGCGGTCTGGAATGCCTTTCCATGCCCGCGATATCACTTTTGGGTCTTTGGTGTCGAAGTCGAAGATCATGCCTCCGCCTCTTCCGCTCTTCGGCTTGAGCTTGCCCATCTTTCTCCATTTCTCCTCGCGCTCCCACTCTTTCTTCTTCATTGCCATGGCGGCTCTTCCGCCATCCTCTTGCTCGGCGATGTCGGCTAGACCAGGGGGAAGTGTGAGCATGTCGCTGGCTTCGTCCATCCATCTTCTGTCTTTGTTGTGAGGTAGGCGGTTTGCAGCGTGGCGAAGCGAACGCCGGCTACGTGAGGTGTTGCTTAGATTAGAGTACACCGAGCCGGTTTGGTCAAGCGAACGGTGTGAGGACTTCCGCCTCGGCGGAGGGTTCGTCTTAGTAGATCGTGCAGATTTGGGGTTGGAAGGGGTCCGTCGGAGAGTTCGTTTCCGTCGAGGAGTGTCAGACGCCAGTTGGAGTGCTGTCGATGTCCGTGCGAGACCTGGTCTTTCGTGTGCGGCGAACGACTTGCTTGATGAATCACGTGAAGAGACCTTCTTGGGCACGATGAATCCGTAGCGGTCGACGTCTCCGCCTTCTACGTCTGCCCAGTCTTCAATGCCTCCTGCTGTCTCGTGCGGCTCTTTGATGATCTGACTGATTCGCCGGTTGTCCACGGTCCTGGAACCCTTTGAGCCTGGTGATTCAGTTGGACGGAGTCGTTGCGCGGGTAGACTTGAAGCATCAGGCGTCGGCGACGGGGAGATGCTCTCGTTGCCAAGTAGGGGTGGTTCTGAAATTTCGAGCGCTGGGGAACCCAGTTGGCTGACTCCCTCGCCTGCTTTTTCATCTCCATGTTCGTACATCGAGCGCACCTTCTTAGACAGCATCTTCTCGTCTGGTGACAATACTCGAGTAGAGAGTATACGCCCCCGCTGACTACCCACCTTCCCCACAACTGGCGAGGATGTTTCCGCAGCTTTTTCGGGACTCTGATCGTGCCCGTTCTTCGCGCCGACAGCCGCAGCTGCCTTCTTGCCCCCCCACAGCATACTGCCCCTATGCGAGAACTCTATATTGTCCGGCGAGGATAGATCATCGAAGCTCCCTGTCGGTATAGGAGTGCTTATTCTATGAAACGACCCAGTCTGATCTTGGCGTATGGAGTCTTCCGGCAGCGATTGTGGGGTGAATGCTTCTCGCTCGTGCGCGTCTGCTGCTTTGGATGCCTGCGGCAGTGTTTCGTTGTTGACGGTGACGGTCGGTAGGCTAGGGACCTTGCTTACGACAGACCCGTCGTATACGCTCTCCGCAACAGACTCCCTGCCCAATGTTGATATCGAGGTTGCGAGGCCTGAGTCTCTTTTCGCTTCGTCCTCGGAGAGGTGTGAGCGCGTCCTGAAAGCTGGCCAACGCGGTCCCGGTGCTGATTTTGGTCTGCGCAGGCCATTGAGCCAGGAGTGGGCGGTGGAGGATGATTTAGAAGGTGCATCGGTTTCTAGCGCTGTGTGCTGCGAGGTCGGGTTGGACTCCAGGATGTCCTTGTTGGCGACAGTCTGATCCGTGTCTGCCCCATCTTTCATGGTGCCTATGGCGATTGATGGGGAGTATGAATCCGCAGCGGGGGACGCGGCGGCAGGGCGAGGTGTATGATCCGCGAGTTTAGAAACAGCTCACAACCGTCACGTCCACACGCACCCCGTCAGCAATAAACCTCTCAACTGGCTGGCGCACGATCACCATATTGCGGAGATCATCGTCTTTGCTCGAGCACAATGGGCTGAATGTTAAGATTGGCAAGGGCCCTGTTCCTCCATGCAGCACGCAGGGCTCGGAAATTTCCAAAAGCCACTTTATGCAACGGCGTAATAACAAGCTTAAGCTCAATCGGCCCGTTACAACAGTTGCGGGCCTTATCCAGAATCTACAGCGCTAATGATATCCGAGAACTGATGTTAATAGCTACGAATAGATGTTTGGATGCGAAGCATCCTGTATTTGTGCAGGTATGTCCAATCTGTGTGGCCGAAACAAACAACCCCCAACTCTGGCGGGTGCAGCCGACCAGCGCCAGTAGATATGCTAATATTAGCTGAGTGCAGGGGCACACGGTAGGCTCCGCAACTTGAAACACAAGCACGAGTCTTTCCCCTCCACATGCAATACACGGCCGCTGTCAAATTTTGCAACGGCTGCGTTGGCGAGAATGGCTTACAAGCCAAGCTTCCGCTTCTTGATTCTAGGCAGGATACCCGCTAGTGTAATCACCGCAGCCGCAATGACGGCCCAAAGCTGAATGTGCAGGACCTTCTTGTTGAAGTCCGTCTGCGTCGCCGCCGCAACGGTGACCAGCGCAAGGGCGAATATGGTGTAGCCCGCCCACCGGTGGTATTTGTAGATTGCCTTCGCGTTGTCCTCTCCACCGTAGAGCTGAGGCACGAAGTACTGCGTGAAGCCGACTATTGCTTGGATAAGGATCAGGATGTAGGTGATCAGGCCGAGTATGGCGTGAGGGGACTCGAAATGCGTGCCGTTGTGGGCGGCCTTGTTGTATACGATCACGATGAGTCCGCCGAGTAGGAGTAACACACCGGTCGGGTTGATGATCGCATGTGCCCAGGTTCCGTGCTTCTTCTGCTCCGGGGTATGTGTTGGTTGTAGTATGAGGGCTCCCTGGGCGAGCAGAAGTAGGCCAGCCTAAATGGCGTATAAGGATCAGTCTCCGGGTGCTTTTGACGGCGAGTATCTAGCTTACGGAGTTCAACAACTATCGACATGGTCAGCCAGGTGTTAAGCACATACAGAGTAAGGACAAACATACCGGATGAGCTGAAAACAGCATGAGCTTATGAGAGAACACACTCCCCCAGATGATCCCAGCAAGCTTCGTTATGTCAGTCCAGGTCTTGCAAAGCCGAGAATCCAGCGCGTACTATCAAAACGCCAGCTTGAGCGATGATGCCGGTTCCTTTCACACTAATCAGCTTCAGGCTAAGTAATGGTTCCCATGGGATAGCAGCTCACCCAGTATCAAGTTGTAGGCAAGCGGCTTCTCCTCCTGCTGTGAGGCATCTCCAGCTCTTCCGAGCAACGGCTCGTCCTCTCCTCGCTCCAAGGTAGCCGGGTTTTGATCTGGAATGCCCGTTGCGGATGCCATTTTGCCTCAAGATGCTATGCTGTCAGATGTTTCGATTTGAGTACGGAGAGTCTATTTATTTTCTACTTCGGACGCGGGGCATCCGGATAGCTTAGCTTCATGACGCGCACGAAGGACTTGCAGGGAGCACTGGCCAATGACATGCACACATAACTCAGCAATCCGCAGCTGTGACCACTTACTACTCACGACCACCTTCATATTACCAAGCGACACTTCATTTACAGCAACTGACAGGCAGAGGAGATTGAATGATTGGATCTGGACCGTGCGTATGAGGTTGACTAATGTTAAAGTATCCTTTAGGCAATAAAAAGCCCCCAGCATACAGCTGCTGACCTGTATCTCCCCTCTGGTACGACAAGGGCAGGTACTGGTAGAGTAGCACTAGTAGTCGCGAGTGAACAATGAAGGAGAGGCTGCTTTATGGACGCCGGGCATGATCACAGCAGCGGTTCGGTGGTTCTCAATCTCTTCTGACGAGGCATCATTGCATCTGCTATGAGACGTCGCCACCGTCAATATAGACGCAGTTGGAGCTGTATACAACGTTTACGAAGCGCTTCAGGATCTCATTGTACATTTCTCTTGTTGCAGATACTCGGCGCAAGAGTCACGAAGTCAGCGTCATCCATCTTTAGCAGCACATGCATCACCGAGAAGAACGCAGCTGCATCCTGCGATCACATTCATACACAATAACTTCGGTTTCAACATACCGGAGATGCCTACGGTCCCCATGATTGTTCCTCCGTTTCCTCTACCAGTCCATCAGGTGGCCTTGCTGTCTTCATGATTGATTCATCGAGTCGACATCGCACGGAGGGCAAGATCATGGGCTTGGGTTTTCACAGTAGGTGTTCTACGGTTCTTGTTCTCCTTCCCGATTAGGTCGCACCGCTTCCACCTAAGACCTCTGCGTCACGAATGAAGGACATCACAATCCATACGAACCTATTATAAGGTGGAACGTAATTCTTGCTCTTCATTGGAGTCTATCCATAGAGACGAGCGTGATGCGCATGGACTACCCCCGAATTTCCCCTAACCCAGAGTTAAAATCGATATCGGAATCGGAAGCACACACGAGCCCAACGGCAAGGTTGGCAACGTGCGTCAACTGTGCCGTGAAGTTCCTCAATCAAGATTCTCTGGTTCTACCTAGGTGGTCGGTTTCCGATAATCCGAGGCAAAACCGCGTCCCATGTAAAATGTCTGCGCCGTAGGAAAGACGTAGGTAAGCTACAGTGAGGCCATTAGAGCTACGTGGATTGACATACAGCGAAGCCACAATGTATGCTATCGGTCAATGTTTTATTTACCGATGCGGTCAACGTCCACGCTCATACTTTATTCCCCATGACTGTACCGACGCTGTAGTCGTGGGTATATCAACATCCTCCGTCCTGACAGCGCCTCCGTCCGCGCTCCCTCCCTATATCCCTCTTGCACTTCGCCCAAGCCGAACCAACTCAGGACTCACAGCCTCCTTAGACCCCAACGACAACCTCGCCGCCCTCTGCGCCAGCCCCACACAATTTTCCACCCTCCTTCGCCCCTCCCTCTCCCCTGCCCCATGTACCAGTCCCGCAACCAACGCCCCCAAAAACGTATCCCCAACCCCATTCACACTAACCACCTTCCCCGGCCCCATCACCTCCTCCGGCTCAAACAACCGCATATACAGCCCCCCAACCGTCTCACTCCCTGTCCTGTCCCGGCCCAGCACATACGGCGCGTCATCCGGGCCGTACAACCTCTCGTCGCCTGCGGGCAGGAGCTGAGTCAGCAGCACGCCCCTCGGACCGAGCTTGGTCAGGATACAGGGCACCAAGGGCAGTAGCTGGATGCTCATCTGCGGGATGCCCTCGTTGACAAGAGCGGGGGACGTGAGGTATGAAAGCGCGGTCCGCGAGCCTGAGGAGGGGAGCCCGAGACTGTCGATGGTGCTCCACCAGCTGGGACTGTCGAAGAGGCCGAGGGACCGCGCGGAAGTGTGGAGGGCGTGGAGTTCGTGGTTGTTGGGGGTCATGAGGTCGACGATCTGGTTGGGGAAGGTGAGGATGGTGGATGTGGGGCGATATTTAGATGAGGTGGGCGCGGATGTTGGAGAGTAGCCGTGGAAGAGCCGGATGGACTTTGCGGTCGAGACCGGCTCGAAAGCTGTCAGGGCGCCCAAAGATTTGGCGGCCGTCAGCCAGGCGTGGAGGTTGGTGGAATCCCAGTTTGCGTCGACAATGACCCATTTCGGGGATGCGGCTTGGAGATGCGCCAGCCGGTCTGAGTTCCAGGTATCTGGCTGCTCAATGATCGACATGTCGGCCATGGCGAGGGTCAAGTCCTTATGGGCGTCATTGATTGCTACGTACTGTGCTGTTCGCTGGCCTGTCGAGGCGTCAAGCACTTTGATGCCACCTGTCTGTAGGCCCTCGGAGGAGAGCTGGGCAACGGCCGCACGGCCGCTTAAATCGTCGCCAACAGCACTGCAGAGGCGGACTGATGCGCCCATGTAGTGGGCAGCTTTGGCGATGTTGTGCGCTACGCCACCTAGTGTCTGCGTAATGATGGATGGGTTCGAGGTATGTAATTGAGGTGCTATTTGGTCTATCGCGCCTGGCAGCGGAGCGTAGTCGCATGAGAAGTCTATCGCTAAAGCGCCGGCAACCACAATGTCGGCTTTTGGTGTCGCTATAGGTTTTCCCAACCCTTCCGATGCGGCGACATCAGCTGCATTGGATGTGGCTTCAGGTAAGGTTGGTGCCACCATTGACTTCAGCGTTGAAGGCCAAGCCGGCACTGCAAACGTATCAGACTGTGTTCTATGTGGTTGTCTATCAGCATCACTCACTCTCGTCGCATGTTCGCATCCTCTCACCCTACCGATACCGCTTGCTCCATCTTCTCCAGGTTAAGCAGTTCCTTCGCCACTAGAGTACCACGCTTGACGTTGCCTTCGATAAGAGCCCTATTGGCGACGACACTCTTCCCTCCGGTCAACTCCTTGATCTTTGCGAGGATGAAAGGAGTGTTGTCTTTGCCTGATGCACCAGCAGAAGTGGCCTCCCTGATTGCATCTTCAATGATGCCATCGATATCCGACCTTGCTACGGAGGCGTCGGCCGGTATTGGATTTGCCAGCAGTAAACCCGACGAAAAGGAGAGGGCGTGGTGAGCATCTAATAAGATCAAACGTGAGCAAAGCAGTACGAGAAGCAAGACGCACCGCAGAAGCTGACATGCTCAGGTGAAGATGTCACTCACGAATGATGGCGGCGGCTTCTTGCTCATCCTGTATGGTCGTTGGACTTCTTGAGCCGCTGTCTCTTGACCAAAAAGCGGGAAAGTCCACGCTTCCTTCTCTTCCATCGGCAAAAGTGGCTACGCCGACACCTTCGGTCTCCAGATACTCTAGCGTTCGGGGAATGTCCAGGAAGCTCTTGCATCCACTGCTGATCACCGTGACTGGAGTCCTTCCGAGCTCGGTGAGGTCGGCAGATATGTCCATGCTGTTCTCAGCACCCCTATGCACTCCGCCGAGACCTCCTGTAGCAAAGACCTTAATACCAGCGAGGTGCGCCAGTACCATTGTCCCCGCTACGGTAGTGCCCCCATTGTATCTTTTGCCTGCGGCTCCCTGTGGAAGAGCGCGTTAGTTAGATGTTACTGGTTATCACGACATCGCTATAGCCCGTGGTAGCAGTACCAACCCGCATATATAGCTCAAGTCTCTGCGGGAAACCTTGAGAGTGTCTTTCTTGCCCGCAGAAGCTGTGAGCCGGATGATTTCCTCAGCATCCATACCAACGCGTGCTACGCCATCTAGTACGCCTATAGTAGCGGGCACACCTCCGCCCACACGGACTAGTGATTCGAGTCGTGAGGCCAGGGCAACGTTATCGGGATAGGGAAATCCTGATGGGAGGGTCAGCAGGGGTCCAGCGTCTCGAAGAATCCTCTTACCATGGGTATAGATGGTTGTCTCCAGAGCGACGACTGGCCTGCTCTTCGAACGCAATGCTTCCCTAACCTCCTCGGAGACCTTTAAGAAGCGGTTATCGGAGCTCAGGAATCGGTGGGATGCCAGGTTGAAAGCTGGCTGTAGCCTTCGGAACCGTATCGAACTCCCAGAGTATCCTACAGAAGCCATTGTACCTTGGCTGCTGGAGATATGAGCAGTGGTTCTTCCCGTATACGAGAAAGACCTTGGGAGACAACAGATAGCGGCGGAGACTTCATGCCAAGGGCGGATATCTTATGCCAAGGGCGGAACTTGTGCATCGCGAAGCGAACAGCTTGCAAGTAGTTACTCAGTAACCCACCATCAACTCCCATCTAGCTCCAGGACGCGCAATCAGCTCACGGCCCAGCTGACCAATGCAAAGAGCTAGACTCCGTCGTCAAACATGAGGTCGATTGCCCTCGCCCTGAGCTGCCTCGGGGCTCTCTTCACCAGCTTCTCCGCCGCAGACTCAAATCTCACGAAGCCACTCTCCTCAAAACAGATATTATCCAGCAGCTTCAAGCCTCCCCAGGTCTTCCGAAACGTCAATTTGGTACGCAATGTCAATCTTGAGAAGGAATACCCGCGGGAGACGATCAACGTAATCATCGAGAACGTCGACGCGCAACCTCAAGCCGAATATTATCTGCCATTCGAGGCTGGGCTGATTGCAAGAGTTGGTGGTTTGGAGGCTCGGGACAAGAAGGACGCTTCCAAGGGCGCATTTCAGGCGGAAGTCGTCGAATATGACACATATAGGTACGACTGTAGTGCCGCATGAGTGCCTTGCCAGGAGAAGCTCTAGCAGAGTCCCAGTAGAGATGTATTGACTTAGTTACTTTCAGTCCCACCGAGTTCTACCTGATCCACCTTCCCGAGCCACTCGCGCCTTCTGCCCAGCAGACTCTCAGCATCTCGTACACCGTCCTCTCCGCCCTCGAGCCCCTACCCGCATCCATTGGCCAAATGGAGCAACAATACGTCCAATACACGTTTAGCGCCTACACCCCCTCTGCATACCCGACTTCCAAGCAGAAGACCAAGCTCAAATTCCCCTCCGCCAACATCCCAGACTACACTATCCTCCCATCTCCCAACGCCGATGGCACCGAAGACCCGCAGAAACAAGGTAGTACTTTCACCTATGGGCCCTACTCAGACATCCCCGCCGGTGCCGCCGAGTCCGTCTCCGTCCGCTACGAGTTCACTAAACCCCTTATCCACGCCACACTACTAGAGCGCGACATTGAGGTCTCGCACTGGGGCGGCAATCTGGCGACCGAGGAGCGCTACTGGCTTGTAAACCGCGGCGCGACGCTCAAGAACCACTTCTCGCGTGTGCAGTGGCAGATGGCTGCTTACGCTAACCCGCCTACGTCCGCGCTCAAGGAACTTAAGGTCCCACTTCGGGGGGGTGTAATGAACCCGTATTTTACGGATGATATTGGTAATGTCAGCACCAGCAGATTCAGGAGCGATGACAGAGAAGCGCTGCTAGAGCTTAGGCCGCGATATCCAGTTTTTGGAAGCTGGAAATACAGCTTCCGTATCGGGTGGGATGCAGATCTGAGTGGTTATCTGCGACGGTTGAAGATTGGGGGTAGCTATGTGCTCAAAGTTCCTTTTTTGGAGGGGCCGAGAATGGCTGAGGGAGTTGAATACGAGAAGGTGATTGTCAGAGTCGTGTTGCCCGAGGGGGCGAAGTAAGTCCAATCCCTTGTTTCTAGATGACTTGGGACCCTGAGTGGAACGTTGTGTGCTGACAATATTTCACAGAAACGTCAAGTGGGAGACCAGTGTTCCTCTCGTCGGCTCGGAGGTCTCGCTTCACCGCACGTTCATGGACACGCAAGGCCGGACGACGCTGAAGCTCACAGCGCTTAATCTGGTAGATGAGTGGCGGGATAGGGACATCGTTGTCACCTACGACTACCCCTGGACAGCCGGCTTCCGCAAGCCTGTTACTATCTTCGCTGCTGTGCTTGTAGTTTTTGCAGTTGCATGGGCTGTCGGGAGCGTTGACACAAGCATTGCTGCGCGACAAAAAAGATAGAGAGGACTGCTGTGTAATTCAAGTGCTTAGATTTCATCATTCGGGACAATTCGCAAGACTTCAGCTGTAGGCAGCCTGTGAATCTGGTTTACCGTGCGCCTTCTTGTGAGGATCAGCACTGGCACGTCGAACAATAGTACAGTGTCCGCCGAGTCGTGACACTCCTACCGCTCTTTAGGGGGTGAAGTATTCCGTACCTACTTCTCGATTGTGCTCCAGGCGGAAGCGGACCGACCCACCGAGCCTCTTCACCCCACCACCCCTCCAACCTCTAGATTGCCGCCTACGACACTTGACACTCCCACACACGACCAAAGTCCTTGGATCCTCCTTCTCTATAACACCCCTTCGACACCTCTTTAGAGCCGCCCGGATCTCCCATCCGCGCCCCACTGAGTCCACAAACCTCATCTGCCAGTCCATCCCAAACCCATCGCAATGCTCATCAAGTAAGGCTTCCTCCTTCCCAGTGCAACCGCTTCGCGATTCAGCCGTGCACTACTAATATCAGTTCCGCAGAGTCCGCACCCTGACCGGCAAGGAGATCGACCTGGACATCGAGCCCGACTACAAAGTACGCGCTTCGCTTTCCCGCGTCTCGCGCCTTCAAGTTCCACATTATAAACCCGCATGAACAGAGCAGACTCATGGCGTCTGCCCTCTATTCTCTGTTCGCTGTTGGAACCTAGCCACACAGAGCGCTAACACAACCCCACCAACCCCGTAGATCTCGAAGATAAAAGAGCGCGTTGAGGAGAAAGAAGGCATCCCACCCGTGCAACAACGACTCATCTACGGCGGCAAGCAGATGTGCGTGTTGTCGCCTCCCCTCCTTCTCCCACACACTCAAGTAACAGCCCGGGCTGATAAGGCACGAACCACTAGGTCTGATGACAAGACGGCCGAAGAATACAACCTCGAGGGCGGCGCGACACTGCATCTGGTGCTCGCACTGAGGGGTGGTTCATGATTTATCAGACCAGTTCGTGGCAGATGATGAATTGCCGAGATCAAGCGGGGATGTTGGTCGCGAAAGGCAAGACTTGGGGGTGTACATGGTGGTGGAGGAATTGCATATCGCGATGGGAAGGGGTAACGGCGTTTGATCCGGGGTCTACAAGCGGAAGGCCTCAAGCTCTTGGCACAAGTCTTCAAACGGGAAATTAGACTGGTGGTGGAACTCGCTGCTTTGGTATCACGTCTTTCTTCGTGACCGCAACCTTATAGCTACCTTACAATACGATGGCAATCGTCCTCCAAACTCAACGCCGGCAAATGCCAGAACATGCGCCCATTCCTGACAAGAGCGCCCGACCATGCCCGATCATATCCCATCCCGGTATACCCAATCGTGAAGCAATCCCAAGACTCCGGCTAACGATGCAGCACAAACATCCGAAAAGACAGTCTGAACTCCACAAAGCGCCATCTATGCCCGTCTCTTGCTGGGCATGAAAAGGTTTACTTCTGGTTTCCTCTTTACGCCGGTAGCAGGTACTGGAGTCGTTTTGGTAGGTGGTCTAGGCACAGCAACATTGGGTTCTTGTTTCCTCATGCCGGCGACAGGTGCTGGGGTCGACTTGACAGGTAATGGGGTCGACTTCGTAGAGACAGGCGTTGACCTAGTCGGTACTGGCATTGACTTGGTAGGCACTTTAGGAGCCGAAGACACGGCACTGACTGGCCGTTTAGTCCGCTGCTCGTTCAATAATGCTTTCGCTAGGGCCGTTTGTGGTGTTGTTGTCTTAGTGGCCGTGCTTGCCGGTTCGGCTGGCTTGGGCAGCGCTGGGACCGGTCTCCCTTCCCGTATCGCCTTCAGTCGTGCCTCCCGCGCCGCAAGGTCATCCTTCCGTGTCGCCGCACCTGTGACTGTGGTGACCTTCGGTGCAGGCACAGTACTAGATCTCGCACTGGCTACCGGCTCTAGCGCATCCCTTGGCATGACAGGCCTCTTGTACTCCTCGATCAAGCCCCTCGGCGCTCTGAACACCCTTCCGGGCGGCGCCAAACGCTGAACCGGCCTTCTCATCTCCAACAGCCCCATCTGCCCCCTTCGCTGGCCCACCCTCGCCAACATCCTCCCAGCCGCGCTCGCCGGCCCCCGTTTTCTCCTCTGCGGATCATTGATGCCCTGATTGACCTTGACGAGCTGCGCCTCCCGCTCGGCCTGCACGCCCCTCGCCTTCGCGGCAAGCTCCTCCTTACTGCGGATGAGGTTGCGCTCGGCCTCGCGCTTCAGCTTCGCGTATAGCTTCCACCACGAGGCTGGGTTCGCGGGCTCGATGGAGTCGGCTTCGGTGGAGTAGCCGGGGATGTCGCGCCGGATGAACTCGCGCCAGATTTCGCCGGACTCGAGTGCGATGTGGGGGGAATTCTTTTCGATGGTGCGCAGGTGGTCCGGATACTCGATCTTGAGGAGCGCGGGGCGGAGCCAGTCGTAGGGGAGGTCGGAGAGGTCGTCGAATCCTGGGCGCGGGGGTTAGTATAGGGTATGTTGGGAGAAATTGAGCAGGTAGAAGACGTACGGTATATGTTCTTCATGAGTTTGGTGCGCGCCATGGCGAAGAGGGAGCGTGCGGGCATGGTGGAGGGGTAAGGGGGGGGAGGGTTGGTATAAGTAATCTGGGAAGCTGGTTGAGCGAAGGAGTGGTTGTTAAGGTATTGATGAAGGTTGACAGGAGTGATGATGATCTATTTGAGCGCTGATTATAGTTTCCAAGACCGTGGAGAGAAGAGTAGTGGAGAGGCTTTATAGTGTTTCGAAGGAGTGGGACTGTCTTTGTTCTTGTGTAAAGCATGGCCGGGCTTCGCGGTGACGACTGGACTTAAGCTTTCGCGGGGCGGCATCATAAAGAAGAGGGGTTTTACCATACAAGAGATATCGCTTAGCACTACCATTTACTCAATTAAAACCTAAAGGTAAGACTTAACTATAAAGTAGATAAATAAACTATATAATAAACTTATAGTATTTCTAATCTATAGATAGACTAAATTATCTAATAAAGCTACTATACTAGTAACTATCACAATGCAGGGAGGCTTAATACTAGAACTTAATTTATTAGAGTAATATATAAGACGTTACACGAGGTTAGAAGGTGTAGTAAGAAAAATAGGAAAATAACTCTATAAGTAGAGTATATAATCTAGTTATATAACTCTAAAATAACTAAAGATCTAAGTGCTAAGAAATACTAAGTCTAAACTATAATAGTAGCTCCTCTTTAAGAGCTAAGTTTCTATAAGGTATTTAAGTTAGAGTTATATTCTAATTTAGTATTAGAATCTTTATCTAACTTTATAGAAGATATAGAGTAACTATAGGCCTTAAACTCTAACTAATAAGTGTAGCTAGGCTTATTTAGATAGTATATAAAGAAATAATTAACTTTTATAGGGGCTATTAATATATAGTATAAGGGGTTTTAGGAGTCTTTATTAGAGTTAATTTAGTTTATAAGTACCTTAAAGTGCCTATAGTAGTTTTAGGAGTTAAGAATCTAGTTTACACCCTATATATCTTCTATAGAGGTGCCTAATTAGGGGAAAGAAGATAGTAGAGCTTATTCTAGAAGTAGATTATTAGTAGAGGGATAAATTAGTAAGATATAAAATATAGAGTAGTAGTACTAGAACTAGAGTATCTCTAGGTGGTAGCTATATATACTAATAACCTTAGTAACACGGAAGGGACTATAGTACTTATTTAAGAGCTTCTAGAGTAGGTAATCTAACTATAAGTTATATATATCTAGATATACACTATTACTAACTTAGTACTTTAGTGTAGAGGCTTATTAGTAGTTAGCGGTATCTTTATAGCTAGCTTATACTAGATATATTTACTTCTTTAGTTTCTAAGTAATAATTGTTATTTTATTATAGAATTAGGCTGCTTTTTTATAGTTTAATTTAATAAGTAAGTTTATAATAGGAACCTATAGCTTTAAGCTAAGAAGAGAGTATTAGCTATAGTTAGTAAGAAATAGTAAGACTTAAGTGGTTTTTAATATATAATTATTATACGCGAACTCTATATATTGTAGCTAGTCTATCTAGTTATTTTATAGGAATACTATATATATATATATATATATATTACTTTAGAACTATATTAGTATTCTTAGTCTAGCTATCTATTTTAGGGTGGTATACTATAAAGAGGTTGTACCGGATATCTAATTAGAGGTATAGTTTCTTTTAGAACTAGCTAATAAATTAGCTTTCTTAATTTAAAATAATTAAAATAGAAATACTATAGTACTTTTAGATATATTAAAAGAAGAGCGCTATAGTAGTTAGTGTATCTATCTTATTATAAGGAATAAAGTGCTGTATTTTAGAGAGACAATCTATAACTATAAGAATATTTTTATATAAGTTTTCTTAGTAATTCTTACTTTTTAGAAGTTTAATAATAAAGTTAAGTAAGATATTAGACTAGTATTATTCTAGTATAGGTAGAAGCTTTAGTAGGCTATAGTAGTAGTTCTAAGAGACCTTTATATAGGTATAAATAGAATAGTTATAAATAAACTAGTAAATATCTTATATTATTCTAGACTACTAGTAAGAGTGTGCTAGAATATTAAATATCTTTACTCTTTTAGAATATCTAATAGCTAAAGATAAGTGCGCCTTATATAGGGTGTATATTCTAGTTTAGTAAGAGTCTAGTAGGAATTAGTAGTTTTAATAGATAATTTAGTTATTCTCTTTACGGACTTTAAATAGCGGGAAGCCTTTAAGTATATAAGTGCTTTATTATAGGTAGATTAGAATCTCTTAAGCTTATTTATTTAATATATAGATAGAGTTAATATTCTAGTCTAGTATAGTTTTAGGAATTTTATCTAGTACTTTAATTATATCTAGTTGGATTACTAGTAGGATTTCTTTATTTTTAGTGTTTTATAAAGGGTTAGCGGAAGTAGTAAAAACTCTAGGAAAAGCTAAATAAATCTTACTAGTAGCTAGAGGAGCGCGTTCTAGTTAAGAATTAAGGTTTTACTACTTTAATACTTTTTAAAACTAGTTCTTTTAAGAATTACTCCCTCTTTTAATAGAGAGGTCTTTAGACTAATAAGTTAAGGTATTTACTATTATATTTAGGATACCCTTTTAGTAGGTAATCTTAAAGTTAAAATGGGATAAGAATTCGCTCTAGTAGACTTAGTAATAATTAAGGGACTTTATAGATATAAAGTATTTAAGGTTCTTATAGTCTATAATTATATTAATAGATTCTTCTATTTCATTTAGTTCTAGACGCTAGGCCTTAAAGGTCTTAATAATAGCTAGTAGCTCCTTATTATAAATCTTATAATTATACTTAGTAATAGATATTTTTATTAAGAAGTATACTATAGGCTAGAGTCGGCCTTTTATATCTAGTTAGTAGAGTATACTAGCTATAATATAGTTTAAAGTATCTGTTTTTATAGTTACTAGCTTAATCTAGTTAAAGTATTAAAGAATTAGTGTAGTAATAAAGGCGTACTTTAATTTCTAGAAAGTAGACTTATAATCTAGAGACTATAGAAAAGTCTAGCTCTTATAAGTAAGGCTAGTAAGTAGTATAATAATCTTAGAAAAATTCTAGATAAAATAATAATAAAAGTTCGTAAAGCTAAAAAAGCCTTAAATATTTTTTAGGTTTTTTTAGCTAGGCCTATTCTTATATAATAAAGACTTTTACTAGATCTATCTTAATACCTTTTATTAAGATAGTTAACCTAAGGTACTTAACTTTCTAGATATAGAATTTATACTTCTTAATATTGACTTATAGGCCTGCTTCTTATAGGTAGATAAGTATCTTATAGACGTGTTCCTAGTATTTACTTAAGGTATTACTATAGATTAGAATGTTATTAATATAGGCGGTATAGAACTAGTTTAAGTATTTCTATAGAATATTATTAATATAGTGCTAGAAGAATAAGGGCGTGTTAAATAAGCTAAAAGGTATTACTAGGTATTTCTAAAGGCTATAGTAGATACGGAATACTATACGCTATTTATCACCCTTTATAATATAGAGTTTATTAAAGGCCGCGATAATATTAAGCTTAATAAAGTACTTAGCTAATAAGAAGCGAGCGAGGGTTTTTTAGATAAGTAGAATAGAGTACTTATTCTTAACTATAATCGCGTTAAGGCCCTAGTAGTCTATATAAAAATAAAGGCCCCCTCTAGACTTTTAAATAAAAAGAATAGAGAAAGCTATAGAGCTACTACTAGAGCGAATAAAGCTCTTTATAAGGTAGTCTTCTAGGTACTTTTTTAGAACGAGTAGCTCCTTCTAGGATATTCTATATAGGGGCCTAGTAGGTAGTTCTATTCCTAGCTATAGCTAGATATAGTAGTTATAGGTGTAATATAAAGGTAATTAGTCTAAGAGGTGTTTTAAGAAGATATCTAGGAATTTATAGTACTTAAGAGGTAAGATAGTAGCTAGATCTATAACCTTCTTAGATATAAGAGCCTTTTTAATATCTCTTATTATAATTATAAAGAGCTAGCAGCCTATCTTCTTAGTATTTACTAGGTGGATAAAGAGTGCTATACTAATTATATAAATATCTAGGGTCTTTTATAGGAGTAAGTTAAGATTAAGTAGCTTTTTAGCCTTTTTTTAGAGTACTATAATAGAGTTTAGATAGATATAAGAGATAGTGTTTTTACTAGAAAGTACTAATAGTTATTAGCTAGTATCGAGTGTAGCGTAGTAAGCTAGTAGCTAAGAATAACTAAGAATAACTAGAAAATAACTAAGGTAAGTAATAAAGAGGATAAGAGTCTATTTAAATAACTCTACTAGGAACTTAACTTAGATAAAATAGGTAATATTACTAGTAGTAGTAGGGCGCCTATTAATAACTTTAAGAGTAATAGGGGAACTAAAAGGAAGAAAATAAAGGCTAAGGTATTACATGTAAGATTAGTTAATAAAAGTAGTACTAAAAGCTCTAGTATTAATAAAAGTAGTAGACTTATATTTATATAAACTAGTAACTAAAGTATAGTTAACTATAAGGTGTTTATCTTTATTAAAGTCTTACTAAGGTAATTAGAAGATTATAGAAAAGAAAATCTTAACTATTTTAAATAAAGGTTCCTATAAGCAACTTCTAATAGAAACTACTTATTTTTTAAATAAGTTAAGTCTCTAGATAGGGTATTAGGGTTTAGAGTATTAAGAGTAGAGCTAAAGTTAATTACGTGTATAGTAGCATGAGGCTTTTTTAGGTAATTATAGATTATATAATCGCCGCTAAAGTATAGGTACTTATTATTATTAAAACACTATTACTTTATTTTAGGTGTAATTAGGCTCTATTAGACGCGACTAATTATAAGGTCTATAGAGTTACTATAGTTATAAGCTACGGGTATAGACTATAGCGTAATTAGTATAAAATAAAAAGCTAGTAAAAAGGTAGTTATAGTAGTTATTATATAGAAGATGCTAGTAGTAGGAAGTAGAGCTAGAAAGAAGTATTTTTAGAAGAATAACACGCTAGTTGCCACGCCTATAGTAGTATATAGGCGCCTATTAATATACTAGTAGAGGTAGA